CCACCTTTTGATGAGTTGGCGAAGAAAAACACATCATTTCGAGTCAGCACCACTGCTATGCACCAATGAGGCGCCGCGTTTCCCCGTTCTGTTATTCTTGGCAAGTGCCGCGGACATTTGACTGCACTTGGCGGCTGATGTGTCGCCGCCAGCCGGGACACAATGCCAAGCGTCGAGCCATCTTTTTGGTCCGTCACGGCTAGCGGGAGACATGGATGGACGCTGCGGCCGAAGGGGGAGGGAGAGTCGACACCAAACGTGTCTGGGTTTATCGCAAACGAGCCAGCCCGTGCCATTCTTGTTTGGTCTGCGGGGGATTGAAACCCGACCACGAGGCTCTCTGCAGTGCCGTACGCCGACCCCCGTCAGCTTCCTTCGGCTACTGCTGTCGGAAACCAGGCAGCTATCCGGCAATAGACAGACAGACTGTCTTGAGGCCAGAGTGGCCGCGGCAAACCAAGCGGCAGCTTTGTTTGAACGACGGGAGATGCTCCTTGCAGGCTGGCTGGCAACGCACAAGCCGCCTTGCCTTGCCTCTCTGACCCGCCCGGTCAATCGCGAAGGCCTATCGCAAATTCCAGAGCCCAAGGAACAAACGAGCGAGGCTTGTGGTCGGTTGCCAGAGCACACCAGAGGTTTTACATGCAAATCTCCCGTCACCAATTTGTCAATTACCTTAGGTAGGTGGTGACACATATCTGAGTGTCGACTAAGGTTGGTGGGCAGTCGCCAAGCACTTGCAACAGTGTTAGGTTGAATAGCAGAGGGTCATCGCTGTTATCGACGCTGGACGGCAGTCTGGCTCGTTGGTGTTACAACTCACTGCGCCTCTCGTATTTCTTTCCTCCTCCGCCGCCGCCTCCTCCTCCTCCTCCTCACGTACCTTTCCAATCTACGCCTCCCTCTTCAACAAGGCTTTGGTCGCCTCGAGCCGTTGCGCCGCCTTGTTCCCGTCTATTCAACTGCTCTCTACTTTGTCCGCCGTGCGGGCGTACCGTGTGTGCGAGCACAGTATGCAAGCTTTATTCTTACCTTTCTAGACAACTCCAGACATCCCAACCACGCCGCAGAGTTTCAGAAACCCGAAGACAAATACTGTCGCCCTGCCGCCACGCCGCCAAACCTAACCGTTGGTCCTCGCCCAACATGCCCTAAAACAGACGGGCGGATCTGCTCGCCGTGGGTCGCGATTGTGGGCCCGAAACAAAAGGCGACCTCCGCTGCGTCTTGGTCTGCTCGGCAGGTCTCAGTCTCGTATCGGCCGTGATGCTTGGCCGTCAAGTGACGCCGTGGGGACCGCCCAGGAGTATCGTCCTGACTCCCACTGCTCAAGCCAGCAAGGGAGTGCCAATGCAATGCCATTGTACGTCATGGCAACTCAGCTTCCGAACCTGCCGTGGCCGTCTCCACATTGCGGCTTGAGGCTCTGCTGCGAGCGATCAGCAAGCGCTGCAGATGCGCTGTGCGAGCTTGCAAGTCATTGACCAGTCGATTGCATTTGACCTCGTTCGCCGCCCACGCGGCTCTCTCCCCCGTCCGCGCTTTCTATAATCGATGCCCTGGGCCAAGCACTGTTGCCTGCGATTCATCGGACGAAGCACATGACTACTGAGTTCCAAGCCATGATAAAAACAGCCGAGTTCCCGAGGCATCCTGCCGTCGACTTTCCCCCTTCAACAAAGGCTGCCACGCAAAACCACACCTCGGTTGTATAGGAGTAAAGACAAGCCCAGACTCCCGTTCTGAATGAGACGGTCCTCGCGTGCCCGCGTCGATACCATGGCCGCGCATGCGTGCCCGGGAGCTATATATACCACACGGTCGTGACACTGTCCACGTGCCCCATTGGGCCGCGGCATGAGATGCAAAACCGATGCTGTCCAGGTTGCCAGGCCACAACGGCGACGTACATGCGGCCTGTATGCATAACCGACGGCCGGCCAATCGAAGCCGCGCGCAGGTTAAGCAGCCTGAATATCGGCGTTCCACCAAGCTGCCGACACAGGCCGTTGGAGCAAACAAGCCGCTCAGCCTGCACGCAGCCATGAGCCTTCGGAATCCACGAGAGCGGATGCAAACAAGCGACTCTCTCTCTGCTGGTCTCGGTTCTTGACCTATCGCCGAGGCGGAACGCCCCAGACGATGCTCCTCCGTTTCTTGGCTGCACCTGCCAAGCAAACAGCTTGTCTGCTGGCGTTGACTCTCACAGCAGTGCTACTGCGTTCCTGTCCCTCGCATATATCTGCCCCTTCCCGAAGGGTAGAGGCTTGTCGCTGTTTCAGCGATCTACGGGCCAGGCGTTGCGCTGTCTGCCCCGGCCGCTCGTCCTCAGTGATACCACCTGGAAGGCTCGAGTTACGTGCAGCACTGCTGCTGCTGTCGGGCCTCTCCTCCAGTCGCTCAGACGAACGCTGGATTTCGCGTGTATGGGTGCCATGTACGACTTGGAGGTCGACCTTCGTGTCAGCCGATGGTGGTACCGCCTTCTGTTGCCTGCTGTGAGGGCCATGCATTTAAAATGATGCATACTGCCCGTTTTTGTGCCGATGCGATGGCTCTCCATTTGGAACGATACGCGGGTGGATCGTGATCATTTTTTGTCCCCAACGAAGCCAGCAAGCCGAATAAAGCGCGGTGATAAGAAGGTCGTTGGCCTCACAAATCTCAAGTCGGTGAAGAAGCACAGAATCGTTCCGCCACAATGTCTTCACGCGCGCACTCGTCCGCAACCTCGTCCTCTTCATCGTCATCGTCGAATAGCAAGGTTTCCAATGGGATAGGATCCGGTATACGCAACACTAGACACTGGCGGGTACCGCGAGAGTCATCGTGGACATTTAGCATCATGGCATACATGCTAGGGGCATCTCGTGACGTTCGCCGCATCAGGGTTAAGACACAAGTCTTGGGCGTAGTTTCAGATTCTCCGGAGCCCGTTGTGGAAGAGGTTATCCAGAGGCACTGGATTCGCCACAAGAGGCGTCTTTCGCTGGACTCTTCGGTGCAGTCTCCGGAGCCGTCGCCTACTTACCCGCCCGGGCAAGACAGGTATCAGTACGTCCCGGCCGCGAACGGTTATTACGGGCCCCAATACTACAAAGGGGGCGGACAAGCGGGCGTCCCAGGTGGCAACCAGCAACCTGGAGGCGGCATGGATGGGCATCCGCGGGGAAAGGCGCCCCAGGGAGGCGTGGCGCCCCAGCCAGTTCCCTTCGTAACAGGCGCCGTGCCACCCCCAGCGCGAAGCAACGCCTAGGCCGTCTTTGATGTCTGGACTTGGGTGTCTGCGGAGTCGGGAGGATGGGAATGTGGTTGAACGACGGCTTACGACGCAAGACAGGCAGGAGGGCTGAGACGTTTGGAGGCTGGCGTGTCGTGTTGTAAGCTTTTGCCTCAATGTTCGTCGATGGCTGGCTATGGGCGACGTTGTGTTTAGGAGAATGCAATGACAGGTTCAACAGAGGCGCGTGGTCTGATGCGCATGCACCGTGACAGATGCAACGAGCGTGCTTACTGATGCCGGGGTGGGAAGACAAGAAGGCAGATCTTTTCCTTTGACGACGCCTTGGGGCCCGCGTGATGAGGCGACCGAGCCCCGAAGCCAACGAGGCTGAGAGGCCGCGACGAAATCATCGGGCCCGGGGAACGGGACGGACGGGTGGGGCCGACGGCCGGGCGGGGCCGAGGTGCTGGCCGACGAGACGTGCTCGAGACGGGCTGGACATTTATTTTTCCTTGAACGGGTGTGTACACAACAGGGCAGGCTGATGACCGGGTGGGTGTGCTTGCGAAAGGCGGGAGTGTGTGCCTTTCTGCCTGTTGGATGATGCAGGCGAGCCACCAAGGATATGTTCGCCTTCGTTCTGCCGCAACCAACCGTCGACTGCACAGTACTGTAGACGGCGAGGCAGTGCGGCGGGCTGTGCCAACTACTTCCAGGCTCTGCCACTCGCCACAGTCAACCGGGCAGGCATCCGCGCAGGCATCCGCGCAGGCATCCGCGCATTAGCGTCCTCTTCCTTCGTACAGCACTGTAGTTCGTACCCGAACATGTGTTGGTCTCGTGCCGGCAGAGTCACCGGGCTCATGGAACCCGATGTGGGTCTCCGACGAGATGCCGTCCAGTGAGTGACGGCCAAGGGCGCTGCGTGCGCCTGCGAGGTGGCGAAGGGACTTGATGGTTGCTGTCGGCGGGGAGTGAGTCAACGGGCCATGGATGCATCATGGATGGATGGATGCATCAATGGGCTGAGTTGAGGCGCAAACCGACTGTAAAGGGTAGGGGATCAGGATCAGGAGTGGTTATATCCGTTCAGGAAATAATGTCCTCGTGTCTCCATCAAAGGAATTCGAGCAATGGCGTCTACAGTACTGCTACAGTATATCGAGACTGATGACGTGGGATAATCGCCATCTCCTCCCTCCACCATTCCCAGAACCCTAGATTTTCTCTTGGCAAAAACGTGTACTGTACGTAGATGTGAAGGCACAGGCAAATAAAGAACAAGAGCGCTCTGCACACCAAATCGGGACCGGGGGCGAGGGTGTGTCGGGAGCAACCGCACCTACGTCAGACTCTAGACTATTGGCTACCTTGATCTCGAGCCGGCATGGCAGCCTAGCCCTAGCTGCGTGCAGGACGAAGCCTGGAAGGGTCGGTGAGAATGGGCAAGAAGCCAAGGCATACAGACAGACTTGCGTTGCCAAAGTGCTTATAAAGGTGAAGAGTCGAAGACAAAGCACAGCCCGAGACTTGATCTTGACACCTCCCTCGGCTGGTCTGCCTCTTTCACCTCATCTCTCATCATACTGTATACCGGCAAGGCTTACTTTCCCAAGTCTTTGATCAGCTGGCGTGTGACCCAAGAGGCGCGTCAGTCGTTCGCCGTAAAGGCTCGAGGCCTGGCTTGAGGCTTGGGGTGCAGTCTCGCCGACAGAAACTCGCCACGCGCGCCCCTCACTCAACCTTCCACCCACAACATCCTCAGCATCTCGCCCACATGGACAGCCCCCAGCCCGGCGCGACGGCCTCGTCGTCGTCGGCCTCGCCCAGCGGCGTCTCGGGCGTCCCGTCGCCGCAGTTCGCCATCCTCAACTACTTCTTCCCCGGCTTCTCCGTCTTCAGCTCGGCCGCAAACGCCTACTTCGAGACCGACATCAACACCTTTCTGCCGCTGCTGCTCGCCGTCCTCGGCGGCGTCGTCGTCTGGACCCAGGCCCGCGACTCGCTCTGGAGCCTCGTCGACGACTACCTCATGTCGTCCGTGTGCATCCGCACCGACGACGAGGTCTACAACATGGTCATGCTGTGGCTGTCCAAGCAGGGCTTTTCGCGCAACTCGAGGCACTTTCTCGCCAACACGGACATTACCTCGCGCAATCGGTACATGTATCGCTATGCAGATTCGGATGACGAAGATGCGGACGACGACGAAGACGACGACGACGATGGCGGCGGCAAGGGCGCGGCCAGTCGCAGGAGAAAGGCGCTCCATTACACGCCGGCCTTCGGCTCGCACTTCTTCTGGTACAAGGGCCACCCGCTCTTCTTCGAGCGGCACAAGAACCGCGAGCAGGTCAACCTGCAGACGACGAGCGAGCGCGAGGAGCTCTCGCTGTGGTGCTTCGGGCGCAACCCGCGCATCCTCAAGGAGCTGCTGCTCGACGCGCGGCAGATGCACATGAGCAAGGACGAGCGCAAGACGCTCATCTACCGCGGCAACCTCAACGAGACGTACTGGCAGCGCTGCATGTCGCGCCTCAACCGGCCCTTTTCCACCGTCATCCTCAACGAGCGCGTCAAGAAGGAGCTGCTCGAGGACGCTGCCGACTACCTCGACCCGGCCACCCGCCGCTGGTACGCCAACCGCGGCATCCCCTACCGCCGCGGATACCTGCTCCACGGCCCACCCGGCACCGGCAAGAGCTCGCTGAGCCTGGCGCTGGCGGGATACTTTCGCATGAAGATTTACATTGTCAGCCTGAGCTCGGCGGCGGCGACCGAGGAGAACATCACCACGCTGTTCCACGAGCTGCCGACCCGCTGCATCGTCTTGCTTGAGGACATTGACTCGGCCGGCCTCACCCACACGCGCGACGATGCTTCCGTCTCGGGCAGCTCGCCCACGGCCTCGGCCTCGTCGTCTTCGTCCCCCGAGTCCGCCCCCCCGCCGGCGCCCCCGGCCGCGGCACAGAGTCAAAATGCACGCCCCCCGGCGCCGGGGGCTCCCGTCGTTGGAGGTCGTCTGTCCCTGTCCGGTCTGCTCAACATCCTCGACGGCGTCGCCTCTCAAGAGGGCCGCATCCTCATCATGACGACAAACCACATCGAGAAGCTCGACAAGGCGCTCATCCGCCCCGGCCGCGTCGACATGATTGTCCCCTTTAGCCTCGCAGACGCTGAAATGACGTCGGCAATCTTCCGCGCCATCTACGCCCCCTACGACAACGAAACGGTGTCGTGCCGCCGCCGCCCAGCGCCCTCGGCCAAGGGCGGCGGCGGCATCGGCACCGGGTCCAGCAGCACCGTCTCCGACGACAGCGAGGCCGAGGAGGAGCGGGCCGCGATCCGCGAGCGCGTCGAGGATCAGGCGAAGCGCTTCGCCGCCAAGATGCCCGAGGGCGAGTTTAGCCCGGCCGAGGTGCAGGGCCTGCTGCTGCGGCACAAGCGCAGCCCGGACGGAGCCATTGCGGCGGCCGAGGAGTGGGTTGCGAGGATGCGCAGGAACAAGAAGGAGCAGGCAGAGCAGAAACAGACCAAGGAAGCACAGCAAGAGCAGCCGAAGCCTGAAAAGTCGGATTCAGGGGAGTCGGACTCTGGCACGTCCGAGTCGGAGCGAGAAGAGGTCAAGGACAAACATGAAGTAGGTGGCGAAGAGGACAGTAAGAAAAGCACCAATTCGGAAGGGATCAAAAGCGAAGCTGAGATCAAGGTCAAGGTCTCTGAGGCAGCCAAGCCGTCGCCGGCCAATGCCAAGGGCCCGCTGGCGAGAGCGAGGTTAAAGAGCGCGTCGGACTCGGGGTACGACACGCCATAGTGGGGGCTCAAGTGTATGCATAGCGCCGGCGTTGCTGTCTTTTGAGACGTATAGAGCCTGTGGCGAGGGACATTATATCCACGTCATAAACTAGACGTTTTTGCCTGTTGGCCAGAGGCGTTCTGTGGTTGAACCGAATGATTCCTTGTCGAAGCACAACCGTAAGTGCTCTCGCTGGTGGAGGAGGACGAGCTGCTTCGCAAAATCGCTCGTCACGGCCACGCGCCAGCTGAGCATATGTGACTAGGATTAAACAGAGGGCAGAAAATGGCGCTGTCTTGCCGCCCTTGGACCGCCTCGTCCCCGCCCAAGTGCACAGATGGTCCTGGTCGGTCGTCGGAAGTCCGGGGCCCGCCGAGTTGTGTGGGGCCACTCGGCGACACATTCCCGGAATTCGGCGGCTGCGTTGAACTCTTCACAGCCCAGTTACCGGAGACGTGCTCGGGGACTCAGCACTTGGACCAGCACAAGACGGTGCAACATGGCTACAGGACACTCACTCCCCGATACAAGCTCAACGGGCGATGGGACCGACCTTGGCGTATATGCAAGGATATACATGCCCTCGGTGGGGAGGCTTGAGCGGTTATCCCCAAGGACCAAGCGGCGACTTTTGGTCAACGTAAGTGCGCCTGGTTTGATATCCAGTCACACACACCTGCATCCACCTAGGCGAGACGAGATGACGGCCGGTACGCAAAGAAGGCGCTTATCCGATAGATAGTGCAGCGTCAATGTCGGCAAGGGATATTGCATCGGTTGTCGGTCCTGGTTGGGCGTGTCTTGCAGTGCGTCAAGTGGAGAGCCGAGGGAATGCGTTGTCAGAGCCCAAGGCCCGTGGGATGATCAGATTCAGCATCTGTTCCATGAGCCGGCCGGCTTCTGCTTTTGGAGGATGGGAGGATGAAGGCACCCACAACACCTGGTATGCGTGTTGGCGCGAGACAATTGTGAGTATGGTGGGCCTGCAGACGCGGCGTACTATCAAGGTATCAATCAGTAGGGCATCGGCCGACCTCGTGAGACGAGGCTCAATGCGCGACGTTGAAGACTGATAAGATGTCTTGACCGAGTGGGGGCGCCGGTGTGTGTGGCTTAGTAAGAGGGGTTTTGGGGCCGATCATCGGACTTTGCCTGTTGGGGACTGGCAGTGACGCCCATGACTCCTGTACCAGGTACATGCACGTGCACCCAAGCTGTTTTGTGCACTGACAGGTCTCTGACAAGGTTCTGACAAGGTACAAAGTTACAGTCCCTATCCGTACACACTCCCGAAACTCCTGTCGAGACCCTAACAGCAATTAAAAAAAAAGGGGGGGGAGCGTGAGCTGTTTACTCCGTAAAGAGTCCCCAGGAACAGGTGAGAAGGATGAGACGACAAATCTGCTGCTTCCATCGAGTTTAATATCCCGCGCCCCTCTCTCCTTTCTCCATGCATGCATGCCCCTCCACCGCCCAGTGACGCTCCCCAATTGAAGTCTCTCCCACCCGGTATTTAAGGTACCTGACATTAGTAGTGCCTCCAGTGCCCTATTCCCATACCCCTCCCCCTCCAGCAAACGCGCCGCATCTTGGCCCGACCTCTTCTCTCTCCTTCAACACCTCTCTCTCTCTCTGCTGCTCGACCTTTCTCGCTCTTCACCACCACGCACCACCCCGTCATCATGGCCTCCAGACCTCAAAACGTTGGCATCAAGGCCATTGAGATTTACTTCCCCAGCCAGGTGTGTACAAGAGCGTTGCTCTCTTCCACGGCCGTCTGTGCCTGATTTGAGCGTCCCTCGCCTAGCTGCTCTCCCTCTCCTCTCCCCTTCGCCTCTCGCTGGCCAATCAAAGTCATATGGCTAACGCTCTCAATTCCCTCCCGCCTTGCAGTACGTCGAGCAAAGCGAGCTCGAAAAGTTCGATGGCGTCGCCACCGGCAAATACACCATTGGCCTCGGCCAGACCAAGATGAGCTTCTGCGACGACCGCGAAGGTGCGTTTGCCCCGACCATTGTCCTGCGACGTCTCGTCTGCTGACACCTCGCAGACATCTACTCCATGGCCCTCACCGTCACCTCGAAGCTGCTCAGCAAATACAACATCGACCCCAACTCGGTTGGCCGCCTCGAGGTCGGCACCGAGACCCTCCTCGACAAGTCAAAGTCGGTCAAGTCGGTCCTCATGCAGCTCTTCGGCGACAACACCAACCTCGAGGGCGTCGACACCATCAATGCCTGCTACGGCGGCACAAACGCCCTCTTCAACAGCGTCAACTGGGTCGAGTCGTCGGCCTGGGACGGCCGTGACGCCATTGTCGTCGCCGGTGACATTGCCCTCTACGCAAAGGGCAATGCTCGTCCCACCGGCGGCGCCGGCGCCGTTGCCATGCTCATTGGCCCCGATGCCCCCCTTGCCATGGACACGAGCCTGCGCGGCACCTACATGCAGCACGCCTACGACTTTTACAAGCCCGACCTGACGAGCGAGTACCCCTACGTCGACGGCCAGTTCTCCCTCACCTGCTACACAAAGGCCCTCGACGCCGCCTACCGCGACTACTGCCGGCGCGAGGCCAAGTCGACCACCAACGGCACCACCACCAATGGCACCACCACCAACGGCCATGCCGCCGGCGACAAGACGGCCTTTGACCGCTTCGACTACATGGCCTTCCACGCCCCCACGTGCAAGCTGGTGCAGAAGTCTTACGCCCGCCTCCTCTACCACGACTTCCTCAACAACCCCGACGCCCCCGTCTTCGCCGAGGTGGCGCCCGAGCTGCGCGACATGGACTACGAAAGGTCGCTGACGGACAAGCTCGTCGAAAAGACGTTCATGGGCTTGGCCAAGAAGAAGTTCCAGGAGCGCGTCAACCCGGCCATCCAGGTCGCCACCATGTGCGGCAACATGTACTGCGCCAGCGTCTGGGGCGGCCTGGCCAGTTTGCTGGGCTTTGTCGACAGCAAGGCGCTCGAGGGCAAACGCATCGGCGTCTTCAGCTACGGCTCCGGCCTTGCCTCGAGCTTCATGTCGTTCCGCGTCAACGGCAGCGTGGAGAAAATGGCCAAGGCACTGCAAGTTCCCGCGCGCCTCGAGGCCCGTCGCTGCGTGCCTCCCGAGACGTATGAGCAGGTGAGCATGATGCATCTTGGCACGTTCACGCGTTCACGACGAAGTATTTACTGACCGTCGGTGACAGATGTGCGAGCTGCGCAAGCAAGCCCATCTCCAGAAGGACTACACCCCCAAGGGCGACCCGTCGACCATTGTGCCTGGTACCTACTACCTAGACAAGGTTGACGAGATGTTCAAGCGCGAGTACAAGGTCAAGGCATAAGCAGAGGCCGAATTGACGACTGGGGAGGGAAATAATGACGACGATGGCCGGGTCTCTAGCGGCGGAGATTTGGGGCAATGCATGGAACATGACCTCATCGCAGGCTAGCCAAGGTCGACAGCTCCAAGGAAAGAGTCTGCATGGAGACTGGGTCCGATGAAGCAATTAGAGCAGCGGCGGTGTGCCTCGCGGGAAGGGTCTCTCTGCTTCTAATGGTCGAGCGCAAGGCTCGGCGGCACGTATTTGTGGAGTAATGGGCATTTACTCGCCGTTTGGAGGAAGAACGAGCTAGAGGGAGACGCCGATAGAAGAAAAGATGGGTGTAATTGTGCCTGGTCAGACTTTGCCATTCCGTGTATATGCTTTGTAGCCCCGAGTTTGCCATGTCATGCGTGTTACTTGTGGGAGTCTGCCATGTGGTCTGTCCATGGCCCCGACCAAACGCCAAACACCAAACGCCTCGCCTCGCCTTCGGACCATATGTGCGGGTGGAAGGGGAACGACGAGGTAGAGCAAGAAACAGTTACAAATAGCAAAAGTGGCTCTCACAGCTTGGCCTGGGCGGCGGGATGCACGCCCTCGGCGGCCTTGAGGGCGATGCGACGGCACACCTCTGCGTGGGAGACGTCGGCCAGGTCGTCGAAGCGCAGGGGATACTGGTCGAGGGAGCGGGCCTTGATGCCCGTGGCGGAGGACTGGATGCCGGCCGGATCATCGACGGCGGAGCGGATAAAGGCGGCCCACGAGTCGAAGCAGCGGCGGGCGGCGGGCGTGTGGGTCAGGACGAGGGCGAAGCAGTGCGGCATGGCCTCGTACTCCTCGTAGACGACGCGGACGCCCTGGCGGACGAGGTGCTGAGCGGCGAAGCGGGTCTCCCAGCCGAGCAGCTCCCAGCCGGCGCACAGATAGACGGGCGGGGCGCCGTGCCAGCGGGGGGCGGCGGCGGGCGAGGCCAGCGGGTGGGCGGCAGCGGCGGCGTGCTCGACGTACAGGTACTTGCGCGGCGGGTCGGCGGGCCACAGGCGGCAGGGGGCGGGCGGGCAGCGGGCGACGGTGGCGGGCTTGGGCAGGTAGTCGAAGGCGGCGGGGGCGTCGGCGGCGAAGGGCGGGGCGCTGTGCGTCAGGTCCATCCACGGCGAGCTGCAGGCGGCGGCGGCGGGGAGCGGGACGGTGCGGGCGGCGCCGTGCCAGTGGACGCGGGTGGTTGTGCGGCGCAGCTCGAGGAGTAGCTGGATGAGGGCGAGGCTCAGGTTGCCGCCGGCGCTGGGAGCGAGGTGTCAGCCAGTAGTAGTACCCATGGGTGAATTGTTTTTTTTTTTGGAATTGTTTTTTTCCTCAGCATACAAGCATACAGCATGCAGCATTCAGGTAGGGAGGTGGGTGGGTATTAGTCGAGGTCGAGAGTAGACAGTAGGGAGAGTAGATAGTAGAGGAGAGTAGACAGTAGAGGCGAGTAGACAGTAGAGGAGAGTAGACAGTAGAGGAGAGTAGGCAGTAGAGGAGAGTAGACAGTAGAGGCGAGTAGACAGTAGAGGAGAGTAGATTTTATACCCACCTATCGCCGGCAACCACAATGTGCTCGGCCCGCACAGGCTCGTGAAAGGCCCCCGGCGGCGGATACAGCAGCGTCAGGTACGACACAAAGGCGTCGAGCAGCGCCGCGGGGAAGACGTGCGCCGGCGCCAGGCGGTAGCGCACCGAGTAGCACCGCCCGCCCGTCAGCTTGGCCAGCTTCTTGGTCGTCGGCCGGTGCGACACGGGGTCCAACATCATGTAGGCGCCGCCGTGCAGGTAGAGCACCGTCGTCGTCGGGTGCCGGCACTCGCCCGTCAGCGCCTCGTACTTGGCCCGCTCCGACACGCCCGGCGGGGGGGAGTCGGGCTCCGCGCCGGCCCGGTAGCCCGTCCACTCGGCCTCGACGAGCGCGTAGTCGGGCATCCTGAAGCTCGGATCCGACCCGCTGCCATCCTCCCCCGCCGCGCGCAGCGACCCGAGCGCCGCCGCCAGCGCCTCGCGCGCCCCGTCCTCGGGCGGCGGCGGCGACGCGTACGTGCTGACCCAGATGCGGCCGCGGACGCCCGGGTCGCGCCGCGAGCTGCGCTGCAACGCCGAGATGGACTGCGCCGGGTCGGGCTCGCAGAGCGACCGCAGCACCGCCACCGTCACCGCGCTGCGCACGTCGAGGTGCGCCGACGTCTCGGCCAGGCTCAGCGCGTGCCGCACCGCTACCCGCACCATGAGCGGCACCCGCGGCAGCAGCAGCCAGAGGAGCCGGGCGTTGCGCCGGAAGGCCGATGGCGGCGGCTGCGGCGGCGGCGGCGTCGACGCTATGCTGGTCGTGGCCATTTCTCCCTTGCGCCCTGTGTATTCTCGTCCGTCCTTGTTGTTCTTCTTCTTCTCGCAGACGTTCGGGGGCCCCGTAGCGAAGGCTGCAAGCAGCAAGCGTCGTCGTCGTTGTCGTCTATTATCGTGATCGTCTCCGTTCGGCCAAGCGAGCTCAACGATGCAGCACGCACGCCAGGTACAGTTATAGGTAGGCCCAGGGCAGCAGTTTGCACAAATGGTAAAAGGAACGCGACGCCACACGGCCCCCTAACCGAACAAGTCAAGGAAAAATGAAACACAGGGAATAAGTATGCAGGAAGGAAAAAAGGTGACGTCTGCTCCCTTTCCTCCTCGTGGAAGTGGACTAAACGCAGCGGAACCGGCGCCGCAGCAACCAGCCCTCACCGAATCACGGCCCGGCGAACGGAGCGCCCGGACGAATTCCGTCGGCCCGGTCCTCTCTCTAAGCCGAGGCTGTCGATCGGTGGATCCCCCACCCCCTTCTGCGGAGTAAAGCCTCCAGGGCACAGGGGCTCGGGCCTCTGTCGAGGCGCAAATCCGTAACGCTGGCCTCCGAGCAAAGACCCCGTGGCCCCCATCTTGGAGAGCCGCATGCAGGCCAGCCTGCGCCATCATCAGCGTCACCAAGCTTGCCTCGTGCGGGATTGGTTCCGGCTTTTAACACGCTTCAAGCTAGTGTGCCATGTGGCAAGACATGTGCTCCGAGTCGCCCGTGCTGAGTTCCCGTTTCCGATACAAGAGCCCATGTTACTGTACAGTGCCTCCAACATGTGATCAGGCCCCCAAGCTAGGGGCTGCCGCTGGCCTCTTCCTGCGGCTCGCTGCCGTCCCCCTCTCCCGCTCCGTTGGTGGCGCCCATGCTGCTCGCCGCCGCCGCCATCTGCCACGCCGGGATCGACGCCCTCGCCGTCCCGTTGCTGCCGCCACCGCCGGATCCCAACGGCCTGCCGACGCTGCTTTGTGCCTGGCCCTTGCTGCTCGTGGCCTCGCCCACTGCCGCGTTGCCGGCGCTCTCCCCGGCCCGTTCGCTTCCGCTGGGAGTCCCCGCCCGCGGAGGATGGCTGGCTGCCGTCGTCGAGCCCGACGACATGCGCTGCTTGACGAGCGTCTTGAGGCTGGTGAGCTCGCTGTTGATTTCCTGCAGTCGGTTGTCCGTGACGTCTTTCTGGCTGTCCATGGCCTTGGGGATGGCATCCTTGAGGGCCTGCACCTCGTCGCGGATGCGCTGTGCGTCGTCTTCACGACGACGGTTCGCCGCCTTGAGATCGGCCATTGTCATCTCGAGGTCCGCCAGCGCCGTGTCCAGTCGCTCCGTCCTCTGCACCTCCGCCGTCTTGAGCGCCTCTGTATCCTTGGAAAGCTGCTCCACCAGCGCAAACGCCTTGTCGAACTGCTCCTCAATCGACTTCTTGTCCTGCTCCAACCTTTCAGGCGTGGGTGGTGCCACGAGCGGGTATACGTAGCGCTGCGCCGTCGTGTCAACTACACCTCGGTTCCTTGCGATGCGCGCAGAAACGGCATTACCTTTCCCAGAGAGTACAGGCCGTATCCCACGCCACTGACCACCGTCGCCATTATAAACCAGTCTCTCCAGTCCCTCCTGGGCGGCGGTAGCTGCTGCTGCTGCCACGCATATTGAGGATAGGGCTGATGGTATGAGGGAGGGGGCGCGGGCGGATAAGGCGCGCCGGGTGCTGGTGCCGGGTTGGCGCGGGCGAGAGCGGCGTCGACTTCTTCCTGGGTCAGATTCTTGGTTCGTAAAAAGGAGACCTTGTTCTCGACCGACGACGAGGCAACGCTGGGGTCCTGCAGAACTGCGTCGGGTGTTAGCTTAGCTCGGCTCGGCTCCTTGTCTCGGGGAACCAACACTGTGCCTGTGATGCGTCACAGCCGAGGCCGTTAGCATTGCAACGGTGAGGCGGCATGCGACGCCGGGGCATTGAAGCCGACTCACTGCCGAGGCCACCACGTCCTCGCGAATAGCCATGATGGACTTTAAGCTGCCCGCCGCATCACCGAACTGCAAACTTTGCGCTCAGTGGGTGGCGATAGTGGATTGCGAGAGTGACGGAGGTGGAGGAGGTGGCAGTTGGACTCGGCTGCGGTGGCTGGGCTGGACTTGGGCCGAGGCTGCTGATGAATGCAATTCTCGGTCTGAAAAGGGAAAGGCGAGAAGCCTTGCCCCACTTTCTCTCTTGAAGAACTCGGTCACGTGCCTCCGCGCCAGTCTCGCGCTCACAGGCAACTTGATTGTCCATAGTTATCCCTTCTGCTGCGGCGGGCATTATATTCTCGCATAGAAAGTACTTCGAGTGCCATGTTGCGTACATAGCCGCGAAGCGTGTGAGCTACCGCACGGATGCCGTCTCGAGCCTGCCTCGAGGTCATGCCCAAACAACAAAGATTCTGGTGGCCATCGTTCTCTTGTCAGCTGTAATCCGCGAAGAAGAAATCGCCGTTGCAATTTCTGTCCACGTGGGCTTTTGCACTGTACGTATTTGGGAGCATCGTCAGCAACTTAACACCCGAAGTGGCCTTGATGTTGAGGTCACGTGATTGGGCGGCGACGGCTTTCCACCAAAGCGCCAATATTCGCCCAATCACGTCTCTGCAAACCCCCGTTTGTTTACTTTCCTGCCGAGCAACGCAGCTTTCTCCCGCACCACCACAAGCCAACCGCCGCCCATTTGCTCCTCCCGAAGAGCGCACATCGTCTTCATCCATCGCCACGAAACAAATCAATCGTTCCTGGCCCGACACCACTGCCCCGGGAGCCTCTGCGCAATCAACCATGTCACAGGACACGGGCCTGTGGAGCGTCCGCAGACCCCGAGAGGTATGACCTGCCCTGTCGCTTCGCCAGCGCATGTAGACTGACGCGCCGCAGACCTTGGGAGGCCTCAGCATGAACACCGGCATTCCCGCACCCGGCTCGACCATGAAGCGCTCCAGCTCAAACAACCCCAACTACACGGGAGGCGGCCACGTCCGGTCCGTGTCGGGATCTAGACACTCCCTTGCCATATCGCGACCCAGCCAGCCTCTCTTTCATCGCTCGTCCTCGGGCACCAACCTCGCGGACCTCGGCCTCTCGTCCGTCAAGCGATCGTCCTTTCAGCAGCAAAAGGGCTCCTACGCCTCGGTCCCTCACACCCCCGCCAACCCGAGGGCGTCGATGGACGGCGCCGACAGGCGCAGCAGCGTCTACCGACCACGACAGTCGTCGAGTGGCGCCTTGGTTCATCACCAAAGCTTCTTCCAGACGACGCTGCAGCCAGCCGGTGTGCCGCGCGATCCCCGCCCTCTCAAGGACCGGTCTTTCCAGACCCGCATCGGACAAGAGCTGCTCGAGTACATGGCCCGTCACGACTTCGAGGCCGAGATGAACCACGTCTTGTCGCCCAACGTCATGAAGTCGCCTACGCAAAAGGACTTCAACTACATGTTCCAATGGCTCTACCACCGGATCGACCCCAGCCACAAGTTTCTCAAGAACATTGACCAGGAGGTGCCGCCAATCCTAAAGCAGCTCAGGTATCCGTTTGAGAGGAGCATCACCAAGAGTCAGCTCGCCGCCGTCGGTGGACAGAACTGGAGCACCTTTCTCGGCCTGTTGTACTGGATGATGCAGCTCGCTCAGATGCTCGACGGCTACACCGCCAACAAGTACAACGAAGCTTGCATGGAGGCGGGAGTCGACGTCAGCGGCGACAACATCATCTTTGGCTTCCTCAGCAGCGCGTACAGGGACTGGCTCTCCATGGACGAGGAGACGAGCGACGAAGACGCAGAGCGGGTGTTGGCCCCGCATGTCGAGGCAATGGCGGCGGCGTTTGAGCACTCAAGGTCACGATTCACGTCCGAGCTGGACATGCTCGAGGCCGAAAACGCCAGGCTGCTCAAGGAGATTGGTGATTTGGAAAAGTCGACGCCCGACCCGGCCGTCCTGGACAACCACTTCAAGATTATGGAAGAGGACAAAATCAAGTTTGAAGAGTACAATACGCTTGCGGTACAGAGGTCGGAAAAGTACGAGAGTCGCATTCAAGTCCTCCAGGAAGAACTTGACAAGCTGGAACAGGAGCTGAAGGAGGCGGACGAGGAGCGACGGGGTCTTCAACGGTCGGTGGACGCTCAAGGCATCAGCATGCAGGATATCGACCGCATGACGGCTGAGCGGGAGCGTCTACAAAAAGGCGTCGAATCGGCGAGCCAGAGGCTGGACGAGGTCAAGAGAAAAGTGGCCGAGAGGGAGTCGGAAGCAAGCCGGAAGCTCGACGAGCTGGAGCGAATGGTGGACAAATACAACACGCTGGCTTATCAAATTGCGCTCATCCCGGCGACAGCGGCCAACGCCAAGGGCCGCGAGTACGAGCTGCAGGTCATGGTCGACGACGGGTCCGAGTTCGGCTCGTCCAACCTCAAGGGCTCGGGCGGCGCGCCGTCGTCATCGGCAGAGCGCCTCCTGGCCGACGCCACCACCGGCTACCAGCCCGGGCACATCCTCAACCTGGACCTCCGGGGCCAGATTCGGAGCAGCTGCTCGGCGTTGCGCAAGGAAATCTCGGAGCGTCGGAGCGCGGCCATGGACGACATGATGAAGGACCACGAACTGCTCGACGGCATCAAGGAGGCCATCGAAGACAAGCGCAGCGAAGTCGAGGCCCTGAACCACCGGGTAAGGGCGGCGGAGGAGGAGTACGAGAAGACCCGGGAGGTGACAACGGCGCAGAAGATGGCGTCGGACGCGCAGATTGAAAAGATGGAAAAGGAGCTGTCGAGAATGCGCGCCGGGCTGAGCGAGTCGGTGCAGCTCATGGAACAGCGCGAGATCAACACGACGATTGAGTACGCCGCCGTCCATGAGCGCGGACAGAGTCAGCCAGCTAACAGTGGTCTCCTTTAGGTACGAACAGCTGGTGCTGCGGGCAAGCTCTCTGCGGGAGGAGCTGCATACGGAGATTGACCGGATACTCAACGACGTCATCAAGTTCAAGATTCACATCCAGAAGAACCTGTACGAGTACGAAGGCTTCGTCACGGACGAGCTGGAGAAGGAGCTCGGCGTGGATGAGGCCAAGGACGACACCCAGGCCATGGATGCGTAAAGGGCATCTCTGGCGAAATACAGCACAGACGGGCTGGCGATGATGACAGTTGGGCTGGGAAACGACGGCATTGTTGGCGTTGGATGATGAAGCATTGTGGGAAGCGGTGCGAAGGATAATGGCGGACTGGAATACCACTTTGATTTAGCAGGCACGAGTCATGAATCTTACGCGTACACTGTCGTCGGCATGGGCTGGTTGTGGGCATGGCGTTGTGGGCATGGCGTTGTGGGCATGGCGTTGTGGGCATGGCGTTGTGGGCATGGCATTGTGGGCATGACAGTCGCGAGAATGATGGCGTGAGTGGATGTCGGTGGTTGGTGAATCCGCTGCACGTGACCCAGGCGTGACTCCCGGCGCACCTCAGCCTTGTCGCTCAATGTGGGGCGCCTTTCCTCTTTTAGCCATTTCGCCCCCCCATCTCTTTTTTTTTTCTCTTCCCTTTCCGCCTCTTCACCTTGTCGCCGTTCCTCATCGCCAACTTTTACGCCTCCCTATTCCCACGGGCAGTGAACCTTTTGCAGGCGAGCCTTTTGGCACATCACTACTATGGAGGAGGAGAACGCAGGTAAGAAGACGACTGGCCCTTGCTTCCGAAAACCTGGATGCGGCGCTGACTTTACCGTCTGCAAGCTTGGCCCTTGGCCGACAGCACCCTGACGCAGGAGATTCTCGACCTCTTGCAGTCGGCGGCGCACATTCGCCAGGTAAAGAAGGGTGCCAACGAAGGCAAGTCTCGGTTCCCCGCTCACCTCCGCGCGACAGCATCTGACGCCGTCGACGCAGTGACCAAGACGCTCAACCGCGGCACCTGCGAAATCGCCATCCTGGCCGCCGACACGGCGCCGCTGGCGATCCTGCTGCACATTCCGCTGCTGTGCGAGGACAAGGGCACGCCCTACGTCTACGTCCCGTGCAAGTCGATGCTCGGCCGTGCCTGTGGCGTCAGCCGCGCCGTGATTGCCGCCAGCATCACCTGCAACGAGGGCAGCGAGCTGGCCGGCCAGATCAAGGCGCTGCGGGACAAGGTGGAGCGCCTGGCCATCTGAGGGCGGGTGCCGGTGGGTTGGTGCACGGCTATATTTGGGCTGGTCGAGTTGTGCGGTGTCGGGGTGGGTGGCTTTGCACAGACGCGGGTCCCCGGGATTGCGGACTTGCTTTTTGTTCGTAACGGTTTGATTGTTTGAACCAGGGACAGCCCGCGAGACAACTAGCCAAAACAGCTGAGCGGCCGAAGCCTTGTCGTCTGCCGCCACGAGGAGCAGTTGATGCAAGCGTTGAGCCGTGTCTTTGTGCATAGATTACCCCTTCGGAGCCGGCATCGGGATTCAACGGCTTCCGCTCGAAAAGATATGCGTACACCCCCCGAGACGCCGGCGAATCAGCGATGCGCAAGCCGTGCCGCTGCAATCTTCTTTTGCTGGGGGTCAGGAACATGGTCATCTGCTCGGGGCCTCGACCGAGGGGCCTCGACCACCGCTCGGTGGTAAGTCGCCCAACAAACATGTGTCTTATACTCTGTCGCTTCCGTGAAATGATGTGCCGGACTCTGGCGCGCCCTGGCACGACCCCGTGTCCTCGGCAGCTCCGCTCCTCCGCCCCCTCCCCATGATGCAGGGCGACGCTAAAGCATGCCTTGCGGGCGCATGCAATAGTCCCGTTGCAAGGATCCCGCCCGACGCCATCGCGAGAAGTCGTCGTCCGGCACCGCCGGCTCCAGTAGGCTCGAGCGCTGCTGCTCCCCTTCTCCCCTTTGCATCATCCTACATTCCTGCGTCTTCTTGCTCGACAGATGACCGCTCATATATACGGACGCTCCTTCTCCCCTCCTCCCCTCTCCTTTGTTGGCCTTTCTTCCTCCTCCCCTGCCTCTGCATATGCCGCGGTTTGTGCGCCGGCAGATCGCTAGGCTCTGGCAGAACATGGCCGCGTCCGGCACGAGCACCCCTCTACGCGCCGCTCAGATGGAGTCGTCGACGGCCCTCGCTACGCCGCCCCAGGCCGGCTCTTCCTCCTCGTCCAAGGCGAAGACGACGACGACGGCCATGACCGTGTCCAAGGTCCCCGGCCGGACCAACATGCCGGACGAGGCGGCCTCGAACCCGCACTACGTGGTCAAGCGCGGCGTCGTCAAGGGCTTCAAGAACCCGTATCCGTCCTTCTCCAACTCGGTCGGCTTCGTGTCGCTGTTCCGGAACGTTGTCTGGTACGCCGAGTCGACGCGTGTTGCTTTGGTAGCTGGACTGACGCAGCGGCGGGACATGGCAGGCCCCTCCTCACCGGCCGCCTCAAGCGCCCAGACACGCGGCCGCCCACGGTCCCCGTCGTCAAGCCCGAGTGGCTGCCCGGGCGGCGGCGCGACGGCCCGGGCAAGCTGCGGGCGACGTGGCTGGGCCACGCGTGCTACCACGTCGAGTTCCCCTCGGGCCTGCGCGTCCTCTTCGACCCGGTCTTCGAGGACCGCTGCTCGCCGCTGGCCTTCATGGGCCCCAAGCGCTACACGCCGCGCCCGTGCGACCTGGCCGACATCCCCGTCGTCGACGCCGTCGTCATCAGCCACAGCCACTACGACCACCTGTCGCACGCGTCGGTGCTGGAGATCCAGCGCCGCCACCCGCGCGTGCACTTCTTCGTCGGCCTCGGGCTCGAGAAGTGGTTCCGCGCATGCGGGCTGAACAACGTCACGGAGCTCGACTGGTGGGAGGACGTCGACCTGACCCTCCGGCTGGGCGACGAGGAGGAGCACGACGAGGGACAGCAGCCCCAGGAGGGGGAGGCGGCGGCGGGTGGACGGCGACGTGAGGCCATCTCGGCGCGCATCTCCTGCCTGCCGTGCCAGCACACGTCGGGCCGGTCCGTGCTGGACCGCGACGCGACGCTCTGGTGCTCGTGGGCGGTGCGCTCGGGCGACAAGTCGGTGTGGTTCGGCGGCGACACGGGCTACCGCTCCGTCCCGCGCATCCTCGCGCCGCTCGCGGGCGCCACCGACGACAACAGGCCCGTGGCGGCCGACGACTCCGACTACGGCCCGGCGCACGAGGCGCTCCCGCGGTGCCCGCAGTTCCAGCAGATCGGCGAGCTGCGCGGGCCCTTTGACCTCGGGCTGATCCCCATCGGCGCCTACCGCCCGCGCGCCGCCTTCTCCGCCGTCCACGCCGACCCGCACGACGCCGTCGACCTGTTCCGCGACACGCGCTGCGCCGCCGCCCTCGCCATGCACTGGGGCACCTGGGCCCTCACCCTCGAGGACGTGCTCGAGCCCCCGCGCCGCCTGCGCGAGGCCCTGGCCCGCCGCGGCATCCCCGAGACGGGCGTCTTTGACGTGTGCGACATTGGCGAGAGCCGCGAGTTTTGACGCCCCTCCCCCGGTTGCTTCCCGTCGTCTTTTTCGCTCCTTTCTTCTCCCCCTTGTCGTAAGTGTTGCCCGCCCTCCCTTGGCTCGCCTCGCCCTTCATCGGCCCGCGCTTTTGAGACGGGCATATATAGCAGCCCGGGCGTGGGGCACGCAGACGAAAGTGAGGAAGACAGGCCCTCGTCTAGAAGCCGTTTCTTCATTCCCAAGGAGTCCAAGGGCGGCCTTCCCCGGGTGGTTGGTCGTGCGTCCGGGTCCGGACCGAAAGGCGGCGCGGGCCAGGTTCGCCGAAGGAGAGGCGCCGGTACCGTCTTGGGACCAACGTCCCATGGGCTTGTCGGCACTGACATGCTTGCTCGTGCTCTCGTCGCCGCATCCGCAGATACGATCCCGTGCGCGTGCCACAGCATCCTGTATATATATCTCTCTCTATGCGCGTCCGTGAGAATAAATGAACAGTACGTGAGCGGCCATGCCGACTATCCATAGTCTCAAGCATGCATCCCTAGTCGCATCTGCCGTTTGTGCTGCCGTGGCCTTTTCCACCAGTCTCACCGACCGTTCAGCCTGTCTCACGAGGCGGGTCTCATACGAGCACCGCTGCCGGTTCTCCCTCGCGTGCTGTGCTCGCGTCTCTCCAGTCACACCGAGGCAGAGACTCGGCACTTGATTGGCAGACGCCGTCGATGCAGTCTCCCGCTTCGGGCACTTGGGACGGAAACACAAAGAACAGAGGCAAAGTAGCTCTCGACTCGCGAGTTTGTCGGTTGGGAATAAAGTCAAATCATCTCCCATTTGTGCAGTTTCTGAACGTAGACCATCGCCGCTATGCAAGAGTCCTCCTGGACGGGGCAATTACTCGTGCTGCCAACCCCTCCGCCGGCCTCTCACTGCCGGTGATCTTCACCCGCGAATCCGGAGGGGATGCGCCTCGGTGTTGAACACAAACTTGCTCTTGGCGCCGCCCTGCAGCTGCAGCTGCACCTCGGACTCGTCCGCAAATATCAGGTACAGGTACTTGAGCGTCTCGGCCATCCAGAAGCTCTGCATCTGGTCGTAGAAGCCCCCGCCATCGGGCTGCATCACGTCGCGGAGCTCCGCGTACCCGCTGCCCGTCCGGCACGCCTTGCTGATGCTCCCAAACGCCTGCCACGCCATTTTCTGCCACTTGTCGTCGCCCGTGAGTCTGTACGCGTAGTATATGCTCTCAAGCGTCTCGGGCCGCAGAATGTACGAGCCCGCCGTCGTGTAGAAGCCCGACTTCTCGTAAAATTGGCGCTGCGACTGGGGCGGGTTGTTGTTGCCGCCTCCCCGGGGCAGCGTCGCGTCGACCCAGCTAAACACCTCAGGCCCGATGCCCGAGGGAGACTGACGATAATTGTTAAAGTACGACTCGGCCAGCTCGAGCCCAAACTTCTTGTACTTGGCTTCGTTCAGGACAACGCCGCCAAGGATGAAGCTGCCTCCGGCGAAGCTTGCCACTATGGTTTTCTACATTAGCGTCCGTCCCGGGCTTCAAAAGAAAATAGACGACCGAGCCAAGGGGCACGTCGTTAAGGGGGAGGTATTGGAGGGCGTGTCTTCAGTGACAACAGCAGCGGCACTTACAATGAGTCGAAACGGGATCCAGGGTCTGCCCAGAAAACTGTGACAGATACGTCAAGTCCTTGCGACTCGTCGGGTGCGATGCCAGGTGCTTCATGGTCGAGTCCGCCGCCAGCACCCATCTCTCCTTGTATTCGCCATAGGCCTCGGGGTCGTACTGGTACATCTTCATGAGATACTCGTAGAAGCTGTCCGTGCCGCCCGACCAGCCGCCGTCGCTGTTCAGGAAGCTGCCGTCCGCCGTTGACAACGTATTGCCGACCAGGCCGGGCCAGGGCTCGGGGCTGCCACGGGGCCGAAGGAGATGAGACTCGGCCCTGTCGACCAGCTTGGCATACTTGGGGTTGCCTGTCAGGTCGCTGAGCCGCGTCCACTCCAGCACAAGCGTGCCGGCCTCGGCGAGGCTGTTCTCGTTGCTGCCGCTGGTGCGTTTGGAAGGATTGAGAAAGACGGCCGAGTCCGGGATGCCGCTCGGAGTGTCAAACGCAAAGCTGAGAGTGTCGGCGAGGCTCTCGGCCTGCTTCAGGAGTGTTTGCACCTTGCGAGAGTCAAGTTTGAGGTTCCTCATCGGGCCCTTGAGCAGGTCGTAACCTACCACGGCGGTCAGCGGGCGCAACAAGGGAGAAAGTGCAAGATGTAAGCACGGCGACCATACCAGAGATTAGGCCGCCGAGATAGCGGATGTTGGTCTCGAAGAGCGAGATCCGGTCGTCAGGCCTCGCCGTGGTGGTGAAGTCGATCTTGGCGATGTGATCCAGCATCCGGTGGATGATGCCCGTCTCGCCCATGATAATGGCCGTCGAGAGAGCATCCACCACCGTCACTCCCCAGCCGTTCCTGTGGACCTCTCGTCAGTCATGCATTTTTTGTGGCCATAGAGCAAGGCCCACACCCACCGGTCATCCTCGAACCCGTTGCTCACTGGGTGCAGAGTGTCGTGGGGGAACGAGTAGTTGTAGTAGCCCTCCCACGAGATCTCGAAGGCGCGCTTGACGGCCTCGGCTTTTTCTCTGTCATGCCTTGGCCGCCTTTCAGCAGCGCTCGCAGCCGGCGACGGAACGGCCAGCACGGTGGTGGCCAGCTCGAGGAGCAAAAGGGAGCCGGTAGTGAACCGCATGATGCTGCAAGGTCCCCGGGTGGGCAGCTCGCTCTGGTACGACAAGCAAAGGTCCGGTCGACGGTCGGCGTGGTGCTGTCCGCCAAGACAAGAGCGCGGGCGACGAGACACGGCCTTTTATTCCAGTTCAAGGGGGACGCGTAGCACGCGTCGGATTCCGGCACGGCAGCGGCTGTGGTATTCTAAACGTTCTACTAATGAGAGTCCAAGACATTGGTGGTGGGCCAAGGAATTGAATAACCCCCTGCCGTCTAGCTTTTCCTTGGAGGGCTTGCGTCTTTAACTTTCCGAGAGCGCCGTGCGTCTACATCACCAGAGACCACCTGCATGATGCATGATGAGTATGTAGGCTAAAGGATTGCAAGCTCTGGCGCAAGCGGCACAGGGAGGCGGCAGGTGACACATCAAGGCCGGGTCGGCATTGTCTCGCAGCACAGCGGCGCGCGCCGCGCATGCCGTGTCGGCCCTCGTTGGCGGGAACAAGACGTTGCTCCCTCGCGGCGGCAGGGCCGTGGAGATGGCTCTCCTTAAGCTGCTCATGGACGCGGTGCTTGTGATGAAGTGGCATGCGACCGCGCAGGTCAGGTCCGGAATCTTTGGAGGGTGCCCACGTCGGGTAACCGGGATGGCAATATCTCCTGCCATCATCTGATGAGATCACAAAGTTACCGCTGTGATCGCTCCCCCCGGTTGACCAATGGCGGGAGGCGAGTGAATCGGGTCGGCTGTAACCCTGCGGGCGAGCTCCTGACGATCAAAATAGCGCTTTACCCATTGAGAATAGCGTCAGCGATGGAAGAAGCGCCGTTTCTCTCTTTTTTCCTCTTCAAGAAGCCTAAAAGCAAAGCACGCCGACGTCACACTGCGGACTGCCGTCGCGAAGAAGCGGCATCGCATCGCCGGGCAAGCATTCGGCGAACGCGTGTTGGAGAGTTTGCGGGCGCCTCCATCGTACTTCGTATTCGCATTTGCTTTTGCGAAGCCGGCCACTATCAATCTCAAGCGTGCGATCCAGCGAGGCACGCCCGAGACAAGCGCTTGGCCAGGTCATCCTGCACCGCGGGGAGCATGACGGCAGGCCACCGGACAAGCCATGCATGACGGTGTGATAACTTGTCCACGAACTCGCTGGCCACAAGCTAGTGTGGCATGGGCTTTCTCATATTGGTCGATCCCTCGCATATTCCTCTCTACATGGAAGAGCGCGGCTGTAGGAATGGCGTCGCTCAGCCCTAGCAATGCAGTCTGTATTCCCTCGAGTCCAGTCTAAAAGCCTTCCGGTGCGGGGATCCGTGGGGAAGGCTTGAAGAATGACCCGCTAGCTGCTGAGCAATGCCGGCGGCCGAGAGTGGGCAACACTCGGGATCGGAGCTCCGGCGACGTGGCCGGGCTATAATAGCTCTGCAGCAAATTCGCCGCTCATTTCAGAGGTCCAGCCTTCTGTCATGGTGCAAGTCGACTTTCCGATGCCCGCTCACGTGAAATACTTGCGTGTGAATGAATGTCTTGGGCAAGCTGACTTTCGTCACTCAGCCATTCTCGCGGAGCCTGGCCAAGGCTGCTGCAACACCCCCACTCATGGCTTCTTGACCGTCGGCTGCGCGATCTGGACCAGCAGGCTGGGCAGTCTTTCTTGACTCTTCCAAGGCCGCGGCGAGTAGGGCCTCGTCATCTTCACCGTCGTCGTCGAGGAACTGAAACTGCTTCGGCGCGACTCCGTCTTGCGTGCCCTGATCTGCCGGCAGGCTTCCGGATGGCATGTCTCTCAGGGGAACCCGAGACAGCGGCACAGCCTGCTCCAGTCTCGATGCACCTTCTCCCACGATCCGTCCGCTCGACTGCTCTCCTCGGGGCCGATCCCCAGACGGCTGCATGCCCCGTTTGGCCGCCTTTTTGGCCCGGAAGGGTTCGTCGATGGCGGCGCACCACCTCTTGACCTTGACCCCTCCCCACCCGTTGAGCATGCCGAGCTGCTCGGGCTCGGCATTGACAGCGTTCTTGAGGCTGCCAAAGTTGGCGACCAAGGCGACGGCGTCGGACTTGTTGAGGCTTCTGGGCACGGTGACGAAATCGACAAGTCTGTCCGCGTAGGTGGACGCCTGCTGGCCACGGATGGCTGCAAAGCTGGCGTTTTCGTACGACTTGTACAGCTCGATATATCGCGCCGCCTCGGCCGCCGACCAGCACAAGATGATGGTGACATTGTTGACCATGGACGTCTTGGAGAGTTCGCGCAGCGAGTCTTCGTGGTTGGGAATGTCCACCATGGTGAGGAGGACACGGAGGTTGTATTTGCCCTGCAGGTTCCGGATTCGTGTGTAGATGTATTCGGGGTGCAGACGGTGATACTTCAGACTGTCCGAACACCTTGTCAATGCCACGCCGCGAACCCTTGATGTTGCTCTCGCATTCGAGAGGGGTCTCACCTCAAGAAGAGGGCGCAAGTCGTGATCCCCAGAACGTAGTCGGCCGGAATATCGCTGTACTCCCACGGCATGGATCTGACGCAAGTCAAGACGGGATTGCCGCGCTGCCGCGGAGAGACGAGAATCGTGGAGCCAGACTGCCTCTGGGGCAGAGCCTGCGGCACCGGCTGCACGAGGACCTTGCTCGCGGGAGACTCGCTGGGGGGTGCTCTATCGAGGCGCTGCATCTTTTGCGGTACGGGCTGCCGAATTGGCGTCGTCGTCGACGGTTGAGCTGCTGCCGAGGCAGGCGGCCGTGGCCTTGGCGCATCGGCCGCGGCTGCCATGGCGGCGAGGAGCGACTCGTCGGCGCCGTAGTCGTCGTCCATGTCGTCTGCTCACTATCCAATGGCGAGTTTGGTGCTGCTGCAGCGCAAGCTCATGAGGAGTGTTGGTTTCGAGGAGCGTGGAATGGAGGGGGGACTTTTTCTAATCAGTGACGCGAGGCGAGTCCGCCCACCGCGCCTTCCACCAAAGCCAGCGTGCGTCATCTCACCCACCCGCCATGGGCTTACCCTATAGCATTTCGACTGTCGTGAAATCTTCGGCATTATACGCAATCGAGACAGATCATGATAATAACTAACACAGCTGCTTCAATGGTTACGAGGCCAAGATAGTATACATGTCAAATATTCATCACGCTATCGCCAGTTTGGCGGTTATGCATATCTATGTCGCCATCAAGGCCAAGTATCGTATCCTGAGGTATCTCATACATTTAAAGTCCTCCACCTGGGATTTGCCAAAAACCACGCCTGCACTGGGAGTGGCCCCCCCATTTGCTTGGTGTAGCGGTATTTTTACCAACTCGACACCACCTACCCTTCTCCATCAAGCACTCGTCACCCGTCAACTCAATCACCGTACTCGCTCTCGCTCATCGCCGCCTCGTCAGCCAGTTCCCTGTGAATGGCGTGCAGCGCCTTGAGCCAAGAGTCAATGGCCTCCTTGGCCTCCTCATTACCCGGCCCCGTGGCCGCAATCTGATGCCGCAGCCGCTCGTAGGCCTCAATCATGACCCAGACTTGCAGCCCAGAGGCGTCGGACTGTTTGGTCATCGCAGATGAGAGCTCCCGCGTCAGCAGGTCCAGGCCGATGCTGAATCTCAACGTCGCCGGGCCAGGCACCTCACCATCTGCCTCCTTGCCCTTTGGCGGCGGCAGAGGCGGCGGCGGAGATGCCAGCGGCGACCAGGCGGCGGACTTGCAGAATGTCGTGTCCTCCACCAGCTCCTCCTCCAAGGCAACCAGCGTCCCGTCGTCGGACAGGAGTGACGGCGCCAATCGGCTGCATCGCCGATAGTCCCGAGACTCGAGCGACGTGCTTCGACGATGCTCTTCCGGAGTCTGACTGACGATAGGCTCGTGGCCAAACTCAGCGCTGGCCTCGGGCCGGGTGTCGTCGGCGTCGTCCTCCGGGACATCTGGGTAATACACCAGCTCCCGATACTGGCGCGCAATGGTGCTGACGCTCGACATCCTGTTGAGACCGGTGGCCCCTTGTTGACTGTGCCTGGCTGCCCGCTCAAGCTGCCCGATCTGATGCACGGGGGTCTTGGCCCGTCTTCTGAAAATGGAGATTGGCCGTGCGGGCGGAATGGCCAGAGCGTGCTCTTCTTCATCCTCGTCACCATAGTTGACGGGTGAGAGCTCAGGAAGTAGATCGGGTGGAGGAGGTGGCGGCGCCCTGTCTGGAGAAGGAACCGGGGCAGATGAATACAGATGATGCAGTGAAGGAGGAGAAGGTGCCCTGCTCCGCGGAGGATGCCGGGGAGGTGAATACGGATAGTAGAGCGAAGGAGGAGGAGGTGCCTTGTCCGACGAAGGATGCCGGGGAGGTGAATACGGATAGTAGAGCGAAGGAGGAGGAGGTGCTTTGTCCGGCGAAGGATGCTGGGGAGGTGAATACGGATGGTAGAGTGACGAAGGAGGACTAGGAGCAGATGGCGGCGGCGGCGGCGGCGGCGGAGCTCTGCTCGGCGGAAGGACCGCCATCGGCTCAACTGCATGCTCCGAGTGGCTCCTCCTGACGCCGCGGTCCCGTGCCGAATTGTCGTCTCGGCTCCCCAGGGGGATAGGATTCGCCGGGTTGCCGAGCGCGCCCATCTGAAAGCCCGCCAAGCGGATGACGGCGCTGAGATCGCTCTTGCTCCAGTCCTTAAACTCGGACGACGGAGACGACGGGCTTTTCGAGGACGACGACGACGTCGGCCACAGCCTCTGCAGCTTGCCCCTGGCGGGCTTGAGGCTGGCGATGCTCATGATGGATCGTCGGTGCTGGCTGCTTTTGGTTGTCGTCGTCGGCGACGTGCACATGGTGTAAGTGGGCGACAGCGAGTCGGCCGCCCCCGCCGGTCTGAGCCCGCGGCTGTGCGTCTCGAGCGATGGCATGCTCTTCCTCATGATGCAAAGCAAGCATACAAAATATGTGGTGGAGGAGAAAAAGCTTGGATGAGAGAAGGGGTGGGACTCCGACTCCGACTCCGACGGCGCCCTTGAGATGAGAAGTGTCGACGAAAGAAGAACCAGAAATTTGAAGGGAGGCGCCCACAGCTGACCTTCTCTATTCAAGGGAAGTGAGAAATCCATCAGCGGCCCGTCGTCCAGCATTATATCCGGGCGAATCCCAATCCCCCTCCCCGGCGCTCAGCACCGCCCCGCTGCTGAGCGCCGCAACACGGCGGCTGCGTATATGCAAGCCATTACAGTAGCACAGGCTTCCGAGTTTTGCATCCTCTCGTGATTCGTACCCTTCGCGCTCAGCCCCAGACACGCGAAACCCGGGCCCCCCCTCCCTCCCAGTCAGCCTCCTCGCCAGCCATGGGAGGAGGGGGGACCCTTGCATGGATGCATGATCTGCCGCTGATGGGCGAAACTCATCAGGGAAGCGGGGGCGGAGATGGGCGGGGCCGCCCTTCTCGCCGTGTTCTAAAAAAAGAGCGGGAGAGAGAGAAAATCATGTAAAAAGGAAAGAAGGTGGATGGGCTCACCGAAATGGAGAAGAGGGTTGTTTGATCCGACACATGTGGAGAGAGAGAAAGGCGTTTGGTAACAGATAAACGCGTACGACAAAGACGCACGCTGCACACGTAATCACCCATTCGCTCACATCAAATCCACACACACAAATAACCACGCCCAGGGCGCAATCCCGCTCGCCTCCCTCATCCGCTACGCGCCTCCCTTGCCAAGCCGAGCGTGGCGGTGCTTCCAAGTTTTTGTTCGCGAGGTGGCTTATTGTTGGCCGGCCCCGCCCAACGCCGGCCCGGGCTGATGTGGGGCGTAAGGGTGCGGGGATGCTTTGCCGCTCGACCCCGTGACCGGCCCGCCGGACGCCTTGCCGCCAATAAGGGCCCTCCCTGAGCATACGGGCTACGTACAGTGCAGAGCAAGCACAAATATACGGTACTTCGTACTTGGAAGAGCAAAAGAACAGTGTCGTAGTCAACCAAGGATAAAGACGCTTCAATGCATGAAAAAATGAACAAATGGTACTCCGTATAAATCAAGAGCTTGGTGCACCGTCTCGACCGAGGCCGAGGGAGAAATATACAAAAAAAAGGCTGGACCAAATCGCCATTCGTTGCATCTTGATGAGAACCTCGCTCGCAACCGTCTCTCCGGACCGGCCGTCGACGGGATGCAACCCCCCCCCCCCTTGTCAAGAAACACAAGGACGAGAAGAGAACTAAAACGAAACGAACATGTCGGCGCAGCATTTTCCGTTTCCAAAACTCCCTGGCCCTTCGCCATTGTCCGCTATGTTCGTCCTTTCCGGCATGTCCTACTTTTCGAAGCCGAGCGTAGCTTCACCGTCGACCCGCGCCGTTATACGCCAGCAGGTTGGCCGTATCCTCGGGCTCGTCTTCAATGGCATTTTGGACCGCGAGCCTCTGAATACGGCGGCAGAGAGACATGATGCCGTTGGCGCCCCGGAGGGCGCTGAGGTAGGCGGCGAGACCGACCACGTGAGGAGTTGCCATCGAGGTACCGGTCATGGTCGTCTGCGTTGATCGGAGCAATGTCAGCGACTTTCTTGCTTTGGACACGAGTGCGAGAGTGGGAGTGAGAAACGTACAGTACCACCGCCCGCGCGGAGAGAGAGGATGTCGACCGCAGGGGCAAGAATGTTAACAGCGGAGCCCCAGTTGGAATTATTGTAGCGCGTATCGTCCTCTGCCGTGCCTCCGACGGTGCACACCGACGGCTCCGAGGCCGGGGAGAACTTGGATGCGTCCTCGTCTTCGTTGCCGGCGGCGACGCCGACAAAGACGCCGCTGCGGACAAGAGCCGCCGCGGCCTGGTTGAGGGCGTCCGAGGACTCGCCACTGAGGCTCAGGTTGGCGACGACGCCGTTAGGACACTGCCGCTGATCTTTGTCCTTGACCACATACTCCATGCCGGAGATGATGGCCGAGTTCGGGCCGGAGCCCTTGTCGTCGAGGACCTTGACCCCAAATATTTGCGCCTTCTTAGCGACGCCATACGTCGTGCTGCCGATGGTGCCCGCTACATGCGTGCCATGCCCGTTACCGTCGCTCTCTTGGCCCTCGATGAACGAGACGATCTGCTTGGCTCGGCCGTGGAAATCCTTTCCTCGGAGCGTAAGCCTCTGCCTCTCCCCATCCAGGGCGTGGACGCACCTGATGGGAATCGTCAACACCCGTGTCGAGGACATAGGCACACGTCCCTTGGCCGGCGCTTTCGTCAAAGTTGTAGACGGTGGAGCCAGGCTTTTGGTTGGAGATGCGGCCCAAGCCCCATGGGGCATCTCGCTGTGAGAGACCGCTGATTGTGGAAAAGCCGTCCATTTCGACATACTCGACCTTTGTTGTTGAAGGAAACAGCCCTATGTCAGCGGACACAGACGAAGAGCAGGGTCATATTGCAGCCGCCTCGGAGACGAGCCTGTTCTCACCTCGGGATGATCTCGAAGGGCGCTAAGGGTTATCTTGTCCAGGTTCGAGGCAAAGCCCTTGAACATGTTGCGGTAAATGTGATCAGCACTGGCGGACATACCGCTAATGGCATCCTCGAGGACCGACACCTCGCAACTCTCCTTGAATTTGACGATGTACCGGTCGGAGATGACGTTGGCGTGGCGGGGGACTATGAGCGGAGCGGGCTTGGAACGCTTCTTGAGGGATGGGGCGGCCAGCGCCAGGGGTAAAACGAGAAGAAAAGAAAGATGCATGACTAGGAAGAAGTCGTGGGTTCTCGTTAGCCTTTTGACTTATTTACTTTGGCTTTCTCGGAAAGCAAAGGGGGGGGGGGCGGAGAGGGAAATGAAGGAGATAAATGATGAGAGACCCGGGGCGGATCCTCTGGTCGAAGTAAAGAAGTCGCAAAGAAAGAAATGGAAATGAGCGAGGCCTGCAATGACAGACATGGGAATGGATTAGACTGACCGATGGAGGAAAAGGACGCGTACTTATTCTTCTCCATCATCGAGTGGCATGACGTTGCCGGTGCAGGAGAGGCAGGCAGATGTCGTGGGGAATAAACCAGCCACCGCATAGAGCAGCCGTCTTGGGCGACCATTTCTACCACTTCAGTTAACCAGCCATATTCTCCGCAACCCCTTCACCCCTGCTCTCGAGGGACTTCATCGTTAGCCCAGTTAATCGAGCACATATATACGCTGCCCAGAGAACGAACGGTTCGGTATGCACGATGGTGGGCGGGCCTGGGGAGCTGCCAGTCCGCTGCAGGCGAGTCTCACACGTCTCCTCCAGGTCCAGACCGGTTGGAGGCGGATAGAGCCTGCGGAAACAAGAAAAAAAACTGGTTCGTCTTGATGTTGCACACGACCACGGCCTTGGGGTTCCTCACTCTTTCGCCGATGCCTCCAGCCCCCCACCCAGCCACAGCCCACCTATCACTGCTCGCCAGGCCCTGGGGCGGAGGAGATGAAACGGGGGAGAGGGGCCCGAGAACCAAACCCTGGGATGAAGAAGACAGAGGAGGTTGAAATGTGACGAGAAGGCAAAGTGATGTTGTCTGGCTGCCGGGATTGACAGGTGCCTGCTGCCTGCTACCCGCGTGGGTTGAGCCATGGGTACGAGTCATGCATATTGGCGCCGCCAACGACGACACGCAGGGCTTCTCAAGTCCGCAAAGTGAAGTTTACACGGAAAATAGATGAAAAGGCGCATACCGGTTCGCGGAAACGAGCCAGGCAGCGGGTTTTGAGTCGAAATGGTCCGCAGTCGTCAGTGGCGGCGAGAGCCCGGCTATGCACAACTCGTGTCAAAAATACGCACGCATGTTGACAGACCATCTCTGTATGATTGGGCCAAGAGCAACGTGACGCTTATTTCCGCCGCTGTTCCTTTGAGCGGTGATGGAAAGACTGGGCCAAGGGCAGGGGAAGAAAGGGGGCCATGGGGAGAAGGGGAAGCCAGCCTTCCATGCCTTGATGCCGACCACCGGAGAATTTCGTGTTTCGGCAGGGGATAAACGAGCGATGACAAGGGCCATGGATGATGTCAAGGACGAGTTTCGGCCGACGAGATGCAGCGCTGGCGAAGACGAAGCTAGCCCAGCCTTTGGAACACTGGAACCGGTGATGCTGCTGGGGCGAGGAGCGGCCACAGCGGCAAGGACAGAGGGGCCCGCCGGCCTGCGAAGAGAAGACCTGAAGTCGCAGTCGTCGAGCTCCGATGTGCGCGCAATGTGGAGCCCAAAGATTGGTTGGCGAGAGGCGAAAAGAAGGACTCTTGGAAGTTGGAAGAGAGGGAGGCTACGGTGAGGCTACGGTGAGGCCGGAGCGGTGCTTGATTGGCCTCGGGCACGCGTGGGGCGGCGGTACCTGCAGGTACGCCCTGCATGCGCATGTACTGTACATGCCGAGTACGACTTGCCTGCAGCTACCTAGGTATTGTCACCAGCTTAAGGTAGTTTTCTGCTGTTTCGCCTCTTGCGTCGTCTTTGGTGCAGAGGAAGAGGCAAGAGGTCGTGCATGGCTGGTCTGCCACTCGCCCAATCTTTCCCCGGGTGGCGGACGGGACGCATCCTTATGCCCTACCAGCCTCGCGAAATACAGGGATCGGCAGCGGATAGAACAGGCCCCACTCCCGCCTTGTCAATGCAGAAAGCCCCTATTCTCCGCCGCGACTTATCCCTAAGGAGAGGCACTTCTGTAAACCAAAAAGAGGGGGTCGGCTGATGTGATCTTCAAGTCGCTCGTGTCAGCCGCCATCAGCACTCGCGAATGGTTCCTGCACCACCAGTTCCTGCTCCGCTCAACCAACCCTTCCCGAGCTGCAGCACCAAAACGTGCATCAGGCGGTCGGGTCAAGTTGGTCAACCATCAAGGTTACAGTGGCGACGGGAAGACTCGATAGAAACCCAGGGTAGCATGCAACGCAAGCCTCGCAACACCAATTCCTAACATCACACAGCTTCACACGGCGACAGACCACGCTCCAGCCGCTGAACACTTGGAGAACATGGCCTTCAAACAGGCCAGTAGTTGTCTTCACCGAGGTTGGAGAATGCAAAGCGCGTAAATAAGTCCTGGCTTGCGGGCTGGCCGAGACATGAAATGATTAAGTAGTTTAGAATTGAGCCCCCCCCCCTTAGGGCACAAACCCTGTGGGCGGAATAAAATCATTTCATTCCCTCGGTGGCTTCCAGAAAGGCCTGTTATGCGACAAGTACGTTACTAGGTATTCGTGCGCATATCTATAGTATAATTGCCGCAGAGAATATCCTTGCTTCGACAGCCTCAGCCTACTCCCCTCCAGCAAATACGGCCCACCGCAACCGGAAGACGAGTTGGACAAGGGTGCCATGGTCTTCTAACTCGGCTTTACTTCTTGCACAACGCTCCATCGGGCCGGTCGATGAACTCCTCGGCGCCAACGCACGATGGGCAGTAAAACACGTAATTAGGGTCATACTTGTTCTTGGCCGCCCGATGACTCTCGTAGTTGTCGCCGTAAAATGTCGTTTTGTAGTAGGGGTCGTTGGGGTCGCCCTCATTCATGTATCCCCCTGTATCGGGGGCGAGCCGCTTGGTGGCGGCGCCCTTGGTAAAGGTGATATCGTCGGCCATGGCCTGGCGATCGGCCGCCGTGAGCGTCTGAGACTTGGAGATCCTTCGGGCGGTCAAGAGCACCATGGAGGAGTTGCGCCAAGCCGGGTGCAGACCCGATGACGTGTCGGCGGCATCCTCGAAGACCTTACCGCCGGAGACCAGCATGACCAGATTCATAGTATACTCCTCAGGCTTGCCGCTCACAATTTCGACAGTGTGGCGGACGCTATCATAGTCCTGCACGGCTTCCTTGTTCAGCAAACGCGAAGTTAGGAGCAAGGTGTCACCCGGAAAGTCGCCACGATCCAACTCCCCCTCATAGAAAGACCAATAGTCGTCATACTCTTTGAAATCCTCGTGAATCACCAGTTTGCCCTTAAACTGAGATAGCTTCTCGCGCACCCGAGTAAATATGGCATCGGCCTCGGCTTTCCCCTTGCCAATGGTCCATAGACTGTGAGTATACCCGGAATCGGAGTTGGCGATAAAGGGTCCAGGCAATTTTCGGAACCAGGTCACATACCCGGCATATCCACCCTCGTTAAGGTCTGGGAAAGACTGCATCATGATAGAAATGGCATCCAGGAGATCCGCATTCTCATCAGTCGTTGCCTGAGGGGTTATAGTGAGGTGGTGAGCCGTTATCACATTAACGTTAGGGTAAGCTTTGATTTTGGTGCCAAGCACAATGCCATAACCGGGACCGCCGCCACGCAGGGCCCGGAAGAGATCGGCATTCTGACAGTGGTTGGCAATAACTATGCGACCGTCCGCGAGCATCACATCGGCTTCGAGTAGCTGATCGGCGCCGAGGCCGTAGTTTCGGGACGCCGGTCCGTGGCCGCCGCCGGACAGCCAGCCGCCGTTAGCACCGACGCTTGAGGCGCCGCCGCCCACGATAATGACATTATGGTCCTGAGCGACCTTATGAACATCGCCACATTGATACACGCCATCGACGTGGATCGCGTGGCCGGTCCAGCCAGACTGCGTGCACTGGGTAGCCGATTGAAACGTGCCTTGAAACTCGATGGCGTTACGATAGTTGCGCATCCAGATAGCTAGACTTCCGAAGCCGTCGATACGGGCGTTCAGGTCGTGCCCCGTGTTAACAACGCTAACTCGGATGTCATGATCCTGCGCGAACTGAAGGGTTTCGCTGATATCCTGGCGTTCGGCTATGTTGACGGCATATACAGGAAGTTGGCCGAGCGTGCAACTTCCGGGTTTCTCTCCTTCAGCAACGGGAGGGCACGTGGTGTTGTATGGGTAGAATCTGCCGAGGGGCTGTTCTGTTTGGAAGTCATCGTCGGCCCACAAATTGTTGACGTCTTTGCATTGTTTGGCGTCTTGAGTGGGACCCTCGTAACACGATTGTGCAACAGGAACGGACTTGATGAGTTTGCCGCCGACTGTAGAGTTGAATTTGATCCATGAATCATCCGAGGGCCAGCAGCTTTCACCGGGAACCTATGCGATTTGCAGGAGTCAGTATGGCCATAGCTTCATGGTCTTGGAATAAGTCCGCTTACACATCTGCATTGGCGACTCGACTGGCCGGCAGGTTTCGCTGTGTTCTGGGCTTGAGCAGCACCAGCAAGGAGGTATAAGGCCAGCGAAAGGGGAGTTTGGCTGCGCATTGCGGGCAAGTTGACGACCTAGTCTGATGGCGGGAGGCCAGAGATTAAAAAAAGGATTGAACGTCGCCGATCTAGACGAGGAGGGCCAGCAGCTACGTCCTTGAGCGCGAGATAAAGTCGTTCCCACAACACATTGCGAGATGTATTTATATTTTATATTTAAGTGCTTCGAATATTTCGCCTCCCCGGCAGTCAATACATTCATTGGGTCAATTTTCTTTACACCATGTAGGCTATCCCGTTCATCGAGAAGAGATGGAGCGGAGGCATGAGCCAGCCCATGAATCATGCCTCAACCTTCAATCTTAATCTAGATGCCGGAACCCTACCAATATGCCATGATGAGTGCGTGGACAAGCTGACTTCAACGGGGGGCGCGATAAGCTGCAGAAAGTTGTTAAATAGGCCAAGTCTTGGCGATCGACAACAGCAGGGGCATCCAACGAGAGTTTTCATAGGACAGAACCGTATTTTATCCCACTTATTCGTGTAGCTCTCCACCGCCAAGACCTGGCCTATCTAAAAGAGTTTCTACAGTAGCTCAGCCGCCTAGAAATTTGTAGACGGCTTTAGCATTTTTTTGTAGTCAGCTTAGCATTTTAGTATCACGTGACTGTAGAAAGTCATAGTTAGGGTTGGTTAAGTTTTAAGTACTTGAGCTTAGAGTATGTTATTGAAATTATTTAAAGAAGGAATCGGCTTGATTATATGAGTACTCGTGAAGGCAATCTGCTGACTTTTAGGCCCCCTAGCACTGTTATTGTTTGTCAAGCTCCAGGGCATCCAGGTCCGCAAGTAAGTGAGTTTTTCATGACTGGGTGTTGGCGCTTCCAAAGATAAGCCATATCCGATCGAAAATGTATATCGACTGGACGAGCAGTCGGTCTTTAAGTCTGCGCCATAATTAAGCATACGACCGAAACCACGATTCAGCATTCATATGGGTTGACGGCTATAGACCTAACGGTTAGTGGCCTAGTCGGATTGGAGAGAATCAACAGGACCTCGAGGCGGGACGTTTCTGGATATATAACGGCAAGCGTTAATTCTGGGGTTCAGTTAAAGGGCTCCATCATGACGGAGTATGTGGTCATGCTGACCTCCCGCCCCTAGTAAGCCGTCCATAAGGGGAAACGCCTAAAACCTTGCTGGACCTTTCAGAATCACGTGATACTAGTAAGTCAAGCCGACCCATGAATTCATGGTTGGCTGAGTTGGATACAGCCCCACATTGTGGTCGAGTTACAGGGGCGGGGGAAGTTCGGCTTGTCCACGCACTCCGCCTTGACAGCTCTACTATTATCACGGGGATCCCGTTGGCCAAGAAAATCGTTGTTTGACCTGGAAAATACAGGTACTTCGCGAAGGTTCCGCCCACAAGTGTCTACACCGCCGGAGATTCCCAGGGGCCCCTATCACTGTATGAATTAGTGTTTCCTTGAATTTGATACTGTTCCCCTGTTACCCTGCTCGCGAAGCTCTTAGCCTAGTAAATTATATAAGAACTAGTTCAAACCTTCAGAGATACCTCAAACACGAATTAAGCAAAGAGGGCCAAGCAAACCGGCAGCCCGGCTACAGCCGCCGCGGCCGGCAATAAAAAGGATCCAACGCCGCCTCGGCCGCCCACACAAAGGAAGGTTCCGTCGCCGCCCCGGCTGTCCACATAAGGAAGCTTCCGACGTCGTCTCGGTCGCCCACATAAAGATGCAGTCTATGATTACAGCGCGATTAACAGCAAAATCGACAAACTAGAATGTTAGCAATCGGGGTCTACTTGGAGCTGTAAATAAAACACGGAGTACACAGAAGCGCCGAGAAACGTAGTGTAGAAGCCGAACAGGCGACCATACAAACCAGCGGTAGTGTATCTACATTCTAGCGGTCCATGACAAGCGGAGTGACGTGAAAGGGCCTAAAACGCAAGGACAACAACCACCCAGGACCTTTTATGCCTACGTTGGAAGCTAACCTCGATGCGGATCTTCAATGAGAACGCCTTGTCTTTTTCCTAACTAGAATAACCACAATAACTGTGCTCAAATGAAATACCATTGCTGCAGCCCACCACGGATTGACTTGGTGCCAGACGGTCACAACAAAAACCTTACGCGTATGGCAATATACCCAGGCGGTCCGTTTGTGCGTTTATGCTGCAGTTCTCTTGTCTTCTCGAGCGTCTTCTTTATTGCCTTATCCACAAGTGCTATGCCCGTCTCGCTATCCAACTCATCAACTCAGCTCCATACTCGATCTTCCTCATGAACAGCGCTCGCACCGCAACTTGCATTCTGATCGATGCGTCTTCTACGTCTTCTATACCAGTATTTCTTCTATACCAGTATTTTCATATCAGCTCTAACGCTCGGGGGAAATAGGATTAGCTTTATAGGTCCTCAAAAATGTCTCACCTGACAGTCGCTCGACCATATGTACTAGTTACGGAATAAAGACTATTTCTTTCTAATGTCGTTAAAATAGGAAAGAATTTTGCTGTCTTATATACACGCTGTGCAAATTTTAGTAACGATCTTGAAGAGATCCGGCCCCAAGTTCGCACGGTCCCTTATAATTACTGTAAGGGTCTTGGCCAGAGTGGGCAAAAACAGTGGTCGCGCTACTAGACCCCCTCTGCCACAGAGGCCGCAACTATGCGTGTGACAAAAGGAAAAAATAGAATGAGTATTGCTATTTACACAATAGCATATTGCTGTTTGCACACTTACCCCATTTTTAAGATACGTACTAATTAACGCCAGCCCGCCCCGCCTATTTGTACCGCGCGCGCCTGGTAAGTACCCGTACCGCCTAAATGCCCGCGCCCGCGCCCGCCTATATAGACACACATACTAAATTTAAAGCTATTACTAACGCCGCAATCGATAAACTTGGCCGCAGCCCGCGGTCTCTCGCAGCGTTATAATAAGGATCGTTAGCCCGAGGAAATATAAGGGGAAGTGGATTAAGAGGAGGACGCGGCAGGAGGGGCGCGCCGCCGGCTTCGTCAGGCGTTGGAGAGATCGTTGAGTCGGGGTTATGTGACCAAAAGTGCGTTGTGTGCGGCATTTGGGCGGTACGGGTACTTGCCAGGCGCGCGCGGCATAAATAGGCGGGGCAGGCTGGCGTTAGTACGTATCTTAAAAATGGGGTAAGTGTGCAAACAGCAATATGCTATTGTGTAAATAGCAATACTCTTACTTTACCTTTGCCTATATAACCTAGTATATAGCGGCCTATAGCGAAAAATAAAATCTACCCCTATAGGGTTTACGTATTAGTTCTAAAAATAGTAAGATGCGTTTTAACTCTAACTCACCTACAGGCCGCCGTACAGTGGTTTCCTCACAACTACCTACTATGGTGTCTAGAATCAGCTTATAGAGAGGTAGTAATTAAGGGACGAAGGCGATAATAAGTGTGGCGTGGCAGGGGTACCGGAACCTGCAATAAAACTCTCTGCAGCGTTTCTTTAAGTTTGCCACATAAACTAACTGACGAGTCACGACTAAGCAGATCGGTAGGATCAGACCAAGCAGACTAAGCAACCAGCCCCTATATAACTCTCCTAGCGGCAAGACGTACGGCAGGCATAGATTGTATATAGGAACATCTTAATGCCCTCTTTTGGCTAGTTATCTAGGCCTATAAGGGGCATCTATACCTATAAATACCTCCTTAATGTCCCTCTAGATAGACCAGGAGATGAATCCCGGGTTTCCCCTCTTTAAGCCCCCTTTTCTTCCACTGTGCTTTCAAGCCACTGCTTGAGAGGTAGAAGGTCCCCAGTGAATCGGGCAACGAAAGACAATCGGTTTCCTAATGAGCTTCTTCACGCCTTGAGTGTCGATCCTGAGGCCACTAACTTGAGCAGCGCGGGGCTTTGCACCAGAAATTCGTCGTATTTTCCGTTTCTTCGGGCCTCATCCGGACTGATGAAGAAAGCAGCAAAGTGCGACTCGTGTTTCATACTTTGGCTGAGCATCTGCAGAAGTTCCCCGAGAAGCTCTTGCCAGATTGCGAGAAAGAGCTAGCGATGGCTTGTCTGACTTATCTATCATTCGAGCCATTTGCTCCAGGTCCTTGCGTTGACGCAAGTGACATGATCAAGCGATTGGACAGATATTACTTGCTCGCCCAGGGCAACCGTACGTCTGTTAAAAGGTGCCGAGACAGGCGCTCAGCAGCCTCACCCATACTCTACAGACTCGCTTCGAACCTCTTGACCACGTTCGGGACACATTATGGGACTTGAGCCTCAACCTTGACGACTTGCTACTCCGCATGAGAACCGTAACGCCATCGCTTGCTATTCTCCTCGACCCACCACCGTGTCACGAAGACGGCGTCCTCGACCCATTGCGCCGCGTCGGAGCCGCACGCGTCATGAATTCTTGCCAAAAACTCCTTCAAATCGAAGCCCACCACTGGCTTAGCCTCGCGAGGGTCCGTAGCAAGGTCGCTGAAACGCCACTCGATGTTGTCTACAGTCGGCACCACCAGCCGCCACGACTTTTGGCGCGCGTCGCGGACGCCCACCATGGAGCGGCCAGGATTAATGACGGTAAAGTGCCAGTTGGCTAGACTAGATGCTTGGTCGCCAGTCGTTGATGATGACTTGCGTAGTGGTCGCACAAGAGACTGGCCTTCGTAGTTGCGGATTAGGTCCTTCGCAGCTTGGAGTGCTTTCCCAGCAAGCGAACCTGTCTCAATAAGAAGATCCAGCACCGTCGGCAGAACCTGCTGGGACGAGACGGCGTCGTCGATTGTCAAGGGCGGAATCTTGGGATGGGATAAGATCAAGGGCACGTGGTTGTTTCCAACATTGGGGTTGAAGTTGGAGGATGGATTATCGTTTTCTGGAATCGACAGGCCATGGTCTCCCAGCAGTACCACGAGCGTCTCGTCGGCTACGCCCTGGTCGTCGAGAATCTCAAGTATCTTGCCCAGCCAGCGGTCATCGTAGCCTATGGTGTTGATGTAGTGCGACAAGTCGTCCAGGCCGTTCGCCAGTTGTACATGTCTCTCATTGCCAGGCAGTGCCCAGGGGTGATGGCTTGTACTGGTCACGTGCGTCAAGAAGACCCTCTCATCGTTCTCTTTGGCCGCAGAGAAGGCATCTCGGATGTAGTCGCCGAGTGGATCCTCTTCAAAGCCAAAGTAGTTGACATCCGGCAGCGTTACGGGACCGAACTTGGCGGTACTGCCTCTGAGGTACTCCCTGTCGATGATAGCATCCTGGGAGAACCCAATTCTACCCACAAGGGGGCCAAAGTTGTCAAAGTCAAGGGTGGCCGTCTGCAGAAACGACGACTTCCACTTGTAGGATGTAAAATCACGCGAGTCTACTTCGCCGAGTGTGTTGAGGGCGTCGAGGACGTGAGGCAGACACGGGTTATAGAAGTGGTGCTGGTGCTCGACGTTGAAGTCGGCCACGAGAGGACTAATACCGCAGAGCGTACCGACAAGGCTCTTAAGCGTGTACGTCGACGTCGTGTAGGCGTCGGTGTAGCTGATACCTCCCCGGGGTTTATCTTTCGGGGTTTGTCGCTGAAAGCCGTCGTCGAAGTCACCGGTCAAGAGTTTGGCCGTGGGCGTGAGCGACTCGAGGTGCTCCGTTGCCTCGCGGGGCAGCTTCCCATCGCTCCACGTTTCTCTCAAGCGCTGCAGGGGGATTCCGTTCTCCTTGATGGGGAAGAGATCCTGTCTCGTGCTTTCGAGCACAATACACATAATGTGTCGTATCGGTACATCTCGCAACACATTGCGTAATTCAAGTAACAGCTCGTCGTCGAGGTTCGAAATCCTGAGTGGGTCCGCCGCCGCATTGTAATGAGTCTTGTTGCCGTACCAGTCCTCAAACCCCGGTAGAACAGTGTCCTTTGGCAGCCAGGAAAGAGGAGTCGGGGGAGCAAGGGCGGTGCGGTTATCCCAGTCGCGCAACGCGCCGGAACCATGTGGCCAGCTGAGGAGGTGTAAAGAGGAAGACTGAAAGTCGACAAAGGGAAGCAGTGCCGGAGTCCACGACATGAAAGTTAGAGCGCTCTCGTTTGGTCGAAGGAAGCAAAGGATAGCCTGGGCCAGCAGTCCACCGGCCACGATGGCGTACGCAAACAGCCACAATATGGACATCCAATGCCAGCCCTGGCCATATCCGCTTGAAAAGACGTGATGCTGGCTCACCGGCAAGACTTGCGTCGTTTGGCCATTCTCAGGGTCGTGTTGCGGCGTCTTGGCGTATTGGGAGCGCAGTAACCGATGTCGAAATACAGCGCGGGAGGCACAGTTCAGCGGCCAGCTTACAATATCGGCAGCCACACTCCCCAGACCGTAAAAGAAATCCTGTAAAAGCCAGGAGATGAGACATAGTGCGCCGAGCACCGGGACCAGTGTTGCCACGCCCGACAGCAGCAGCGCCCTCCCCGCAGCGTCGCCAGCGACGCCGACGTTGCTCCAATGGATCTCAGATCCGGCCACGACGAAGAAGGTGATGGTGCCGATGCCGATGATGGTTGCAAAGGCCATAAGAAACGAAGCAGCAATCGCCGCCAAGGCCCTTGGCGAGTAGACTGCCTGGCCCGGGAAGCGCCGTATGTCGAAACTAAGCCGTAAGATGATTAATAAAGCGAAATCCTGAGCGAAGAATGTATATCCCCATTGCTGGAAGGTGAATGTCGCCAAGGCAGGGAGATGGGTGTAGATGTGTACCGCCTTTGCACCAAGGACCGACACAACGGCAAGGGTATAGATGAAGCGGCGATTGGCAAAGCGCCAGGCCACGGCCAATACAACCCGATGAGCGCCCGGGAGGCACAAAGCCGTGGCTCGGCCGGCACAGCCACACGCCTGACCAGGCGAGTTAGACTGAGCAAGGAAGCCCATGCTGGGCGTAGAGAAAGGTGTTTGGAGTCTCCCGTCCACGAGTTGACAAGCTCTACTATCTCTGAATTTTAAGAACGAAGGACTCGGAACGACGGCTAACGAAGGGCCTCTGATACTATAGTCTTTGCAAGACTTTTATACCAGAGCAAGCAAGGTAACAAAGCAACAAGGCGATTGAGGAAACGCGGTTGCCCAATTCGAGGCTCGAACAGAAGGTATAACGAGGGGATAAACAGCGAGCCAGGGAAAAAGGAAAGGGCGCAGTTTATACCGCAGGCCTCGAAGCAAAGGGCGAGTGAAAAATTAAGAGAGGAAAGGGGGCGGGGGGGCTGGCACCATATTCCACTCTAAGAGCCATGGAGGCCTATGATAAGTCGGTCTTCGTTGCGGAAAGTTTGGAATCCACTTTCGTTGGACCCCTACGCTGTCGAATTCTGCCGTAAACCGCCTAATATAATTCCAATTCCAGGCGCGGCGTTATTATTATCGAGGCATTGTGCTTGCATGCTTCGTGACACAGCGGTCCGGTCAGTGAATAGCCGGCCTACCAATGATGGCCTTGCCCTGCCCGCGCTGCTATAGCGATGTAAATCCATGGACAAAGGCCTGCAGACCGACCCGATGGCGAAGACTAGCCAAGGCCCCGACCGGCATCGCGAATTGGCTTCCCCACTGGATCTGCAACCCACCACGCGCAGACGGGAGTTTCGTGGCATTACCAGTTATTCTGGTTGTCGAGGTCGGCCTGTTTGCGGATCTCGTGCCCGCAGACAGGGTAGAGGACCAGCGGGAGATAAACCGGATCATCTGCGGGGGTTGTAAGTTCCATCTCCCACCAGGCGATAGGTAATTAAGGTAGGTACTGTATAGGCTCTGAAGCCCAGAGTAACTACCTACCGGTATGTGTGTTGTGCTGCCGTCCAAGTGGATGCAGTCGCGTCTACTGTAATTACCTACTCACGTAAGGAGATCCGCACAAGCAACCGAGTCCTGACAATCCCTGCCCAGGACAGGGCTGTGCCCGGGACCGGGCAGGGGTGTGTTCTATTAGTGTAGCGCACGAACCATGCCTTTCGAGATGTTTCATGATTCATCCCGCCCGACTTCACTCTTCCTTGCAGTTACTCGGACGGCATCCAATCACGTATTGTAAATCGGCGTCCAAGCAAGAATCCAATGTCATGCATCAGCTGGATTACGTCCCCGCAGGAAAAGAACTCTACCACGGCCTGTGGATGCAGCACAAGTGCTACAACGTCCGCATTCCGCACCTGTTTGGCTTTGGCTTCTTGGACGGCCACCACGCAAGGGCCTGTATGTACCAAGTCATCATCATCCTCATCAAGGCGAGGGTGAAAGCTGTCACATTGAATACCACTTGGCCAAAATGAGGGAACCCCCGAGTAGGAGTGGTATTAATAGTGCTTGTTATATCTCCTGCTATCCGTATCCCCGTATCCGTATTGTCGTGCCAGTCGTGTGACAATAATTACCGGTAGCTCCCTAATAATAAGGTTAGCCAAGACGGGGTTAGTTATTTGCATGGCGAAGAGCATTTTTACCCGCCCCTCTTGGCCCCGCCGCGTAACTTATTGTCTATGCCATTTTCGACCCCGCGATCCGAATAGAGTCGAGGAGCTCGGCGTCGAGAAATCCCTCAAACAAAAGACACGACACGTCTTGCCGCAGCCACCCAGGCCAACATGCCCGGCGAAATCACCGTCACCGGCTTCACGTCGCGCGATGTACGCTTCCCGACGTCGCTCGACCGAACGGGCTCGGACGCCATGAACGCGGCCGGCGACTACTCGGCCGCCTACTGCGTCCTCGAGACCGACGCGCAGCATTCGGGCCACGGCATGGTGCGTCCCCGTGCCGGGTGCTAGCGAGAGGCGGTTGCGCTGAAACGGATGGCCGCCCGAGGAGCAGACCTTTACCATTGGCCGCGGCAACGACCTTGTTTGCGCTGCCATCAACCACGTCGCCGAGCGCGTCCGCGGCAGGACCCTCTCCTCGCTCGTCGCAAACTGGGGCCAGACCTGGCGCTTCCTGGTTTCCGACAGCCAGCTGCGCTGGATCGGCCCCGAGAAGGGCGTCATCCACCTCGCCCTCGGCGCCGTCGTCAACGCCCTTTGGGACCTCTGGGCCAAGGTCCTGGGCAAGCCCGTGTGGCGCGTCGTCGCCGACATGACCCCCGAGCAGCTCGTCGACTGCATCGATTTTCGATACATCACCGATGCCATCACCCGGGACGAGGCCCTGGCCATGCTCCGCGCTCGCGAGCACGGCAAAACGGCCCGTTTGCGGGACGCTCTGGAAAACCTAGCTGTCCCTGCCTACACCACAAGCGCTGGCTGGCTGGGCTACGGCGAGGACAAGCTGAGGCACCTCTTGCGCGAGGCCCTGGACCAAGGGTACAAGCACTTCAAGCTCAAGGTTGGCGGCAGTCTGGATGAAGACCGCCGACGGCTCTCCATTGCGCGCGACGTCATAGGCTACGACCGGGGAAACGTGCTCATGATCGACGCCAACCAGGTCTGGTCTGTTCCCGAGGCCGTCGAGCACATGCGGTATCTGAGCGACTTCAAGCCGTGGTTCATCGAAGAACCCACGTCGCCTGATGACATTGTGGGCCACAAGACGGTTCGCGATGCCCTCAAGCCGCTGGGCGTCGGTGTTGCCACCGGCGAGATGTGCCAGAACCGCGTCATTTTTAAGCAGCTTCTCCAGATGGGCGCCATCGATGTGTGCCAAATCGATGCCTGCAGACTGGGGGGCGTCAACGAAGTTCTAGCTGTCTTGCTCATGGCTGCCAAGTACGGCGTCCCTGTCGTTCCGCACTCGGGTGGTGTAGGCCTGCCAGAGTACACGCAGCACCTCAGCACCATTGACTACGTTGTCGTCAGCGGCAAGCGCTCCGTACTCGAGTATGTCGACCACCTTCACGAGCACTTTCTGCACCCGTCCGCCATCAAGGACGGCTATTATCAGACTCCACTGGAGCCGGGCTACAGTGTTGAGATGAAGCCCGAGAGCATGGACAGGTATGAATTTCCGGGCGAGGAGGGAGTGAGCTGGTGGAGGAGCGAAGAGGCCAAGCCCATTCTCGAGGGCCCAAAGGTCTAGGCCCGGACCTCAATGTCGGAGGAGGCGTGTCGTGTTGTGATGGACGATAATAGCCAGGTTTTTCCAAAAGCCGGCCGGTGAATAGGTCTACGTGGCTGCCGACCATATCTTCAGTGTTCACCGTCGTGCTGCTTAAGACTGGCCTTGAGCGTCAAGGACGAGGGCCAAGAGGCCAAAGACTTGGTCGCGCCTCGTGGTCCCCCCTGTTCTTATACATCGCTACGGCCAAAGTTGTCGACCAAGTGTTTGCAGTACGCGGCTTACGGGCACCACGGTATAAAGGAGGTAAAGGTACCGTGTATGCTGTGCAGGAAAAGTTTGTTCAAGAAATACTAGAGGCGATCCCCAACGCTGGGAGTGATAAGCCGGTCTGCGCGTTCAACTTCGGCGAGTCAGAGTCGTCGCACATAGACACCCTCAACAGAGACGTTTGGAAAGCCGTGAGCGGACATCTCGATAAAGGCACTTTTCAAAGGCACTTTGTAAAATGCTCGAAATTAAGAATTCTCCAAAAACGTCCGTCTGGCACGCTCAGCTGGTTGGTGCAAATAGTACAAAGCCGAGGACACCTTCTGCCCAAAACTACCATCTTGGTGATTGCCTGAACACGGGAAAGACCCGTTTCACCTTTCCCCCTCCCCTGCGCGGCGGCAGGTTCGCGCAACCTCGAGGATGGATGGAAACACGCACGGTTTCGGCCACAACCTGTCGTTGTCATCTGTCGGTAGGTGCCAGCAATTTCCGAGTCCAGCTGGAGTAAATGTCGCCCAGTGTAATACCTCGACTCGACATGACAGCAAGGGTTCACCATGCTCAGCAGGGCCCAGGCGCCGGGCCCGTCGGGTATGCCATCCTCTATCCGATACTGGTCCATTTCCATGTCGAGGAAGTGGCAGGTAATCATGTCGTCCGTGCACCTACAACGAAACTGCATGTCTCGTAGTACGTGGCCGTCAGCCTCATACTTATGGAAGAGGTAGCGCACTGCATCTCTGTCCGAGGTGAGCAGGCTGTCGAGCTGGTCGAATCCGCCAAGGCTTAGAGTGTCATGGAGGATGTCATTGAAGACGAACAAGCAGTTTTCATTTGCCACGAAACTGTCGTTGTATCGGGCACCGCAAAAGACGTCATTCATAGGAAGCCCGTCCCGGGATTGAGAATGGGCTTGAAGCGCGCCGTCAAGGCAACCGACATAGTCAACGACACAGCGGATGCTCTCCGTCTCCCAAGGCGATGGAGTGGTGCCCTCGAGGCCGTTTAGGTACCCCCAAGACCACGAGCACAAGACACAGGTACACCCGCACCAGGTTTTCGTCGCCCTTCTGTTGTCCAGCTGACCCAATAAAGTCTGCGCTGAGAACAGTCTCGAGTCGAGTTCAAGTCGTAAAAACGCCTCGAGCAAGCGGTGCTTCTCTGTCGCTGACAAGACCTCCATGTCCAGTTGGCGAACACTGCTCAAACGTCGTGAGGGCACCGAGAGGGCCTTGCCTAGGTCTGGGTGGGACCACAAGGGCAGATGGATGTACGCACGACGAAGGTGCGGGCTTGTCGCCTTGGATATGTAGTCGTTGATATATCTCCTGAGCTGCTTATAGAGGCGCTTCAGCCGTTTCATAGCGCCCAGATCCTGGCCATCAATCGGGTCAGGCAATCTTTTAGGGGCCCAATTATCTATACACCTCCTTTTATTAACTGTACACCAAAAAGTGGATCAACTGTGGCTGGGTCAGGCGCAGTGCCGATGCCGCTAATTTTGGTGCGCCCATTCCCGGCCGGCCAGCTGGCCAGTTCGTGATGCTTGCGTAACAACATCCTGTAACCGTAACTATCAGCAATACCATCAAAACTGAAGCTATTCGCACCGCGTTTTCTGCCCTTACGAGCCCGAATCATGGAGTCGCTTACGAAGACACTATTCCCGACCTTCCAGGCCGCGATGGAAGCCGCCGATACCGTTGCTGAGGCTGAGGGCTACGCCTACACATTCGAACATCGAAGCGGGATAACGCTGGCCAACGCAAGTCTGCACTTGTTCGTTGTATCAAGGCCGGCCCCTACGAAAATCGGAAGGATAAAGCTGCTCATATCTCTCGTCGTCGCCTCAATACAGCAACCCAGAAAACAGACTGTGAATTTCGCCTCTCGTTGAAGGAAAAACGCGGTTACTGGACTATCTCTTATCTTCACGATGTTCACAATCATCGCCTTGTTGATGACCCGATGGTCTTTCCGAAGTACCGGGCGCTTGTTATCCAGAAGTATCGCGACGACATTATCCGGAAGTTTAATAACAATACCCGGCCGACCGATATTGCTGGCGAGCTTCGTGACCTGGTTCACGACGATCCTCGTTTAGCCGGTATCACGGCTCAAGACGTGAGTAACGCCTTGGCTAGGCACCGTCAGGAAGAACTAGCTGGCCGTACGCCTCTTCAGTTTCTCTACGACCGGCTAGATAAGTCCGACTTCTTTCATCGAGATAGTCGTGATCCCCAGGGCCGGCTAACTGGGCTATTTCTCGCGCCTCGTGCTACCTTCCATCGATGGCGTCAGCATCACGATGTCCTCGTCCTCGACTGTACCTACAAGACGAACCGATTCAATATGCCGTTATTGAATATCTGCGCGGCCACTCGAGATAACAAAACGTTCTCTATTGCCTCTATCTTCTTGAACGGCGAGACCGAGTCCCATTACTATTGGGCTATCTCGTTGCTGCTAGTCCTTTGCGAGAAGGAGTCGATCCCATTTCAAGGGTCACTGTCACGGACCGAGATACTGCGTTGCTTAAGGCGTTAGATAGCTTTCGCGAGCTTCAAAACAGTACTAACCTTCTGTGCACGTGGCATATTAACCAGAATGTCGTTGCGAAATGCAAGCAATTTTCCCTAAGGCATCAAAAATCGGCAATCGAGTCGTACGGGCCCCGGCATTCCAAGCGTTTCTACAAGAGTGGAACGAGATCGTCAAGTCACAAGATGTGAATAGCTTCAACGAACGTTTACGCCAATTTGAGACACCAGGCCGCCACCCGCTTGCAGCTATACAATACTGTTGCAATACGTGGCTAACGCCTTGGAAGGAGAAGTTTGTATCTTGTTTCGTTAATCAATATCGCCACTTCGGGCGTACAACGACCTCGATCGTCGAGGGACTTCACTCTCATATGAAGAAGTTCCTTTGGTCCTGTACGGGCGATTTGACGACCGTTTTCCAACGATTCGAACGCTTCTGGGGCCATCAGGCTGCTCAGATCACAGCGATAGAGAATCGAAACCTCCACAAGATATCAACGTTCTCCTACAGGCGCCGTATATGCCGATCCGCGAGCGAGTATCGTCATATGCGTTAAAGCTACTAATAGATGAGCATCGCAAGATCCTCTAGACCCCGAAGTCAACGGGCCAAACCGCCGCCAGGTCAATGTCCTTGTAATTGGGCTACTAGTCGAGGGCTACCGTGCTGCCATCGAATCTTCGAGTCTATCAACACCAATACCTCCCTTACACTCGACGACTTCGACCCATTTTGGTATATTCCGATCGATACAAGCGCTCAGGGCACAAGCCCTACTCGGGCACCATACGAGCCACAAGTTATCAGGGCTAAGGGCCGCCCCAAGGGCTCACTCAACCTCGAAGAGTCACGGCGGTCAAGATCAACGCGGCGGGATCCGTCACATCACGAGATCGCTGAACGGCATGAGCGGGCTGAGGCTATACGACTGCCTCCTCCTCAACGGCACCAGCGGCGATGACGGGTACGGTAACGGCCGCGATGACTTCAACGGAACGAGGGCTGCGGCACATCGAGGAAAACGGCGATACGTACGAGGCAGGCACACGGATGCAACGGGCGTATCAACAAGCCGGGCGTCAAACGCCAGTCTCTGATGATGACGATCAGCCGGTACGGCGGGAGACCCAAGACTGCATCTTCGTCGCCGGCCTCACGGACGATGCCGCCCTTGAGGATGTATGGGATCAATTGGAATCACAGTTAGATGAAGCGGATCAGGCACGTAGTGCACTCGAAGAAGGAGGCCTGTTGTAAACACCAAAGAATAGTCTCATCAGCATAGAAAGCGCAGTACGAATAGCTTCAATTTTGGGTGCCTTATCGTTGAAGGAGAACTGTTACTACCTGGCTCTACTTATCGTAGAGAATGTGTGCATACAAATTGGCGGTATCGGCCCTCTTCGGCCGTCAGCCACAGTTAATCCACTTTTTGGGTGTACAGTTAATGAAAGTGGGTGGATAGATAACTTGGGCCTCTTTTAGTTGCCCATTTGTCGATATGCGCCTCGACATGTGCCCGATAGTTCTGCTTATTGGCCATATTCTCGGGGGACGCGGTATCTTTATATGATTCTATCCAGGCGGTCGCGTTTGCAATCACCGCGGCAGGCCCATCAGGCGACAGCGACAATTTTGCCTGGACAAGGTTGACACCAGAAATCTTACCTTGACGTTCAATGAAGGTAAAGCAAAGAGCGTGCAAGGTGAGCAAGTAACTCTGGTGGTCGGAGCCTGAAGAAGCCACGGCTTCATGACTCATATTATGTAGCATTCGCTCCCAAAATCGACTTTATGCTCAGTCCCATCCGTCTCTAGCACGCACTGCCTTGACGTCGAAGACGCTCCCTAAGCTGCAGCCTCGTTAGGCAGACCGTAGGACCAGAGTTCTAACGTACATCTACAGTGTACACTTTTAGCACTTTGGCACATAAAGTCGCCTGTACCAGCCTTAAACAGGAAACGTTGCTCGGCCAGGCAAAATTGAAAGGCTCTTGTAGACGCTATATAGATACAGTTTGTTCCTTTGCTTGCTAACATGAACTTGTTGCCCCCGAGCTACACTCAGTTATTATGCACGCCATAATGCCTTCATCGTACAACTATCATCGAAATAACCAGAAGATAAGCTATCTGCTGTAGGTGTATGTACGTAAGATAAAGTACTTGGTCACCCGTTGCCCAGCTGCCGGCCCGCTGGGGCACGCCATTTCGAGGCTCGCCTCTTTCGTTTGGGAGCAGCTGGCTTCACTCACCCACATCACCACACGCCTCCCGCTCAGCGAGGCCAAAACCAAGAACCGTGACTCCAAAATCGGCTCAACTTTCGATCCGCGGCAGTTGCGCAGCGGGATGCTCCGAGCACCGCCCGCGAAAGGTACGTCCACCGAGTCCCGCGCCTTTGGCTCTGTTTCGAAAACAAACTGACCCTTTCCCAGCAACCAACAAACCACCCGCGTAGCAACACCAGGCTCCGGAGTTCTAAGCGGCTATTCCTGCCTGACTTGTCCAAAGGCCAACATGGCGCGGGATACAGAAGATGACGCCTGGACGATTTCCTCCATCGACAAGCTGGCCAACCTCTACGACTACCAGGCCTAGTACGCCGGTATTCTAGCAGGCCTTGGCGCTTTAGGAATCGCTCGCCACTTAGAGGGGCCAGCTCGGGACCTGTGTGGGCGGACTGCCGTCAAGAAATGGAGACGTCGCGAAAGGAGGGTCATTCGACTCCTTCTCTTCACTATCTCCAAGGAGCTCAAGACGTCGATTTATCAAAATGGCTGGACAGAGAGAACGTCGGCGCGAGAGACGCTGAAACTCATCAAAGAATCTGTCCCGTACGCGTCTGGCTTTGATGCTACCGCCCGAGACACAATTCATGACATGTTTCTTCTCGATCCGAGAAAGTTTCCAGACATGGCTACCTTTGAACGCATGTTCCATGTTCACTGGAAGCAATTCCAGACTCTGCACTCGGATTGGGACTTCGTTTCGTTCGCGGCGGCAGCACAGACCGGAATCAGTGAACCCTCACCGTACTACGACGACCGCCAGCCTGACGAGGGAGTCGCGAGAGAAGAGGCTTTTGAATTTCTGGAGGATCAAATCCGGAACTTTAAGAAGGAGAATAAAGACAATGGGAAGCCTCATGGAACCGTGTGAGCAAGAACAGCAAGGGTTCGAATCTCGGGCGGAGGTGATGGGTCAGGAAAACCCCCAGGATTTGTGTTTTGCTCTTCTGAAGTTCTGATATTAGGTAGTCTCTACTCTCTACTGTAGAGAATAGATGCACGCCCCGCTGTACCGCTGCCAGGTACAGCACACGTAATTACGTACTCCGTACACTCGTACAGTAAGCACGATTCCCCCCCGCCAAAGTGCACCATGCCGGCGATTAGTCACGGCCCCAGACAATCTCTCTCCATCCGCACACCTCACCTCGTAATTATGGCTTGACCAGGCAGGCCCAAGGCCTCTCAAGAGCAGACGGCAGAGCAGACGACAGAGCAGACGGCTTACCTCGCACGTTGCTCGTCGACGGGGCGGCAGAGAACCAATGCCGTCCCACCCTCACGCACACACCCTCCTCCTGGATCCGGCCTCGCACAACCCCAGCCATGGGCCCGCTCCTCTCGGCCTCTCAGCCGCTCGCGTCGCTCACGGCCCTGTTCGTGCTGTGGAAGGGCTTCCTCCTCGCCGTCGCCCTCGCTGCCGCCGTCGCCGCCGACTACGACACGTCGACCTCGCTCTTCTTCGACCGCCTCTACGGCACCCGCGCCCGCGTGCCGGCCCTGGCCGCGAGGCTGACGAGATGGGACGCCCTCTACTTCATGCACCACGCGCGCGACGGCTACGTCTTTGAGCAGCAGTGGGCCTTTACCGCCGCCCTGCCCTTGCTCGTCCGCGCCCTCGTCTCCGTCTTTCCATCGTCCACCGGCGACGCCGCGTGGGAGCCCTTGGTGGCCATTGCCGTCGTCCACGCCTCCCACCTCGTCGCCGTGCTCGCTCTTTACCGCTTGACCTTGGTTGTGTGCGGCGATGCGAAGCTTGCTGTCGTCGCCTCGGCGCTGCACGTCATCTCGCCCGCCGGGCTCTTCCTCTCCGCGCCCTACGCCGAGAGCCCGTTTGCTGCCCTGTCTTTTGTCGGCAGCTTGCTATTTGCGCTTGGCATCAAGCATAAGCGTGACTGGGCCAAGCGGGCTGCGGCCATCGTCGGTGCCGGCGTCGCCTTTGGCCTGGCGACTGCCTTTCGCAGCAACGGCCTGTCCAATGGCCTTCTCTTTGCCGTCGGGGCCCTCAAGTGTCTCGTCGTGTTTGTGCAGAAACCCAGCCTGTCTAGGCTTCTGGCCCTCGTTGCTCCCGTCGTCGGCGGGCTGTGTGTCGCGGCAGGCTCCGTCGTCCCACAGGCCCTGGCCTGGAAGCGTTTCTGCCGCGATGCCCCGGCAAGCCTCGAGCCGCGACCGTGGTGTTCATATAGAGTCCCGAGCATCTATACGTTCGTTCAGAGCGAGTATTGGTGAGTCGTGTTGCAGCCCTCTTGCCCGGACTCTGTTCTCACCCGATGTGTCTCCAGGAATGTCGGGTTCCTGAGATACTGGACCCTGAACCAGCTGCCACTGTTCCTGCTTGCCAGCCCCATGCTCGCCATCCTCATTGTATCGGGCCTCGCAGTTTTGCGAAAGCCGGCGTCGGGCCTGAGGTCCCTGAAGTCCGGCCCTGGCGAGGACTACCGCATGTTTGCGCGCGCAACCGCGGCAGGCCAGGCGTTGGTGGCGCTGTTGGCCATTACCAACTACCATGTCCAGGTCATCACCCGCCTCTCGTCGGGCTATCCCCTGTGGTATCTGTGGGTAGCAGGATTGCTGATGGATGCGAGGCGACAGAAATGGGGCCGGGCCATTGTCGTCTTCATGGCCATGTATGCCGGCGTCCAGGGCGGCCTGTTTGCCTCCTTTCTGCCCCCTGCGTGAGGAAGCTCGGGGCAGCGCTATATAGGTTTGCTGGCTAGATGCCCCCAAAATCCACCTCCACCAACGAGTCCGTGCGACTGTCTTTGTGCCGCCCGTGAATGCGCCCTTTTTGTACCGGGCCCTACGTCTTGCCCGAACCGTCTTTTCGCTGACACCTGACACGCACATACATGCAACGCACAGGTTGCGGTGAGTCGGATGCGCAGAGCCGTCGCGGGAAGCCGAGCGAGTCCTTGATTCTACAAAGCACATATCCAAATGGACAGCTGCGCGGGAGGAAACGGGTGGCGGCAGCGGGACAAAGCTGGGCCTTGGCGACACCTTTGTCCGAACAAGACGCACACAGACGGCCTCGATTTTGCCGACACTCGCACAGCCCGAGGCCTGGTCATCCCTTCTCGTCTGCCTTGGGGGGATACAAAAGGGACCCTGCCCCGTGACTCGCGCGCGTGGGCGCTTGCTAGAAACACTGAACAACTCACACAAGTTTCCTCTCTCTCGCCCCAAGCTTGACTGCGTCTCACCAGTTACGACGCCCGTCACCCGTCTCCCTATCTACATACATACATTCACCTACATACACCCCCGACTCACAGAGAGGGCATACTACGACGAGCACGACTCACTCTCTGCGCCGTGTAATCCATTCACACCAGCGCCTGGCCGCGTTCCTCGGCGCCACTCGCAGCTACGGAGAACCCACCGCCCTCCCGACTCGCACAAGCATCGTGAAGAGGAGGGGAGGACAGGACATGCGTGGTCGTCTTCTCCTTGCTCAGACACCGCTGTGGCGACACCGCGTTGCGTTGGCCCTGTGTCGCAGCTGCTTGGCCGCGTGCCCCCCATTCAACGACGGGCCTTGCTCGTTCTCTATAACTAGACGGCACGAGACCCGCCCCTGAACCGCGCAAACGTCGACTCGCTATTGTTTCTACGCCAACAAACGCAGCGCACTGAAGGTTTCTGAAACCATACCGAAATCCTACTTCTGCGAGCTACAGTGCCTTTCTTTTTTTATCTTTTCTACATATCTCGTTTGGGACGCGCAAACGACTCACCACCAGACCTCCGAGAACCATCGACAAAGCCCATCCTCGCTGCCCCTTCTCCTCCATATCTCTCTCTCAACCCAAGAAAGCAGTCCCAGAGCCCTCAAGCTCCGGTCGATTCTTGAGGGGAAAGACACACGTATCATAGCAAAAGACCAGCAGTCATGGACCCAGCCGCCAAGCAGCAAGACCCGGCAGCACCGACCGCAGACAAGGCGGCCAGGCCCGTCACGCAGACGCCGCGCGAGACGCCCGTTGCTGCTCCTGCCGCCATGACGCCCGACACCGCCGGGCCCGACCACGACGACGCCTTGTCGGCGCCGCTGCGGGCGCTGCTCCGGCACGACGCCGAGCTGCGCCTCTGGCTGCTGCACACGGGCTACTTCGAGCCCGCGCGCCGCGAGCGCGTCCTCGAGGGCATCCGCAAGCTCAGGGCCGTCGACGAGGAGCGCGACAAGCTCGTGCTCGAGCTGCGCACATCCGCCGGCGGCCTCTTCCACGGCCTCCCGTTCCTGCCCTTGGCCTCCCCGCTCTCCTCGCCCTCCTTCTCGTCGACGTCCGCGTCGGCTGCGGCCGGCTTCGACGCCTTGCCCGCCACCAATGTCGCCGCTGTCCGCTTGACCGCCCCGCCGGCCGCACAGGTGGCGCCCAGCTATTCCGCCTCGACCGCGGCGTCGTCCGTCGCCGGCTCTGTCCGCGGCGACGCCAAGGTTCGTCGCGAGGAGCGCGACGCGGGCCCAGAAGAGCTGCCGTCGCCCCTGGTCAAGGCCAGGCTTGGCTCCGGCTCCGGCAGGGTGGGCAGTGCTGCTCATGGCCGCGCCGACACGCGCTTCTTCCTGCTCAAAAGTTTCGACTCGGCCAACATCTACATGTCCCAAAGAGATGTAAGTTGAACCCACCCATATATGTTTTCCTCGGTGTTGTTTTCTTCCCCTCCTTCACAGAACCAAAAGCTAACAGCATCCGCCAGGGCCTCTGGGCTACCCAGGCCAAGAACGGCCCCATCTTCGCCGAGGCCTTTGAAGAGTGCCAGAGCGTCATCTTCTTCTTTTCCATCAACAAGTCCCGGGCATTCCAAGGCTTTGTGAGTCTCCCCCACCGCTTCTTCTTCCAGCCTTCCTAGGCGTAGCGATGCAGAGCTGACCCGGCCTCCCTCAGGCCCGCATGACGTCGGCACCGGATCCCACCCTCCACAAGCCGGACTGGGTCCAAAACATCAACCTCTCGGCCATCACGGAGCCCTTCCGCATCGAGTGGATCAGCACGGCCGAGACCGAGTTCGACAGCGTCGGCGACCTCAAGAACCCCCTCAACGAGTTCCGCTCCGTCGTCGTCGGCAGAGACGGCCAGGAGTACTCGCCCGACTGCGGCCGCAAGATGATGGCCCTCCTCAACCGCCAGCCCGCCGCCGCTCGCAAGCCCGCCAGGTCCGAGATTCCCCGTCTCCCCTTGGCCGAGGGCGGCAGGCAGGCTCGTGCCCGCGCCAGGTCCCCCCGCGGCCCCTACGACGGGGCGCGCGGCCCTTCCCAGTGGCGGAAGCGTCAGCGGGACATGAGCGTGTCCCGGTCGCCGCCTGGCCCCATCGCCCCTGCAGGCCCTACCGGGCCGTCCCCGTGTGCCGACAGTCTTAACCTGATCGACTGTTGACTTCCGTCAAGGCGAGATGCGTGGAGGTTGCCAGGCAGGAGACCATCATACCTTGCGTAGATAGAGCTCCTCGGGCCAGGTCACCGGGGAGACATGGGAGACACGGAAGTGGTTTCTGTCTTTGCTTTCTCTCTCCCGTCTGTTCTTTATCTCTCTGTTGTGTGCTACGAGGAACGTGGCTGCAGAACATGATGCATAGCACGAGCATAGCGGCAAACGATGCAGGTGAATAAAGGGAGGCAACATGCTCAGTTGCCAGATTGCCCCGAATAGAAACCTAGTTCTCAGACTGACTAAATGTATTCCTCGCAAATATGCCAACACTTGAGCCACGTATGTGCGCTTTGCCCGCGTATAACGTGTCAAAATCTGTGTAAACCCCATGACGACTCCGTGTGACACTACTGAACCACAAGTATCCCCAACGCCAGAAAACCAGTCATCCAAACTTCGGCCGCTATACTCTGCTTGCTACAGCCAATAACCTGAATCAACGCGACACATCGGCTATTAGTACCCGTCCTCAGAGTCGCTGTTGTCGTGAACCCTAATCGCCCTCCATCTCCGGTCTGTGAGGTCCTGAGCTGCCGTCCCCTCGCTCTCCGGGTCGACGTAGCCATCTCCTCCGGCAAGGCTCAAGGCTACGGGCAGGAAGACCAGCGCGTGCAGGGCCGCGAAGACGACGAGTGCTAGCCACACGCGGAAATAGTAAATCTCGAAAATCTTGGACCGCGTAAAGGCAAGGACGCAGACGCCGAGCAGCTTGGTGATTGTGATGCCGGAGAAGACGGACCCACCAACGTTTACCAACGCGGTCCAGGCACGGGCGTCTCGCCCGCGGAAGGAGTTGTTATTGCCCTCCATGACCGTACGGGACGGGAACATAAAGGCCCGGGCGATGTGTGCGCAAAACTCGACGGAGATGCCCACGCATATGATGAGGTTGACCAGAGAGACGGCGTTCAGGGACACGTTGAAGACGGCCATGGCTCCCATGATGTCGATGACGCTCATGACGACCGTCACGGTCACCACGGCCGAGGTGAGCACCGAGCCCAACAGTAGCGAAGCAATGAGGAAGATGATGCCGACTGCGGCACACAAGAGGCCAGCCGTGAGTGATACAATGGTGAGGTATTGGTCAAAGAAAATGTAAAAGACGCTGTATGGGAAAACATCTGCTCCCGTCCTCTCCGTGATGTCGGATGCGATACGACGAGCAGACGAGTACGCGTTGATGAAATCGCTTTGGCTCCGGAGCGGCGTGTGCGCGGATCGGAAGTGGGTAGCCTGGACCTTGGTGTTTTCGTCGTCGATGATGACCGCCTCTCCGTACGCAGCCTGGCCGCCGAGAGGGCAGTTGTCATCTGCCGCAGACGTAAGGAACTTGTGGAGATAGTGAAGGAACTCTTTGTCCTCTGGCATCCCCGAGAGCGTAATGTTCCATGCAGGGGTTCGGTCCGCAAAGCATGGCGACCCGTTCTCAACGCAGCACTGGTCGTAAACGGGGTTGAGCCAGCGCAAGAAATCATCGATCCAGCTGGCCGTTGGGGACGAAATGTACGAGACATCCGGCCGCTGCCTCTCGAGTTCCAGCGTGCTGGTCAGGGAGAGATCCTGGCACGTGGTGAATCGCGAGCACAGCTCTTGCTGTTCCCGCCGCTGCGACGCGTCCACTCCCCGCGTGACAAAGTATACGGGAGGCCCAGTCTCCAGGTAGTCGTACAAGTCGTTGAAGTATGGGATCAGATAAGAGCCATCTGGTATTGCCACGCGCTGATCGAGCCCGAGCTGCATCTTGGGCAGCAGGGCCAACGCCGCGGCAAAGACGCCCAGGAAGACGGCGACGACGCCCAGCTTGACCCTTTTGCCAAGCAGGCGAGGAGCATACGTGTTTTTGATGAACACCTGCAAGAGGCTCTCCTCGTCGACGTGAGCCCCGCCCCGTCCGCCTGAGCCGAAGCCGTTGCTACCGTCAAGGTGCATGCGAGCCTTGGTCACCTGCCACCACGGCCAGAGCTCACACCGATGATCCTCGACCCGCATCTGGTTGAGGGCCAGGAACGACACAAACATGGTCATCTGGAGCACGGCGTTGACGAGCACGGCGCCGGCAGCGTACGCCGCAAAGTTTCGGACGGCAGGCATGCCGACCGCCGCTCCCAGGGCGAATGCCACGGTCTCGGTCAAGGCCGAGAAGAGAATCGACGGGCCCATGCGGCCGAGCGCCCTTGCGATGCGCTCCTCCACCATTTGGTCGGGACAACTGACATTGACCCTCTCCAGCTCGTGCACAATGAGGAAGATGTTGTCGACGCCGACAGCCAAGACGATGAAGGGTATTACCTCGACAATGATGAGAGTGGCCTTGAGGCCGACCCACGAAAAGAAGCCGATGGAAGCAGCAATGGACATGAGGACAATCAGAATGCCCACGAGACCGAGCGTCACCTTTGACTCGACGAGCAACAAAGCCGGGTTGCGGAACATGTGCTTCATAGGCGTGCCCAGCGCCATGCACGCGTAAATGAACATGACAACGTAGCTGATGACGACAATCTTGGCATCGGTGTTTGTCGACTTGTTGAGTTCCTGCTCCAGGCTGATCTCGGTGGTGAAGGACAGGCGAAGCCCTCGCTGCTCTGCCTCGCCCTGGACCTCGAGCAAGCGGTCGCGGAGGGCGTTCTCCCAGTCGATGGCTCGGGCCAAGGCGCCGGTGCCCTCCCGAGCATTGTTGACGACCCATGTGACGGTGATTGCCCTGGCGTCGGCTACGTCAGAGCCATACCCACCCAAGATCATGTTGGGTTCAATGGGCTGGCCGAACTTGGGACGGCAACCGACTGGAGACTGGGCACAACTCCGCAGCTGCTCCTTCCAAGAGCCCTGGGTGAAGCCGCCCTTGGCCCACCAGTACGCCGACACGGACTGCACGACGCAAGCGTCATTGATGGGCTTGAAGCACAGGTCTTGAAGATTGTCGCCAAACGTCGGGCTCACGATGCGCTCGACGCTCTGCTCCACTTCAGTCCACCACTTGAGGGTCTCGTAGCTCAGGACAGGACCCGGCCCAGTTGGCTGGGAATCGTTGACAAGAAAGACTTTTTCGGCACGGTAAAAGGGGCCAAAGTGGGAATCGAAGTAAGCCTTCTCCTGGGCAGCGGCCGAGGTTGGGCTCACCCAGAGCCGCGCGGGCTCCCGCTCCAAGTCGAATCTGAACCACCCAGCGCTGAGGATCGCAACGAGCAAGAGGCTGGTGCCGATGGTGAGGCCGGGGAAGCGGGCGGCGGTGTGGCCGAGCTTGTTAAAGGCCTTGTCGCACTTGTCGTTGAGCCAGTACCGCTTGGTGGGGCGATCGCGCATGGCCTCGGTCAGGACAGGGCCACCCTCGTCCTCGTCGTCGCTATGAGAGGACTCGTGCAGCAGCCTCGTCCTTTCGACGCGGTGCTGCGCATACTTCTTCCAGGCAACGTGTCCGAAGATGAAGGCAACCAAGGCGGAGACGAGGACGCAGTAGGTGAAGATGGATGCGAACGACAGACAAGGCAGGGCCCCGACTTTGCAGGAACCGGCCTTGTGAACGGCGGGAAGCTTGGGGCACACCTGGGGACAGTCGACACAGACGCAGCGGTAGTCGGGGTCTGAGCCGTTGCACATCTTGGGGTGCATGTCCAGAGGGCCCATGTCGGGCTGGCTGTACGTCTCCGGGAAGTTGATCTGGAAGGGCGACCCGAAGAAGGGCTTGGTGTCGCCAAGGAACTTGAGCATTTGGTGATAATCCTTGGCGCCGCCGCCAATCAAGTCCATTGCCCTGCTGTTGGCGCCGCCGAACTTGACCTCTTTGCAGCTGTCGTAGAGGCCCGATCCGTATTTCTCGGATACCAGCTGGTCGAGCTCGGTGACGAGCTGCTTGCCGCTCTTATCGGCGGCTTCGGTGATGTTGACGAAGAGGGACTGGTCGGGAGAGCAGGTGAAGGTGCAAAACAGGTTGAAGAAGTTGTATTTGCATGCCGGGCACGAGCCGATGAGGGTGCTCGGCGTGCCGAGTTCGGACTTGAGCGCTTTCACCTAATGACCGATTAGTATGCGTCTCAGCAGATGATGTTGTGCATGGTGGGCCAAATACCTGATCCATAGTGCAGCAGACGGAGCGGTCGCTCCATTCAGCGCCGCACAGGTCGACGAGCTCCTTTCGAAGCTCGGCGTCAGGGTCCTTTGCAAGGCCATTGTCGACGCACGGCAGCTCCTTGCCAAACAAGCTCTTCTTGCCGCAGTGACCTCTGAAGGCGCACCGTCCCGGCTCATGATTCGGTGTGAAAGGTTGGGCGCCGGCGACAAGACCGGCGACAAGCAGAGACGCCGCCCCGAGCAGAGGCGCGGCCCGATGACGCATCTCGTCGGCTGGGGGCCTTTGGGGGCCGCGACGAGGCACTGGCGCAGAGGCTGGTGAATGAGAGGCTCCTTGTAGCAGCCAAGTAGGAAGACGAGGTTTAGTGGTGAGGCGGTAAAGGGGAAACCGGCGATCGGGAGGGGCGATGAACGGATGGTTGTGTTGTCGGGAGGAGAGTTGAATGCACGCCAAGGCCTCGCGGGTTGGCCAAGGTGTAGCGCCCGCTGGAGCTCGCTGGAGCTCTGGGGAGGTGGGTGCTTATGGAGACTGGAAATATCGTTAGGTACCTGAGTTCCGGGCGACAGCTGGTGCTCCAGTTAAGTACCTCCTCGGGACAAAAATATAGTCTCGATCTTAGTAAGCTGCAGACTGGGGTGGTAGCGACCGGCACTTGACGCGGGCCGGGTGGTGCAACCGAGCCGCGCCGGACCATCACGGTCCCAAAAAACACCAACCTCGGGTTCTCGCTCGTCAGCTACGTGTGCTTTCACAATCTGATATTATCGCGACACACTCGATTCATTCCATCTGGACAGCCTTTTTCACTGTCGATTTTCGCCTCGCAAAGGAGGCTGCAGTCACCGTCATCGATTAGTCATCGAGCCTCCGAGAAGAGATGTACTTGGTACCCTCAGTTTTCTGCCGCGGACGGACCCGCGTCATAGAAAGACCCTGGCAATTGCACTCATCTCGTTAGAGGTCCGGGACCGTCGAGACTAAGATGGTTTCACGATACACCGAAAATTCATTGAATGCGAAAATCAAGCAGATCGCAGAAAGTGAATCTAAATGGTCAAACCTCGCAGCCCGCTGCATGTACTTTGTCTACTGCTGTGAATCACCACGACGTTACGCGGTACACGTGATCAATCCAGCCTGCTTGAAGCGCGTCGCGCTCGTTGCCCGTCCCAGAGTTCACCAGGCAACCCATCCTCTTCACCAACACGCGCCCTGGTGACCAGAGACGAAGCACCTTCACTCCCAGACTCCTACCCCTCCTGTTGCAGTCCCGACACCGACGCAACGCAGCAAGACGCACCAGGCCACAGTTGGGCCAGTCAGCTTTCGTCGGATAATGCCTACAGCCAAGAGCCCCTCAGCCCCTTACTACTTGCAATTTCATGGCCCCCGTTTACTCCCCCAGCAGCGACGGCATGGCCGTTGAGGCCGAGCCGGACCTTGTTCAACACTTGGTGGTACGTCGCATGATTTCCCACCCCAGAGCCGGCGTTCATCTTGTGTCTTCGACTGGCCCGAGCCTCGAAACCTCGGACAGGCCGACTAGTCCATAGCGGTTCCTCTCCGCATCACATCTTGAACCCCCAGACATGAGAAAGTGCTCTCAAAGTTAGGGTCGCTGACTCGGATTGACAGGACTCGTTTCACACGCTCCTGGATGAGGCCCTCATTGTCGCGATAGCCAACGACTACAACCTCCAGGATCCTGTGGCCTACGATGCGGCCTTTGAAACGCTCCGGGGCCTCTCGCAGAGTGTGCCCTCGGAGGAGGCCACTGGCTTCAACGCCAGCGGTATTCCCGTCCATGACGAGGAGAGCGATGAAACTAAGGATGAATCGGGGACTTCGACGACCAACAGCCGTCCGACATCCCAGGCACATGTGACGGAGCCTTCAAGCACGGATGCCTCGTCGTCTATCGCTCCGGAGCCCCAAACCGACATTCCGCGCCTTACATCCTTCGACAATGACAGCGAAGAGTCTAAGATCCTCTCGCTGCAGTCAATGTTTGCAGAGCTGAGCGCGTATGATGTCTCCCACTCCCTCAAGAACGCGAAAGGCGATTTCCAGGCCGCTTTGGATGACTTGCTCAACAAGCAGTACTTGAAATCGACAGGCCAGGAGATCAAGGGTATCGATGGCTTCTTCCAAGCCGACGATGCGCCGCTATCCAAAAGCAAGCGCAAGAGAAAGAAGAAGAATCAGGGGAACCGAGCAAATCCGGATGCAAGCCCGTCCCTGGACGAATCGCCTGGCTTTGACGATGGTGAGTCACTTGAGTTTCTGCCAGGCTCGACACCATGGACATGGACGCTAATCGCGCGGCCGCTTGTAGGGCAACACGAGATCGAGTACATTGCTGAAAGGTTTGGCATTCGCTCCGACGAGGTGTCTGGCATTTATCGCAAGACTCAGCGCTCGGGCGGCGCAACTGTCGTGGAGCTCCTCAATCAGTACATCTCCCACGGCGTTGAGTCCAAGGACGACGCCGGCAAACAGCACGCCGACGGCCTCACGCGGAAATATCGATACGTTCCCGGCAAGTATATGCCGACCATTGTGCACGTCGCCGGCTCCATCCCTCAGTTTGCGGACGATCTCGCGGCTCTGCTTAACAAGCACTTCTCCAGACAGTCCAGGGGCCAGAAGCTCGAACTCGGCTATCGGCTGACGCCGTTGCCCCAAGAGGATATTGAAGGGGGCGCATGGCAGCTGGCGACGGCGAAGCCAGCGAGGAAGCTGCCGACAGGCCAAAAGGACCTGGGTCAAGTCTTGGAGACGGCAAACAATCTCCACCAGGCCAAGAGAGACACGCTGGAAACGGCGGCGCAGCTCCACCGTAGAGGAGCGGCGAACCCGCTGTACCGGCAAGCAGCAAGCTTCTACACGGACCGCGCGCGGGACCAGGCGAGACAGGCGCAGCAGGCCACTTCGGCCGCCGCCGACTTGCTGGTGCAGCAGCAGACGACGCCCAGCTCGGTCGACTTGCACGGTGTCCTGGTCCACGACGGCGTCCGGATTGCGCTGCAGAAGACGCGGGACTGGTGGAACGGCCTGGGCGAGTTTAGGGTCCGCAAGGCCAAGGAGGAGGGCTTCACCGTCATCACCGGACTCGGCCGCCATAGCGCTGGCGGCGTTTCGCAAATGCGGCAGGCCGTCGTCGCGGCTCTGCTGCAGGACGGGTGGAAGTTGCAGGTGGAGACTGGCAAATTTGTTGTCAGCGGTAGACGTTGAAAATCGGCGCCATATTAGACTGGGCCTGGCGATTGGAGAGTTGTCAAGGAGATCTCATGGAAGTGTGGGAGGAATGACGACTGATTGATACCTTGTATATCGTGTTGATTTCGGTGTAGAACCGCCTTCATATGGAAGGCCCAGCCCCGGCAGAGCGTCTTGCATTTATCAAGGATAGAACACAGCAGCACAAGTTTGTGTCTATGCCTGGATACAGAGGACGGCAGCGAGTCCAGAAACCTCGCCGGAACGAGTCGTCCACTTCCAGCCCTCCCGAGAGGCCCACTCAAGTAGTTTGCCGACACCGGTCCCAGACCGTCTTGCCGGACAGGACAGTGCTGCAAACCATAGCGATGCCGACCAGCCCGCCGTCGACCTTGAGCCAGCCGAGCCTCGACGCGGGTATCACCATGTCGAGCAAGTCGGCGAGCAGCTTCGAGCCCAGAGCGCCCGCCTTTGCGTTGAATTCGTCGGCCCACACTCGTCGCTGCTGCTCCTTATGCTTGCGCGCGCGCTCCTCGGCCTCGGCCTTGTCTTCTTTACCCTCTTTGGCCTCACCTTCAGCGGCAGCGTCCTGACAGTCGTCAAGCGCGGCGCCAAACCCATCGCCCGTCGGCGGCACAGGCCGGTAAGCCAGCATACCGAGAATCTTGGCGCCCGAGCCCAGTGCCGAAGCGTACAGCGCAACGAGCCACAACATCTGCGCCTCCTCATCGAGCCTAACAGCCTCGACGGGCCCAAAGAGCGTCACCCCACCATCCACAAGATCAAGCAGGGTCGCCGATTCCACGAGGCCGAACATGCCGTGCGCAGAATGCGCCAGCACGCCGAGCCAGGAGTCGATGCCCTTGGCGCGCGAGCCGAGGAGCGCCCAGCTCGACTGGAAGCTGCCGAGGAACCAGAAGAGGCGGATGGTGCGCCGCGCGAGGTTGAGCTGCGTCTGGAGCTGGAGCAGCGAGGTTGCGGTGGAGACGACGTCGATGACGGGCGGGGAGGAGGGGGGTGAGGAGGAGTAAAACGGGGGGAGCAGGAGGAGGAAGGTGAGGATGTTGGAGAGCAGCGATGGGTAGCTTGTTAGGACAAGAAGTATGGCCTGGAGGAGGCGGAGGAGGCGCTCGAGGCCGACTGTCGGACTGGTTAGAAGATTGAAGCTTCCATGTTGGACGAGATGGTCATGAAAGGTGGGCGGGAGAATGGCCAGCCCTTAACACTGCTGCCGTCAAGGCTCTCACGGTGGACATGATGAAGCCGGCGTCGATCGGGCAGCGCAAACGTGTCCGGAGTCTGACCACCCACGCAGCAGCCCGCCTCCCGCACAAACAGCCACCTCGGCGTACCCGAAACCATCAAATCACGCCGAAAGACGAGAGGTGAGACGCAAATAGGGCAATGGATGAGACCAAGACGGAGGAAAAGAGGTAAGGGCCCTCACCTATATCCGTCCCGAAAGCAACGAATGGCTCCAACATGCCCGCCATGTTGGGTGCTCTCTCCGACTGTGTTGAGCTTGGGCGACGACAATGGCGACAGGGTAAGCGTTTTTTTTTGAGGCAAATTGAGCAGGGCAGAGGCCACAATGTTAGCCTCGCTTTGTCGAGCTGCGTGGTCAGGATGAGTTGGCACGCATTGAACATGTTGTATTAGGGGAGAGGGCGGAAGCGAGTTGCATGACGGCCCAGAGACCCCAGACTAATAAGTTGGTGCGCGCACGTCCCGCCTGCAGCCAGCAAGGGCCTAGCCGGCCTAACAGGGCAGTGAGTTGCATGAGGATCAAATGGATGAGCCAACAAGAGGCTCTGGGAAATATATATGAAGTCGTAATTACGTATGTAAAGAAAAAAAGCCCAACTGGGTGAAAGAAACCAGAGGGACCGCAAATGGTACTCTACGCTACACTGACTTTGAGTGGAGATAAAAGTATGAAAAAGTCTCATCGTAGTATCACAGACGTAAAAGCTAGGTAATTACCTATATTCCGATGTGGAGAGGGGAGTGAGGGAAAGAATAAAGAGAGTAGAGAACAAGGGTTCAAACGGGCACAGTTCTCTACGCCGCAAGAGGTAGCGAGGCAACACATTCAGAGCAGACCAAAGTAAAAAGACTTGAACAAATAAATAAAAGACTAGTTGGATACAATACAAGTCTGTATATCGGCTCTCCATGGGCCGACAGAGCCTCGGGCCCAAACTCACGCTTCAAAGCGTCATCAAAACTCCCCTCCTTCGTCCGTTTTGTCTACATGAAGCAACAAGCTCTTCACTGCCCGGGAGATATCAGCTTCCCTTGGGCCCTGGCCCCGTGATCCCAGCCACCGGCCAGCGCCGCGCCGCCCGATTGCTTCGCGAAGCTCTGCATCCTCGCCTCCAGCTCGGGCCGGAAGTGGCGGATGAGGCCCTGGATGGGCCAGGCAAACGCTTCTCCCAAGGCTATCAATCAACACGTAGTCAGTCTCAGTCCACGGCAGGGGAGCTTGTCAGTGATGCTTACCGCAGATGGTGTGACCTTCGACCTGCTTTGTCAGTTCCTGCAGCATGTCGATCTCCCGCTCTCGCCCTTGGCCCTTCTCGAACCGCGACATGATCTGCTCCGTCCATTTGCTGCCCTCTCGGCAGGGCGTGCATTGGCCGCAGCTCTCATGGCGATAAAAGTGGCTCAGCCGGGCAATGGCGCGGACCACGTCGGTGCTTTTGTCCATGACGATGACGGCGGCGGTTCCGAGACCGGACTGGCTGTCCTTGAGGGCGTCAAAGTCCATCAGCTGGTCGTCGCAGATGTGCTTGGGCAGAATCGGGGTCGAGGAGCCTCCGGGAATGACGGCCAGCAGGTTGTCCCACCCGCCGCGCACTCCACCGCAGTGCTTGTCGATGAGCTCGCGCATGGAGATGGACATTTCCTCCTCGACGGTGCAGGGGTTATTGACATGACCAGAGATGCAAAACAGCTTGGTGCCCTGGTTCCGATCGCGGCCGAAACCCGCGAACCAGCTTCCACCGCGGCGGCAAATGGTCGGGGCCACGGCCACCGTCTCTACGTTGGCGACGGTCGAGGGGCATCCGAACAGGCCGACGGCGGCGGGGAAGGGAGGCTTGAGGCGTGGCTTTCCGGGTTTACCCTCGAGCGACTCGATGAGAGACGTCTCTTCGCCGCAGACGTAGGCGCCGGCACCGCGGTGGACGAAGACGTCGAAGTCGTATCCAGAGCCGCAGGCGTTCTTTCCTATCAGCCCGTCCTTGCGGGCCTCGTTGATTGCGTCCTGGAGGACGGCGGCTTCGTGGACAAACTCGCCGCGGATGTAGATGTAGGCGGCCGTGGCGTTCATGGCTCGGCCGGCGACAAGGCAGCCCTCGATGAGCTTGTGCGGGTCCTTGCGCATGATCTCTCGGTCCTTGCAGGTGCCGGGCTCGCCTTCGTCGGCGTTGACGACAAGATAACGCGGCTTGGTGTCCTTGTCCCAGTCCTTGAAGTTCATAAAAGACTGCAACGTGTGAGTCGGGTGGCGGGGCTCAGGTAGCAGACGCCGCCGCAGGGCAGACATACCCATTTGAGGCCCGAGGGGAAGCCGGCGCCACCTCGTCCTCGCAAGCCCGAAGCCTTGATCTCGCCAATGATCCAGTCATGGCCCTTGAGGATGATCTCCTTGGTCTTGTGCCAGTCGCCCATCTTCTTTGCGCTCTGCAGATCGGCGGGGTATCGGCCGTAGAGGTTCTGGAAAATGCGGTCCTGGTCCTTGAGGCCGCCGTAGGAGCGCTTGGGGGCGCCATCCTGAACCGTAGCGAGGCCCCTCACGGCCGTCCGCGAAAGGCCGACTGCCTTGCTCGGCGCCGCACCCGTGGACAGCATTGTATGTGTCGGTGTCCTCTGGCGGCAGGTGATTCTGCGGAAGGCGGAGGGCGGACCGAGGGGCGGTGTTGGAGGAGAACGTCGTGGGGTTGCTGTGAGGGCGAGATTTGAGGTGATGCACGAGATGGATGTATGTAAGCGTCAGAATTGCCCTCGACGTGGTTGGCCAATGCAAGGAGCACTGTGGCGACAAGGGCGGCCTACACGGTGGGGGCACGTATTTTTGCGCGTCTCGGCAAGTACCGACCAAGTTGCCAACACAAGTCGCCTGCTTGCCATTCATCCACTCCATCGGGCGCCACTCCTCTCCCGCGCATCTCAACAGATTCGAAGCTTGTCGCAGGCTTCCTGTCCAGCCATGTCGAGCAAGCGGCACTCGATCCTCCCTGCCATCGACCGCAGCGGTCCCAAGCCACCCGTCAGCTTCTCGTCCTCGCTCACCATCTCCGACAACGCCATCCTCCAAGGCACCCATTCCATCACCATGCAGTCCGAGACTGTGGTCCATCCTCGCGCCAAGTTCGAGTCCCACCTGGGCAGCATCCTCATCGGTCGCCGTTGCATCATCCACGAGCGAGCCCACATCGGAGCCCGCCCCGGCGACATTGCCGCGGCGAAACCTGGAGGTGTCGTCTTCGGGGACTATGTCGTCGTCGAGGTCGGGTCCAGAGTCGAGGCAGGCGATACCGAGATTGGCGAGGGGACCACGGTGCAAGTCGGTAGCAGAATCGGCAGCGGGGCCAAGATTGGAAAGGTACGACAGCCATCATCTCCCACGCGGCCACTCGCCCAAAAATATTAAACCCCGACGCAGCATTGCACAATCTCGCACATGTCGACAATACCACCGGGAGAGGTGGTCCCCGACTTCACCACCGTCTACTCAAATGGCCTACGTCGAACAGATAGGCGTGGCGTGTGCGAGTTGCGAAAGCACGGCCTGGTCAAGCAAATCACGGTGCTGAAAAAGATGATACCCAGCAATCCGGAAAAGTTCAAATGACGGCTCGCGTTTCGACATCTTCATAATATCCAACGACTTGAACGGCAACGATCTGCAAGCCTCGCCCCGTCATTGATACCGAGCTGGACACACAGCACCTTCCTAGTGGCTCATGGCGTCTTCAAACAGCCTTCGTAGCTGGTCCTTTTCGGCCTCGAGCTCCTTTGAGAGACCTGGAGCCAGCATCAACACGCGAGCCTGCGGAATGGTCCCCTCGACAAGCTCGTCGATATGCTCAGATCCGAATCCCAGCTCTTTTAATCCCTTGGGCTGGTCACCGAGCTCAGCGAGGAATTTCGTCAGAGCCTCGGCCAAGACTTCACCCGCGCTCTCCCTCTTGACGTTGGAAACATCGACACCAAACACCTCGGCCGCCTGGAGATGCCGCTCCGGGTTTGACGCCGCCGTGAACCTAAACACGGCCGGGGCCGAAACCGCCACGGAGACGCCGTGGGGGATCAAGGGGGCTGTCACGTCGTAGCCCGCGTGCTTGTATCCCGGGTTCTGGCCGGAGATGGGATAAGACATGCCTAAAGTATCCCAATGAGCTTCACTCTTGCGCGATATTCAGAGACCGCCTTACCGTGACATAGGTGTACGCCTGCGTTGCCAAAACCAACACCGGCAAGAGTGGCAGCGAGCAGCATCTCACTTTGCGCCTCAAAGTCGTCGGGATCCCTGATGGCACGGGGCAAGTACTTGACGGTACTGCGGAGGGCATGGAAGGAAAAGACATCGGAGATGGGATTCGCACCCTGGTACGCGGGCCGCATGATGGGGTTCCGGGGCCGGGGCGTTCTCTCGGTGTAGGGGATGGCGGTCCATGACTCGAGAGAGTGGCAGAGGACGTCGAGACCGGAGCTGGCCTTGACGGCAGCGGGCATCGTCCTCGTGTTGATGGGGTCACAGATGCCGAGCGTGGGCTTCAGGTTGCGATGCGCGACGCCCGTCTTGGCGCGCTTGGCCACGAGATCAAAGATGGCGGTTCCGGTCGTCTCGCTGCCGGTGCCGGCGGTCGTGGGAACGGCAACGAGGGGCTTGAGGGGCTTGTCGACGGGACGACCCTTTCCAAGAGGGGCGTTGACAAAGTCGAGAAAGTCGGCGTCAGGGTAGGCCGAATAGAGGTTCATGAGCTTGGCCGTGTCGATGACAGAGCCGCCGCCGACAGCAAGGAAGGCATCGGGCTGGTATGGCCTTGCCCACTCGATGGCCTCCTTGATGCTGGGACGAGGCCGAGGCAGGCGTTAGCAATTGGCGGACAGTACAGGCTAGCAGGGGACATACGAACTATCCTTGGGCTCTACGCGGACGTTGGAGTAGACCTTGAAGTTGATGCCCTCGCTGGTGAGCGCCTGGCGAACCTGCTTCATGGCGTCGAGCTTGTCGACGGTGGAGTCGGTGACGACGCAGACGCGCTTGGAGCCCATGTTCTTAAAGTCCATGCCGACCTCGCGCGTGACGCCGGGGCCGAAGCGGATGGACGAGGCAGCCATCTCAAAGGCATACTCCTTGAGCTCGGTGCTGCGGATGGAGTTGGCATAGCGGCGCGTGCCCGACTGGAGGGCGCGGGGGGTGAGGCTCGGGGGCGATTGGTGGTAGCCCGGCGTGGAGTGGCATGGGCACGTCGGCGGATGGGTGTACTGGATTGTGCGGAGCAGGCTGGAAGCCCGCTTGGCGGCCTGGCGGGACACGGGGATCGGTTAGAGGATTCCATGTGTCGCCACGGGAGGGGCGGAGGATGGGGATTGGAGAGGAACGGAGGGAGAGGCTTTACATTGGGGATGGCTCTGACAGGGGCTACCATGGTGATTGGGTTCTGGCGATTGGTCTGGGACGGACCGTCGTCGGTGAGTGAGCCGGAGGACGGGCGAGGTTGTTGAACGAGGCCCCGAGGTGCGTTTGGCCGGCCTACCTAGGCAAATGCTACACAGCTGTTAAGGATGGTTGCTAGGTAATTACCTAGCTGCTAACCCAGGTACGTAGGTAAAGCTTACAGCTCAGAGGCAGGTTAGGGCGGGCAGCATGTACCGGATGCAATCGTGGACAAGCCTCGGGTATCGGTAAGCAGCACCGAAGTGGAATGGACGAATGGACGGGGTCGGTTCACCGAAGTGGCACCCCTACCGTGCACGTAAAGGTTCTGGGGCATCTTCAACGGCGCCCGCCATCCGACGTCCCCCTTCCTCTCTCTCTCTCTCGCGTTTCGTGGACGCCATACCGGATATTGGCCGGTCGAGGCCCGGTAGTCTCTGCAGCTGGAGAGGGCCGGGCCTTTTCGTGTGTTTGACCGGGAGAGGCAATGAGAAGCATGAAGCATTGTTTCTGTTCAGGAGAATCACGAGTCCAATGGGTAAGGACACAGACACATCTCAGGTTGGCAGTTGAAGGCGACAGTGCTCCTAACTACCTAGGTAGGTATCTATCTAATACTGTGGGTGAGCACTGTAAGTATTTATGATTTATGTATGCGCGGTACCCACAGTGAGGATCCGCCTGCCTTGCGATGCCTGACCTTGCCCGACTTGGAAGGTAAAGATCAATCCGGGCATGGAGAAATGCTGCATATGCTGCACATGGGTATTGAAGTGCCATTTCACCTTTCACCGTCTTCTCAACCAGGTTTCAAATGCCTTTTTCAACGCGCAAAAGTGACGAATCCTTTAATAGCTTGGTCTCGGATCTTGTGACCTTGCTTCATCGACCTGCTGAATTAGTCGGACTCTCCTCGAAGAGGGCACTGTCTCGTCATCCTCCTCGATGCTGCCGTCTGCCATGCACCTGGAGCTCCGGTTGGCCTGCGCGACTCATTCACCGGGACCCTCCTCACTTGTCGAGGTCCCTCCCGAGCACACCAAACGGCACACGGCCGAGCTCGACTTGCTGGCCTTGCCCTCATTACGGTTAAAAAAGGGCAGACTGATGCGACACAACCCAATAAGTGCTGTCATGTGCGTTAACCGGAAACGACACACAGGGCACCCTGCCGTGTCCATGCTGCGCCGAGACGCACTCCGCGGAACCCTACCTCCATCATAGGACAATGGGCGATATATAACAAGTATGAAGTATATCCTTCATCGCCCGTCGTCTCCCGACCCTGGTCGCCCGTGCCAGGCTCTCTCAGGCGAATCCGGCATCACTTCCCCATCCCGCCCCCCTTCCCCTCCATCAAATGTCGCCGCCAGGCCATAAGCAGTCGACACGCGGCCGCGTCCGCCAGGTCCTGCCTAAGCTATACCTCGGAAAGTGGCCTACGGGACCCCTAAACTCCATCACCGACGTGCCGGGCGTCCTGGCACACACCCAGTCGGTGCAGCCTGATGGCGACAGCCAAGTCAACACGGGCGTCACCACTATCCTGCCGAGAAAGGATTGGTTCAAGTACTCGAGCTTCGCCGGCGTCTTCCGCTTCAACGGCTGCGGCGAGATGACGGGCGCCCACTGGATCAACGAGACGGGCGTCCTCTGCTCGCCCATTATCATCACCGCCACCTCGTCCGTAGGCGAGGGCTACCGCGGCGTCACCGAGTACTTTTACGACCATCATCGCAATCAGGACGGCGACGTCGACCTCTTCATGTTCCCCCTCGTCGCCGAGACCTACGATGGCTTCCTCAGCGACCCGGGTCGCTTTGCCATCACCCCCCAGCACGTCATGGAAGGTATCGACAAGGCCTCGGCCGACGCCGTGCCCGAGGGCAACACCGGCGGCGGCACCGGCATGATCTGCCACCGCTGGAAGGGAGGTACTGGCTCCAGCAGCCGCAGGATCCAGGGCTACGATGTAGATGGCAGAGAGGTCACTTACACCATCGGCGCCCTCGTCCAGGCCAACTACGGAACCAAGGACAACCTCCGCGTCGGCGGCATCCCCGTCGGACAGATCCTCGAGCAACAGCAAGGCCCCGAGGCCAACGGCACGGCCCGAGAGCCTCGCAAAGACGGCAGCATCATCATCGTCCTCGCCACCGACGCGCCCCTCCTGCCCATCCAGCTCCAGAGACTGGCCACGCGAGCGACGGTCGGCTTGGCCAAGGTGGGAGGCTACGGGCACAACAACTCGGGCGACATCTTCCTCGCCTTCTCCACGGGCAACAAGGTGCCCTTCCAGATCATGTCGCCGGCCACGCCCGGGTCCAACGTCAACCCCGACTATCCCCAGGCCCGGGCCGTGCAGATGACCGACAACGACACCATCAACCGCCTGTTCGAGGCCTCGGCTGATGCTGTGGAGGAATCCATCTACAATGCCATGTTCATGGCCGAGACCATGACGGGCTTCAAGGGCAGGACTGTCGAGGCGCTGGATCTGGACAAAGTCAAGGAGATTGTCGAGAAGCGGCTGTGACCACAGGTGACTGCTTGGTCAGAGAATTCTCGGCCCGCAAAGGCAAGGTAGAATAGCCAAGAGGGAAAATTTGGAAACTTTTCAAACTCTCATCATGTATTTGTTGCCTTTTGAGTGATTAAGCAGGGCGACACGGATCGTTGAACTGCCAACATTCCAGCCGACCGTGGAGCACACCCAGCCTCCATTGTTGTACAGCTCCGACCGGGTAATTAGTGTTCGTTTGAAATTGAGGAGAAAATTTTGGACCAATGCTTCTAGGCCTGGCTTCTCGCTGTAGCTGCATGTAGCCTCTTCACTGTCACCAATGAATGGCCCCCCTTGGTGCTTCATGTTAACGAGCAACCGGGAGGCTCGTGCTGGTACCTACGAAGCACCCCGTACCTATGGGGTACTGCAGAAAGCGACCCCCCGCGCCAGCCACCGTAGTGCAAAGCCCGCTCATTCCGCTCGGCCTCGGGGAACCGGAGCCCATTCTTGAACCCAGGTACTGTAATGCAGAGGCCAGGCTGTAATCAAGTACCAAAGGCAGCGGAAGACCTGCTGGGCACACATCTGTGCTTCAAACTGGATGGTGGTGCCGAATAGCGGTCCGGGTGCCTGAGCTGGAAGCTGTTACGAAATACCGCCCAACGAGGTACTCTCGAGGTACCTCCTCACCTGACGTACGCAGGTACCTCGCTCCCTACCACCTCGGATTTCTTACCCACCTTGGATCAAAACCTCACGGCCTCCTCCTGACGACATTGCTCTGTGGCCTCGCCGGTAGCCGACCGTTGACGACACCCTCGTCCTCCACGCGCACCCTAACCCGTATCGCCGCCTGCGCCTCGCCAAACGATGAACCAGCTGCATCCTCCCACGCCCGACTGACTCGACTCTTCTTCATGAGCCCCCCTAGGCTGCACCCAGATGGACCGCGCAAATGGAGCCGGACTAAGCCCGGCCGCCTCGCGGGCGGAGCGCTTCGAGGATGAGAAGCGCCGCATCATCGAGAGCTGCTTCAGCAAGAAAGAGGACGACGGCTCGCGTAAGTCATCCATTGATTGCCCGCGGATGCCGTCCAACGCAACGGGAAGAGGAGGGGTATCGCTTCATGCGGGAGACAAAGCAGACGCTGACCTCGCTTCGCAGTGCTCGAGACCTACATCACCCACATTCGAATCACCGAATATGCCTCTCACCCCTCGTCGCCGCCCCCGCCACATGCCCGATCCTCCGACTCCGAAAAGCCCCGAGTCATCATTGTCGCCGTTCGCCGGTCTGGTCGAGTGCGCATGCACAAGTCCAAGGAGAACGCTAGCGGCACCTTTTCCATCGGCAAGTCGTGGAACCTCGACGACCTCTCCCACATCGAGTCGTTCACCGGCTCCCAGGTCAACCCCAACTACCGCGAGTGGGCAGGCGATACCGGCTTTCTCGTCACCCTGGGAAAGCCCTACTTCTGGCACGCTCAGACGGACAAGGAGAAGAAGTTCTTTGTTGCTAGCTTGATCAAAATTTATGGCAAATACACCGGGGGCAGGCTTCCCGACCTGGCCGGCTTCGACCAAAAGGAGCTCGAGCAAGTTCTTGGGGCCGGCCGCCGCCATCCTGCTGTCAACTCTAGGTCGCCCATTACCGAGACGGCCCCTAGTCACCAAAGCATATCGTCGGGGGCATCGGCGGCTCCTTCGCCGTCTACAATACTCCCCCCATCCAACTCTAGCACTCCCGAGCCGACGCGGTTTCAGAAGCCGCCTCCAGCCGTTCGGCCTCCCCTCAACGGTGGCGGCTCTCCTGCCGCGAGCTCCGATTCCATTGCCTCGAGAGAACGACCCCCGGCGCCACGGTGGACAGCGCAGAACAACAAGAGCCAGGACTCGGTGGCCAACTCCTTCGCCACAAGGAGCGACGATGCAAGCCTTCCGCCTCGCTCCCGCAACGGGATTGGCGGCCCTGGCGCATATGGGAGATTTGGCGACTCGAGGGAGCCTCCAGAACTGCCTCAAGATGGCTCCGCCCCGCACCTAGAAGATAGACCCCCTCCGGAGAGGCGACGACCGCCTATGGATCCGTCTCGCCCCCAGGATCGGGATCTTGTACCACCGCCCCTCATGAGTCCCAACGCCAGAAGAGAGCCCGTTCCCCCGCCTCCGAGAAGCACAGACCGAGTGTCTTCGAGGAAGAATGCGGGTCCAGGAGCCGCAGCCTTAACCGGTGGCCTCAAGGGTCGCGACGCCCCGGCGCCCTTGGAAACGAGTATGATAGCTGAACCTCCTCTGCCGGACCAGGCCCGCGCAGGAAAGGGCGCCGCGGATACTTCGATGCCCACTACGCCCGCCGCCGATACTCCGCCTCCTGCAGAGACGTCTCCCGGGCAAGAACGCGCGGAGGAAGAAATGCGACCCGGCTTGGGTCCCATGATCAAGGCCAAACGTTCCAAAGGAGACCTCGCCGGTGCGCTCTGGAAAGCCGCTTCTGCGGCAGCCGCCTTTCGTCCGCGCCCTGGCGGTGCGGGCGATCGCCTACGACAGCCTCAGGGCAAGGGGGGCGTCGGCCCCGACGGCATCACGGGCGTCGTCCCGGCGCCGCCTCGACCGGCTTCACGAGACCAGGGGTCTGCGACTCCAGATGTCGGAAAGCCAGATGACGACGACTCCCACGTTCCCGAAGTCAAAGTCACGGCATCGGAGTCCGGCCTGCCGGCAACTGCCGATCCATCGTTCAAAGAGGACAAGAAGAAAAAAGAAGAGCCTGGGAAGGAGGAGCCTCGACGATCAGTGGTCGCTGGCAACGACGTCAAGTATCTTCAGTCTCTCGGCATCGATTCGAGTGTGCTGGACAACAGGAGCGAAGAATTTGGAAAGTGGCTAGACTACTTTGGCTGGGTCCCCGGGCAGCAGATGCGCTCTCAGAGCATGGACGATGTCAGGGCGGATATTGAGCGAGAGCTCAACAAGGCGCAGGCCGGGGGCTGGCTTGCCCGCTTCCAAGACGAGGACGAGAGGGTGGATGCCATCAAGCGAGGCATTGATCTGGCGATTTCAGAGTGTGAGGAGATGGACAACCTACTCACCCTCTACGCGGTTGAGCTCTCGGTAAGGCGGACGCCCATCACTGGCGGCACTTATACTAATGGCTTGTATAGACGCTCTCGGATGACATTGCATACATCGAGGCCCAAGGCCAAGGCCTCCAGGTGCAGACGGCCAACCAGAAGCTACTCAAGAAGGAGCTTGAGTCTCTTTTGGAAACTTGTGCCATCACCTCCAACGATCTCGAGGCGTTACGAGTGGCCCCTCTGGAAAACATGCGTGGGCTGGAAGACGTTGAATTTGCCCTCGTGACCCTCTTCAAAGCCATGATCAAAATTGATCCAACGCTTGGTGGCCACGAAGCCGCACCGACGGCGGATGCCACCATGGATTCGGAGCGGGTTCTCGGACTCAACAGCGACTATGGCAACATGAGAATCGTTCAGGAGAAAAAGGAGATGTACCTGCAAGAGAGCGCCTACTTCATGCGACGGCTCATCGAGTTCATGGCCAGGCAGTTTGACGAGGCTTTCGCCGAGACAAGGCGTTCCCTGGAAGGAGCCCTGTCGAAAAAGGGCGACTCGTCCAACTACGATGCCGGGAGGGATATTCTGTGGAAATACAGCCCCTTGATGCTATACGCTCGAGATGTCGACTTGGACAACTGGAACCGACTCCTCCAGATCTACCAAGACAAGGGCAGCCCGCTCTACAAGAGTCAGGTCCAAAACGTCGTGGCTGTCCTGCGCAGGAATGCCCGGAAACCGACGGGCGAAGAAGCGGATCTGCTCTTCTCGTCGCAGGTTGAGAAGCAGCAAGAGGGCGTGGCGACGACTGCCCGCAAACTGACCGTTAAGAGGAGCCAGACGCTCGCCAGGGCCCTGCGCTCGCCGCTGGCGGATGGTGGTAGCCGGACGAACGTGGACAAGGCAGGCTCCGATGGTGGGTGCCACTCGTACGAAGTCTTTTGCAGCGTCTTGGACGATGTCTTGCCGCTGGTCGAGATGGAGCAAAACTTCGTCATCGACTTCTTCCATGCCACGACGCTGGAGCAAGTAGACTTCCCCGACGCTGTTGCCGCGCGCTCTCCTCGCGATCGCCGCGGCGGAGATCTGAGGCGACACCGTCTGATGGAACCCGACCGGGACTTGGCTCGGCGCGTGACACGCTCCATGGAGGTTATATTCGTCTTCCTCGAATCGGAGCTGCAGAGGATGATGGAATGGGTTATTGGGCAAGACCCTTTGTAAGTGCCACACGCAATGGTCCTCTTTCACGGCAGCGTCACGGCAGCGTCACGGCAGCGCTGACTGGAGATATAGGCAAGGGATTGGCGTGCTCGCTGTTTTGGAAAAGAAGTTGTCGGAGATGGGTCAGTCAAACCAAGACTACGTGAACACGCTCCTGCAGAAGCTGCACGGCCTGCTCGAAGGACGATTCCGAAAGTTTGTCGACGAACAGATCCGAGCAATCGAGGAGACCAAGGTCAAGGTCAACAAGCGCAGAGGCGTCATCTCCTTTATTCGCGTCTTCCCCGCATTCGCGGCTGCCATCGAGAGCATGCTCGTCGGCATGGATGCGAACCTGGGGTTGCGGCGCACCGTGGATCGCGAGTACGACCGTATACTGAAGTCCATGTTTGACTCGCTGATGGTGATTGCCCGGGAACATCCGGCAGTAGGCGTTACGAGTGGAGCCGCGGATCCGGAAGACAAGGAGGCGCTCAACTTTCACATTCTACTCATCGAGAACATGAACCACTTCCTCGAGGAAACGGACACGCGCGGGCTTGAGTTGCTGGAGGAGTGGAAGGAGCAAGCCAACACGGAGTACCACGAGCACATGGGCCTGTACATCAACGCGGTGATGCGCAGGCCCTTGGGCAAGCTCCTGGACCAGCTAGAGAACATTGAGGCGCAGCTACAGACGGGCAAGTCGGCCGAGGCGATAGCGCGGCAGCCTTCGAACAGCAAGGCCATTTTCAACAAGGTACTGAGCTATTACGACTCGAAGGAGGTCCGCAAGGGCATCGAGGCGCTGCGCAAGCGCGTGGAGAAGCACTTTGGCGACGCCGACGACCCCGCGCTGAGCCGCGGCCTGGTGCTCAAGGTGACGAGGGAATGCGAGCTCTTCTACCACGAGGTGGAAAGCAGGATCGGGCGCGTGACGACGGATGTCTACGGAGGCGAGGTGCCGTTTGAATGGCCCAGGGCAGATGTCAAGGCGGCCTTTCGGTGAGACGAGTGGTCGATGGAACAAGGCGATTTGAGGGAATGGGTTCCCGATTGAAGATGTGCGTGTGTTTATTTGTTTCAACAGTCATTCTTCCTCTCGACGGACATTGTACCGTGGGGGCCCTTGGCGTGGGCCTAGGAGGGCGGCCCAGGGGAGCAGCAGGAGGAGCGTGACGGCGCCTCTGTACACTATTACGGCCGAGGGTCTATGGCAGCCATGAAGAGAAGCGATTGCAGGGCTGCGGCTACGGAAATCTGGGGTGGCAATGATGATGTCGTTGATTCGGCGGGCTTTCTGGTGTGATGGGACACAACACTTGGGCGTTTCGCGACATGTAATGCAGGCCGGGATCATGCTCGGTGCTTGGGATGAATCGAGGTGAGGTGATTGATGGCTATGAACTTGTGACGGAAAGGGGCGGCTGATTACATAAGACGAAATGGCAGGTACGTACATGGACGTCGCGACTGCCACCTAAGTTACCCGTACCTAGGTATTAATTAACGCGACACGCGTCATCTTGAATCCATATCCACCAACCGACGACCCACGCACTCGACAGCTCAATATCCAACGGCTAAGTACAGCTTCCTGCACGCCTCAGGAACAGTGTCTATTGGTACACTCACGCTTCGACGTCGGGAACCCCGGATCACACCCGTGGCTCGGGGCCAGATGGCTCCCGAGACGCGCTCCCGCGGCGTCGCTCCGCCGAGTAGAGTCTACCACTCGTCGCCCGTGCTGCAGCAGGTCCAGTTCCCCTCGCGGCGCAAGAAGGTCCGCACCTACGGGCGGCAAACTTCGGACCGCCTACGCCAGCAGACGCTCACCCAGATAGACTTTGTCTCGAGCTTCGACGACGACGATGACGACGGCGTCATTGTTCTGACGGACAGCGAGGACGAGGGGCGCGACAAGGAGAATAGGAACCCCGAGCCGCCCGCCAGGGATCATTCCAAGAGGGACAAAGAGAGTTGTGCAACGGAGGACAAGGGTTCGGAGCACGAGGACGACGAGCCGGCTCCGTTGAGGCGGAGGAATGGCGGTGGGAGGAAGAGACCGGTGCCCGAGCCGACTAACAAAGGGGCCAAAGGCAAGAGAAGGCGCACGTTGGGCGATGAGACTGAAATGAGCAAGGCCGATGACGACAAGAGCTCGAGGCGGAGAACCATGGGCGACTCGCCGGCCACGTCCAAGTTCCACACCCAGACCTTGACGCAGTTCCTCGGCCACCGCTCACTCATCGCCGACTCGGACGACGACGCCGACGACGGCTTGGCTACTGGCAGCGATCTCGATCAAGACAATGGCTTCCTTGACTGGCTCGGCGAGCAGGGTAGCCCCAGTCTAGGGCGCAGCAAGACCGCCACCCGGCTCTCGCCTTCCCACAATGCTCGCTCTACCGTACCCGCGTCCAGACGTGAAGCCTCGGCATCGGCGCATTCTCGAGAGGAGTCCGTCATCCCACAGACTCCTGTCAAGCGCGTTCCCGCTATTCGTTTTGCCGTGCCTCTCGAGGATGTCTCGGGCGGGCTCGCCTCGAAGATGAGGCGCTACGGGCCCCCGGACATGCTCACCTCCCCGCTCAAGGACCGTTCGTCGCCCGCAGCGCGGCTGCCGCTGGAACTGACGGGCACGCCTCGACACCTAGCGGCGACACCAACGCGGCATCGAACGGCGGCCGAGACGCCAGCAAAGAGTCATAGAGAGACTCCATCCCCAAGGAAGAAGGCAACATCTCCGGAGAAGGCGGACAAGGGTCTCGAGGAGATTCCCGATTCGGACGACGAGGATAGTTCGTTCGAGCAGGAGAGCGAACAAGGCGACGACGATGGGGGGAGACATGAAGGCGATCACTGTTACGGTGCGGGCGCGGAGACGCAGCTCGCCATGCATGCGCTGGCTTCCAGCGAGGAGGAGTTGCTGCTCGACAGGCCGCGTCTAGGTCTCGTCCAGCCGTCGTCCGCACAATCTCCCAAGCCGCAGCCGACCTCGAGCCCGGTCCCGGAAACCACCGGCTCCATCTCGACGACCCTGTCTGAGCCTCCATCACCAGGGTCACAGCCCGCTCCCACGCCTTCGCGCTTGGCGAGGCCCAAGCCCAAGCCCGCCAAGCCCATTAGGAAGCCTCTATACCACCCGCCCTCGTCCCCGCTCCAAAGCCAGCCCCTCGAGTCCCAGCGCGTGCCCATATCCATCTTGCAGTCCCTGCCGCCGCACACGGCCCGGTCCGACATCCTGCTCCCCGTCGGCGCCCCCTCGCTCGCGGCACTGCTCGGCGGCCACCAGGTTCACGTGCACACCCCCTCCAAGATCCCCGACCAGGTGGTGCGCTTCTGGCTCCTCGACGGCGCGCTGCTGCGCTACATGGCCTGCGTCGAACTCCCCGGGGAGGCCGCGCGGGACGGCGGCGGCAACGACGTTTGGCAGTACTACGTCAAGCAAGTGTACGAGCTGAACAACCCCGTCGACGAGGACGACATGCGCGAGGAGGGATGGGTCAACGGCTCGGTCGCCAAGTACGTCTACCTCCCGCCGGCCGTGGTCGGACAGCTGCTCTGGAACCTCCGGCATGCCCTCTTCCGGGACCAAGAGGCGCAGCAGGATGATGCCGACGAGGTGGACGAGGAACAGGGCGCAGGCGAGGTTGAGGGCGACGACGGGCTTCCTCGCGTCGACGGCGGCGGCGCTCGGCAGCGGCAGCAGCGACGCCTTGCGAGATGCGAGATGCCGGCCGCCGACGGCATGACCGTTTCTCAGCAGGTCGCCGCCCAGATCCGCAGCGACATTGCCCACTCAACCCAGTTCATCCCCTCGACTCAGGATGACGACGACGACAGCCTCGTCAACGCAGAGGAGCACCCCCCCCCCGTTTCCGCCCCTCGCCAACCTCCTCCCTCTTCCTCACCAAACTTCAACGCTGCTGCTTCTGTTACCGCTTCTCCTCACCTTCCTCCGCCCCCGCCTCCTCCACCTCGCGCACGCCTGCCCACCAAGCATCTCCCCCGTCTCTCGCAGGCAACCACGGCGTCGCAGCCGTCGACGCCCGAGAAGCCGCAGCAACACTCGCTCGGCAGCGCCAGCCTGCTCGCCTTGCTCGACCACCACCACGACGCCGCCGTTCCCTTGCCATCGTCGACCCCCTCGGTCCCCGCCTCGCAGCTCTTGTCCAGGAGCCAGTTGCTGTCCGAGAGCCTCGTCCGCGACCACACCCCCCCGCCCCCGCCCCCCGAAATCTGGGACTCGGACGACGACGACGTCCCGCTGTGAGATGCACCCGGGAAGGGCTTGGAGAGGGGCCCACGTTTTAGACTATGGCCGCGCTGTTTGCTTGGGGAGGAGCTGGTAATTAGACAAGACGGGCGAGAAGTGGCTTGGCTTGGCTTTGTAAACGCAGCCGTTCTTGATCCGCAGAGGCACTGTATGCTTGTCCTCGCTGCCATGGATGAATGAGTGTGTATATATGAGCATATTGAAGTAAACACAGAATCGCACACTAGAAGAAACAAGACAACCGCCGCAGCTTCCCCGATCTTCGTCCCAGCATCCTCCGTCCCCATGCCGACCAAATGCAATTTCATCCCTTGGCCACGCACGCCTCGCTTCCCCTCGCAACCCTTTCTTCGTCGCCTCATTCTTGTTGCCACGCCCCAAGTACACCCGCCAGGGCGTCTCGACTTTTGCAGCTATCAGGGGGCCTCTCCTCCATCCATTTCCCCACTGCCTGCCAGACGAATTGCTCAGCCCATCATCCGCCCTTTCCGAGCATCCCAGCCGGGGAGATTATGCGGCAATTACGACTCGCCTGCTTCAAAGCGCAACCGCTGTGGGCGTCATCCAGTGGTGCTCAGTCCAATGAAATTGTCTATTACTTTTCATTCTCCCCTCGCTTCCCTACTTGAATCCTCAGACTTGCCTCTCAGGCTCCTCGTTTGTCCCTAGTCGTATCGTGGGGCGCGTCAAAGTGTCGTATGGTGGAATGCGCAGCAGTGGCGCCGCTCGTGTTTTTCGAAGTATGCCTATGAACAAGCGCTCTTTTTTTTTGGTTTAATACACGTGCCTAGGTGGCTAGCACCTGGTAAAGCTCTAAGCCTATAGCTCGCTGGGACCGGCCACTTAGTCTCCATGGGCTGTGATGCGTTCCGATAAGTCTTCCAATACGCTCACGACAGGTGGAAGGCCCCTTGACCCTCCTTCATCGCCGTGAACAGCTGCTTCTTCATAATGCCGACGGTAGTGTAGTCGGGCAATTTCAAGTAGTTCACACACGTCATGACACTGGGGAGGTAGTCATCAGACGTGTAGGGCGCCTCGCTGGGCTTGCACACCACGGTGAACATGGGAGTCAAGCTCCTAAAGCCTGTTTGGTGAGAGTCAGTCGTTGGCACAACAGATTGATCGGCGGGAACGAAAGTCAACGTACCTCCAATGGGAAGCTTTGGGCTACCGGTAGTGAACTGCAGAAACTCGCGCCGCTGCTGTGCGTCGAACTCACTCATCGACTGCAACAGGTTCCTCACGCTTCGGCTATCCATGTTGTAGCCATGATCAGCCTTGATGGAGTCGGTGAGAGCTATTGATCGATTAGCAAACGCTCATAAACATTCGCAATGCGACGGTGCGCATACTCTCCAGAGACCAGTCCTCGTTGACCTTGCCAAACAAGCTGACCAGCTCATCGGGCGTGAAGGCGCTGAGGGCCGAGTACGGAAAGACTTGTGAAAATCCCGCTCGGAAGGCATCCACTTGATGGCGCACGCCCGACCCAAGGGTCATGTCAATGACGTCGTCGAGGTAAGAGTCCACATTCTCCATCGTCACTCGCTTGTGGGATCCGTTGACCCCCAGTTCAATGCTCGGGTAGCCGGGCAGGGTAAAGTCCAAACAGAGATCCTCGAGTCTGACGTTATCCACGACGAGGTCTGTCGTGTCGGCGACTTTCTGAGCAGGTGAGCGGTTGGGGTCCTCGTCAATCTCCTTCTTGGCCAGCGAAAACTTCTTAATGACTTTCAACGAGCGCGCCAGGCCTGGATCAACCATTTTCACGGCGCCCAGAGAGGGCTTGACGCCGGTGGAGGGTCCATCTCCAATCCGGAAAAAGATGGGGTTGAAGTGTATATCGATGATGCGAGAGTCAATCATGGATCGTGCCACAAACTTGCCGAGCATCTTGAAGAGATGAAGAATGCGTTCCCCGTTGGGCGAGCCGACTTCCTCCTGACTGAGGGGACGTGGGAAGAGCCCAGTCTGGCCGAAGACAAACTCGTCTGCTCCCATGGAGTCCACCTCGCGCCAGAGCTTGAGCTTCTTCTTGGAGAATTCTTGAGACACTGTCGAGTAGAACTCCAGGGTCGGCCCCAGCCCGGTGCCCACCTCTTCAAAGTACTCAACTTCCAGGATGCTTTGGGACGCTCCGTACAAATCCATGACCTTGAGAGCCGATTCGAGAATCTTGAGTCGCGAGATCCGCACCTTCTGCCGCTGGAGGCGCCCGAGGAACGGCCGGTCGTTGTTGCGGTCCCGGCGGTTTTCGTCCGCCGACTGAGCATTCTGCCACCTTGCCATCGATCGGGCATATCCAAACGATGTTGACTGGAGGAAGAGATGCCGAGTTTCAAACGGAAAAAGGAAGGGATAAAGGCGGGCGAGATCTTCGGACCAGCTCGGCAGGCAGCTGCTGGCCACGATAAGAGGCTCTTCGAGCTGGCGGTTCAGCTTGGCAGTGAGTTTTGTATTGACAAACTGAGACGGCGGCTCGACGTTGACGCTGATGGCGCCGGTCCCGTTCTCCACCAAAATGTCCTCGATGTTGGCGTTGAGCTCGTGGAGAATGTTCAAGAGGTGCAGGATAGAGGCCGTCGTCGGGTACTTGGCAAGCGAGGCAGGTATTCCGCTCTCGGCGTCCGCCTCAGCTTCAAAATTGGACCCAAACGCCTGCGATTCCGCCGGCGGTGGCCCGGGTACTCGCCTAAACTTGATCGGATGAGTGGCAGACCAGATGCTTCGGCTCAACAGGTCGTCCGAGTTGGTCGCGGTCGAGGTGTGCACGGCGCGATAAATGGTCGTCTCGTTCGGAATAACCCTGCTGTCGAGACTGAACTCGATGTGCCAGTCCTGGGGTACAGCCTGGAGGGCCGAAGCGTAGGACATTGGCGGCTGCGGCGGCCTTGCCGCAGTGGCTGAGGGTGTCGGAGTGCCCCGCGCAGACCCGGAGACTGACGGGTCGCTGCTGCGGGTAGCCAGGCTGCTTCCTGCAGGTGTCGGAACCCTGGTTCCGTCGTCCTTGCGAGCAGTGATTCTACCGCCAGTGGCGACTTCGAGATTGACAGCAGATGGCTCAGGTGCCGAGGTGTCTTGGGCCATATCCTCATCCAGCTCGCCAACTATGGCATCCAGGGCGCCGCTGTCGTCTTCATCTTCCTCTTCGTCCGACAGCTGCCTCTCATCAGCACACTCCAGGGTGTTTTGGGGCACATCGTCTTCGGTGGTCGGCGGACGAGGGGGTGGAGGGGTCTCGGTCGAGACGACATGGCGCCGAGAGGAGCGTCGCAGGGTGCCTTTGCCGCGAGACGGACCTGCGGCCTGTTCTGACGTCGAGGCGTCGTTCGACTGCGAGAAGCTCCTGCTCTTCGATCTCCGGGAATATCTAGATCCAGAAGGCGTCGAGGCCGCCGGAGGGGGCGGCGGAGGAGGGGGGGGGGGTGGACCTCCTGAGAATGGCGACCTGTCGACAAGGCGGGCAGCCGCCGCGCTGCTCAGGGGCAGACCTCCCGCGCCGGATATCGCCGCAAATGCTCTGGCAAGTCCGTCCCGTCGCGAGCCATGGGGGCGTTCTGCCAAGCTGATACGGGGGCGGAGGTAGTCGTCCAAAGACTTGAACGTTGCAATCGCATGGATGGACACCATGATGTTTCTGTACGGCCGAGGGATGTTGGACTCGTCGTCTGCAACCAGTCGAAGCCGAATCTGCTTGCCGAGCATTGAGGCGGGGCTGCTCCGGTTCCCATCAAATGTGTTGTGATGCACAGTGATAACTTCGAAATGCTCCGACCTACTGAGCAAGTCCTGCAGTTTGTGTATCATCACGCTAAACGGAGTCGCTGGCGACTCTGCCGTGGTGGTCTTGGGTCTGGACTTGAGCGCACGGCCCATGAAGACTTCCAAGAACGTCGACTGTGCTGCGCGCGCGAGCTCTTCGTCTGGATTACTGAACACGTCGAGAAGGGTACGCACAAGGCCCGATGCGAGCAGCTCGGCGCTGGTGACGCTCTCCAGCACGTCGGTGTCAAAGTAAGCAGCCAACTTGTAGAACAGGCCTTTGCCCTTTTGAGCTGAAAGATCGCCCGAAGTTCGCTTCAGGTAAAAAGCGTCCAGCTCTCCGGCCAGATCGGAGAGGTCGCCAAGAATGGCGGCGGCTTTGGCCTTCATGGCCTGGCCATGGCCCTCACTTTCATGAGTGTCGAGGAACCTCTTGGCAACATCGCGAATGCGAGACTTCATGGACCGGATGTCGGATGCGTACCGATGAGGGGGCATGTCAAGCGACATGGTGGATCCTCGGGAGCTCGCGGGAGACATATCGCCGGGGATCGGCTCATGATCGTGATCCCCGTGTTCCTCGTCGTCATCCTCTTCATCTTCCTCATCGTCGTCGTCCTCGGCCGAGGTATCATGCCCTTCGCCTTCACCGTTATCGTTGTTCTCGTTCCCTTCGTCATCATCAACCGAGTCGCAATCCGACGCGTGGTCGTTACCCCCGCCGGAACCTCTGCGTGCCTTGGCAAGACTGTCACCTGGTTCATTCGCAGGCTGCTGAGCCGAGTCGGACGACTCCTCTTCCGTGGCAAGCTTGTTGATTTCGTAAATCACGCCCTCGCGATACAGCTGATAACGATAGATATTGTCCAAACGGCTCGATAGAAGCTCAGTGGCCTGAAGACCCAACATCACCAGAGAGGGATGGTCCCGCTGCGAGAGGATCGATGCCAAGAATGAAGCATACGGGACCGGGGTCAGAGCCTCTGCAAGTATGCCCTCGTCAAGGTTGGAGAGCATCTTGAGCTGTGCAGTCAGGACCTTCTGACGAACGCTGAGATTGACCGTGCTGGAAAAGGCATCGGTCAAGGTCGGGAATATGATCAACGCAAAGCGGCGGACCTCTTCCTTGCAATCCTCCAGAAGCTCGAGCCGCTTATCGTTGGGAGTCCGCCGGCTCCTGCCGCCCACGGAAGATGGGGTTATCGGTTCGGTCGAAGAATGAAGCTCGATGAAATCTCCGAAAGCCGGGTCTGCGTTGCGTGGCAAACTCGGCAGCAGCTCGCAAATGACGTTGAGAGTTTCCACAATCTGTTCTCTAGGTCGGTGGATGAGAGCCTGCATCACAATAACGCTGTCCAGCTTCGAAGCCACATCGTCGGTGCCGCTTGGCGGAGACACGCCTGTCAGGATTTGGTAGAGTGTCTCGACAACGTTAAGTTTGAAGAGCTCGGCGGAGAGTCGCGGGCTAGCACGTGCCGTGAACGCCAAGACGCGGAGAAACTGGGTGTGAATGTTGGACCCAATTAGGTTGGTGGTGCCCGGGACCAGAAGCCTCAGGACCACGCGCAGTAGATCCACGCTCACCAGCTCTTCGAGCTTCGCAGACTGGTACTTGAAGCTTTCGACGATGCCGGAGACGCAAAGGGAGGCCTGCTCAACGACACGTTGATCGCTGCTACCGAGGACGTTGAGGAGAATGGGCATGACCTCCTTGACAACGGGAAAAGAGTCGTCTGGAATATTGCGACAACAGTTGGCCGCCGTGGTGACTGCGGTTCGCTGGGTGCTCGTGGCGAAGAAGTCGAGGTATGACAGGCAAGCCGTAAGTCCTCCCTCGCGGACAATGCTCGACGGGTACTCGGCGGAAATCTTCTCGAGGGTGCTGAGGGCTTGCTCGGCCAGGTCGATGAAGGAAATCTCGAGGAGCTTCTGGCAAAGGACAGGGACCGCGTTCCCATAGACAACGTTGGCCACGCTCGCCGGCAAGGCCTCCATCAGGTTTGCCAGGCAACGACAGGCCAAGAGCATGACCTCCGGGCTCTCTTCCTTGTTCATCAGAAGCACCAGCTCCTTTACAAATGCATCGGGCGAAAAGTGTCCCGAGAGGTTATCTTCGTTGGACACCAAGAGGATCTCGGATAGTTCCTGAAGAGCAATGACTTGGAGTGAAAGGTCGTCTTGTCGGATGTTGTTGAGGAGCTCCCGAAGTCGGCCAGAGAGTCCTGACATCATGCCCGTCAAGGCCCGCAGGGTATTGGACAAGCCCGATCCAGGGCCACCAAACCCGCCGAATGGGTCGTCATCTTCATCATTCCCATCGTATCGGCCACGTTCTTCGACGCCCTCGTCGTCGTCATCATGATCCTCACTGTCGTCATCGGCCGGGCTTTCGACGGGAGGCGGGGGTGGGGGAGGGCCAGGCTCGACGTTTTCCTCTGTTCCGCTCATGGTGGTGTCGGGGTCGTCAGGGTTGTTGGCAGATCGCCTGGGCCTCCGCGAGGCAAGGGTCTGAGCAGGTCCCGAGTCTGGAGAGGTTGTTAGACGCCTGTTCTGCGGCAAAGATGGCGGGCACAGGGGTGGGACAACGAACCTTGCGCAGCAGGCACAGATTTCTTGCTTCGGCTAGACTTTCTCGACACTTGAATGTTGTTGTCTGGGGCATCTGGAGGACCAGGCATGGCGTGGCTGCATCGGCGTCAGTAACGATTGTCTCTGTGCTTCAGGGCACGAAAAGAATGCATGGATGTGAAACCCAGCAAACACGTCAAACGTACTCTGAGCTGTCCATGTCGGCGGATGCCTTTCCCTTCCTCCTCGGCCTCGACGCGAGCGAGGTGGCAGGCACGGACGGGGCGGGCGCGGCAGGCTCAGGAATCTTCTTTCTCTTTGACCGTCGACCCGAAGAAGTGGAGTGCGGAGCTGTTGGGGGGCTGTTGTCTGTTGACGAAGCCTTGCGCTTTCGAGCCAGCTGAGGAGAGACGGCAGGAGCGCTGGGGGCAGAGGCGGGAGCGGCCGGAGTGTCTGGAGCTTGAGCTGCCTGGCTCGCTGCTTGGCGAGCTGAGGACCTGGTTATTCTAGGAGACATGAGTGGCCTGAGATTTCGCAAAGAGCTACGAGAACCATCGATGCCGAGTAGGAGACGAGTGACAGAGGTGGGGAAGGGAGGGTATGACGGGGTACAGCTTGAGCCCTGTGGCCGAGAGTGGGCGGTTTGCACAGGCGACTGGCTGCACAACGGCAGTGTTTCAACCGGGGTTGGCGACGACCAAAATTGCCAGGCAAATCCGAGCGCCAGCCACAAGGCAGGCCCGGGAGGGAAGAGAGGGGAAAGGCATCAACCGGAAAGGCAAACGAGAGACGGGTCGAGGGGACGGAGAGATGAAGAGAATGAGGGCGATGGGAGAAGGAGAATGAGGTGGAGGACAAGGATAAGATAGCGGCGCGGTGCTGTGCGGCGCGGTGGAGCTGGGGCTGGTGAATCAGGGACCAGCTTGGCCAGGCGGTAGGGCCGCAACAAGTCCTTCTTCGCGGGTGGCGGCGGGACTGGCAGCCAGCCGTGAGGGGAGTGGCAGGCCCGACGTCGTTTGGGGCTTGCCAAAACAAACGCCCAGGGCCGTGGGGAGGAGCCGAATGCAGCGGGAACAAGGGCAGGCTCGACCCTCGCGGTGACCGAAGATGGAAGAGGGCAGGGATGCCAGCAAGGACAAGGCGGGAAGTCGACATACCTTTGATGGCCGGCAGCAGAAGCTGTCGACGGGGACGAGGCAAGTCGCACTTCGTTCTCGCCTGCCGATATTCGTTCTGCCATGCCCCAAACTACGCCATCAGGAGGGCAGGTGCGGGCGCGGCGTCAGGGTCGGCGGCGGGATCGGGGCTGCAGTCGGGCGACGATGCACGGGACAGGCGGAGTGCGGGTAGCACCGTCGACTGAGCAGACACAGAAGGCGAGGCGAGGCGAGGCTGTCGGAGGAGATGGGGTAAAATCAGGACGGGGACAAGAGGAGATTTTGGAGTCAAGGACGACGAGGGAGGCGAGCCGGTGCGCCGAACAGGACGAGACGGCCGAGGGCTGGCACCCCTTTGGTTCCGGTGGCGTTGGGCGCTCTCTCTAGGATTCTGTGCCGTCGACCGGCTTGCTGAGTGGCTGCTGGATGGATTCGCGCATCGACGCTCGTCGCGGGGGGCGGGCCGAGGGGCTTCGGCTCGACGGTGATGGGATGGGATGGGTGATGGCTGGTCGCAGGAGGTGCGTCAGGCAAGCGTTTCGAAGCGGGTGAGTTGAGGTGGAAGCAGACGGACACCTGGGTAGAGGAGATAGGTGGGTACCTGCACTTGTTCGGGATAGAGGGGTACCTGAGGCTGGAAGCTTCGGCGTTGCTACTGTTCCATGAATATCTCCACTGATTGCTCAGCCCCGGCTATCTTCATACCCGCAGTTGGCGGGATCATCCAACCTGTTCTCCTCTCCCACAGTCGTACAAGACAAAAGGGTCATTGAAAAGGCACCGGACTGCTCCATCTCGTTACACCAAACTCCGTCCCGGTGCATCGCTATGGTACGGTACGGTACATGCTAGAGCGCCGGTACTAGAGCCTAGCGGAACAGAAGTACCGACTAACGGACCCCATGCTAGCCAAGGCACCTCCAGTGGGGTGTGGCTGGTACACGACTATCATCGGCTGTCTCATTCTCGCAGGCAAGAACTGGCAGGCAATTGTTAGGTTGCTACGGAGTACCAACCATGTAGATTGGCCGGCTCGTCCAAGTGCGGCCGCCGTGCCTCTTCTGAGCGATACTTAGTTATCTTTGACTCTCTCTCCATGACCCCCCGCCGCCTCACGGCTTCAAGCTGTCTTTGCCCCCCTCAAACTCGGCCACGTCGTACTCGTCCGGGTACTTGTCCAGCATCTCCTTGAGCTGGCCCATCTGGTCCCGGAGGTCGTCCGTCAGCTCCTCGTATACGTCCTCGAAAATCGCCCGCAGCGCCGGCTTCTTCTCCTTCTCCGCCTCGGCGAAGCCCTTGAGGATCTCCCGCCGCAGGCTGTCCCGGGCCTCCTTCTCCTTGGCCTCGTCCCAGCACCCCTTGGTCTCCATCCACTTCCTCAGCCGCGTGATGGGATTGTCGCGCCTCTTCCAGTCCTCCACCTCGACCCGCGCCCGGTAGGCAAACGAGTCGTCAGAGGTGCTATGGTGGGAGACGCGGTACGTCATGCACTCGATCAGCACCGGCTTCCCGCCGTCCTGGAGCGCCATCTCGCGTGCCTTCTTGACGGCTTCCCGGACCGCCCAGATGTCGTTGCCGTCGATGCGGATCGTGTCTATCCCGTAGCCGATGCCGCGACTGGCGATGCCGTCTCCCCGGTACTGCTCCAGGGTCGGCGTCGAGATAGCATAGCCGTTGTTGCGGCAGATGAAGACGACGGGACACGAGCGCGTGGCAGCAATGTTCATGGCGGCGTGGAAGTCGCCCTCGCTGGCCGCCCCCTCGCCAAAGAAGCACACGGCCACCCGGGGCTTGGACTTGGGTTCCTGCATCCTCTGTATCTTGAGTGCGTAGCCAGCTCCCGACGCTTGCGGCATCTGCGTTGCAAGAGGCGAGGAGACGGTGTGCTTGACGAGTAAATTGCGGCGTCAGCCATGCATGTGCACGTGGAGAGGCCGCGAAGACTCACAATGTGCAGCCGCCCGGAGCCGTAGTGGATGGGCATGTTTCTCCCCTTGCCGGTATCGTTCTTATTGGCAAACAGCTGCGACATAAACTCCTTCGTGGTGAAGCCTCTTTGCTTGAAGAAGCCCTGCTCCCGGTACTGGCAGTAGACGGGATCCTCCGGGTCCAGGACGCTCGCGCTGCCCACGCTGACAGCCTCCTCGCCGGCGCTCACCATGTAGAAGCTGAGGCGGCCTTGGCGCTGCGCATCGAACATGATGAGGTCCATGATGGATATGTACAGCATGTTCTTGTACAGCTCGACGACTTGCTCGTCGGAAATGTCCGCCTGGAAGGACTGGTCCACCACCTTGCCGTGCTGGTCGACGACGCGGTAGGTGGGCAGCGCCGCGTACGAGGCGGGGGTTTCGAAGCGCAGCTCGCTCGCAAAGGCGCTCTTGAGGGCGCCGGGGAAGGAGACGTAGTCGGAGTTTGGTCTTTGCGAGACGCTGCTGCTGGCTGCGCGGGCTATGGCGACGGCGGGCTTGGCCATGGACGCAGCCCTCCGCAGAGGGAGGCGCCGCAGGAATGGGGACTTCATTCTGGCGAGAGCGCGGCAGTCCCTGGTGCCTCTGATGCCTCTGAGAAGAGATGTATCTGGATCGAGGGGAGGCGGTGGTGGCCTTTGGTCTCCGGGACTGGGCGATGCCGAGGGTAAAGGGAGAGTCGGTCGCGCGGCCATGTCACTTTGAGCCGATAGAACCCGCGCTGACCGGTTTGCGCCGCCGCGTCCCGAGCTCTGGACGGCCCCGTGCTTGTCTTGGCCCTTTCCGCAACGATGAAACACCCCAGGATAGTAATTACGTAATTACGTAAATGTCCTTTTTGAGCCGCATCATTAACTTGGACCAACATCTTTCCTACCCGTGCAAACGTGTCATAGACGAGGCTTTTCGACTACAAGTCCACGTCTTTGTTCCAACAAAGCCCGGCCGTCTGACCTTGTCTACTCGTTTGCTCGCTCCAATGGATTCACTGCGCCATCCGTTCCCCGGCTGCCAAGGGCCGGCCTGGCAAGTTCACGTTGCCCGTCGCTCAGCGACCGCCGTCTCGGGAGGCAGATTTGTTTGTCCCGTTTGCAACACACCACCCGTATTCCGTTTACAAAATGCCGTGACTGTTTATTCGTCTCCCTCGCCCCAGCGTAGTGCACGCATATGCTAACGCCAGCCCCGAACACCATCACCGCCCGTCACTCGCCTACACCTATCATCCTGCCGCGGCAGCCTCCAGCCTTGCGCCACCTTGATCTTTGAAACTCTAAGAGAAAAAGCAGGCCCGGCGGGGCTCCGTCGGAAGCCATGGTGTCCAAAGCGGTGGGCATCGCGCTCATCATTCTCGGCCTTTGTGCTGGGCTCGGCGGGCTCTTCTACCTTGGCAAGGGACAGGTCCAGAACTTTGCCCAGCAGCTGTTTGACCACAAGACCCGACAACGGCAGCATCAGCAGCAGCCAGACCCAGACCCAGACCCAGAGGCCGGGGCCGCGCCCTCTGAAGCTGCCACCGCAGGCGCCTAGAACAGGTCCAGAAGGACTATGCTTGACGATTCTGATTCGTCAAGTATCAGTCACCATCATGCAACGAGGAAAATGGCCGAAATGGGGAAGGAGAGTCGGGATAGAGAATGGATGGGAAAATTAGCAACAAGTTTATCTGACCTGGAATCAAGTCAGACCTGAGAGAGAGGCAGAAGAAGAATGTAATGGACAAGTATGCCTGAAAGGGTGCGACGATTGAGGATTGTGCTACAGCTTCTGCAGGACTCGGGTGAGGAGCTGAGCCTCACCGCCTGCCGCCATTCTCTTGGTGCTGAGATTCATCGTTTGCGTAGACGTAAGCAAACGTTGTTTCGCACGGCAAAAGCTGGCATGCCGAGACTGGCCTCCTGGTGAAGGATCCCAAACCTCGCCCAGGCGACATGCGCACTTCAACAGCTGCCGAAAAGGTGGCGCAATCGACCAGTAGAGGGGTCGCTTTGCTCTGCTTGTACATTAGGCGGAAATCATGCTCGTCGGTCTGCTATTCACGCAGCCCTGCCATGGCGCTTTCGAGCTCTTGCTTGGCGGCTGTATCGTGTGAGAATAACTTGGCAAGGTTTTAGAGAGTGTCTCGGCAAGGCTCGAATTTTCCAAGCTCGTACGAGGCTCGCGCTTCGTGAAACAGCCGCTTCTCCTCCGAGGTCGATCCAGCGTCGCTGAGTCGCACGGCGTCTGACAAGACTTTCTCTAGACGCCCAAGCTTGAGGTTTGCCAGCGAGCGATTGAGGTAGGCAAGCCGCTCCTCCTCGGCTATCTGGGCAGTTCCGATGGCAGACGAATATCTGGCAGACGATCAGCGGACTCGACTTCCATCGAGTTGTGAAACAAGAAACGTAAAAAAACATGTGAATCTGCCCAGTTCGGATTCTTGACAGCCTCGCTGCCCAGTGCCCGATATCCCGGGTTGTTGTTGGAAGGCACTGTAGCCCCTCTCCATTTCATCGGAACATTCCTGTCGTTGCTCTCGAGCCAAATGATGCCACTGAGGTGGTCCACTCTGATTGAGTACGAGCCGTTAGTGTCGCGTTTGAAAACGACTCTTGGACAAGGCAAGCGTGGCCAGGCTGCAGAATGTGTTGGATAGAAGACAGCTATCCGAGACATTGCAGAGGCGAAGTCGTGAGAAATCGGAGGGCATTGATATTTGTTCAAGCTAGAGAGCAACAGCGAGGCAATCAATGATCCTTTCATCCACAATGACCTGTCAGTTCTAACTGACAGTAATGAGCCCGGGAGGAGAAGCTGAGCTCGTCCTGTCACTTTCACGGCGCTCTGCTGATCACATGATCCCCCCGAGCTTGCGACCTCGATTCCGGTTCTTCGTGTTATTACGGAAATAAAGAATAGCAAGTAACGGCTGTCCATGAAGCCTGTAGAAGTCCTATACCTACAGAGTGCATGATGGGCAGGCATCCCAGGTTTAAGAGGACTCTGCAATGCCTGAGGGGTGTGTCAGAATATTATGTGCAATAACCACGACCACTAACACCCTGGGCCAGACTTTTTCTAGGTTCAATGGTATTTGACAGAATGTGCTTGACCGGCACCTCCGTCTGTTCTGGTTGGTGGTAAAGCTGGAGCAACATGCAGTGCCCTGCTCGCCCTCGACGATTGCCATGACGGTCGTTATGCGATTTGCTGGCGTGCGGATGCAAAGCAGAGACTTGTTACCGCGATGATGGGTTTCCAGTATCATGTCGGAAGCTCTGACTGGTTGGAGCTCCGTAGAGGACCGGGAACAGGCTGCGCAAGGTGCTGGGACCTGTGACGTAGCAATTTTGTTGTCCAACAAAAATGAACGGACGGATGAGTGAAGTAGATTCATAATAAACCGTGAGCTGTCTTTGCTCGAGATGAGGATGATCGCGGACCCTCTGGCCCTTTCTTCGCATGGCTCGCTTCGCATGGCTCGCTCCGCATCACCTTTTGACTTGCTCCAGATAGGCCAAGTAGGAATCGACTCCAGATACATCTCTGATATCCATCTTGAACAGTCAGATTCTGAGCGAGTATCGGCTTGGGCCTGAAGTGTTTTCGCGTCCAAAGTGCAAGGAGCTTTGAATCTGTGCCTTCAGGAACGAAGAGTGCCTCGAGGAACGAAGAGACGAAAGGACTAAGGATGGGGGGAAACAGACTACTTCACCGTCGAAAGCCCCGGCTGTTGATTGGCTCGGTAGGTTGTGCTATAACAGACCAGAAGCGATCCATTATGCAAGCAGCTTTCGAACCAGCTGTTTTTTTTGGGGGGGGATTAAAGCTCACCCCTGCTGATCAAGGGCATTCATGCGGCAAAATAAGAGCCTCTCGAACAGGGGTTAGAGAGCGCATGTGGAAGTGATCAGGGGCAGTACAATCGATGTGACAACGATGCATGCCCTCTTCCAACTACGTGAGGCCCAAGGGGGTATTTACATGTACAGATACCTCTTCCAGACTCCGATATGGCTGCTAATATAGCCCTGCCCTGATGGTCCTGATGTTCTGATACGAAATTGCAACTTGCCTTGGCCTCAATGCGTACAAGGTAGTGATGGGTTATCCTTGTGTTGATATGTGTGTGTGTGGCTCCTTGGGCCCTGATGGTTGTTGCCCAGCAGAATCAGCCGACAGCCTGCAGGGCCAAGATTAAATGCCTAGGCCGGTTAAAAGCATTTTTTTTTCGGACCAACACTTAAATATAATTCAACCCAGCACGGCTACAGGCCATCAATTCACGTAGTCTTTTATTTTACAGTGGTCAATGCAATGTTTGCCAAGTTCAAGCCTTGCATGAATCAGTTTCTCTGCAAGACGCCATGGTCTTCGTTTCAGAGCATTTTTAGTTCCAAGCTCGCACAATCATTGCCCTTCAAACGTAGCTTCTCGCCAACTACGTCTGGCCTTTGTAGGATGAATGGTGCTCCAATCCACCAGTTAAGACTCAGTACATACAGTATAACCGCGAAAGTGGTGCTAGGGAAAGGCATCCCGCCTACATAAATAGGGCGTGTGGTCGGCGAAAAAGGAGGAGGGGGATTGGGAGGTCCGTCCATTGCACACAGGAATCCTTTGATCGGCCATGTTATTATTGACCTAACTTACTCCCCTGAGAACAGGGGTCGACGGGCGGATATTTGTTCCGCCACGGAATGTCTTGGGAAGGATTTATCCACTGGCTCTAGCGGTTTTACTGGAATAGAGTTATCATACGATGTATAATGTCAAAACCAAAATGTCTAGACGGGCTCCCCGTTGCCAAGACGAGCTCGATTTTTTAAGCTGTCGTAGAAACCCAGGAGAACTCAGAAATTACATATATATAAGACGCACACATCAGGTGTTGTTCGTCCAGTCCGCACACCACCTGACCCAGCGGCGACATCCTCCAGTTCCGTTCTTTAACACCAAGCACGAAAAGTCGTCTGTGGACTACACACTCTTTATTCATTCCTCCTTTCAATCAAGGCGACCATGAAAGGCAGTCTTGTTCTCCTGTCGTCTTTGGCGGTTCCCGTCTTTGCGCTACCGTGGTGTTCCCCTGAAGAGCAGTCCGTCGAGCCGGCTGCTGGGTCGAGTTCCGAACCCCAGCATCTAGCGATAGGCTTGGACATACAAATAACCAAGGAACTCAAAGAGGCGTTGAAAAATCCCAAAAGCGAGCCCACTGAGCTCGCCAAGCAGATATGCGCTCACCCCAGTGCAGCATTCCAATGCGACAATGAGTGTTGGAAACACGGGGGCTTCGTCCCGAAGTCGGCAACCCCAAACGACTGCAGGAAGAAGAAAAATCTGCCTGAACTGGGTCCAGGCGAGCCCGTTGGCGCTGTGTTCAGCATGAACATCGCATTGTATGAGTCCTTGGGCTGCCGGGACAACGTGGTGACTCCCCAATGCCTGGGATACAGCTTTGTTTGCAACAGCAACATCGATAGCTCGCCCGAGGTGCATGCGAAATGCAAGACGTGGAGGTTCACCCACCATCTGGAAGCAACGGCGGAAACTGAGCCTAAACATGGGGGGTCCGAGCCGGGTCCAAATCCCGGTAAGAATACCACTTCGCAGCAAAGCACGGTTACCAGCCAAACGGCCCAACTCCCGACAACCACTGCCACGACACGAGAGACTGCATCACGGACTTCCAAGTCGAAGGACGCGGCCTCTGAACCATCACGAGCTCCAGCCGAATCTCAGGCAGAAATCCCATCCACGTCTCACACAGACACGTCCACGACCAAACCCGTCATGAAGCCAGAAATATCGGTGGCCCATCCTCAGGCGCCCCCTGCTCCGAAAGAGACCGAGTCACATGAGTCCGATTCCGCCATGGAAACTCTGTGCTACTCTGCTGGCCCAAGCCAAAAGAGAAAAATCGATGAGTAAGATGAAAATGGCTCCGGAAATTCTCGGATCTGCTAACTCGGCCGTTCAGAATACTGGGAATGATTCCTATAGTCACAATGAGACCGTTCGATCCATCAAATATATTTGCTTCATCTCCACTGCCTCCACCACTTCCACCAATGCCAAACCAATCCCATTCATGCAGTGACAACACGTGTATCACGTAAGTACAGAGGATCTTATTTGCTTCGGCCTATTGGGCATTGGCTTACCATTTATTTCATCATAGGATGGCCTCCGCTGTAAAAATTCAGAAGATAAGGGAGCTCCCCGTAACGGTCCATGACCAGGATTTCTGCGACAAGCAAAACCTGAGAGCATTCCATTGGAAGACAGGCTAAGCAGTTTAGCGGAGCTTCTCGGCCTGGACTCGGTTTTACCATGGCGGTAAATCCTAGAAATATATTGCAGACAATTCAACAGGCCTATTTTAATTTAGTTCACAAATGAAAGTCCCATTCTCGATTCGGGCTCGCTGGGGGTCGACAATCGCATGGATCCTGCTCATATTACCGAGGCTCGAGTTGTCATTACCGCGACCTGCCGTGTATACAACATAGCGCTACACTGTTTCCTCAAATCACGATCAACGGGAAAGTATCACTGGGCGGAATACACCTGTAGTCTAACTCACCTGTCGTCATGATGGCTATAGATCAGATTTCCAGTCTAAAATTGGGACGCGCTAGCACATTCAGTGCCAGTCTTTCCCTTCCGCCCATCGAGCAGGAGGGACATATGGACCAATAGGATTCTTTACTAAACAAGTGGTAATAAATATCTTCAACCATATAGCTTCTTATGTGTCTTACATAGTGACTGGCGCATGTAGTGCCTCCAGAAGCATCTCTGATGCCCTTGTCTGCTTCTGTCACTGGTAGGCGCAACTTACGGTGTTAAACCTACAGGTAATTCCTGCAGCCAAAAGTGAAGTGTAAACTCCAGCAAGTGAACTGCACGTGGATCCTATAACTCATGGAGGTGGCTTAGTTAACTAAGCTATATCCGTAAGCATAGGCAGGGACCTCAAGGGCTCGTGCCGCGCAGACTGACTAAGCTGGACTGGCCCAATCAGGTGCTGCCTATCATGGAACCGTTTTATGCCAAGTACCTAAATACGGTCAAGCCACAGTGTGGCGTCCGGCTCGTGGCTTTCTCTCCTCCGCACGCCGCAGCCTCGTTCCATCATCCTGATCACGACCTGCCCTCTCATCCACTGCCCAATCCTACTCCCGCACACCAGACAGCCCATCATGGTGGCGCGCGGGGCTTTGAGGAGCTGCTCCAACACCCTCTCCCGCCTCTCCGCACAAGCAGCCAGCGCCTCGCGTTCCTTTTCCGCCGGCCATGTCCGATTCTCGCCGCCAAACCACACGAGTCCCACGTCGGATCGCGAAACGCACTTTGGCTACAGGACCGTCACCGAGGGCGAGAAGCAGGAGCGCGTCGCCGGCGTCTTCCACAGCGTCGCCGACTCGTACGACAAGATGAACGATCTCATGTCCCTGGGAGTCCATCGACTATGGAAGTGCGTCACCAGATCGAACCCTTGGCTTGTCCAGTCGTTGAGCTGACCCATCTGTCCTTTCCAGAGACCATTTCGTGTCCTCCCTAAACCCGGGGGCCACAAATCCTCCCGGCAGGCCGCAGCGCATTCTCGACGTGGCCGGAGGCACAGGCGACATCGCCTTCCGCATGCTCCGCCGAGCCCACGACCGCAACGGCAACCCCAACGTCCACGTCACCATCTCAGACATTAATCCATCCATGCTCGCCGTCGGCCGCCAACGCTCCCTCGACCTCGCCGCCTCCCATCAGTCTTCTCTGTCCTTCCTCGAGGCCAACGCCGAAATCCTCCCCTCATCCATCAAAGATAGCTCCCTCGACCTCTACACCGTCGCCTTTGGCATTCGCAACTTCTCCAACATTCCGGCAGCGCTGCGAGAGGCGCACAGGGTGCTCAAGCCCGGCGGCGTCTTTGCCTGTCTAGAGTTCTCAAAGGTGGACAGATACCCGCTCTTGAACGCCATTTACAAGCAGTGGTCCTTCAGCGCCATCCCCCTCATTGGTCAGTTGGTCGCCGCAGACCGAGACAGTTATCAGTATCTTGTGGAAAGCATTGAGAGATTCCCGAGCCAGGAGGATTTCAGAGACATGATTGCAGACGCAGGCTTTGCCGTGGCTGGCGACGGCTACGAAAATCTCACCGGCGGGATAGCTGCCATTCACAAGGGGATTAAGCCGCTGTAGACACCCCTACTGCTCACATTGTACGATACCATGTAATACAAGCGTTGAGCGAGCATGCACGGAAACGTAGAGGCATCCTCGGGCGGCCACATGGCCCGGCTCAGCAACAGGTGCACTGACGGCTCGCATGAAAAGTGTTTTTTCTGTCCCATCCCGGGGCTTCATCCTCAAGTGTCTCGGCAGCGTAACTCCATACAAATCAAAGCCCAGGCCAAATCCGCAACGCCGAGGCTCGGCGGCCTCGAAGACTCCATTAAGTACACGTACACAGGAACGCAACTGCACCAGGCCTCGGCCCCCAGCTTCTCTCTCCAGTTTTTGCTCCAGAGTAGGAATCCGATACGACGAGAGGAGTGCCGGGCATCGCAGCAAGCGTGCCAGGTTCGTGTTTGCAATCGCAAGCGTGGGATTTGGCTCAATTCGATAAGGCACGGGGCAGGATGCGGGCGTTGCCTGTCCTCATTCCGCAGCGGGTGTAGACGATGCTGGCGCGGGTGAAGGCGTGCCCGCATCGCCCTTCGTGCCCCCGCGACCACGGCCGCCGCGGCCTCTATCGCCCCCGCGGCCCCCTCGTCCGCCCCGACCGCCGCGCCTGTTGCTTTCTGAATCGCTGGCGCCCCCGGCACTGCGGTATCCACTGGCGGAGCTGACTCCGCGCGCGCTTCCTCCCCAATTGCCAGCGCCGCCGCGGTTGTTGTAGGATTTGCCCTCACGAGGCTGAAAGACCTTGACCAGAGGCTTGGATCGGTCTTCCTGGGCTCTCGTCTTGACATCGTCAGGCAGGCGAGCAAAGGCCGCGTCTCGGTCTTCGGGCGTCTTGAACTGTACAACTTTGTTCTGGACGCCCCATTTCTCCACCTTGACAATTTTGCTCCTGTCCTCCTCAGCAAACATGTCCCGGCACTGGTCCTCGCCGCCGCCGAGGTTCATAACGAACAAGCCAATGACGTCGGAGTTGTTGGACTTGGGGGCAGGAGAGGCGGAAGGCTCAGGACCGTTGGCGGATCCGTTGGCGGCCGCCGGCGTCTTCTCAGGGTCTTTGCCGACGGCGCCGCCGTTGTCGGGGCCCTGGCTAGGCCTGGGCGTAGCCGGCTTCGTCGAGCCGGATGCCGGCGGGGCAGCCGATGCCTTGGGCGGCTGGTACGAAGACGGCTGTCGACCGGACTGCGGAGCGTTGGACGGCGTCGAGGTCGGCGCCAAAGAGGGTTGGCCGCCGGTAGATGCCGAAGGAGGGGCAGCCATGGCGCCCGGTTGCTGCTTTGCTCCGCGATGCGAGAAGTTGAACCCTTGGGCGCGCATTTCGGTGCCAATGCGGCCGTCCTGGACCTCCAAAACAAGGTAGCCAAACGCAGCATCGGCCAAGTTGAAGTTCCACATATTCTTGAAAGCACTCTCGTCCACTTGGCCAAGGGCAGCCTGCCCGGCAACAGGTCCGCCGAAAGGATTTCCGCCGGCGGCCGTGGTGGGCATCTTCTCAACAATCTGCAGCGCGTTCTTGAGGAGGTTCTGCTGGGCCTCGTTCTGCTGGATGGCAGGCTCGACCTCACCTTTGACCGTTTCCCAAACGTCGTTGAAAGATGCCTTGGACGCGGCAAGCTTCCCACGGTAGTGGTCCAGAGTCGGGTTAACGCTGAACTCGTTGTAGGAGCTCCCGTATCGGAAGTGAAGACCAGCCGAGATGGAGAAGTCGGCCTTGAGTGTGACCGAAAGCTGGTTCAAGATGCCCTCGCGCGCGGGGGACGCGTGCGTGATGAAGATGCGGGTCTCGGTGGGGTCGTAGACTCGATGCGCCGTGTCGACCAACTCTCCCATCTGCAATAGGGTAGTCCACATGGTGCCCTGTCCTCCAGCGATGGTGGTGCGGCCCTCGCCATTGTCGAAGAGCTTGTGCATGACCACGGCGCCACCAAGGCCAAGCAGCCTGAGCTTGACGCCGCCAACCTCGAGGAGCATGGAGCGAGCTTCATCGATGATGTGCAGATTGTGCACCTTGTACTCGGAGGATCTAAACTTCTCCAACACCCGCACGTCCTCGCACGCACCCCAGACAGTATAGACGGGCACGTCGAGCTTCAGCTGCCCGCTGAGCAAGAGCGGCAGTTCCGACAGAGGGAGATCGTTGGGGTGGAATCGGCTCTTGACTGAGCCGTTCCCCCCTTGTTGAATGGCCTTCTTGACAGGTTCAGAGATGAGGGGCGAGTATTGAGCCACATGCTTCAGGGTCTTCTCTACGATTCGGTCCAGCGAAGAGTCGTCGTAGAAGCCAAAATCACCAGTGTGGATGATGTGGTCGGCGCGGGCCTGCTTGGCGAGTTCGTTGAGCGATCTTAGGTTTCCTGTTGCGAGTGTGAGCAAGGGCGCCCTGCGTCGTTGGCTCGGGCATGATACAGACCTCGAACATCTGCGATGCAGAGAACTCTTATAGGACCAGACTGGATGACGCGGCCTTGGTTCGGCAGGAGAGGTGCTGCCCCAGGCTTGGGGAGGCCCGTGGCGCCGTTTTGGAGAAAGCCTGGACCAGCGCTGTACGGTGGCGGCTGCGACGAGTTAGCCAAGCTGCGTGTGCCCCGGAATCCAATCCATTGCGAAGAAGGGTTGCTTGTGGCGAAAAGAGAAGCCATGGCAGAGGAAGGGCTCTGTGTAAACGCCATCCTACAGGAGGAGCGACGCTGGGGCTGGTGGTGGAGCTGGTGACAGTGCTGGTGCGGAAAAGGAGGGTAGAATGTGGGAGCAAGGTGCTTCGCGTTGCTGTTCCACGCGAGAAGAACCCCGCGGTAGATGGCCAGAAGCAGGCGACGCCTTGCAGCTGCCCGAAGCAGGGATTTTGAGGTGTCACTGGGCGGGAGCCGAGGGGGAAGCGACTCACAGCAGCCATTCTATCAATGAATCAAGCGCGCTCAGGACCTCGGGGGTGTTGCAGTCGTCGTTCGGGGGGGCGCGGGTGATGGCGAGGAATGGCTGAGATGGACGAGAGGCCCAGGAGGAGATGGGACGGGTATCAGGCGGGTGGCGGCGAGAGGAAGATGGATGGACGGCGGCTGCGAGAAGGTCGGTTTCGCAGCTCCTAATAAAGCAAGGCTGGCTTGGCTGGAGATAATTTTCTGGAGGAACAGGAAGCATGCGCGAGGGACGAGGTGAGGTACCTGGCCCTGGTACCGGGTCAGTACCCGTGTACCCTACCAACCAAATTAAGCACCCAGGAGACTTGCGGCAAGCCACTGCAAGTCACCACATCGGGAAAACACAGGACCCGTTGCCCGCCTATGTACGTGCTTATTGCTTGCCGATGCTTTGGCGACGGCCACGTGCCAAGGTTCACGACGCGGATAACAGGGGAATCATTCTTGTTGGTCTCTTGGTGGCGAGTATCTCGACGTGGGCCGAGCCAGCAATTGAATTAGCCTGGAGGCAAGGCAAATACAACAACGGCAACTGCGGAGCTCCATTCGTGCCATGGCATGGCTTGCAAAGGCTCGACCTAGGCGAGGTGATCGCAAGCGCCCTGCGGCATGTGCTATATCGCGAAAGACACGAGAGACACACAACTCCCCAACTCCATGTTTATTTATCAGAGAGCTATTCCCAGAGCCCTCCCCGCAACGTCGTCCTCGGCCATGCTGCGTCGAACCGGCCATCCGACGTTGAGCTTCAACATGACCCGTTGTCCGTCGTAACCGACAGAATTGCCTATAGTCGGGGCTTCTTGTCGCGGAGAAGCCCCCTTTCAGCGATTCGCGCCAAGATCGTGCGGTGAATTCCCTTGGCAGTCGTAATGGTGGGGCTTTCTTTGAGAGCGTCCATACATTCGTTTGACAAACGACGTTGATCGTCTTCGTTCAGGTAGCCCAGGAATTTGCCGTATTCTTCCTCCCGCTTAAATCCAGATTTATTATACTCCGTGTATATACAGCAATCGGGGCCGCCACAGTAAACGGAGGCGCCTTTGAAGAGCCAGATCTCCGTATCGAATGGCGGCCTGATCATGGCGATGGACGATTCATCGCACGGCGGGTCAACCCCGTTGTCCACGCGGCGGATCCTTCGTAGACCTGGAGCCACTTAGTGCTTCTCGTGGACATGGTTGGTCCAAGAAACTCGAAAGATTTGGGTTCTGCAAAGCTCGGATATGGAAAGGGGCAGTTGGAAAGCAATGATGCCGGAAGGGTGGTTGCAAGAGAGTCGTAACGTTGCTGGAGTTGCTCTGCTGTTATGAAGGGTAGAGACAGAGAGAGCGAGTGAAATGGCTTGATTCATACCTCGACGGCATGCACCTGGCTGCTACGTTTTCTGAAGCCATTCACGTCGATCGCGCGTGGTACTCGTGAGCCAGTTTTGAACATGCTGCGTACAAGCGCCTATCATCGCGACACGTAAAGCGAACAATGCTCGCGGACGCACAAACGGAGCAGACAAAGGGGTCGACTCGTCGGCTGCAGTGCTTATCGTTCACGTCAATCACGCGCGGTACTCCGGAGCTGGTTCTCAACGCTGGGCGTGGGAGCCTCCTACAACTAAACAACTCGCGATACGTAAAGCGAACGTGGCTCGAGGATGCACAAACGGAGTAGATCTGGGAGTCGACTCATTAGCTGTATGTAATGATGAGACGACATCGAGCTACCCCATAGTTCTAGGGACAGCTGGATGGCGAGTTGGCGACAGGTCAAGAGACGTGTTTGTAAAGTCTGAGCCCCGGCGCCCGTAATTGGTTCTTTGTCGTCCGTCCGAGTCTGGTGCTGTTTCGCTTGCCGCAATGCACGCTTCCCTAGGTCTCATATTCCTTTCTTGTCGCTTATCCGAGTTCTTTATTTAGTAGTCTTGCGGCGTCACAGAAAAGAGGTCGTCCATGCTCGGCCGCGCGCGTTACCTGGGGCAGTGGGGTCGTAGGAATGTACTGTACATGGGGACGGAGTAACCGTACTCCGGATCAAAGGTAAGCTGAAAACCTCGGAGCTGATGCAGTATTTGCTGGGGGCAAACTCAAAGTCTAAGGAGGGACGGATACGAGCCTCGCACTCCTTTATCAACAACGGGCCAACTCGGTGCCTCGGCGCGCGTTAGTCTGGAGTAGGTACCTCGGCGGCAAGAAACGCACAGAGTCTGAGATGTCCAGCCCAAAGTGCAGTGAACCGCCCCTTTTATTCCCCGTAGAAGGTGGACACCTACCAGTAGGCTGAGGCGATGAGGCCGTCTGTTTAATGGGATAGAAAAGGCAAGTACATACAGATTGGTACTTGAGCCCCTGGCTGGGGTAGCCGCCGGCGGCCTGGACCTGCTTCCTCAGGAGCGATGGAAAGCCAAGGCGCAACCGTTGGGACGTTACTGAACTGAGCGCAATTTACCAGCGTGGTTTGTAGCGCCCGACTTGTTGCTGGCGAACCCCGTGTGCCGCCACCAGCGCACGGGCAGGCGCTGAATGCTACCCCGACAGGTGAGTACCTACTCCGCATGTACTTGCCCTGGCGGTACCGGAAGTACCTGGGCGGCGGGGCAGGGGGCGACGAATGGCGATGGAGAGGCGTGACGCAGCGCTGAGCCAATCCACGTGACACTGTAGCGACTGGACCTGAGCGAGCAATCACCCTGCCTACAGTACCAGCAGTGACTGGTGGCATTGGGGGCTTTGCTGGGGGGTTCCTAAACGACGGTATAGTACCCAGCTCTTTGATCACCCGAGTCCGAACAAAGACGACGAGCCACGACACTGTCGGCCGCGAAACCCATCGAAAAAATACACGACAAGAGAAACCAATAAAGACGCCACGCCACCCACCTCCCAAGGCAGAAGCGTATCCTCGCCGAGAGCGGCTCGCCCCGTACGCCTCAACCTCCCCCATGCGACGATAAAACCCCCCTTCCGGCCTACAACACCCCAACTCAGGAGGTGCATGCTTCACCTCCCGCTGTCCACGAGCCGCCATCGATCCCATCGCGCTCACGCCTCCGCGGTGTCCGCCCGTCCATGATAGGCCTGCGAGCCTGCTGATACCGGGTTGGCTGCCCGACACGAAACCCATACTGTGCTTTTGGGCGTCTTGGCCCCTGTTGCGCCTGCACTCTGCCCTCGATGATGGTGCGTTCTCTCTTCACCCTCTCGAATAGCCAGGCCGCGACCGCGAGGACTGGCCCTGGGTGCCCTGGTCCAGGCTGGTCCAGGGAAAACCCCGCGCCATCTTCCAGGTCGACCGGTTTTGCTTGCCTGATATACGACTTGACTGCTAATCAGACGTGCGACCAGACCTCATCCCGGCCCCGCAACGAGATTCCCGGCGGCTTTAGCAGTCGGCGCGGTCACGCCAGCCAACTCTCCATCTCAGACCCGAGCCACCATGTCACCGAAGCCATCGGCACCCTCTACGGGGACGAGGATGACTCTGGCTCCGAAGGCGGGCGGCCCTTGAGTTTCGTTGGTGGATCTTCTTACAGTGAGCAGTTGCAGCGGTCGTCGTCGTCACTTCCGGAGCCCCATGAACAAGAAGAATCTCGTCAACACACCGGCGAGGCATCGAGGCGGTGCTCCGTTCCTGACCAGCCGCTCGACTCGCCAACATCCCCGCCCGAACATGGCAGCCTCAAAAAGTCACACACCACCCTCGTGCCCCCCTCCTCGCAGCGAAGCGGCAGTCCTCACGACAAGCCGCCTGCCTCCCCGACATTGTCCCTGCGTGACATGCAGGCAGACTCGACTGGCTCCCAGTTTCCCTTGACCAACATCGACAACCCAAGCGACATCGCTCAAGAACTGAGCAACCTGCAGGCGCTGAGGAGACTATCGATGGACGTTGGAAACTACATTGACCCGGATATGCCCCCCGCGAGTCTCACATCGATGCCCGCGGCGGCCCCCAGCGGCGACGATGACGAGAACGATCCCTCGAGGCTGCTCTGGGTCCCGGCCAGGGTCCACCCGGAGCTTGCCCCGACAGAGTTCAAGTCATTTTTGGAGAAGCGTGTCCAATCGATTAGGCGACGATCCGGGGACCATTTTCTTGTCATCGATGGTGATCCGAGCTCAGGGTCGTCCCTGCGGAGAAACAAATCCATGCTCTCCCGTCAGATCGACAACACTGGCGGGAGAGGTGCAGTGGACTATGTTGATGGTGCTGAACGACTCGGGAGGCAACGGTCGAGTGGCAGTCAGCATAGTCCAGAGCTCAGTCTCGACGAGCTTGCAATGGACCCCACAAAGGCGGTGCAGAGACTTGCACAAGAGTCACATGGAGTTTCAAGAAGCATCGAAGGCAGTGCTGACGACATGCCCATCCTCCCAGTGGCCCCGGGGAAAGGTCTACGCAGGTCAACACGAACCACGTATCGCAAGGGCGGCAGTTTCCGCTCGGGAGACCGAGGTTCACACCCGAGACGCATCGTCCAGCGACAGTCAGATGGTGATTATCCAGAGACCAGGAGCACGTCTCCTCCAGAGGGAGCTGATGCTCTCCCACCTGCGAGGGCGCAGCCTGACCCAACTGCTGAAAATCACTCGAGGCCTGCACGACCCGCTCGGAGACACAACAACTTGTCCAAAGAATCGTTTCCAGCCATGCCGAACGCGGACGGCCCTTCGGAAGAACCTGTTGAGTCTCGATCTTCTCCCCATGCTCGCCCCGACCAGCTTCCCGGACGCACACCTTCATCTACTGCAAACGCAGCGAGCAAAGAAGCACCCGTGCCACCGGAACGGATGGAGTGGTCAGACAGCCAAAACGCCCGGGCGTTCCCCCAGAGGTCATCCTCCCAAAACTCAAGGTCGTCTCGAGACCAGCACCCTGAAGTTGTTGAAGAGGCTTCCACTCGCTCAAGTCGGCGCCCGACGAACAACATCATCACCAAGCAGGCTTCGCAGCCACAGTATTCGCCCAAATCCCCCCACACAATGCAGATGCAGACGGTCAACGACACGCTAGCTTCACCCTCCTCTTTGTCGGGTGGCGACGCCTCCCGCACCGACAACCTCACCTTTATCCCCACGCTGACCCAGCCAGATAAGAAGCCCGACAAGAGATCCAAGAAAGATCGAGATGATGATTCAAGCAGCACCTCCAGCAGGTCGGGCAGCGCATGGAAATGGTTCAAGGGCGTCACGGATGACAGAGAGAAGAAGAAAGATGAGAGCAAGAAGTCGAAAACACGGGCAGCTGCTGAGAAGTCCCAGGATAACGTCAGACTGGACGTGATACAGACCTCCATCGACAAGAACAACGTCAAGGGCCGCGAAAGCCTCGTCCTGGATCGCGAAAACGTCGACAGCAAGCTTACGGAAGAGCGAAAGAAGGAAGGCAACCGCAAAAGTGATTCCAAGAAAGACAAGGATGGCAGCATCTTCTCGTCAATCTTTGGGGGGAGCAAGAGGAAAGAAGACAAGGAAAAGGTTAACAAGAAGAACCAGCATTTGCAAGTTCCAGAGGATATTCCCTACAAGCCTCTGACGCCGGATGTGGATTACAATTGGACCCGATTCCCACTCCTCGAAGAAAGGGCCATATATCGAATGGCCCATATAAAGCTAGCTAACCCGCGGCGCTCTCTCCTCAGCCAGGTGCTGCTCAGCAACTTCATGTACAGCTATCTGGCCATCGTCCAGGCGATGCACCCCCAGATGAACGTGCCCACCTCGCCGCAACAGAAACGGCTGGAGGAGGAGGCTCGGCGCAAGAGGCAAGAGCAAGAGTATCTGGCACGGCAGCAAATGCAGGGAGACCAGGATGCCGAGAACAGCCTCGACCACTACAATCTCGACTATCACCGAGTAAGTGTTTCCGTGGAATGGCGCCAGACTGGGATGTTTGCTAACATAGCTCACAAGGCTACTGTTCAATATGCCGAGTCCGACGGGCAGGTGGAGTACGTCGACGACGCTCAGATCTACGAGGACGAGCATGGAGACGACCGCCACGACGACTATGGCTACGAGGGCATAGAAGGCTACAGTCGCGACACGAAGGATTACCAACACACGCGCGAAAGCGGGGACGACCATCGGCGCCACGGGCGAGACGACATGTGGTAGGACACGCCGCGAGACCGCACGAACATTTAGTCACGATATCCCTATCATCTACGTCGTCGCCACCATGGATTACGGAACAGCATGGAAATGCCCCGTGGCGACAGGCGTGTGTACGATGCTGTTGACGAAAATCTAGCATACGGCGGAGTTTGAGAGGAAGCACGAATCCCAGGCCACCCTGTCTTCGGTTCGCTGGAATCAAGGCGGAAGACTCCGCGATGGGGGCAGGTCACGGGGGAAACCAGGCATGTCAATACGGAGGCCATGGCCCTTCTTTTTCCAGCTCGACCGCCGCGAGTTTTGCTCTGTACATGTAAGGAAGTGTCACCAGCAACAATCAGGCTTACCTCAAGCGCATTGAACGAGGAAGTCGTTTTGTCTAGGATTACGGACTCATGTAATGGGCCAAACATGGTGTCTGCTTAGGGAAGGATGGAGATTGAGTCGTGAGAATCGTAGGCGAGAGCGGGCCACGGCATAATACCAATCTGCCATATGGCGGTCGACTTGGTTTGGCTCCTCTGACTGCGTGCGGGAAAGATTTGAGGAGGAGCTGCGGCCCGCAAAGTCGTGCCGGGTTCCTGTTCAACTAGGCGCTGTAACATGATGCATGGCCCGGCACGATGTAGTCTAGCGGACGAAGGTTTTTGAGTTGCAGGCATTGAAGGCCATGCGAAGACAGCTCACAGCTGGATGGGCCCAAACGACTCGTCGCATACAATACAAGGCTCGTCTATTTTTTAGGCTCTTCCTTCCTTTCTTCGGGCTTGGGCGTCGGCAGCTTGAACGATTCGGGCGTGCGGTCTTGACCCGGCCCGACCTGTTCCCAAGCACTAGATCCACCTTCAAAGTTGCGGAACGCTTGGGTGAGCTCGAGCGGCTCCGTGACGATGCGCTTCTTCTCCTCGTCGTAGCGGACCTCGGTGTAGCCGGTCAAGGGGAAGTCCTTGCGCAGCGGGTGGCCCTCGAAACCGTAGTCTGTCATAATTCGTCGCAGGTCGGGGTGGCCAGCAAAGAAGACACCGAAGAGGTCGTAGACCTCACGCTCGTACCAGTTGGCGCCGTCAAAGAGGCTTGTGATGCTCGGCACGGGGGATGCTTCGTCGGCATATGTCTTGACTCGGATGCGGGAGTTGTGGCGGATAGAAAGCAGGTTGTAGACGACCTCAAAGCGGTTCTCCCTCGTCGGGTAGTCGGCTGCGGTGATGGCGCTGACCTGAGTGAACTCGGCCGCCGTGTTGTCTGGGGGAGGAGATGGTTTAGCCAAGACCCTGACGCATTGAGACGAGGTCTCGGTGCGTACACTTGAGGAAAGCAAAGACTGGGAGGACGCCAGACGGCGAGATGTATATGGTGAGCTCGTCCTTCCACACGGAGAACTGCTGGATGTATTTGGGGATGCAGCCCATCAACCAAGCTCCGTAGCGATGGAGGTTGTCGGCCTTGCTCTGGTATTTGTCGGCCGGGTTGAAAAGGGGTGCCTGTAGGGATCCTACGTGATCCCGGGGAGCCTTGCGCATGTTCTCAGACTCCTTGGGCATGGCGACGAGAGCGGGAGCCGAGACGGAAAGGGCGCGGACTGCATGCTCTCCGCGGCACGGCGCCGACGGCCTCGCAGGCCTCAGAGCTGGTAGGAGTATCCGGCTGCGAAAGAGTTTGGTCGCCATGGCCGATTTCGCGCCTGAAGGTGGCCAATTGACGATTCAAAAAGGGTTGCCAGCTTCAGCCGGAGGTGGGCGTTGCTTCCCGTGATGCTTCCTCGGGAGTGCTCCCTGCATATATATATCCGAAGATTTACCGACGGCGGGAAATGGGGCCTCCGCTGTCCGAGCTCTCGGCTAACCAATACTAAGCGCCCAGCCAGCCGCCTAGCGCAGAGCAGTCCAGCGTTTGGGAGCGTGGGCCCCTTCGTATCACGTGATGTTCCCGAAACGGCTAGGCTCATCCAAGTCTACCTAAGCAGCCGGGAACTTTCTTTCCACATCTTGCATCTTGAGCATCTCCTCGCGCAGCATCTCCCCTGTTCAGTCTTTTTCCTTCTCTCGCCTCCACCCTCTCGCCTCTATCCCCAACAGTTCCCTTATTTAGGTCTTCGGAAACTATGGCTCCGCAGGACTCTTTCATTGAGGAGGAGGAAGATGTCTGGTACGTCGCGTATTCCCGTTTGCACGAGCCTCAGCCGCTCCCTGGGGCGGTCATCAAGCCTTGATGGATTTTCTAACTGACGCCACCCCCAGCCCTCTTTGCATCGAGGAGTTTGATCTTTCGGACCGCAACTTTCGGCCATGTCCTTGTGGATACCAGGTGCGTTGATCTGTCGAGCTCCCAAGGCGGATCGTTCTTGGACTCGCCCGAAGTGTGGCTGATTTTCGTTCTTCACAGGTCTGTCAGTTCTGCTTCAACAACATCAAGAACAACATGAACGGCCTGTGCCCGGCGTGCAGACGGCCATATGACGAGAAAACAATACAGTGGAAAGTCGTGACCCAGGAAGAGTAAGTGGCGGCATGGCTTGCCCGCAAGATGCGACACAACGCTGACTGACAGAACGCAGAGTCGCCGAGTTTCGCGCCAATATTCAAAAGAATCAGAAGAAACGAGCTCAAGAGCAAAGGCAGAAGGAGGTACAGAAACGCGAGGCGGAGAAGGAAAACCGCAAAAATCTCATCGGAGTACGCGTTGTCCAAAAGAACCTCGTCTACATCACCGGCCTCGCACCCACGGTTCGCGAAGACGAGCTGCTCAAGACTTTGCGAAAACCCGAGTTCTTCGGCCAATATGGCAACATCCAGAAGATTTCCATTAGCAATCGAAAAAGCTCGGATGGTCAACATCACTCACTAGGCATCTATGTTACCTTCGAGAGGCCGGAGGAGGCCACCCGGTGCATCCAAGCTGTGCATGGATCCCAGAACGGCGACCGAGTCTTGAAAGCACAGCATGGAACAACAAAGTACTGCTCGGCGTGGCTGAAGAACGAGAAGTGCAACAACCCTGGATGCATGTTCTTGCACGAGCAAGGTGATGAGGAGGACAGCTACACGCGTCAGGACCTGTCTTCTATGAACAGCATTCACACCCAAAGACCGCTGCCAGGTGGCGGCGGTGGAACGTCGTCTCGCGCCGCCTCCCGTCAGCAGCCAGCCCAGCCAACACCGCCTCCTGCCTCTCAATCCATGGCCCGCTCGACTAGCAAGGATGGGTCCGATAACGGAGTGGACACGTCGGCGCTGCCTTCATCGGCGAACTGGGCTCGGAACCCGCAGCGGAGCCGTAGGGGCAGTCATGCTACCAGTGGTGCCGCGTCAAGCCCGGCCGTCTCAACGTCCTTGCCTGCTACGACGGAGACTACTCAGCAGGTCGCAGAAGATGCCGAAGCTTCGGCTGCCAGCGCGACACCGAAGTACAAGCAGCCAGAGAGTTCACCTGTCGGGAACCACGTTGCGGCCGCTCTCGACAAGTCTCTGCGGGATATGTTAAGGGCTCTGGAAGCCTGCACGCTGCCCCGGCTCGACGATGGCCAGGGCGGTGAAGCAGACCCGCCCATGTTCGATGTTCGAGGTGGTGAGAAGCGAAGAGTTATTCGGGAAGAGGATGATACACGAGTTGGTGACCCCGAGGAGCTGGCCGAAGTTCAGATCCCCTCTGAAGGAGAGCCCGAAACCGGCGGCGGTAGTCTCGCGCTTGGCGGTGAGCCCGAAGAGCGGGACCTGGGTGGTGATGGCCACGGCTTCGACCAAAGGCAAGCCAGTTCCCAACCCCCGATCCAGAGGGCCAGCATCGACGGCCTTTTCGGTTCTGGACTTGGCAGCTCCAACTTTGGTCAGAGCTCTGCCAGAGCCATGACTCCGCAGCACCTTGCTTCCCTGAGATCCCAGCAAGGCGGTTTCGGCGAGCAGATGCCTCCAGGGATGTCCAACCAAAGCAGCATGTTCCAGGGGCAGGGTCACAACCGCCAGTCGTCGCGGTTCAGCTTCGCCAACGACAATGCAAATTCTGCGACCAATGTCAAGCTTGCGGCAAACTCGAGGATCATGGCCCAGCAATCCTCGATGATGCCAAACTCCTTCCAGTCTCAGGGAGGCAACCAGTTCTACGGGTCCTCGATGCCGGGGCCCCCTCCCGGCCTCAAGTCAAGTGGGACGCCTCCAAGCATGTTTGGCCAGTCGTTTGGCGGATCGGGATTCGGCGCTGCCCCCAAGGATTCCTCCAACGACCTGCTTCAGAGTCTCATTGGGCGGAACCGGGGAGGCGGCAACCAGCCTCATGATGCGGGAAAGCGTGAGTACATGATTTCTTCTTTCTCGAACCAGTACCCACCGTCCTCTACCTCCACCCCAGCTCCTGCTTCCGGCCTCCTGGCATCGCTCTACGGTAACCACGCCGGGGCATTCCAAGACTTGGGCTCGAAGCAGAAGAAGAAGGGGAAGAAGCACAGACATGCTAACACTTCCTCCTCTGGGGGGAGTGGCTTAGTAGATCTTGCGGACCCGAGTATCCTGCAGGCCAGAATGCAGCACCAGTCACAGAGCAATGCCGGAGTCGGTCAGGGGCTGTTTGGAGGCCAGAGCCAAGGTGGGTACAACCCCAGCATGATGTACAACACCAACTATGCACGATGGTAGTTGCGGGGATGTCGATGCCCTTGAACCCATGATGTTGCACGTTTTCCCTTTCTCTTTGCTTTCATTCCTTTTTCAAGTGTTTGCGGTGCGGCGTTTGTGGGCATTTGGGAACCAAGCCGGTCAAAAAGGCGGCATGACTCCTCCGTGGAGAACGAAATTTGCATTTCGATCAAGCAGGCATGGGCAAAACCATTTCCGTTCAGGGAGCGGGTGGCAGGCTTTCTCTGCCTCAGGCGCTGGCTCGATATTTTCAGGGAGCCAGACTTGCACAGAGGCGACAGCGTGTCGACCTGGTTGTTTTCATTTTACCACTTTCACCTTGTCCGTCCCTCACAGCGCCGTCGCCGCTTGGATCGGCTGGAGGGTCAATTCAGGCAAGCCATCATCGTCTTCCACGCATCGTCTCATGTACGTTAACACACCACCGGTGTGCCCCCAGGCTGGGTGGCATCCTTTGGGTCAGAATAAAGACATCATACCCTCTATTCTCTCCAAAGACTGCGTTTCCCTCGTTGTCCGCCGTGGAAGACGATGATGGAAGCCGTAGCATGACCTGCCGCTCCGTTGCATCCTGTATTACACTTTTTGTCGTAGTCCGTGTCGTCATCGTCGCTTGTCTTGTTTCACTTCACCGGTATCGCCCAGTCAGCTAACATGTTTCTCCAGACGACGAACTTCCCTCGCTGGACGAAGCGACGAATTCGGTTGACGCCTTGGTGTCCGACGAACCCCAGAGCGTATTCGCGCAGTCCCAGCCCACCCCCACCGCGGAAGCTGGCCGATCGGCGCCTCCCGGCCTCGCTCCCTCTCATGGACATCCGGAAGCCGTGTCGAAAACTAGCCCGGCGCCGAGCCGCTCACGGCCCGCGAATATCGTCCCTGCAGTGCCCAGGTTTTCAGCATTGGGCCTCGATCACGGCACGGTAACCCCCGAGCAGACGCCGCGGAAGGCAACTCATGGCTCGATATTCGCCGTCGAACATAGGCTGGCAAAGGGCGCCTCGTCTCAAACTCGGCAAAGCCAGTCTCGAGGCTCTGCCGCCTTGCAGGATGAAGACTTCCCGGCCCTGAATGCACCAAGGGCCAGGGAAATGCAGCCGGCATCGCCCGCGATCCCATTCGTGCCGACTCCGAAGGGCACCCCTGCACCAAAGAGGCCTGCCGACAAGGTCTCGGAGAAGGCCTCTGAAAAGGCAGTCATGAGCCCCATCGCCGCGTCCGCGCCCTTTCCGGAAACTTCAAACATGAAGCATGGGCCTGTCAATGCTGATGCTCTCAAGTCCGTTGACGATTTGGCGGAAGACTCGTCCAGGTCCGAGGGATCGACGGACCATTCGGCCACTCTTCCTCCAATTCACACATCCTCGGCCGGAACGGCTTCATCGCCCATTCAACGGGCAGCCCCTAGATCGATACGAGTAATGCCCACGGCCAGAGCCGAGGGAAATACCCTGCCATCACCCGCTCACTCGGTTGCTTCCAAGTGTCTTTCCCTGTCGCACATCCCAGATACGCCAGGGAGCGAGATAGTCAGCGATACTGCGTCGGTGTTGTCCGCGTCGGTGTCAGCTTCCCGAGCAGAATCGCCGCCGCCGAGCAGGATCGGCTCCGCCAGCGTTCGGTCCACGACTAAAAGCCAACAGCGCAAACAACGCAAGGAGGCCTTGAAGATAGAGACCAAGGTCATAAGCGAGGCTCTCAAGGCGGAACCCGAGGTGCATGCTCCTGTGGTTGGGCGCAAGAAGAAGCAAAAGAAGGAGAAGCCTGCAAGGACGACGGCTGGCCAGCCACGCGCCGGCACTAGCCCTCAGGGGCCAGTCCCGGAAGATAAGCCCGCCGCGAAGAGTGTTGTACAGGAGGAGACCATTGTGGACAAGGTTCCAGAAGAGGCCGAAACGAAGCCGAGAGCCTCTCCACAGAAGAAGTCCTCCAAGGGTAAAAGCAAGGCAAAAGACAAGGAAAGGGAAGAGGAGACAGAAGGCCCGATGACGGCCGTGTCGCAGCTGTCGCCCCCTCTTCCTGCCGAGCCTGCACCGCCGCCGCCGCCCGCTGGGACTGAAAAACCCTATCCCGGCCCAGCGTCCGTGTTTGCGGAGATTCGGAATTCTTTGTGGACGGCCGCCATGGACAAGCTCCTGATGCTCAGGCCCCTCGCCAGCAGCTCGTCTCGCCAAGAGCATGGCGGTGCTGGCAACACTCAGGCAGGAAGTAAGTCGGGGTACTGCAAAGACTGCTCGTGCAAATGCGGCGAGATCCACGACGACGATCTCGCCGCCCTTCGCGCTGGGAAGCCGGTGCGGAAGCAGCTCCACGTTGACGGCAGCCGCATGCTCATCACACCCAACGGTGATTGCATCCGCGGCCTGACGCCCGACGAGGAGGACGCGTTTCTCGATCTCCAGACGGCCATTGCGGCCACGGCCGAAAACCCAGGTGCTTTTGTCGCGCCCCGACACCAGCCCGGCAGCGGCGCCTTTTCCCTCATCAAGGGCCGGGCCGTGCCCAACGGGCGTCCCAATATCTTCCCCGCAACGTCTCAGCCGCAGCCGCAGGACCCCATTGGAAAGCTGCAACGCGAGGACGCCCTGAGCTACATCAACCAGTACGTGCTGCCACGCCTCAACCTGGGCGCCGGCAGCATGGGGCTGCCCAAGGGGGCATCGCCCATGCGCGACTCGGCGGCCGCCAGCCTCAACTCGCTGGCGCCCTACTTTTACGGACCGGACGCGGCGGCGGGCGTGGGCATCTACAGCGCGCCCGACGGGGCTCGCGCCATGCACGACTTTGCGTCGCCGCCGGCTGCCGTGGGGGCTGGGGCGGCGGCGGGCGTGGGAGTGGGAGGAGCCCAGAGCGGAGGCGGCGATGACGGAGCCAAGATGCCCGGCGGCGGCAGTGGCGGCGTCGGGGGCATGCCCCTGATGAGCGTCGAGGATGCCGAGATGGCCCTGGCGATGGCCCGCAAGGAGACGGACAAGCTCGAGAAGGGCCTCAACGCGGTCATCAAGCGCAACAAGAGGCTGCTCCTGGGAGGCGGCAACTGATGCTCTTCTCCGGAAACCCCGCGTCACGTCCAACCTTAAACGGTCAGGGGGTTGCAGGACGAGAAGGGCGTGAGCCCCCTTTTCCCCTTCAACGGCTTTAACCCGCCTCTCTGCCATTTCCCAGTTGCTATTGCTGTATTTTTATACACATGAAAGACTTCTACTTGCTGGCATGGGGCTATAGAATTTTTGTACGATAGCTAGGTGACCCGGCACCGGAAGGTAACTGCCCGGAAAGCATAATGACTTAATCTATATTATTACTGAATGACAAGATATCGGGCCCGTGTCTCCGTGGTATTCGTATCCAAATGCCATCGTAATCGTGCCAGATTTTCAACATGTCTTTGCGGCGGGACGTGGAGCAACCTATTCTGCTTCAAGTGAACAAGACCCAAAGGGAAAGAAAGGACAGTTAGGTTGGGAGAAGATGTTCACGTCGGGTCGACATCATCCTGCTTGTCCTCGTACTTGGCAGCCCACAGCGACTCCTGCAGCCGGTCCATGAGCCTCTCCATGAGCCACTCGCTCTCCTCCTGCCCGCCCATGAGGGGGCTGCGGATCCCCACCCACGACCACTTGAAGCGATCGTCCTGCTCGACAGGCGGCGACGTCTCGGGGTGCTCCTCCTGCTGCTCGTCGCTCAGATGCTCGTCGCTCTCGTGCTGCTCCTGGTGCGGGTGCTGCTGCTGGCGCTGGTGTTGCTGCTGATGGCGGTGCTTTCCGTGCCCGTGCTTGTTCCTGTGCCTGTGCCTCTGCCGGTGCTTCTCCTTAGGTTTTGCCTTGTGGTGCGTGTCTGGGTCGCGCTCGTCCTCGCCTATGAGGCCGAGATACCACGCCCACTCTTCAAACGTGTAGCGCCGTGGCTCGGTTTCCCGCACGTGCTTGCTGAGGTTCTGGATCTCGGAAATGAGGAGCAGGCGGAGATCGTAGCCGGTGGGGAGGTTGTCGAGTCGGTCGCGGACGCGGGCGAGCGAGCGGCGGTCCACGGTGGTGGTTGCGACGAGGTGTCCCTGGCGGCTACTTTGAGTCTCCAGTAGGCGAGACCCGGACTGACTGGATGCTTCATTCGAAGAAGAAGTCCCGTCCTTGGCCGCGGAGCTGCTAGGCAGCGGCTTCTCGCTCACACGATCTGACTGCTCGATATCCCGCATGCGTGCACTGGCCTCTTTGAAGGCTCGGCCGCACGTAAGCCGATGGGCAACATGCTTCATGTTTCCGCCGAACCCCTCGTCGCTGGGCAGGATGGTGACGTTGCCGAGACGAATGGTGCCGTCCCGCACAAATTTGATGACGGTGTCGCCGGCGTTGGAGATGAGGACCGTCATGGTGGGCAGGGCCAAGAGGGACCAGAAGACGAAAAACGACTTGCCGGCGTTGGAAACCGGTGTTCGGTCGCCGTAGCCGATTGTCATCAGGGACACGAAGCAAAAGTAGAACGAGTCAAAGTAGGTCCAGGGCTGGTACGACGATTCGCATTTGAGAAAGACGGCGGCGCCGACGAGCCACAGGAGGATCCAGGTGCCCGTGGAGATTGCCATTGCCAGCCATCGTCTTCGTGTCGAGGCCCTTTCTTGGATCTTTCGCATCAAGCCGAACTCGGACCGACGCCGCTCAAACTCGCTCGGCGTCGGACCATCGGGTTCAGTCTCGGCTGTGTTCATGCTGAGCTCCCGTGGGAGGGGAGTCAGGATTTCATCAATGCCCTTCCGCGCCAGGGTCCGTATCACTCTGCGGCGATTCTTCTCCTCCATGCGGGCATCCAGCCGACGCCTGCCGCGGTCGAGGATCAAGCTCCGAATCGAGGTCACGACCAAACCGAGGCTGAGTACACCGATGAGCGCATACGGGAACAGCAGCGCCCGTCCGAGATTGGTCGAGGCGGCAAAGTCGCCAAAGCCGACGGTAAAGAGCGTCACGTTGGCCCAATACACGGCATCGAGGTAGCTCCAGCCCTCGACTTTGGAGAAGACGAGGGCGCCCAGGAGGAGATACATGAGGACCATGATGGTCTGGAGCATGAGGGTTCGCTGGCTGGCCGTCAGGTTGAAGTCTTTGCTGTAATGGCCGGACGAGGCGCCCCAGAAGGTCACTACCATGAGGGAGGCGTCGACGAAGTAGAGAATTGCGGCCCAGATGCCGTAGTAAAAGGCCTGGGACCAGACGTATTCGTCGACGGGGTGTTCCAGGTCTTCGAGCAGTGGCCCGGCGGCGGTGGCGCCGAGAGCCAGGAGGCAAAAGGCGGATATGTACCTAGGCGTTGAGCTCAGTAGCCGGCCTCGAACGAAGATGGGAACTTGCCTACCAGCCAACGATTGTGATGGGCTGGGCAATGCTAAAGCGAACCCGCCTTGCCATGTTGAGGAGGAGAAAGGCATTGGATACGAGGGCCATTACCAGCTGCACAGCGTTGATGATGATGAGCCTGCGCCGGTGCGTGTCAGTGGCAAGCAAGAAGAGCCTTTGCTTCGGCTTACCAGGGAGGGTCAGGGACAAAGATGGCCTTGGCGATATCTGTGCCGGGTGGGTAATGCTGGCGCCACTGTCGCACGAGGGCACATATACTGAAGGCCGAGGCCACCGGGCCCAGGGTGCCGGCAATCATGGGAAAGGCCGACGAGGCAAACCACCAGCGGCTGAAGATGCCGGCATTAGCAGGCAGAGTGAATGCATGCTCTGGGGAACGGGGCCATACCTGGGGTTGAGGTGAGCATCGTCGTTTTGAAAACGGGGTTGCCGGAGAAGCTCGGACTGTTTCCGGCAGAGGCCGGACTGAATCGGGCTCTCCACGGCTTGGTCACGACGGTCGATGGTGTCGCCGGGCTTGCCCAGGTCCATGGTGGAAGAGTTGGCCGTCTCCCGCAACGTCGGGTCAGTCGCACTCGGCGCATAAGCAGAGAGGCCGGGGTCCTCGGGTCAGAGAGAAAGGCAGTATTAGACTCAGGCACGGGAGCCTCACGTTGGTCCCAGAGAATGGCGGGCAAAGAAGTCGACGGCGGTGACGGCGGAAGTCGGCTCGCGATAGTATCGGATGGCGAGTGTGCATGGAGCCATGGACGGGGCCTGCGGCGGTGGCAGCAGGCGGCTTGGGGATGACGACAGGAGACGGCAGGAAGAGAAGGGGGGGAGCGTTTAGACGCTAGGGCTATTAGACGGCGACAAGCGCATAGACAGGGAACGGGAATCGGTGTTTGAAGATGGCCAAGTAGGTTGGTAGGCTGAAGCTCTGCGAGTGCCTGAGTTCCGAGCATTTCCTAATCCGTTAGTATGCGCCCGTGATCTAACCTGCTGCAGTCCAGTGGATGCAAGGTGCCTCTACGCCTCTACCGAGTACGTACAGGCCCACGGCAGCGCCCCAAGGACCCGCTCGAGCCCTGCAAGCTCCGCCAGAGCCGCTGCAGGCTCCACTCCCGGTGCATGCATCCACCGCACCGGCGAGGTGGAGCCTCAAATTCTACCTACCGTACCTACTGTATTACGGATATCCGTAGGTACTCCGTCAGTTAGGTAAAGTACATGGCAGCAGCATCCACTCGCCATCTCGCGCGACGAGCGAATCTTGGGTATCGCGGTGGCGTCACCTCGGCAAACCCTTCGCAACGGGCAAGGGGTCCAATGATCCGTGGTATGGACGATTTGGCTGGTCTTGACGTACAATCTGGTGCTAATCGCCGCCGCCAGGCCCTTTGGCTAGCCTCACTTCTACCCGGACATGCGGCAAATGGCGTCTGTAAAAGGGTCCATGCCAGCATGCCTGCCTGTGGTTCGCGCCGTGCCGTCGTTGAACCCGCCAAGACCCTTTAGCACTCGCAGCCCGGAAAGGATCCTGGTCCCATGTGGTTCGGCCAGCTACGTATCAATAGAGTCGGTTCACTCCTTGTCTGCCCTCTCGCTGGCGGTGCCACGGCCGACATCGCTGACGCCTTGGGCAGTCTCTTCAACAGCCCCCAGGACTCGCCCAAGAGCGCGCTCCTGGTCCATCTGCCCGCTTTCCCGTCCGCCGACGGGTCGGTTTCCAGGGTCCCCAAATTCCTCGAGGACTTGCCGGTTGCCAGCATCAACTACCGATGGCAGGCTGCCGCCTCGCGGGACCCGGCTCCTTTGTGCTGGCCGATGCCTGTCCATGACACGGCCTTCGCCTTTGCCTGGCTGGTCGACAACCTGGCGCCGCCCGGCAACTCGAGACGCGACATTTACGTCTACGGCTCTCACCTCGGCGCCAGTCTGGCCACCTCGTTGTCCCTGACCGAGGCCCATGCCCACGCCCGGTTTGGCGTTCGAGGTCTCGTGGCCTACAATGGCATTTACAACTGGACCATGTTTCTCCCCGACCATCGCATCAACAAGAGAGCCCCAAGCATGATGCCCGCCCCAGAACTAGACGAAGCATCTCATCTCCGCAAGCTGCAGGGCGCGATGGCCGGTCTCTTCGATAAGCCGTCGAACCTATTCGACCCCTTTGCGAGCCCGAGTCTCTTTTTCCACAGTCCGGGAATGCTGCAACCTCGGTCATTTTCCATGTCGACGGAAGACGCAGCCATGATTGACGCCTTGACGGGCGACCAAGATGCTCCATCCGCACCCCCCAAGGCACCGCGGAAATCACACCTCATCTTCCCGCCTCGGAAATCGACGCTCAAAATCCCGCAAACACTCCTCTTGCACGATGCGTCGCGGCAACCGCCGAGGTCATCAAAGGCTCCCAAGAACGGGCAGGCGAGGAGGAAGGCCAAGGCGGCGGGTCACTCGCTAGCAGCGCAGGCGGAGGAGCTTGCGGAGCTGATGAGGCGCAGCGTCAGCGTCATCGAGATGAAGGAGCGCTGCAAATGGGACGAGGAGGTTGTCGAGGACGACCAAGTGCAGCGGCGGGTGCAGGTGGTCGAGGTGGGGCCCGAGACGGGCAGCATCGAGCTGAACGACGGCGGACAGCAGACTGCGCTGGAGTGGCTGCAGGACAGGATGTGAGAGCGATGTCGCCTTGGATGAAAGGTGGAAGTGGGAGGCAAGCCACACAACAGCCTTCATAATAGGCTATTGTCTGCTATTCTTATCGTCGGATATCGGCCAAATGGTCTAGTGGTATGATTCTTGCTTTGGGATTGGTTCGCTCCGCTCAGCTGCAAGAGGTCCCGTGTTCAATCCACGGTTTGGCCCTCGGTGATTTTTTTGCCCTCAATTACTCCCATGCTCTCGATGATCAAATACAGGACTGTGCATGTGTTATTCATTGTGGCGTCTTTGCAATATCTGGACCAAGGTCGCAACGCGGCTGAGGATGATGCATTTGTCCTCCTTTTTCTCCTCTGCCGTACACAAGTGGTACAGTACAGTCCGAGGCGGTTACCGGCGGCTACACCTTTTCCTGACCCCGGGCTGCCAACAGACATGCGACCCGCCCTTTTCCGGCCTGCAGACCTTGTCTCTCCGCGTTGGAGACTTGGCCACGCGACGGGATGATGACTGGCCTTAATTTAGCACAACCACCTGCTTGGCCCAACCGGGGATGATGAAGCAGTTCACGAGGACTCTGGCCCGCCCCGCACATGCATCCTTTTCCCGATGATAGTGGTGCCCGTATACGGTACTTTCGACAGCCACTCCAGCACGGTTGTACAGTACCTTGCACACCACAGGCTGCTGCCGCTGCTGCTGCTGCTGCTGCAGGTGTGGCGCAGGCAGGCAGGCAGGCATTGGCAGTCTGATGCAATCACCAACACATATAATAAAGGCACCCTGCGATATTAATATCGAGCCTGCTTTGTAGTTTGTCGTGGGCATAATGCTGCACATTCGTAATAACTACCTACCTACCTAGGTACTGCACCGAGGCCTTGCCGTATCCTACCTGCACAACCACAAACCCCTCTTCCCCTACCAACCTGAGACAGCTGACCGGCAGGTGCCTGTTGCCTCTACTGTAATATTACGGATACCACTCGCTGTCACGCACCCCACGCGAGCTTCCCCCTCCCCGTCGCCTCGTCGTTGGCCTTGCAGGTACCGAGTACTTGCCCCGTGAGCAAGCAATTGGCTCGTTTCTTTTCCCCTTCCTCCTCCCCTTGCCGTCCATCCTTCTCGTCCATCCTCTCAACCTCTCCTCTTCCTCTTCTTTTCTTCTCCTCCTATCGCCTGCCAGCCAGCCAGCCCTCTACCCTGGTGCCTCATCGCCTCTTGACCGCTCCCTGCAAATCCGGTTGCCTTCTTCGCTCGTCGACGCCTGAAGTCTCCTCCTCGTACATTCCTGTTTGGTAGAGGTGCGTTTGCCTGGTTTTGCCGCCGTTGCCTTGCAGCTCTCAGCCGTCTACATCGCCCAACGTCCACGCCTCCATTCATTCTAGCCGCTTATCCAGCGCCGGCTCACCAACTGGAGCTGACTGCCATCTGCAGAACATACATTGTTGCTGGACGCCGCCCAGCTTCCGCTATTCACTATGCCTGGCATTCGTGAGTCCTTCCCTCGTCTTGTTTCCTTTCTTCTGCCGCGTCCTTGTTGCTGACTCCCCGCTCGCAGCTCTCGGTGCCCTTGATAACCTGAAGGCCAAGCTCAAGGCCGCTTTCAAGAAACGGACGGAAAAGAAGTCCACCCAAGACAAGCCAGCCGAGGCTCAAGCCACCCAGAAGCCCGCTGAAGACCCCAAGCCCGCGGAGGCTGCCGCAGCTACTGCTGCTTCCAGCACAACGCCTGCCACCGCTCCATCCCCGACCAAGCCTCAAGAACCTGCCCCTGCCGGTGCGTGCTTCCCCAGCGCGATATCGCCGGGCTGCCGCCCCAAACCCGTGTCTAATCCAATATTCTAGCTGATCCTACTCCTGCCACGGAACCCGCCAAGGCAGAGGCCAAGACAGAGGCTAAGCCGGCAGCGCAGCCAGAGGAGGCCGCTCCAGGTACGTAGCCATCATTGCTTATGCGTCGTCGACAGACAGCGAAACACGTGGGGCATAGGACTAACGCCTCGACAGCGCCAGCCCAGCCCGCCAAGACAGACGCTACACCAACCACGGCCGCCGCGCCCGCTACCGAGCCAACTGCCGCCGAGAACAAGAAGGACGAGGCCCTGGCCTCCGCTGCTGCCGCCGTCCCCTCCGCCGCTCCTGCACCAACTGCGTAGGGGGTCCGTTCTGCCTCATAGCAGCAGACATGCCAGAGTCTGGCGTTGTCAACGTCGAGGCTTGGTTGATGAACTAGCCAGGACGAGACGGTATGGGTCTCGAGGAAACAATGAGAGGGGAGCCGGTTCATGTTAATTCTGTTCTGCCTGCATTTATGCTCTGGTTCGCTGGATACCCTGGAGAGGGGGGCGGTGCGATGCGCTCTGAGCTTTATACCCCCGCACCTCGCCGTCGTTGCGTCTTCGTCTTGCTTTTTTCCCGCTGCCTTGATGATCGTGATAGGTTAAAGACATGCCTTTTGCTTTTCATCGGGGGCGTGCTCCGCTTTGCGTAATAAATGCAGGCCCAACAACGTGCGTCATTGCTGTGAAGTTATCTGGCCCAGAAGAGCAAGCGATTCTTGGACAAGCTGACATGCCCATGCATGCATGCCGAGCTTTGCTGGGTTGGCGGTCGGCCGTGGGGCCCGAGGTTCGATATTTCTCCGTTTATTCGATCTAAGCACGATGCGTCCTGTTTGCACGGCCGGCAGTCATTCACTGCTCAACCACTCTTGGCCCATGGCGCCTTTGTCACCGTAATCTGCGCCGCTGCGGATCCCGACCCTGAGGCGTCTCCGCGCTGCGGTCTCGAAGCCAAGGAGCCGGTGCTGGGACCAGGGGGAGCCCGAGAGTAGGGAATGCCAGGACCGGTGGATGGCGGGGGCATCCTCGTGGCCTGCACCCACGGCGTGGCGGTACCCGTGGCGGACGGCGGAGGAATGGGCGGGCGCGTTGCACTGGCGGCCATGGGTTGGTTGACCATGTGTACGCTCTGTGTGGGGACTGGCGCGTCTGGATCTTCATCCCAGGAGAAGAGCGAGCCAAAGGGAAAGTGCTGGACGACAGGGAACTTGGACAATACCTCCGCATTAAACATCTTGATCATGCCCTTGTTGATCTTGCCCCACCCGTCGCGGATTCCAGAGATGTCGAACAGAATCGGGCTGTGTTCCCAAAATGGGCCTTTCTTGACGTCGTTGATGAAGCCGATGGCGGAGAAGTACATGTTTGTGGCTCGCTGGTCCTCGACGACGGCCGCATTGGTCACGTCGCTGGGCTTGGGGGCGCCCCGGACAGACCCCTCGAGGGGCATGAGGTCGGTTTCGGATATGGGCCGGGTGAACTGCGCCGATCCAAATATGTATGATATGAAGGAGTGGTCGTCGAGGCCCCAGACGCCATGGGAGCCGGCGGGCTCGAGGGTGTATGTCAGGATGAGCTTTCGAACGACTCGCAGATATCTGGCATGACCTGTTAGCTGTCTTTTTCGAGTTCTGTAGAGAAATGTGCTGATGCGCTTACGGCTCGATGACGTTGAGAACAATCTCTCGCTCAATTTCTCCACCCGGCTTTCCGTCCTTGAAGAAGCCTAGCTTCCACAGGCAGCCAACAAAGGCCAGGAAGCTCAACTCGTGGCCCGTTCCGTAGTCTAGCCGCTGGGGGCTCCCAAAGGCGCCAAGCAGATAGCTCGCCACCTCTTCCCTGGCGGTACCGCCGCCGGCCCCGAGTGTTTGACCCAGCAAGCCGACGCTGAGCAAGTCATGCAGCTTCTCCTCAACGAGGGCATACCACGTCCTGAAGCTCGTATTCCCAAACCTCCTGGGACCGGGGTCCAGCGGGGCCCGGGCGAGCAAGCTCTCAATGTCGGACAGGAGCAGCTGCAGGGCTTGGACCGACGGCGTCGACGACGGCGACCCGGGGGTGAGGGGGAAGAGGCGGGGCAGGGCGGAGCCGGGCTGGTGGCGCGGGCAGAGGGAGCGGTTGAGCTGGAGGACAAAGATGCCAATGTCGCGGTAGGCAAGGCTCCTGAGGAAGCGGGCAACGTCGTGGCCCTCGTTGATACGCTTCAAGGGCTTGGAAAAGGACGGCGGGGAGGCGAGGTCGATGGTGTCGAGGGCGGGGAGACGGGGTAGCGGGGCAGCTCCCAACGGCGCAGCGGACGCCATCTCTGGGCAGGCGGGCTGTAGCAGTGGCGGAAGCAACGACGGCAACCAATCAAAAGCACGGATGTAAAGTAAAGGGGGAGGTGATTGTCTTGAAATGTGTGAAGTTGCTTGGATGGGGCCCATCTCTGTGAGAAGTCGGGTAACGTTTCCGCGTGGGGTCAAGTGGTGACGTCCGGACAGTTGACGGCGTTAGTCAGCAGCTTTGTGGGTGGATAGCTTCGAGACAAAGCTTCGGAAGCCGAGGCCGAACCAAAACCGGTACAGAGCTGTTTCGTCTTGGTCTTTCTTACGACAAGACGATGAACAGGATGAGTGCTTCGTCTACGGCGTTGAATGCCCGTACTGGGCCGCACGTTGACCGTACGCGCAGCAAACATTGTGCCAGGACAAGCAATTTACATGAGCATTTTCCACAAAGGACCCTGACCCTGAATCTTGACTAATACCTTGTCCAGTCCAAATACTTGTAAGGCGTTGGAATACGGAGTACCCGTGCCACGCCCCACTTTATTTGGAATTCGCAAGCTCCCACCTCCTAAAGTTGGTGCTCACCACCAGTATCCCCACACCACCGGAATACCCAGAATTTCGACTCCCCGACTTCAGCATCCCTATATCTTAACCAATTCACGATCTCGTCGATAGCCGAAATGGAAGCACGTGTACAAAACGCTCTTCGATATATTGAAAATTTTCCGGTGCTAAAGTCGCAACCGTAGCGCGAGAATTCGGTGTAACACGTGATCGATTGCGATACCGTCTTCAAGGCCGACCTCCTAAAACTGGCCAGCGAGCTAGAAATACGAGGCTTTCCGAACCAGAAGAGAAGGCCCTATGTCGCTATATCGATCGTTTGGATAATATAAACCTTGCGGTACGCGTCGAGTTCGTTACTGACGCGGCAAACTGTATCTTGCGCGAGCGGTCTAGCCAGCGCGACGCTCCTACCGTGGGGCCAAACTGGACTTCTCGCTTCTTAAAGCGTCACGGCTACTTCAAAAAGCGCCAAAAAAGGCTTCAAGCAGAGCGCCAAGTCTCCGAGAATCTTACACGAGTTAACCAGTATTTCCAGCATCTTCGGCAGGTTATCCAAGACAATGGTATACCTCCTGAGGATATCTGGAATATGGACGAGACTGGTTTTCGCATCGGGGTTGGAAAAGACCAGCTGATTGTGACAAAACGGAGGAGAGCTCATTATTTTGGCATTCCTGAGAATAGGAATCCGCTACTGCGATCGAAGCTATCTCGGCGAATGGGGAGGTTGTTCCGGCTTTTTTGATACTCGCTGGCCAGATGCACATGGCTTCATGGTATCAAATACCTGAGCTAGATCCTGACACAGTTATTCGACCCACGCCTACTGGTTACTCAAACGACGTGATTAGTCTGGAGTGGCTCCAGCATTTTGACAAGCACTCGGAAAAAAGCTCAAGAAGCTCGAAGCGACTTCTAATTCTTGATGGTCATGGCTCTCACCATACCAGGCAGTTCATTGAATACTGCGACAACCACAATATTATTCCCTTCGGCATGCCGCCTAATCTCACGCATGCACTTCAGCCTTTGGACGTTGTCGTTTTCCAGCCCCTAAAGCACTATCACGCCAAGGCTTTAGATGTCATGGTTCGAGATGGCCTCGTCAACATAACCAAGCTTGAGTTTCTCTCCTGCATTCAACAAGTACGATTGCATGCTTTCAAGGAGAGTACTATACGCTCCGCATTTCGCAAGACAGGAATCTTCCCATTCAATCCACAAGTAGTACTTCAATGTTTGGAAGCTCGTCAAGCCACGACACCCACACCTCCTCCCAATTCAGGACCACACTCCTCACCTTTCGAGACACCATTGACTCTACGACAAATAAACAAGGTAGCGGACAAATTAGATCTCGTCCTTGAAGACGATAAAAGCCTGGATCCCGACTTTCTCACGATCTCAGTCGATTTATTCGAGGATCGCTATCTCTGGCGACTGAGCTCGTGCAGACTAAAGGGACTTGGGACGAACCAAATGGCGGAGCGGATCCAAAAACAACGTAAGGCTATGAAGAATATACAGTTACAATCAGGAGGAGTATTGTCAGTGGCCCAAGGACGGGAAATGGTGCAACAAAGGGAGATGATCAGATTGCTAAAGCAAGGAAGGTAGTAGAAGACGCGGAGAAAAGGCGCATAACGCACGCAAGCGATGGTTTGAGGAGCAGCAAAAAGGCACGCCAATGGAGGTTCAGGAAGGTTAGAACGAGTGGAAGTACGCGATTCTGAGCGTGGTACGCGGTGGTTGAAGCGATTCTAGGTCGGGGAGTCGAAATTCTGGGTATTCCGGTGGTGTGGGGATACTGGTGGTGAGCACCAACTTTAGGAGGTGGGAGCTTGCGAATTCCAAATAAAGTGGGGCGTGGCACGGGTACTCCTTGCCAGACTCTCCCTTCCCCAAACTCGGCTGCCACGTGCGAGCTCCACCCGCACAAAGCCGGCTCAGGTAACGCTCTCTATCAATCAAGGAGGGTTCAGAGCTCCGTACGCGTACGTAGGTACTGAGCTTGACGCAGGCTTCGAGGCGTCAAGAGGCCGGACGAGGAAGGACGGGACGAAAAGAGACGCAGAATTCGATGCTGCATCTAATAAATGCTTGGAGCTCCTGGGGCGAGCACGGTGAATGTTCAAGTGGACGAAGGATTGATCGATTCGGTCCGAAGCGTCCGTTGGCCCCAGCTTCTTGCACTCAATCGGTCGGATATCAGGGCATGGATCAGCAGGTTCTGCGTGCCGAACGAGCGGCGGCCACATCAGCATGGACAGGCCGAGATATGCAGGTGAGAGCTCGGAGCGACGAGGGGCCGAGGGGCCGGATCGCGACACATGACGACGCGAGAAGCTTGTTGGTGATCGACGGCCCTTGCTGACGACGACGAGTTGGAGAAAACAGGTGGAAATCGAACGAGTGTAGGGTAGGGTTGGGACTTGGCCGCACATTGGACTAGCCTCTCGGATTATCACGAGCCGGCTTGAAACGCGACGCGACATGATACAGTGCAGGAGGTGTCTGTCTCGCGACATATACTGTGTTACAGATGCTTATCACCCAAATATATACAGTATAAATCGACCAAAGGATGCATAAGACTTACAAGTATCACATTCGACGAGTGTGTCGTAAAAAGGTTCGATTGCTTGCCATGCTCGTGTACCCGCAGGGAGTGATATTACAGAGTAAGGCAAACGGCAACACAAGTGTCCAGGCCATCGTCGTGCGAGATTGGGCTCCGGACACCGGCTGCCCGAACGTCGAACGTCCCTGAGGCAGGCCACAGAGCAGCTGGATACCTCATCTTAGCCTTTCGTATGTCTGGCCACGTTGCAGCATACATATCTCTCGCACTTGTGACTAGGGCCAGTGAGAGATTAGGAGAGGGCGACCGGGATAAGGGAGAAGGGGGAAGAAGGGAGAAAAGAAAGGGAGGTACGAAGTCCGAGGTATAAGATGAGAGAGAAGAAGCACCAGTATTAGTACAAAGTACAGTGCAGGAAATGTACTGTACCTCGCCTCAAGGAATCCGGGTCTCGTACTGAGTCATCGACCTCTACCAGCTGGTCAAGGGAAGGTACATGTAAGCAAGTGCTTGATCCACCAGTATAAAAAGTATTCTTTTTGAGCTTCCGTTAGGTCTCCTCTAACTGATACCAGGTCCAGGCCAAACCCCCTCACCCCTTTGCTCATATCCCAACCTCCACCGCTGTTCGCCCCCCTGGAACAATTTTCTACCATTTCACCAACTTTCCTCCCCGTCTCCTGTTGAGCTTTCAACGGTCTATCATATTCGTCGCTCCTGTTGCTCTTTCAGAGTTCAGTCGCAGCGACACATACCCCTCTAGCTTCCTGCTTTCGCATTGCGACTCCATCTCTGTTGCTGTGCCCTTCCAGCGAGTTTCTGCATTGATACCAACGCCAGGTAAGTAACAATTGCCCAAGGCCGTCTCTCTCTCCTCCCATCCCCCCTCCACCACGGCCGTCAACTTTATGGCCACGGATGCCCAGCGTTGGGCAGCTCCCGTGCCAATCGCGGCACGCGTTCATGCCCAAGCTCTGGCGACCAATGGCCCCTCCGCTGTGCGAGAGAGCTTAGCGCTGAACCCGTGTAGCACATATCCGTGATATCCCTCTGTCAAGAACATCATGTCGGACAAGGAAAACGTCGTCACCGCCTCCATCGAAGCTTCTACATCCAAGGAGTCGACTCCCGACCCCACCGAGGCGTCACCCAAGGCCAACGGCGAGTCTAAGGCTCCGGCACCTGCTAAGCGCCCCGGAGCTACGACGACCGCCCGTCGCCCTGTTGCGCCTTCTGCCACCGCATCCAGGCCCGGCGCGTCTGCTTCCACCACGCGCACCACTGGTGGTGGCTTGAGCAAACCGCCCACGCGCCCGCCCACCTCGACGACGGCCACGACCCGCCGACCCACCGCGGCATCGACCTCGGCCTCGACCCACCGCAGCCGCCCCAGCGTGAGCGCCAGCGAAGATGAGAAGAAGCCGAGCTTGAGCTCAAGCGCCGCAAGGAGGACGAGCACCGCCATGTCGAGCCCCGGCAAGTCTGCCGACAAAAAGACGGCTAGCGCGACGGGCACCGCCGCGACTGCCCGCAGACCCACTGCCTCTAGCACTGCTAGTGCTAGCCCACGGACATCCACCGCGACCCCCAGGACGACCACCTCGGCTACTAAGACTGCCGCAACGGCTCGTTCGGCTGCCGGCACTGGAACCACCGAAGTTCGCAAGAGGCTTTCCACGGCTGGCGTTCCATCCGCAGCATCTCGGACGGCCCCTCGGTCAGCTGCCAAGCCTGAATCGTCCCCCGGCGCACAGGAAATCGAAGAGCTCAAGTCGAAGCTCGCCGAAGGAAACGCCGAGATTGAGTCTCTCAGGGCCCAGATCAAGTCGTCCGAGGAGGCGATTACGACTCTCCAGGAGCAGGTAGCCAATGCGGTCGCCTCGACTCCGGATGCCGAGGAAAAGACCTCGCCGGAGAACGAAGACATCGTTACCAACCTGAAACACGTGCATGAATCCGCGGTCACTGACCTCGAGACCAAGCTTTCCGAGGCCAACGACAAGATCCAGGCAGCTGAAACAGAGCTGGGCAAGCTCAAGATGGATCTGGCCGAGGCGGTGGCCTCCAAAGACGCTACCGAGTCAGAGCTCGAGGCCATCAAGAAATCTCTAGAGACGATCGAGGCTGAGCACTCCGAGAAACTCAAGGCGAGCGAGAGCAATCTACAGAAAATCTTGGGCGACCATGCCTCTAAGATTGAGGAGCTCCAAGTCTCTCTTGCCGGCCAGCACCAGGCTGCCCTTGGTGAGCTCGAGGCAAAGCACAAGGAGGAGCTCGGGAAGGGCCTGGCTGAGGCCTCGTCCCACGAGGCCGCCCTACAAGAGCTCAAGTCGACGCACGAGTCGGCCCTGGCGGAACTGCAGCAGAAAATTGACGAGTTGACCGTCTCGCAGGCGGCCCTGGAATCCGCCAGCGATGAGAAGACAAAGTCTGAGCATCAAGCTCACAATGCTCAGATTGTCTCGCTTGAGAGCGAAATCGCCGAGCTTAAGGCTAGGCTCGAAGTATCTGGGAAGACCGCCGAGACGGCCAGTGCGGAGATTGAGTCTGTCAACGGCCAATTGGCCCAGATCCAGGGGGAGTTGGTCGGCAAGGAATCGGTGCTTGTCGCTGCCAAGGAGGATTTGGCATCACTGCAAGCGAAGGCAGATGAGGCGCAGAGTGCGCTCGCGGACAAGGATGGCGAGATCTCCAAGCTCAAGACGATGCACGACGAGCGCATGAAGAACCTGTCACAGGACTACGAGAACGAAATCGATAGTCTCCGCGGCGATGCCTTCTTCAAGCGCAAGTTTGAGGAACTCGAGGCGCAGCACAACGAGCTCAGGACGTCGTCCGAGGAGGCTGCCGAGAGCCACGCAACGGCCCTAGCCGCCGCAAAAGCAGAGCTTGCTGCGGCGATCGAGGCCCTCGAGGCCGCGGAAAAGAGGCATCAGCAGAGCCTGGATGCCCTGCAGGCAAGCCATGCCGAGGCGCTCGAGTCGGCAAAGACTGGTGCCTCGGCGGACAGGGATGTCCAGCAAAGCCAGATGGAGGAGCTCAAGTCTCGACACGCCGAGGAGCTCGTGGCTCTCAGACAGGAAAGCGACGCTGCCTTCGCCAAGGAACTAGATGCGCTCAAGACTTCTCACGCCTCGATCCTCGAGACCCTGAAACAGGAGCACGCCGACGACAAGGAAAAGTCGGTGGCCGCTCAACAGGCAGAGCTAACATCTGCCAAGGACGCCGGTGACAGCGCACACGCCACCGAACTGGCCAATATCAAGGCGGAACTCGAAACCGCCAGGTCTGAGCTCGCGCAAGCACAGTCCGACAACTCCTTTACTATCGAGGCTGTCAGGCAGGAGTTGGAGGAGAAGCACGTCGGGGAAATCGAAAAGCTCATCACGCTGAACACGGAGGCTATTGAGAACGTCAAGCATGAACGCGCCCAGACCACCAAGGACCTAGAAGAGCTGACGGCTGCCCACGCCAAGTCTCTCGAGGACGCAATTGCCGAGCACAAGAGCAGCAACTCTAGTCTCGAGGAGAAGCTCTTCCAGCATGCCGCGGCGAGCGCTGAGCTCGAGGCGGTTCTGCAGCGGGCCCAGGAGGCCCTCGCCAATGCCGAGTCCGAGGTGGAGGAGTTGAGCCAGCAGCTTGTCCAAGAAAAAATGGAGCGTATGACTGCCCTAGCTGATCTGGATGCCGCGAAGAATGTCAAGGCGGACTCGTCGGAGGTTGATTCACTCAGGGCAGAGCTCGCATCGCTCAAGAGGGCCCAAGAGGAGGCCGACTCGTCTGCCCTGGCGAGCCTCCAGGCCAAGCAGGCCGAGGTGGATGCAGGGAAGGCGGAGCTGACGGCTGCGCAGGAGAGCCTGGCCGGCATGAAGCGAGACTTGGGACTGGCTCTGCAAGACTTAGAGGAACATCAGGCCGAAGCCGAGGCCAAGTACAAGACGGCTCACGCCGATTACAAAGATCTCAATGATAGCATGACGGCCCTGGTCGAGGAGGCGAATAGCAAGGCCAAGAGCCTGGAGGCCAAGTTCGAAGAAGCCACGAAGAGGCTGGAGCAGGGCGAGATGAAGATGGAGGAGCTGGAGGCTCAGCTCAAGGTCAAGGACGCCGAGTTGGCGGAAGCAACGGTGAGAGAAGACAGCAGCTCCACTGACCGGCGGTTACGGACACGGACTAACGTTTTCATTTGCGGCGTCGACAGGCCAAGGCGGCGGCAGCTAAGCCCAAGGGCCTAGCCAACAGCAGGTTTGCGGATGCGGAGGGAGGTGACGACGCCGCAGCCGCAGCGAAGGGTGGCGCGCCGGAAGGTGAGGATGACAAGGACGACGAAGATCACTCTTCAGCGGCATTGGCTTCGGTGCGAGAGCCCCTTGCTTGACGCGGCCGTACCTTGACGGTTCCCTTGCTTCCCCCCTTTGGCAGCCAGATGGATGTATGAGGCTAACCAGATGGACCTGTTACAGCTCAGTAAGGCGCGGTTGACGGCGAAGCAGATTGATGCCCTCGATCGTGAGATGAGGGATCGCAACCTGCAGTGAGTGATTTGGGTGGCGGAGTGGCGATAGGCGGGCTAATCGAGGCTGCAGGCTCCTAAACTCGATCACGAACCCGAATACGCAGCAGTCGGTGTGAAGGATTGGGGCAAGGCGGATGTAGGCGCGGCTGACTTGACGCCGAGCTGGGCACTTCCTCATGTGCGATGCAGGAGCGTTGTTTACGACGAGGCCCAGGCTGCTTTTTTAATACCCCTTTCGTTTACGTCGTTGATAGGTTGAGTGTCAATCAGTACGGCCCGGCCGGCTGGACGCTATGTTTGGAGTGGTTGGGAGACGGCTTGCTTGCTTTGTTCATGCCGGGGTTTGCGGGTTCCGAGGCTACGGCCCTGTAAATGCGAAGTACAGTACTGTATGTGCCAATTGCCGTTACCCGTAGCTTGAAGGAATCACGATAGCCGAAAGGTTGTGCGTGTGCGTGTGTGAGCGCGAGCGCGATGACTGTGGCAGCGAGACGCATTGTTACGGACCTGAATCATTGACTCGGGTGTGCCGCCGCTAGATGAGGGAGGACGGGGGTTGTCGGAGATGCCGTGGTGAATCGGGAGCGGCGCGGGGTGATGAAGGGGTGACGAACAATCGGGGCATCCGGCGCTGGGCGGGTTTCTTGCATGGATGCGTACGGTAGAGACTCGGCGCATGATGGACAGGGCTGATGGGATGGGCGGAGTGTCATGTCGGGGAGTGCGAGAGGGCGGATGCAACAATGAGAGGGCACGGACGGCTTGGCCGGACTTGTCGAGGTGTGAGGCGGAGAGGAGGGTGCTGCTGAATTGCAGTGCGTTGTCGTCACCAAGACACCAGAGGTTTATTGTTGTGATTGTCAGACTCTCGGGCTGCCTTGTTTGGTGTTTGGCGGCATCGATCGATGCAGTCGAGATGGATAAAAACACTGCACTGTGCTGTTGCCGGCAGCATGTAATACTGCATGTACATCATTGGGAGCCATGGCAGAGACAGCTGCTCAAGCTGTTCAGAGACATCGAGGCACCCCAATAGCAGAAGAGGGCGTCTGTCTCAGGCATGCCGTGGCCATTTTAAGCGCACCAGTTTGCATATCGAATGGCCATTGGAGTAATAACAAAGGTTTTTGTAGTTACAGTACAGTGCATTTTGTGCACCCACGTGTGTGTCCCGTCTTGGCTCGCATGATGCACGTGGGTTTACAGTTGACGGGGCATTGTCAAGTGATTCGTACGGTGCAGCAAGTACCTGCCTAATAATCTAATAGTCTACCTAATAATCCGTGATAGCATGTGAATTAGGTACCATGGGAGCACCAGCACCGTACTGTACTGTACAGTAATTACCTTAGTACAGTATGAGCTCATGATAAGCTGCCAAGCAACAACGGGCGGCTTGGCTTGGCTGCTTCCTTCCCAGGCTCCCCAGGCTGGATCGACTGCTTAGTCACCCGCGCAAGCATGGCTGGCCGGCCACAATGACGTCGCTGCTGCGCGCCATCCCGGTCACGCCAGGAACGTCATCATGGCAGCTTCACGTTATTATTTTCGCCCTTGTCTGGGTCAACCACCACCCCGTCCACCTTCTCTCCATCTCCATCCGCTGAATTCTCCGGCCGGCTACGCGCACTGTATGCTCGACCTGGCCTCATCAGTCGTTATTCTTTCAGCTACTTGCTGCTCGCCTCATCCTTCTTTTCAACCCCGGTGAAAGCTTTGGAGGAAAGAGCCCGACTCTGCCGTGCGACAAACGACCGAGCGGGAGCGCCTAGTTTGACCAAGCGCGAACCCGTAGCCGCCACCATCCCGGACGCTTACGACGACGGCAAACGACGACGGCATTCCCGTCCCCCTTGTTTCTTTTTCTCCGACAAGAGAACAATTGACAACGACGACCCTTCTTGCTCCTTATCACCTCTCCCGCCGCATCGAATCTCAAGAGGAAACGACGCCACGGCGAGAGCAGCGAGTCGATCGAATGGGCGGCCTCGATCCGACAACGACGATTGCGTGCTGCCACGATTGACCATGCCTGAGGTTCGGCGCGGCAGCTCGAGAGGGCACTCCGACTCGGCCCTCTCGAGCAGCACCGCCTCAAGACCGGGTGCCATCACGCCCGCCATCACCGTCAGCAGCACCTACGAGAATGACATCCACAACAAAGACGGCGCTGCTGCCAATGGAGTCGCATCGCGGGCCGCCAGCGATGGCCAGCTGCCCACGCAAGCCTCCATCTCGGCCCCGGGCGTCGTGGATGCGCCTTCTCATCAACGCCGTCCACACCCGCCCACCGGCAACCCGGAATCCCGCCGCAGCCTGTCGTATGCGCTGCGCCCGCAGGCCGAGGCCTACTACGACTCCCGCGCCGCCACCCGCACCGAGTGGAGGCGCCGGGCAAAGACGCTCGACGAGTACTACGACGACAACCGCCATCTGCTGCCCCAGCTGCCCTTTACCTGGCACCACGGTCGGCGGCGCTGGCGCCTCTTCTTCTTCGCCTTCTTCGTCTTCGTCGACGCCTCGGCCGTGCCTATTGCCCTCTACTACGGCATGCACTACGCCGGCGATGTCGAAAACTGGATCATCTTTGCCGTCGTCACCACCATCTGGGGCGGGCCCACCTACCTCGAGTTCGCCGTCCGCACCTTGCGCCTCATAAAACGCGAGCGCTTCTTCCGGCCCCTCGGCACCGAGAGTCGCTGGTGCTTCGACATGCTCAACTGGACCTCGATCCTCACAATCACCGCCGTTACCGCCCTCTTCATCGTCGGCAGCGCCCCGCACATTGTCTGGCTCAGGGTCCTGTGCATGCCCGCACCCGCCATCCTCTACTGCCTCGGCGGCGTGCTGTTCTTGGTGACGCTCTTCCACCAGATGGCATGGCCGGCCCCGTTTCGCATCAGCTCCACGGCCAAGGGCGAAAAGGTAATTGACACCCCCCACCCACATCTATTAGCAATGTTGCTGACAAGACTCCACCAGGTCCTACCGGGCGCCTACTACTTTGTCGAGGACGTCGTCGCCGTTAACGCTGGCGCGGGCCGCCCCTATCGCGAAGCCCTCGCCGCGAGGTACAAGGCCAGCCCCCGCTTCCGGCGGATGCTGTACGTGCAGAGCCTCTTCTGGTCGATCCCGGCGCTCCTGCTTGCCGCGGCGCTCACGGTCGTGGCCGTGATACCGCCCGTGCCGGCGACGGGCGCGTACGGCGTGTGCTGGGCGGTGCCGTTCCTGTGGACGGGCCTTTGGGGCGGCATCACCGTGTGGTGGTGCAAGAAGGAGATGGTGCGGGAGAGGCTCGAGTGGGAAGCCGACAGCGGCGTGGTGAGCAAGGGCGGCGCGCACAGGCCCGAGGCGGGACAGGCGGAGACGGCGGCGCCGGTCCCGTCGTCATGATGACGCGACTCACTCGCCGACACTGGAGCGAGGCCTGAAGCACCGGGCTCACATACAAGATGTACGGGACACATATCATGCTCCATGGATGGGCGAAAGCGGGAGGCGAACGATGGGGGTACCTTCCTTGTACACATTCCAGCGATAGAACAACATGCGCGTCTGCACTGTTTCAACTCTTTGCTGCGGCTGGGGCGTCGCGAGAGATTGTTCCTAATCGGTTTCGTCCGACGGTAAGCCAACCTCCTCATCGTCCCTCTGGCTGCGAAGTCTGGATAAGACTGTCGCACAAGGGCTTGCGGAAACGCCTTGGCCACGAGAACGGGACGAGCGAGGTCTGGAACTTCTTACCCCCACGAATGAGGCTGAGTCGAGTCGGGCGCACATTGCCGCCTTTCTCTTTCTCCCTCCCTCTTGGGCACGGAGGCGCACGGCTCGTTGACGGGGCAAGCTCCAGGTTGCGCCATCAGCAGCAGGCGGACCCCCCGGTTTGAGGGTGGGTTGGATGAGGGATTTCGGGGTCAATAAGGGTTTTTTTTTTCTCCTACGAGGAGAGAAAAGAAAAGAAGAATGGGAAAAGTGCCTCGACTTTGCTTTGGGAAAGGGCCCTTGGAAACCAAGATTGGCCGTAGGAACTTGCGGATCCAATGACAAAACACGGGCTGAAGGGGGAGACGAGACAGAGTTTAATGGACTCCGTAAAGATTGAAGGGTTTCTTTTTTCCTTACTTTTGTCGCCTGTGTTGCTTTTTTGCTCCTGCTCGCCTCGGGTCCGGAGTTTAACGGGGCTGGGAGGCCACAGGGAGAAGGCCGAGATGCAGCACAGAGAGAGGGGGGGGGGGGGGGGTGGACAGCCTCGGAGCTCTGGCATGGGGATCTTGGGTCTTCTTTTTTTTCCCTTTCTCGTCGTCGGCTTCACGGTATGTGTGCCTAGGACGGGCGGGGAGGAACCCGGTTGCCGAGACGGTCGAGCAGTACGTGTGGCCGCGCGTGTAGTTGTCGAGGTGCGTTTGACCTGAGAATAGACGGTGAGGTGTGGTCTTGGCTCGGAGTTGGCGATGATGCAAGATTCATGGCATTTTGCCCCTTGGGTATAATACGGCACATATAGCAAGTAGACGGTAGTGCGGCTTGGAGACAAAGCGACTCCCCCCCCTTGGCAGAACGCGGCACATGGGGGACAGGCCCGGCAGGCGAGGATGCAGGCGCTCTCAATCTTGGAACGGGGGAGGGGGAGGGGGAGGAGAGGCGATATTGATTAAATGACCCCCGTTTTGCAAGCGATCTCGCGCCCGCCGTCGACGGGCAGTGGGAAGGGAAAACCTTTGGTTGTGGCTCTCACTCGGCCGAGCCCACAACGACGGACGACGACAACGGGCGTGGCACGTGAAGATGGGGGCCAGAACAGGCCGCGAATAGCACGGGGTCGTAGGGGCTTCTAATTCGGTGTGGCTTCCCCAAGCTAGACATGCAAGTCGTACCGTCGTGTCAGTTATTACTGTGCTCAGTGTGCTGTCAGTATTCGTACTTATTATTAATAAGCTGGGCTGTTCAGTTGGGCAGTGAGTGAGCAGGACCTACTGTACCGTAGAGAGGTAGGGAGTGCCAGATATCCCCGTATTGTGTACTTAGTACCGTCAATCTTTAACGAGTTGCATGCATCCTGCGTCAGATTATGTACATGGACCGTCTTTCCTTCCTTTTGCTTCGTAAGAGGAAAGAAGAAAGGATTCCCCATCATTTCTCACCAAGGCTGACGTTTTGCAGACTTGTTAGGAAGGAGGAAGGGGGGGTTGAAACAGGCAGAGGGGGGGATAGAGAGAGGGTCGAGGCATCTCTTTTCCTCTTCCGCTTCCACTCCACGCTTTCTTCATCTCTACAGACAGGTATGGCGCCTCTCACCTACATCATGCCAGTCTCTCACCGCTTCTGGCAGCAAGCTCCACAAGGAACGAGGAAACGTCCCTTCGACGGAACCGTGCGCCGAACAAAGTCGTACGAGACTTTCTCGTGTGTCGTCTTGGTACCTAATCCGACTTGGGTATCTGCATTCAAGGCCTACAGTACTAGGGCAGGAACTACTGCACAAGCTCTCTCCGCCAGTGTCTAATATGCATCAGAATTTGCGTACTGTACGCTGCAGTCTGTACTGAGGATATACCTTTGTGTTCGTTTGTATGTACATACGGAACTACGGATACCCTTGGGCAGTCGTGAGGCCCCCCTCGTCAAGGCCTTCCCCTTTCACTCGCTGCACGTTGGCCCTGTTTTCCTTTGTTTTGCTCTACTTCGCCCCCAGGTATCACATCATGCACGGCTATACTATCATACATAGTAATACTGTAGGAAGGCATTATACAGTACAGTACGTGCCCGTCGCAGGTAGATGGCAAGATGGGCATCTCTTTGCCTCGCCCTTTCCGCCCCCACCCATCACCCATTCTCCCCTGTTTTAACGGCAGCAAGCAGGATCGCGACAGGGGGCCCCTGGGAGCGCTCAAGCCTGAGCTGTATTATCCGTACCCAGTTACATAGGTAGGTAGGTAGGTACCGGGTAGGTGCTGTGCTGTACCATCCGTACCCGCTACCCTGTAGCTGTGGCTGCGGCTGTGGCTCTACGGTAGCTGGAGAAGTGGAGACCCGTTACATCGCGGCGCGGTACGTACAGTCCCATATCGAGCGCAGGGCGGGAGGAAGGCACCGGCAGGTTCGCCACTGGGGGAAAGCTTGGGGCATTTCGATGGAAGGTGCCATGGAAGATCGTGTGGAAAATGCAGCCACGGCAAGGCTGCCTTGCCTTGCCGCACGCAGACCGAATAATACCTGCCCTCTACCTGCCGCGAGTGTCTGCTGCCAGCACGTGTGCCGGTTGCGCGCGAGTACCAGCCCGCCTCCTCGAGCACTTGCTTCCTAGGAAGGTATGCATCTTGCAGTATGTAGGTGTGCAGCGCTGTGGCTGTATGTATGTACTCTGTATGTAGGTGATAGAAAAAAAGTGAGACTGAGCAGGCTCTTCCCCTCTGACTGCTCGGCACCTTACCGACTGTCCGTCACCTATTACCTTTTAGGCACTACCATGTACCGCCCAATTCCTAACTACTACAGTAGACTTTGGTCCCACAATGAACTAGCCTCGGAGACGTTTGCGGAAGGCAACCGTTTGTCCTAACAACAAGGGTGCTTCCACGAGGCAAGCTCCTGTTAGCGCATGCCTTGCTCCATCTCCCGGCCAGCGGCGGCCCCTTCAGCCCGTCGTGGCTAGCATGGGGTCCCTACCAACGACTAGAGACACTACTAGAGGGCTCCGTGAGGTAGCGATGCATATTACTAGGCACCAAAACGGCTCTTATGAAGCCAATACTGCTGCTACCTACGAATATATCGACGTAGCCTCTTATTTTGTCCGTCAACTACCACTAGTGCCCGTTGCGGATTAGCTAGCCTGAGAAAGGGTGACCAGTGCGAGGCCCGTAGCGTGAACTGCGTACTGCTACCTGGCCGGTAAGCACGTCGGCAAGCATCTCACGCTGCACTCGCGATAGACAAACGGGACCTGGCTACAAGACTCGTGCTAGCGTCTTCTCCCACCTCGTTACCCATATTTTTTCAACAGACTTTTTCCTTTTCCTGCGACATTTTATTTCCTTTGCTGTTTATCTTCTCACCTCGTCGTCCATTCCTGCTTGTATCCGGCTTGCCCGACCAATCGCAACAACGGGCTGGGATCAGGGGAGCAACGCTCCCTTCCCCGATGCTTTGACGGCTGGACCTCACGTCAATCCATCCTGACGTCTGGCGGGGCCGGGCCGAGAGTCATGACTGTCTGTCACCTTGACCTTTGTTTGCACGCGCCGAGCCAAGACGTCCGTCCGTCGCCGTCGCCGTCGCCGTCATCAATGTCTGCTTCGCCAACCCCGAAGCCGGCGACCTTGTTGACAAGCCGGCGACAATGGCACCGGCTTTGCGCAACGGAGCCTTGCAAAGGTAGGTAGGTGGTGGCTTGGAAAGACACGAAAGGAGAAAATCGTCAGCGCCAAAGACCAAGGAGATTGCAAAAGACAAAGTGAATCACTCGTCGGAGCCAGCAAAAAACAAATACATATATACATACCAAACGGCAAAGGAAAAGCCTGCACCGGCCTGGCCTGATTGGCGTCCTCTCCCCCTCCCCCCGGTCGATATTTGGTCGTTGATATAGCCTCGGGATGGCCCTCTTGTTTCCCACGGAGCACGGAGCGACGCGTCTGTCCAACGTGGCCCACGAGCTACGGGGGCGGTATTATGGGCTACGTTGTATCTGTTATACCCGTCCAAGCCCATACCATGCCTCTTTGGAACGGGCCCTTGGGAACTTTGGGGTGCAGATACGGCGCACGTTGGTCTCTGCTTGCCGCCTCTCCACCTCAATGGACACTGCGTGGGATGTCCTCAGCCAATCCGTCTTCACCCTGGCCTCCCCAGTGACGCGACCCCCCTTGGCCCGGTCTGCCTTTTCCGCCTTCCTCTGGCCTCGTGCTCCATCTCTCAGGCAGAAAGGGGGGTGGAGAGAGAGATCAAGCACTCGTCCCGTAAGCCTGATATTGGGCGACTTGGCCTATACCCACGTCTGGCTCCGCCGATCCGCGGCTCTGGGCCGGCTCGCTCGCTGGAGACGCCGTCTGCATCCCATGCCCAGTTTCATCGGCTCTTAGACCCGTCGATGAGCAACAACCGAACCGCCTTTGCTGTTCTCCTGGGCCAGCCTTGCCCGGACCCTACCCAGGAGGCGCTACTGGACTTGGCTACATGGCATTTGCCCCGACTGGCCCATGGCCTTTGCTGTCACCATCGCCCTCGGCTGGGGCCGTCAGGCGGGACGAGACCTGACGCCCCCGAGTCTAATGCGGGCTACCTCTGCCCCGGGCCCCCCCTTGCCGGGGTCTCGTTGCCCCGTCGCGATCCCGATTGTGTTGCAAGGGTACCGTGATGCCCGCCCCCCTCTCAGTAGCTTTGGAAAGCCCGAGTCCGAGATTGACGACTCCAGTCCCCTGAATCAACGCCATGGACTTCTGCTCGTCTTCCCTAAATAGCAATCGTCGAAGCGTCCGACCTGTGCTCGGATTCCACCCTGACGGCTTATGCCGTTTTGCCCATGCTTCGTTTCTTGGCCCTTCCACTTGGTCTCTGGACGGCACAATACATACTCGCCGCCTTCGCCAGCTCGACTGGCCGGAACCGCAGCTCTTCTCTTCAACTTCAGGTCCCCCTCCCCACCGTGGAGTCTCCCACGTCTTCGGTGACTATTTCCGAATCTCAAACCGCTCTCTTGCAGCATCGACGTTTCTTTGTTGGCACGTCACTCCCACCCCCCTTCCCCTTCATTCATCTTCTCGCCACCGCCACATTGTCCTCTCGAGCCTTTTGTTTTAAATACCAGTGTCTCTGGATTGCTGTGTGCTGGTCGCTGCAAGCTTCTTGACCACACTCCACCCCCCTTTCACCCCCCCCGGCAAGGGGCTACCAGACGATAGGCACATTACCCAACCAATCGAGGTAATTGCTTACCTTGGCGGAAAAAAAACTACCGACCTATTTGGCCTGGTTGTACCCCAGTGGCACAACTCATCTCGCATCTCGCCCGCATCAGGGTGGTGTAGCCAGTCTGTGCCGGGAAACCCATTTCAAAGTGGCTTGATCTCTTCCAAAGTTGTCATTGTCCGGAACCGTCCCCGGCAAACCACTCTAGCTGTTCGTCATTTACTGTCCTGCGGGACATCTGAGCCGAGTTTCAGAGCCTCTGTCTCTCTCTAGCCCGCCGGACCCCCGCGTATTGGTCTGCTCGACCTCGGCTCCCCGTCGACGAGCGCCAAAGCACCGACCATCACACACTACGACTCCAGCTTCAACATGGCCAGCAGCACCGGAAGCTATCTCGACATGCCTTTCCTACAGACCGGCCGACATTCATCCAGCCTGCAGTATCTGGGCGGCGGCGAGCTGCCTCTGGCTGCCGAAGACTCGCCGCCGCACCACCACGCCGAGACCTACGGCGATCCCCAACGGCAGCTGACGCTTCGGCAAGCGCCAATGCATGCTCGAGTGGCGATAGGAAAAGAAAAAGGTGCGCGCTCTCTGGTTTCCCAAGGGCCAGTCGTGGCGTCTTTCTCATCCCCCGAGGCTGACGTGGACGGCTCCAGACCGCAAGCCGATTGACCCTCCTCCCATCGTGCAGCTGCTGGACAAGCGAAACAATGGTAAAAGCGGCCTCTACGACAGTAAGTCTTCCGCATCCACGCTGGTTCCCCTGAACTGCAAAGTTGGCTTGGACACGATCCTTACTCGAGGGCAAACCTATAGGCCCCTACCTCTTCATGACCTCATCGCTGGTATCGGAAAACTATGGCGAGTCGTCCGAAAAGGACCAGGAGCTCCCTTCAAACTACCTCGTCGGCTCCTTGGTCTCCTCTATCCATCGCCTCAGGGACACGGACAATGTCGAGGGCGGCTTCTTCGTCTTCGGCGACCTCTCCGTCAAGCGCGAGGGTCGGTTCCGCCTTCGCTTTACACTTTACGAGCGCGACCAGAGCAGCTCCTCGCCCAGCTTCTACTTTGTCTCGGAGCTCGTCACTAACGTCTTCACCGTCTTCTCCACTAAGCTGTTCCCCGGCATGGCCGACTCGACGCAGCTGACGCGCACTTTTAGCAACCAGGGCGTCAAGGTTCGGCTTCGGAAAGACTCGAGCGGCATGGCTGCCCGGAAGCGAAACAGGGGTGTCGCCGACGTGACTGATGAATTCCTCGACCGGCAGACGAAGCGATCATCGTACGATCGGGAACTGCCGCTGAATAATTATGCCGTCTCTGACCTTGGGCACATGGATCCTCTGCACGGAGTCGTCACCACGGCCCCGCCAACCAGCTTTCTCGTGGCTGCCGACGCCATGTCTTCGTCGTCGTCATCGACGCCATCGAGGAGTGCTGGCCTCGGCATGCCGCTGTCGACGAGCGGTTATTACTTTACCGGAGCCCAGTACTACTAGTCCAGGGGCTCGCAGCTTCAAGCCGACGAGGAACGAAGGAGAAAAATCAAACGGAGCATTGGGGCGGCAATGCGTCTACGTGCTAACCAGAGCCGTGGCTCACTCGTGTAGGGGGCCCTGGGACTAATGGATTCGCGCTCCGGGACACGTTGTTCGGGGCGCGAGGAGCGATTCGTGAGAACGGCCACGTCAGCTCCGATGCAGGCCTTTGAATTGCGCGGAGAGACACGTTCCTGCCTCAAGGTGATCGGCGGCCTCTTGGCTACATCCGACCTCGGACTGTGCAGCCCCTTCGGCGTCAGACCCCGGCCGCAGTGTAATGGTTTCGGCATCCGCAAGGCCGCCCATCTCGCCAAGTCAGTCGCGGCCATTTCCACCTGACCGAATACGTGCTTCTTATTCTGCCCGTGCCCGTCTCTGGGGCTGAGAGGACATTGCCAAGGTCAGTGGAAGGTCGGGTGACGGAATGAGGACAAGACGTACCGAAGAGATGTGGAGAAAAGGAGAGGGACTGCTAGACGTGCAGCTTGCCCCCGATGGTGGGAGGCTGAACCTCTCAGACCGTTTCCAAGAAATACCACATCGCAAACACAGTCATGGCATGGCTCCATGCCGGCGGTCTGAGGTCGGCGTCGACGACTTTGGCCTAGTGACAGGCGTGGCCGTCTTGTAGGTCCTTGATGATGTCCTTGATGGGACCGTGTCGGAATCGGCAGAAACAAAGCAGCGATATCCGGTTCCGGACCATCGATGCTCCTCGACATTGACGAAGCGCGGGGCATCGGCAGCCGCAGCGGTACAGACCTGGAGCGGCATTATCCAGTCGTCGTGTGGTCTTGGGGAACAAAAATGGCTGTCGATGGGATTCAACCCGGAAATGGCCGTCTCAGGGGGGAAGGGGTTACGAACGATGGAATACGATGCGCCCTGTCAGAGTCCAGGCAAACTCGGCTCAACTCGGCTCTCAAAGCACTGCATTTGGTGGTTACGCAGTGAAGATGACAGGAGGCGGCTTGGCCTCCTGTCAGCCGTCCTGCCTTTGGTATACGGAAATGACGAGGAGCCCAGACGCAGGAGACTGGCAGAGGAGGAGCAGGGGCGGGGCAGCGCGGCGGGACCAGGCCACGCTTCCGCGGATTGGCATGATGTGAAGCTGATTTGGAGTACAGAGAGGCGGTGCTGGTCGTCGATTATCATAATAAGAGGGCTCATAATTCATTGACATATCTATTCGTCTGCGGAGAAGCATTGGACGGTGCACCACCGGGCCTAATGCCCATCTATAAGAAGATCTCTTAAAGCCGGGATGTCTCGTCATTTTTATCTCTACAGCAAAGGTATAGGTTTACTACAGATGTATATAAAGATATATAGACGTATATATTAGAACTTGAGCCCCCTTTTCTGGAGAGCATAATGCGCTGGAAGTAGAGAGCATACTGTTGATCTTTATCCCTCTACCAACTTATAGCTCTCCATGTAAGACAACTAGGAGGTGCAAGCTGCTACAACAGACCAACGACCAGTCACCAGTCGAGGCAAAAAGATGCGCCAATTTCAGCACCTTGTGTCGACAAATGGCACCCGGGCGACAGTGCTACCCCTGCAGGGACGCCTCTTCGTCTAGGGGACCGCCATGCGCCCCTCAACCGCTCTCTTCTCCGTACTACATCGTTCCCCATCGCTGTAGTTCCTCGGCGGGGCCGACACCGCTGAGCTTAAACATCTGGGGCGTTTTAAAAGGCGCCGCTCGGGATCATGACCTTGCGCCGGGCTTTGATATTAAGGTCGGCGGTGCTTGTCCGCGCGGTAAATGCTTCGTAAAGTGCACACATAACCGGAGGGTAGGGCAGTTGAGGGGAGGGCGTGATCTTCAGCGCGACTTGACACTCGCCGCCATAACTAGTCCGTATACTTCGTACGGTATGAGATTGACATGCTCGGCTTGATGAATACGTAGACAACGAGGCATTTTAGGTCTGGAACACGGCGATCCACGTAGTGGTGACTTGCCAAGCGCATTGCCTCCAGGCTTTACATGTGGCCTAAGGTGCTCTGCAACTTTAGCAGTGTGTATCCCAAGTAGCTTCAACATGATGAAGCTAATGACTCGACCCCAGTACTCACAGACCGCCATTTCTCCTCGGCAGAAACTCTAGAGCACTGGCAGTATATCCTCGAGTTATATATATACCCCAATAGGCATTATCTCGGTGTTGCACCCATAAAAACAGGCCCCGCTCCCTTAACATATATTTACAAATCTCATCCTAACAGCATCGAGTCAGTTCAGTCAGGTCTAGTTTGAGTTCGGTCAGGTCTAGTTTGAATCTCAAACCATGAAGGAGAGGAGCCTCCAATGCCATTAATGGAGGATGGAACAGGTAATCGAGGGTTTTATGCGAGAGACTTGTCCCTATCTTAGCGACCGGAACGCCCTGCAAATGTGCAATTTAAATTTAGGGTTGAAAGGGTATGTGTAGAATTGGACTACCCTCTTGCTCTACGTAGCAACTCCTCTTCTATACGAAGTGAGCGGTACCTTGGCATATAAGGAGCCAGCAGTTATGGTATTACCTGTAGTTAGTAGTTCTCGACAGCTGCAATGCAGTGTCGTCACTAGCTAGTTAGCTCTATATCGCAACATGGGACCGAGATAATGCTAGATATATGCCTCTTGGGCCTGGGGTAGAAGTTAAAGGAGACTATATATAGACGGAACAGTAAAACTTTTTTTTAATAACTAGCATAATAAGAAGGGGGTTACGGTCTCTATACCGAAGTCATGCTTTTACACGTTCTTATACAAAGGTGTAATTCAGACGAAGAGAGGGTGCTCGTATGAGATCTAGACTCCACTGACGCGTCATATAGCCCATGTAGAAGGATGAAAATCTATCTTTCAAGGGTGGACTGTTTACTCGACTGCCTGTGTTCGAGGCCATGTATCAATGCACATGGCATACAGCCCCATAGCTGGACCCCCTTCGAGATTAAGGGGACATCGATACATCTGGCATTGCGAAGTATGTGGCGAAGCGTAGTATGCGACTGCATCGACACCGGTCTAAGCACCACCCCCTTTTCTTCCCGCAAGTCCACATGTAAGTGGCAAACGCCCGCGGCGGTAGATCAACCACAGCCACCGGGCCCTAGGTGGCTGCTTGGGCGACGGATGCCGGGCCGCTCGCGGAGCCAATCCAGCGGCCGCCGGGCCAGGGCACAGGCGTAGCGGGCCTCGGGGCCGGGAACGCCGAGAAGGCGGGCTGCAAAGGCACAGCTCCGGACGCAACGCTGCCCCCGCGATGACGCTTGTCGAGCCTGCCGGCCTGTTCTTCATCGATGCTGACAACCGGCTGCAATCCATTGGCCTCCGCATTGGAAGCCCGGCTGACTTGTAGGTGGAGTATACGCTCTTTCATATCCCGACCATCACTCTATATACCCTCGAGGAGGACGCCATCTACCCTTTGTCGCCAGAGGCGCCATGGAAGCTCCCACGCCCCCGAGGGGATCCGCCCAACGAGCCGGTTGAAGCCGAGGCGGCCGCCATCGACGTCTCGGCCGCTATGGTCTGGCTGGATCGCCGTCAACGGCTCCAACGGCTCCAGCTTGATGGTGCCTTACCGAGGCCTCGGCGGCTCGTTTCGGTCTGCCACTGTGATGAATGTCGAGGAGGGGCATATGGCTCCCGCAAGGTGATCGAGGTAAACGGCATCAAGATGCTAGGCCAGGTTCCCAGCTCTACCCGCGCCTCTGTGCCGCGCGGGAACCTCGTCGCCAAGTGGGACGGCTCTCTCCCCGACGGCAGCCATGCTACAAGTTGGTTGCCCACGCACAGTCTGTCCTTGGCGACGCCGACAATAGTTCGCACCGGCAGGCTGTTGAGTCGTCAAGAATTGTATTTACATACAATAACCCCATCCCCGGGAGTGGAGTGTTGGCGGGACCCTCTGTTGAAGAGTTGGGAATCTTATCAGTCAATGGATTGGCCTGGCATCAGGAGATGGATGGGAATTATCTACGAATAGACAAGAAAAGAAACCGGATCCAACGCTCACAATCGTGCAACAACCAATCCATCTCCTAATCCCACCTCGGAACGAACAGGTTGCCCATGGACCGAGCATGACTGTAATTCAAAAGTCAATGCCAGCATGGGCGGGCTTTCTGCATCAGAAGAGAGACGTTGTAGGAGCGAGAGGGATCCACACCCTTATCCTCACGTCGACATACCACCAAGACACTATATCAGGTTGTCTAGATACCAGCTTGTGATTATAGGCTTGCAACAGATCAACAAGTGCTCACACGCACAGTAAACGGGACACACGCTCCCCACCCCTGTTACGACGGGCGGTCATGATCCGGAGCTCCGTTGGTCCAGACGCTCATGACGGGCCGGCCCTCGTCGTCGATCCACGCGCGATACATGCCGCCGCAGTTAAAGTCCATGACGACGTCGCTCCGCGCGCGCACGACACGTCCGCTGGCGGCGTCGCGCTCCACGACGCACTCGATGCCAATCATGCCGCCCTCGCCCTCGCCCGTGCGGGCCCAGCGGTCCCCCGCGCTGCGCTGGAGCTCGCCGTGGGGTCCGGCGACGGCCCGAAGCGCGTGCGCCGTCGACTGCGGCCTGTGCCGAGCGAGGGCGGCCACGGTGTGCGCGGCGCAGGTGCGCAGGAATGAGTCGCCGTTGCCGGTGCCCGAGACGCCGAGGGAGCGCATCGTGGCGGTGCGGGAGGGGGAGAGAGGAGACGAAGAGGAGGAGGGCTGGGAGGGCAACAAGAAAGAGAGAGGCGTGTATGTGAAAGGCGTGGGCAGACAGTCGGCGAGCAGGCCTCTCAACGGACCGGACAGGGTAATGCCCGGACTGGACCGCGCCGCAGCGTCGACAAGTCTCTCCCAGGCCGTGCGGCCAGCGGCTTGTCGGTGCTCGGCCCACTCCTCGGCCCAGAAGCCGGCTCCCGGGATGGGGGTGTCACCGATGCGCCCAGTCAGCTTGTTGGTCATGCCGCCGGTACTGGTGGCGGCACAGATGACGCCCTCTTGGTCGAGCGCCACGGCGCCGCACGTGCCCTGGGGGACAAACTCGTCGACAGCCCAGGTGGCGGCGCCGCGGCCGTGCCTCTCGCGCTGCAGCCCGCGGATGTGCTCATCCCAGCGTTGCTGCGTGAAGAAGTAGCTGGGGTCAACCAGGTCTAGCCCGTAGTCGCGCGCGAGCTGCTCAGCCGCGCGGCCCCAGACCAGGGTGTGTCCCTGAGCGGACGGCACGTCGAGCTCGTCGTCGGCGGGCGCGAGAGACGAGGACAAAGGCGAGGGGCGCGGGGCGAGATCTTGGTCTCCGCACTCGAGGATTTGCTTGACAAGGAGGATAGGATTGCGGACGTGGCGCAGGCCCGAGACGCCGACACAGTGCTTGGCGTGACCGCGGGAGACGACGACGGAAGCCTCCAGCTGGTTGATGCCGTCGCGGGTGAAGACGGCACCACGGCCCGAGTTGAAGAGTGGGTTGTCTTCGAGCAGGACGACGGCATGGCAGGCGATGTCGAGGGCCGAGGGACGGGGGCGGCCCTTGCCGTCAACATGTTTCTCGGACTGACTCGAGTTCATGTAGTCGTCTGTATCGCGGATCTACGCGTCATGCCGTGCGGTGCGTCAGCCTCGTGGCTTGGCAGGTGGAAGAGAGAGATTAGAGCCAGACGTACGATAGCCAGCAGGGCAGAGCGATATTCCTGGTACTTGTCGGCGGGAAAGTGCTCGCGTTGGATATTACCCGCGCCGCCGTGGATGATGATTCGGGGTTTGATTCCGACAGCCGAGGCTGACAGCTTCTGCTGCTGCTGCTGCTGCTGCTTTTCATACTCCATATCCATGATTCCAAATGTCGGTATCGAGATTTGAGACAGCGATCCGGGAGACGCCCAGAGCAGGGGGGTAAAGGCCCTCTGTCAAGGTGAAGAAAGAAGCATGGCGATGTGAAGAAGCTCGGAAGAGGAGAGAGCCGAGATGGGAGTGCTCAGCTATCTAGGTAGTTACTGGTTAGACCATTTTCAAATCCGGCTCCTACCTTCGTGAGCCGGTCGGCACGGGGGAGGAAAATGTGGGGCGCGGGGTGGAGTGGGGGGCAACTGCCGTAGCCGACCACTCACACCTGCCGAGTCGGGAAAGTCGTTGGCGGTGGGCCGTGGAAGGAGCCCCACGATGAAAAGAGGGGCCGCCGTCTCTCCACAGCGGGACAGGGCCGCGAGAAGATAGTACCGTAGGTAGGTAGGTGGGTAGTATTATTAATTAATTGTCGAGCTGGTAAAATACCGCTACACCAGGCAAAATAGGACTAACGCGTAATTACAATAAGTCCACTCTCCATGCTCTGACAGTACTCCGTACCTAAGGTAGGTAATCCTACTTGACGAGCAGCGGTAGCCTGAGACAGCCCATCACATGTGCGCACCACACTACCACCACCATGTGGCCTGCCTCTGCATCATGGCCACTTTGCCACCTCGTGTATTCGTGCTAAGAGACAGTACGCCCCTTGTGCGAGGCTTCTGCACCGTCGAGTTCCGTCCCAGAAGGAAATTACACCGTCCCCCCCAAGGGCCACACCGAAAGAATCAAGTAAATCGTATGTAGACAACCTCACGCCTCTCATTTTGGCGCAGCGATATCCTCAGCTTCCCCCCTCTCCCGCGGCTGTCAAGCAATCCAGAACTCCACTCATATCTCGAAACAGTATGCTAGTTGCCGCATGAGCTACCTATCAACCAGCCCGGCAGCAAGCTTCACGGCTCGATTGATGTCTCTGCGTCGGACTCCGGGTATCTTCCCGAGACAAACCGACCTCTGCACCATTTCTGTCCAACGTCAGCCTGGCTCTTTGCATCGTGCTTGACAGCCCATCTTACCATTGATCAACATGTTGACATCAATCGCAATCTTGGTGCGCGCCCAGTTTCCAGCCGACGCCCACATGCTATCAGCGCTTGGAATGCACATCGAAGTGCTGAATCTCGCATCCACGTCCGCCGCTCCCGACGTCCCGCTGCCGCCCAGTGCTGCGGCCGCCGGCTGCTGAACGTCGCCACCGCCGGCTGCCGATGCTGTCGTCTGTTTCTCCGCCTCGAGACCGTTGTTCGGCCAGATTGCGCTCGCAGTAGGCCCGCTGGCGCTACTGGCCATCGAGTCGGACGAACCGACATGCGAGTCGGCAAACGACCCCGATCTGGCCACCTCGGGCTCATCGGCAAACGGAGACCATGGGGGTGAGGCTTCCTCAAGGCTGCCGAGATTGACTTCCGCCTCGATAAACTCGGCGTTTTCTGGAATCGAGATGCCGAGCCGGCCTAGATAAGTCTCGACCTCGTCCGCGTTGAAAAACTCGCGTTCGAATCCGGGATACAGCATGCGCATCCCATGATCCAGTTTTTCGTCCCGCGCGGGCACGAGCTCGCATTGAAAGGGGCCCGCGGAAAACAACCTCAGGCGGCGGATAATCGTCTCCCGCGACTCAAAGAAGAGACGAAAGCCGAAGACGGCCGCGTATCGCTCCGCCGGCGGATTCGCCATGGTAATCAGCCGCCAGCCGGTCTCCATGCTGGCCCGTTGAAACCGCCGGCCAAAAGTCTCATGCCCCGCAAGAGACATGGGGCTCACGGCGGTTGAGCCTGAGCTCATGTTGTAGTATGGCCCCGTCATGTCGGAAGATATGGACTGCATGGAGGCGTAGAAAGGGAAGCTGGCATTCTCGGCGGTCGGCTGCGTCGCAATCTCGTAAGGCATGGATAGCGGGAAGTGAAGGTTCGGTCCGGGGGGTGGGGCGGCCGCACTTGCTGGGAAATACCCTTGCTGAGCGTGGCCGAGGCCCGAAGACCTCTGCATCTGGCTGGGCAAACCGGAGCTGGACGCCGTATTTTCGCTGACACCATGCCCAGAGAGCGATTCGTGATCAACGTCCGACGACTGCGAGCCGCCGCTGCCGGCCCAGGCCTCCTTTGCCGCGAGAGCTGAGGCGAAAAACCTATCGGCGATTATCTGCAACCGTTTGGCAGCAAGGGGATGGGCGTCAAGAACGCGTTCCGCTCGCAAAAAGTCGTGAAACTGGGCAAACTCGGCACACATGCTTTCGTTGGCGCTCTCGAGCTCCGTCACCTTCCTCTTCAAGCTCTTGAGGTGGTCTTCCTTGCGTTGGCGAAACCCTCTTTGGGCGAGCCGAACCTGCGTGCGGCGACGCTAACATCATGTCAACGGGGAGCCGGGCCGGTTGTACGACGCTTGAACTTACATCAGCAGGCGTTTCGTCGCTGGTCTCGAGCCGCGGCCTGCCTCGGGGCCGCCTGGCCGTTGAGGCAAGACCGTCGTCGATGAGAGGTGTGTTGGGCTCGCTGTCGGGCTCTCCCGCACGGGGCAGGCCAGTGGAACCGTGCTGCGGGTCGTCAAGGGCCATGTGGGTGGATTCCTGGGCCCCGGCCGGACCAGCATGGGAGCGAGAGCCGAAGGGGGGACCCTCGCGCAACACGAGGTTGGTGGTGTATGCAGCCATCCGCGCCGGGGGGCGATCAGACGGAAAGGGGACCCGGTCACTCCGACTGGACGATGGCGGCCTAGACGGTTGGCAAACGGAGGCAGTGCCGTCAACGCCGTCCACGCGGCAGCCGGGTGGCGGGCCCGGGAGCAGTGAATGAGGCCGGGGCTGCTGGTGGTCCGCCGCAAAGGCGAGCGCGGCGTGGGGGGACGACGACTCCTCGTGGAAAGCGAGACTGGAGCGACGGGACTCGGACCCGGGGCTCGGCTGCAGAAACTGGCCATGGACGGCAGAGTGAGGAGGGTATGGAGTGATGGGCGTTGTGTGGGAGGAGCAGCCGTCGTCCTCATCGTCGTCCAAGTCGGGAGCCGAGGCGACATCGACGACAATGGGGGAGAGGGTGCGGTGTGCAGAGTGAATGTGGTGAGAAGAAAAGGCACGGTGGTCATAGGGGTGGTAGTAATGGAGGTTGGCACTGAAGTTGTCGTGGACCTGGGCATGAGAGTTGGCCTCGAAGCGAGACGGGTGCCCCTGTCGCCCAATGCCACCACCACTGACGGCGGCGGCGCCATGGCCGTCCTGACGGGAACAAACTGCACCACCCATGGCCTCGGCAGGCCTTTGTGCGTCTGTAGCACGAGCGCCCCAAACCACGCCCATGATGGCTAGAGGCAACGCTGTCTGTTGCTTGATTGTAGATGGCGGGAGATGGTCGTGTGGATAAATAATCCACCAACCTTGTTGAACCGGTTAGCCGTTTGACAAAACGGATCGGAGGACGCACAGCCGATTTTACGGGTGGCCAGGGGAAATAAAGGAACCAGCGCAGCAAGATTCAAGGAAAACAAAGGGGGGAGAGGGACCGGACGCCAAAGCCCAAAGCCAGGGGAAGAGACCGAAGCAGGGCGCGCGCGCAGTCTGTCTGGGCGGTTGGCTCGGCTTCGTCACCCGGCATCGGGACCGAGACGCGGTTGGGAGTTTGGGCGGGATGGGGGAGGGCGGATGCCAGTCAGAATGGCAACAGGAGCCAATCTACCTCGCGGACCAACAACCTGAAAGCTAGTAACGGAGATCAAGGAGGCGTTTGCGGGACCCCCTCGCTGCTTATAAGTCAGGGCCAAGGGCAAGGCATGCAGATGAGGCCGAGCGAGGCATGTATGTATTGGATGTAGGCATGTCTGTATTGGATGTATGATGATGATGATGATGGTGATGGCCGAGAACTGTATTAGCATCACGACCAACAGCAAACTGTCTTCCCCTCCTCCCGGGCTGCGGTCTGAGAATACTCCCAAAGGGGAGGAGGCGGGGGCCAAGTTTCATTAGCCATGGCCACCAGACTTCCACATCGCCATTCCCGGCTCGGTGGAGAGGCTCGAGAATTTGAACCCGCCAACCGCACCGCAGAAGGATGAGGACCACAAACAGCGGGTGGAGCCCGTTGGGCCGTGCGACGACCCGACGATCTTCGGATGGCCCAATATCGCGAGTCAAGGCTTGAGCTGGCATGGGCCGGCCAGCCGAACGGAGAGCAGCACATGATGGCTGGCACACGGTGCCGAGGACTCGGCCTCCCTGGCTCATGCGCGCAGAGCCCACAGCCAACACGCATCCGGCCGACTTCCTTTTCCCCCACGGCTGCAACACGCATCTCGTGAGGCTTGACTCGGTAGCCAATGGGCACGCCGTCGAGAAATTATCCCGGACGCCCCGGACGGCCCGGTAGGCAAGACAGGGCTGGTCAATTGGCCGCTCGGCCAAGAACGCCTCCGAGCCTCAATGGCTTGCATGGGCGGCCGATCTGACGAAGGATTCAAGGCGGGGGGAGGAGGGGCGGCCGAGGAGGCGGCGAGCGCAGGGAAAGCCCGGGCAGGGAGAGCGGAAGGACGAGGGATGATAAAGGAAAGCAGTCCGAGAGATGGAGAGAGCAATACTCGCTTCTCCAGACAATGCCTGTAATTACAGATGAGCATGGGGGCTGGCGTGCACAGACGGGGTTGAAAATTGAAATTGAACCAACAGCAGCAGGACATGTATAGTTACCGTGGCATTACCGTGGCATTGCTCGTCCCCTCCAAGGCCTGATGTCTGGACACCTGGACGCGAGGTGGAGGCTTGTCCGCGATGCAGTGCACGAGGGCATCATTTTGTCGCACGAGTGTCCGCGATGAGGAGGAGAAGAGCTTTGCAAGCAAGCATCCAAGATGAGCTGGGAAACGTGTATTGGACAGAAGCATAAGCAGCCCGATGACTAAGTGCGGGCGCTGACCGTCTTTGCCAAGCTCGTCGCCGTGCCTCGTCTCGCAAGCAAAAAAAAAGGCGTTGCGCTCCCATCTCTCCGCGGAAAAAAGGGCGGCGGCGGCAGACGAAACACACCAATTAATCCCCGGGCGCCACTCGACACCACCTACCTACCTACCCAGGCAGGCAAGCCAAAAGAGGAGGGGGGTCCACAGGCGGGTAGAGAGCGGAGACAGACCGACAGACACACAGAGAGGGGGAGGAAGGGAGAGGCAAAGGAGACATGGGCGACCGAGGGGCTCACGGCTGGACCACTGTTGGCCATGCCATGCCCGACCGACGCCAGGGCCGCGCGTGGCAGGCCGAGCTTGAGCGCAAGGAGCGCGAGGCCATGGCTGCCTGGGACCGAGACGAGCTCTGGCCCGCCATGTGCGTCGTCCCTCTTCCGAGCCCGAGTCCGGGTCGCTGACCGCTGGCAGAAACAAGCCGCTCTTCAATGGCACCGACGCCAAGCGCTTCGATAGCCGCCTCGACAAGCTTGAGGACCTCGGCGTCGGCGCCTTTGGCAGGGTCGACAAGGTCAAGTATGGCGCCGTCTGCCTCGCCCGCAAGCGCATCGCCCGCAAGCCCGGCGGCCTCACCATCGAGGACCTACGCCAGGAGGGCCTCACAATGTCCAAGCTCGACCACTGCCACGTCGTCAAGCTCGTCGCCACCTACGCGCCCCGCTCCCACGAGCTTTGCCTCCTTATCTGGCCCGCCGCCGTCTGCAGCCTGAGCGTCCTGCTCGACGACATCGAGTCCTTGAGGCTCGGCGAGGGCGACCGCGACGACGTTGCCGAGAGGCTTCGCGCCCTCTGTCTCCTCGGCCCCGACGACGACGACGACGACGCTGACGCCGACGCCAACACCCGCCCCTTTGACTTTCTTTGCGCCCTCCTCGGCTGCGTCGCCCGCGCCATGGCTCACTGCCATGCCAACGGCGTGCGCCATCTAGACATCAAGCCCCTTAATATCCTCCTTAATCCCTACCGCGTCTACCTAGCCGACTTTGGCATCTCGAGAGACGTTAGTGGCCAGGACCAAACCACAACTGATGGAACCCCCGGCACCGAAAAGTGGCGCGCCCCCGAGCTATACGCCGACCACGGCTCCAGCATGCAGCTCTCCGATATGTACTCGCTCGGCCTCGTCTACCTTAACGTCGCCACCGTGCTCTATAACGCCCGCCTCGCCGACTTTGAGGACGCCCTGCGCTACTCACCACGCCTCTCCACCGAGGACCGCATCCGGATCCGTCAGGATAAGATCAAAAGGCACCTTGAAAAGCTCGCCGCCCACGCCCTTGTCACCCCACGCTTTATCTTCACCTACGAGGGGCAAGAGACGGTGCGGCCCCGGCCCGTCGTCAGCCTTATCTCCCATATGACGGCGCCCAACCCGCGCAATAGGCTGCCGGCCGAAAAGGTGGACGAGAAGCTATCCATGCTCGGCGGCATCCACCAAATCTACCATGCCGAGTGCTGCAGGCGGCCCGTGTCCTGGGTTGAGGACAAGTGGGATAGGAAGCTGACGGCCATGGCCAGTCTTAAGGACAAGCACGAGCAGCAGCGCAGAAGGATCGCGGAGCTCGAGGGTAGGGACGAGACGTACGAGACCCGGCTTGAAAACGCCCGCAGGGTGCACGAGCACGACGTCGCAAGGCTGCAGGCGCTGCTGAGAGAGGCCGAGGACAAGTGCCAGAAGCTGGAGCTGGAGAAGGCGATGCGTCGCAAGACGCACAACCACGATGCGCGCCGGGAAGTGGCCCGTCCCGTCATGCCCGAAATAAAGCGCCCTGGCGGAGCCGCCCCCGTCGGCTCCGGACGGGCCAAGTCGGGGCCGACGCCGTCGACAATGGGACCGCCGACACAGCCAACCAGACGGGCCTGGTCCCAGACGTGTCGGCCGGCTGTGACATGCGTCCCGTCGGGGGATAAGGCACAAAAGGAATCTGCAGGGCCGCTGCGGGGCCCCGGCACGGCTCAGGAAGCCACAAACACGTCCCGGCGGTCGCCGAGCCTGACCAATTGGACCGAGAACCAGCTCCGGCCTCGCAGCTCGGGGTCGAAGCTGCCCTTGCCCGTGACGCCCAGCCGGAGCGAGACGCCCGCCCTCACCCACGACCTGAGCATGACAGACAGCAGCATGTCGTCGTCGGTCTTCTCACGCCGCAGCGTCGAGACGGCGCCGACGCCGGCAAACAGCAGCCCGCAGCTCCAACGCATGCAGCGGTCGGGCGAGCCTCAGCCCGAGCAGCACTGGACCGAGCTGGCCCCCGCCGGCTCGCTGCCACTGCCGTCTCGGCGCGAAAGGCGACGACCGACGCCCCGCAGCCCCGTGCTCTCCATGACAGCCTCGGTCATGTCTTCGTCGCCCAAGATCTTCATGTCGGACCTAGTCGCCGAGGTCGACGGCACAGACTCGACGGCGCGGCCGATCGTGCCGTCGCTTCAGCCGACCAAGAGCTGGGCAGACGTGGCCAAGCTGGAGCAGCGGCACGTTGCCAGTCACGGCTGAGTTGCCCGACGGTCACTCGACCATGAAAAGAAGGGATTAACAGTGGAGGTGGGGGAGGACATAGACAACGAGGGATGACCAGGGAGGGACATCAGTCGAGCACGCGGTAGGGTTACCCACCATATCCTGAATATTCTATGAGTCACCTTAGGAGGGTGAAAGGGGGGAAGATCAAAAGCAGGCATGGTATTTATGTACAGCAAGAGATTTTTGATAATGACTCTTTGTTGGTTCTTCTAGCATAGCGCCCCCGGGGGGGGAGAGCCCCAAAAACACGTTTGACTCTAGGCATTCCCTCCTCGAGCACCTTATCGTCTCGACGGGAATATGCTCTCCCTACCAACGCCCGGGTTCGATGCCAGATACTCCAGATGGCTGTTCTATGAGATGTTCCGAGGACCCCCGTGCCCTGGCGCCATGATTTGGCCCTGTAGGCCTGCTAGGGGCAGGGACATGATCGGCTCCGCAGGCCTTGAGCCATGACTTTAGCCTTGTGTCTTGGGCCTCGACGAGCGTGGCCCAGGTCGGGGAGAGGAAGGGGTCTTTGCCATCGTCGGCCCCAGTATGGTATTTTGTCGGCGCGCGTTTGAGGCACTCGAAGAAAGGCAACGGCGCAAAGGGCCACTCGCCCACATTGGGGCGTATGTCTTGGCCCGACGCGCCTTGGCCACTCGCCCGATGGTCGGCGCGTGGCTGCTGACGGGCGGGCCTGGGCGCCCCGCTCTCGTGCTCGGCCAGGGCGCGCTCCTCTTCGACGAGCTGGTTGAGGGCGGTGCCGCGAGCGGTCCAGTCCTGCCACGTCTTCTCTATCTGGAACTCGGACCAGAGCCTGGCCAGCAGCAGGGTCCAGACGTGGGTGGCCTCGTGGCCGCGGTGGCGGTCGTCGTGGGCAGTGGCGGCGCGAGGGCCGAGCTCCCTGGCTATTTGGTCGGCGACGAGGGCGTCCCACTCGTCCTCGAGCAGGGCCTCTGGGACGAGGTCTTCGTTGATCTCGACAACCTTGTAGACCTTTTTCTGGAAGAAGCGGTCCTTGAGCCCGACCATTTTCGACAGGGCGCGCGGCTGGGGCTTGCGCATGCGCAGAAAGGGCTGGCCGTAGCTGGTGGAGCAGAGCGAGGGCACGCGGCGCGACGTCTTGTCGCCGTCGTCAAGGACCGACCTGGGGCGGGGCAGCACCGACGAGGTGTATCGGGGCGACTGGCCGGGGGATGCCGTGTTAAAGATAAGGGGCTCCTTGGTACGTAGCGGACCCGATGCCGGCGATGGGTTTGCAGATGGCGCGGCGGCCCGGGCAGCGCGCGATGCGGCCGAGGATTCGAGGCGGGCGCGGACGTGGTCGACGACCTGGGCGTGCTCTGCGGACGCGGGGTCGCGGGCCTTTGCGAAGAGGGTGAGGAAGCGGTACCCAGCGGCCATGGAGGCGTAGACGAGGCGGAGACTGTCATAGGGCCGGTTCTTGGCGAAGCGCCGGCGGACGACCTGGACCACGGGGCCGGGGCCGGGGGCGGAGGCCGGGGAGGAGGAGACGGGGGCGGCAGCGCGGGCCAGGACGTCGGGCGGGAGGGGGATTTGGCTGGCGGAGCGGACGAGGGCGCGGTAGAGGGCGAGGACGGCAGTGCGGTGGCGCGAGTCGCGGGCGGGGATGTAGGGGAGGCGGCGCATTGTGAGGGGGTTTGGAGATTTATTCGATCAGGTCTGTTTGATCAGTCGTTGAGCGGGTAGCATCATGGCTGGCGGCGGTGGTGCGCAGGCCACCTGCATGCGGGTGCTCGTTCGTCTCTCTCGGTGTGTATGTGTGTGTGTGTGTGCTGGGCAGCGAGGATGTCGAGTTGGCATGGGTGCCTCGGGGCAGCACTGGCGAAGCTCGAGGTTCACCGGGCGGGATTTGCTGGGTGAAGCTTTTTTGCGGCTCGGTGTGGCTGGTGCATTGATTATTAGGTGGGGCCGGGTCCAGGCTCGAGTGTATGTAGGGTATTAGCGCTCTGCCCTGCTGGCCCGAGACACGGGCGTTTCTGGGGACGGACAAAGAAAAGGAGAGTTGGGCATTGTACGGATAGGGAGGCCTTTGTTGACGAGGTCCCGTGGGATCATGATAAGGTGTCCGGGGAAGCAACGGCGTGCATACGTCGCAACTACGGACGGTGGCCGGAGACCCTTGACACACTCCAGCTCTGGCACATGCATCATGATGGTGTGCTGCACACACGCCTGTAGACGGTTGCATTGCAGATTAGTCGTCTTGTTGGAGCGGGTGCGAGACGGTTGGATTATTGATGCAACCCGCATGCGGAATAGGCATGCGGGCTGCATATGCTGTACCCAGAACATGGCAGCGTGCACGTGTTGAACGTGGGGATGAGGTGAATTTTGCCAGACAGAGCCAAAGCATGAGTCGACGAGGCCCCGCCCGGATGGCCTGGAACAAAATGCTAATCTCCGCCGGCCACGGAGCGGACTTTGCAGGCATTGGCGGGCCAGACAACGAGCCCAATTGGCAATCAGGCCTCGGAGTCTTCGGCCCCGCCCTCCGAAGTCATGTCGGGTGTTACAGTGCTACGGGGACTTGCTCATGTGATGTGTCGGTGGAGAGTGGGGTGCAGGGGGAAACCATAAAGTCCGCTCCGAAAACGACGGGCGTTGCTGCTTATGAAGCACCGGTCCTGTATCGGTCCTGTAGCCGGCACTGTAGCCTGTGCTGTAGCCTGTAAGTCAGGTACATGCGCAATTGCCGTCCATGCATGCATGCAAGCCAGCACGGCACGATTCCAGCCGCAGAATGCCACCACCATGCTGTATACATAACATACGTGCATATGTGCGGTATTATAGGTATATGGGTATGCCAGGTTTGATGATATAGGCCCCCTTGGACGTCAAGCAAAAGAAAAGGAAAAGAAGAAGAGAAAACGGGGCCAATCCCGGCAATCCACAGCCTCTAGAAGCCTGGCTGGCCTGCTGCGGCTGAAGCGGATAAAAAAAGACGGCCATGTACGGAGTAATAGTGTGTACAGTACTGTCTGTACTGTACATGCTATAGGGCAGGCAGCCTTGGCACGATGATGCATGCACTATCAGTGTCGGGGTTTGTTGACTTTCTCGTGCTGTTTCTCGTGCTGTTTCTCGCTGTCTCGGAGCAAGGCCGTTTTGGGTCGTCGGGAGCTGCACGCACAGCACTGTATTCAGTGATGTACATGCGGAGATGACTTCATCATTACTGTTTTCTGGATTCCGCGACGAACCGATCGACGCCAGATGGATGATGTGACAATCCCTCCCCTGTGTTCCAGCCACCCGTCCCTCGCCCATACACCACCAGGCATGACCCTGCTCACCGGGCCGCTAAAGCAGCTAATACTGTACTGTACAGTACTGTAATGCTCCCGCCATCGGTCTGCCTTGCAGAACCGGCTGGGGGCAAGGCACGCTGCAATGGCGATGAATTGCCACTGCGATTTTTAATCACGCACTCGCCCATAAACACAGGCAGCAAAACCCCCTGGAGCGATCCTCATCCGCCAAGCAATGCAGGAACACCGCTCAGAGTTGAAATTGTACGTTCCTGTACCGTACAGTACCTCCCCTGGAAACGATGCCACTAATTATAGCGCCGGCAATGGGGCCACTTGCTTGCTGCATGACCCTCCCTCTGCTGACAGTGGCCGACGACGGGCTCGCTCGCGGCCTTCGTTCCTCGCGTCCCGGTGCAAAGTCGCCTCGCGGCCTACGGCGAGTGCCTACAGCGCGTGCCTACAGCGAGTATCTTACCTCTGTCGGGAGTAGCGGGTACTTGGTGCCGTTGTGCGTTGTGCGTTGTGGTGTGGACATGTATGTACAGTGTTTGCGCAACAGGCGAGGCGGGACGAGATACTGTGCAACAACGGAGAAGCCTCTACGGAGTAGTGGTAATTAGTGCTTGCTTCCCGCCGGGGAGGCCCCGGGAGCGCAAAAGGGAGAGTCAGAGGGTTGGTGCATGGGCCCATGTGCGAATACGGCATGTAAAAGGTACGGCAGCCGCCGTCGTCTTGCTGCCACTCGTCCGCACGATCCGAATCCTTTGCCTTTTGCATCGAGTGTCCCTCCAGTCCTCCGAGGCATGCCTCGCCCGCGTTGCCGTGAGGTGAGCAAAGCCCATGGCCATGCACTCCGTCACCGCCCCCTAACACACTCGACGCAGCCGTTCCCCAGTCCAGTACCAAACAGGGTCAGACAGACGGGCAGCTTCCCGGGCTTCGGTCTGCTGCTGGACGCCGTCGCTTTGTGCCTGCACGTCCTGCCTTGAAACCGGGGGCACAGCGCGCTCTCTCCCTCCCCCTTCTACCCGGGCCACTGGGCCATTCATTCATCCCGACTCGCTTCCAACAGCCTTGCTTCTTCCGGCCAACTCGACTGCAGCGCGCGTCCCGGCTCGCTCTTTGTTGGCCCCTTTCCATTATTTGGCTCGTCATTCTCGTCAGTCCGGCCAACGCGGGCCGTTCTGCCCTGTCTCACATTGACCGCTTCACCCAGGCGGGCGCACGGCTGGCCGACGTTTCATCTCATCCTGCTCCCACGCCTCTCTCCCCGGTCTCGCCTCTTCCGACATCCCTCCTCCAGCCTTGGGAGCATCGCCTGGGGAGACCGCAATCCTTAACCGGCGGGTCCAAGCGACTGCACCTGCCGCACCGTATCTGCCTCCTTCCTTAAGCCCATCTAAATCCAACCACCCTCCCCAACCACACCTGACCGGGGAGCCAAACACTGCCCTGCCTGCTCATCCTTGCAACCAAGCCTGTCTAGACCTTGCAAGAAATACAGACGAAGACTAGCCATGTTCCTCCACTCGGGAGCAGGCCTTCATGGCCACGAGTACTCGGACAGATCACCCTCATCCGCCCAGTCGCCGCCGCCGCCGCCGCCAACCAGGCCTCGATATCCTCTTCTGCGCACCGCCTTGCGGCCGCTCGCCCCTTCCGAGCCGAGCCCCTCCCCTCGACCTCTGTCCCACCAAGAACTGCCCAGCCGCAGATCTTCCTTCGCGCCCGATGACTATCCGCGCCTCTCCTCTCTCTCCTCCTCGCGCCGCTCCGCCTCTGGCAGTCTCGTCAAGAAAGACTTGGCTGTCAGGTTCCGCGAACCACAAATGGAACAGGCACAGACGCCCATTCCCAGCGAGGATGAATCCTCCGTTGTCGGCTCTGAGCCGGGCGACAGCGCCAATGGCTCGACTCGTCGGATCAGGCGGAAACGCGTTCCTCGAAAGATGACTCGTTTTGCTCTCGCACACCCGGCCCCTCAACTACGCACCAAGCAACGGAGGCTGGTGCAAATACGCCCGCGCCTGCTGCTCCAGCTTCAAGAGGTGGGCGACAGGCGCGCCATCCCGGCCTTTGACGTTGTGCCCTCCGGCTTGGTGGCTGGCAGCCTCATCATCCCCCGGCTGGCCAAGCGCTTTCCTCGCATGTTTCGAGTCAAGCCCGAGCTCGGCCAGGACGACGTGCTAGTGGTCCGCAGCGACGACTACGGGCCACCCACCCCTACCCCGTCACCGTCCCACCCCGATGGCACTGTCCATGACCAAGATGTCCTCGCCGTCATCAGTGCCATACCTCAGCGGGGCAGCAGTTGTGCCGAGATTGCTCTCGAGGACGGCTCGACCTGGCTCGCAAGTCCAATGGCCAACGGCTCCTTCGAATTCACCTCGGTCGACGATTACGGCATCACGACCACTGCCAGATGGGCCCGAAGGTCTTTGCTTTCAACGAGGAATAGCTCCGCATCTATCGGACCCCCCAACACACCGCCCTTGGAGCAAGCACCGGGGTTCAAGTGGACTTTCAGCGTCATTGACCCATCGTCGAGGAGGCACCCCATCATGGGAAGCCTCACGCCCGATTCGCTCGAAGTCTATGACTCGTACACCACCTTGTCGACCTCAAGCCGGCGCTACCCCCCGTCGCGAACCATTGCTCCAGATTCTCTCGATCAGAGGGACGCGGCATCCCCGTCGGTGCCTCGCCAGGACGAGCGGACGACTGTCGCGGTGGCGCAGGGACTCAAGAATCTCATGCTGGCTACGGCGACCTGGGTCAGCCTGCATCAGCGCGGCTGGCCGGCTTCTGCCAATCCCAAGCTCGCGCGGTCTACGTCATACGGCCGATCCGGCGTCCCGGGAATGGTGGGACGACGCCAGACATTTGCCGGCTTCGAAGGAGTCGGGCCCTGCCCCGTGAGCCCGCGACAACCGTGTCTACGGCCCTCGGAAGGCCAGTGCGATGTGCCAGCTACGAAGCCCAACGTTGCGTCTACACCCACGAGGGCCATGTCAACTGGGCGGGCATTCATGAAGCGGAGAAGCATGCGTGAACAGGCTGGCAAAGCACGGGATACTGACTTGTCAAGGAGGAGCTTGCCGCCGGGCTCGGAGGAGAGGACTCGGGACCGGCGGGATGAAAGCACGACGACGTGCCGGCCGAAACTTCGGCAATGGATCCAGAGACTACTGGATCGAAATGGGAGCCGAGAGAAGAAGAGGGAGAGGGAAGTGGCCAGGTGCAAGCTAGAGGTGGAATGATACGCCCGGATCGCCTTGTCCGGATGGGTGTATAATAGATATATAATTCACTGCACATAATGCAAGACACGATGCCGCTCCGTACACTCTTCACTTGACGCTGTGGACGGGTGGCGTGGCGCGATGTACTGAATTTTCTTGCCTAGGCGCTTTTTGCCGAAGTTGTCCGACCCTGCGGAGGCGGGAGAAAGGCCGTTGGGTGGCGGAGGGTCACTGCATCTGGGTGGAGACTCTGGTCCCGGCTCCGTTCGGCACGATGGGTGCTTCGGGAGTGGGTCAAGTTCGGTTCGGCCTCGGGCTCGCGGCGGTGGGGCTCGAGTGTCCGCAAGAAGGAGCGTAGACTGACAGACAACCCGCTCGTCAGTCATTCACGGATCATGCCCATACCGCCGAGCAGGCCGAGCCGATGACACGAGAGGCGGGCGGAAGAACGGGCTGGCTGCGGAGTGACGTGTCGTGGGCGCCTGGAGCCCAGCACAAGGGCTATGGACTGGAGGCTGCGGCGCGGGAGATGGCCTGGGAAAAGTTGAGGTGATGCTACTACTACTGTATGGCGGGCGTCTCAGTTTGGGATCAGAGCAGGGAGGGTTTGTTTGATTGGGTTGGGACCAGCCCAAGTCGCCACTGACTGCACTGTACGAAGTACTGTAGGCAGTTGGAACTCGCAGCTACTGCTTTTCTGCGCTTACCAGACCAAGAGCATATGTACCTTACCAACTTAACTGGTAGATTGATGGGAGTGAGGGAGTGAGGGAGTGAGCGGCGGACTTGTTGGCGTGGCGATGCGGACGACGGCGTGGTCTGCGGAGCGGGCGGGAGACAGTACAGCACCGTACCGTAATTTTCTTGCGGTCCAGCTAAAAATTACCTGCATTGGCTACGCACTACCTAGTAGAAGCCTAACCTCCCGCCGTCGCAGTTTGCGGCGTTGATGGCACTGCAGTTCGTGGCCTCGTGATCCCACAGCTAAGAAGCCAGGAAGGACACAGCAGGTACCGGCAGAGGTAGCGAACCCCATGGCCGGTATGCAATACCGATCACCCGATATCGCGCTACCGAGGCCCTTGTGCAAAAGACTGCGGCCGGCGAGGTAGATGCCTAATCTGCATCCGGTACCTGCTCTGAGCCACGGAAGCGTCCGCTGCCTGCTGATCCCCCGTGAACCGTAGACGTTAGGGAGGTACTTGCATCCTTGTGTCGCACATTGCCTCCGTTCGGCGTTCATTGACTTGCCGTCTGTCCGCCAGGCTGCTGCCAGCTGATGCGTGCGTTCAGGTTTGCTCCCGCTCGCCTACGAATCCTCGCCTCTCCACTCGCCGCTACGCTGCATCTGGAAATACCATTGTCGCGGCTGACAAACGGCCTGGCGTCGCGGCAAACGCTACCTGCCCGCGCAGGTACCTCTCTAGCTGACGCCTGCAGCTGCCGTGGGTACCTTGGCCGACCTGCCGTGAACCAGGCTTCTGCTGCTGGCATCATCGCGTCCTGGACCTCTTTTGATGAAAACCCGTTCCGCGCCCCGAACCACCCGCGCCCATCCCCTCTACACTTATTCTCATGGGTATCAGCGACCACGTTCTTTGCTCTCCCCGACTCTAGCTCCTCTCCTTCGCCCGGCCGCAGCTCCCGCTCGCCCTCATCTGACAGGGCCTGCTCGCGACCACCGGGGAAAAAAGGAGCAAAGGCAAGCAAGACGCGGAAAAAGAAAGCATAATAGTGGCATACTTTGGGCTTCCATCTTCAACAGGTGCTCCCCCACCGCCCCGGTAGCTCCACGACGACGGCGCCCGGCCCGGCCATGGATGAAAACATCGGCCTGCGGCACGAGGGCTCCCACGCCGCCCTTTCGGCGTCGGCGACCTCGCACCTCATGACCAGCTTCGCCATGTACGAGCCTGTCTCGCGCGCAACCTCGCCCGGCATCCCCTGCTCCAAGACCGACGAGGACGACAAGAAGCGGTATCGTCAGAGGACCTTTGCCTACTTCCAGCAACTGCCCTTTGAGGTCGAGGAGGAGGCCCAGCGCGACACCGCCCTCCATGGCATCCTCAAGCACCTCTACATTGCCATCCGCGCAGAGGACTTTTCCCCGGGTGCCCTGCACTGGACTAAGGAACTTCAGGCTTGGCTCAACCTCAAGTTTGAGATGACAAGGGAGCTGAGGGCCAAGCTGGCCAAGCTCTTTTACTCGCTCGCCTTAGCCCCGGGCCTCGATGCTACGGCGGCGGACCGCTTCTTGCGCATGGTCTTGACCCTCACTAGGTGCGCTCATCGCAGATGATGCCAACTCTTTCCCTACTTTCCCTTCAAACCTTGGGTAACCTTGGGTCATGGCAAACCCCTCTAACCCGCCATCGCGCGACAGGAAAAACCACTACCTGAAGCCCGTCGATGACCTCACTCTCGACTGGAGGCCCCTGTGGAACGAAATCAAGGCCTGGGTCCTGCCCTCGGAGGGCCCTGCCCACCAGAGCAACCGCAGACGAGCCACCAAGCAGCTCCTCAAGCTGTGCATCCACGCCCATACATACTTTGACCCCCGCGATCGTCCGGCCATGCTCGAGGAGCTGCTCCCCTACTTTGGCGTCAACGAGCTGCCCAATGCCTTCGTCGTCATCGGCGCGCTCAACGCCTTGCTGCCCAGCCATCCCGCTCCCGCGAGCGAGCCGCTCGCCCAGCCGCAGCACTTCTTGCCCACCCTTTTCCACCTGTGGTCCATTGTGAACCGCTCCAAGGTCGTCGACATGTTCTTCGTGGACCTCTTCTCGCGCCTGACCCGCGACCACATCCACTCGGACCACATCCCCTTCTCCGAGTACGGCATCTTCTCCAAGGAGCAGTCAGACCTCATCTTCACCGCCATGCTGCGCCTGACGCAGATCCCCGTGGGCCAGGCCAACTCGCCCTACACGCCCGTCGACTACCTCTCCGGCGTTGGCGTCTACCTGGAAAAGGACAAGAAGAAGTATCCCGTCGCATACATGATGTCCCGCCTCATCGTCAGCTCCCTCTCCCCGCACTGCATGGAGCACCAAGAGTCTACCATGGCCAGCTTGGAAGGCCTCATAGAATCCATAGACACCTTCTTCCATCCTTCCAACCAGGGGTCCTGGACCACCCTGCTCGCCCAGTTTGTCCTCTACCTGACCGACGGTTTCGTTTCGCGCTGGAACCGTGAGCAGAGCGGGGAGCTCGACATTCCCTCGGGCCGCATGATCAACCTCGCGCTGAAAAAGCGCTTCGTCCTGTCCCTCAAGGAAGTGACGTTCATGGGCCTCTTTTCAAAGAGCAACCGAGTCTCGCACTACTACTACAATGCCCTGCAAGGCCTGGCCTACCTCGAGCCCGACCTGATGCTCCCGGGAGCGTTACAACGCTTCTATCCCAGCCTCCAGGGCCTGGTCGAGGTCCATCGAACGACGTCGAGCTTAAACGGCCTGCAGATGATTGCAAACATCATGTGCAAGCTCAAGGGGTATCGGTGCCACATCACCGCGCTGCTGGCCCTGGCACTACCTGGAATAGACGCGAATGACCTCAACAAGACGCAGTACACCCTCAACTTCATCCAGAGCGTGGCCTACAGCGTGCCCTTTCAGCCAATGACGACCCCAGAGAGCCACATCCATGATACGACGCTGGCCATGGAGTGGGTCCAGGCCGAGATGGAGAGAATGGAGCGAGACGGCCAAAACATCCAGCTGAATTACCAGTCTGAGCTCAGCGACGAGGATGAGATGCGCATTCTGAGGTCGTCGACTGCCGGCTTTGGCGAGTTTGTCCTGACGCTCCTGGGCAAGATCTTCACACTGCTGGAGAACCTGCCAGACGCCAATCAGGTCCGGGGCGGCACGCCCGAGGACAATGTCATCAACGCTCTGCCGGCCGCGCTGTCCCCCCTGTTCGCGTCGCTGTCCCCGGAAATCTTTGACATGGCGCTCGACAAGATTGCGACGTTTGTCTCGGGCCACGTCGTGCATCAAGCCCGCGACGCCATGGCCTGGATCTTGAATGCACTCTGCAAGGTGAGCCCGGAGAAGACGCTCAAGGTCTTTGTTCCCATGCTCGTCGTCAACATCCGCAACGAGATCGACTACAACAACGCAGCCTCAGACCGGACTACCGGCACCGACTATCTGCCCCGAGACCGGGCGTTGGTCTGGCACGTCAGCATGCTCGCCATGGCCGTGGTCCACGTCGGCAGCCAAGTACTCAAGTACAAGGAGGAGCTGCTCGGCATCGCTGATTACATGCAGCAAAAGTGCCGCGGACTGCCCACCATTCTCGTGTCCAACTACATCCACCACCTCCTGCTCAACCTGACGCACACCTACCCCATCGACCACGCGCTGTACGAGCCCGACGTCATCAAGAGAGGGCTCGATATTGGCGACTGGGGGAAGACGACGGCGCCGGCGGACCTTACTATCCGATGGCACCAGCCGTCGCCGTCGGAGATTGAGTTCGCCGTCGAGCTGTTCGCGTCGCAGGTGACGTCGGCCGCGCAGCAACTGGAGCTTCTCATGAGCGACAACCCGCCCGTGAGCAGGGAAGGAAAGAACAAAGCTTGGTCGGACGAGGTGTCCCGGCTGATGCAGCAGATTCGGCTGGTGATTGCCGGCATGGCAATCATGTTTGATCCGAAACGCGCGTCTGGCGATGGCAATGGCGGGGAGCCCGATGGCGACAACGTCGACACGGACGGCGACGAAGTCACGATGGAGGACGAAAGCGCGCTGGCCGAGGACGCCGAGCAGGAGGAACTGCGGCCTCAGTTCCGTTACAAAGCTGGCTATCTCCTGAAGCCCGGGGAGCCGGTGTATGAGCGAATCCACGAGCTGCGCGACGAGCTCGGCCGCCTCCTGACCAAGGCGCACGCCTTTCTCAACGCAAAGCAGGAAGACGACGTGAACTGCTTCACCGCGCTGTGCTCCGCGTACCGCACCTGGATCACGGATGTGGGCATTGAGCGGTCTGCTCATCCATTTGAGAGGCACCTGAGACTCTACAAGGCCGACATTGCGGCCTTCAAGATCAAGGGTCTCAGGAAAGTCTATCCTCGTCCTTTGCTGATCAAGCGAGCCGAGGCGTATCACATTTTGCGCATGAAACACAACGCGTCTGCCAGGCACAAGAGCGAGCTTGACAAGCGGCTCCTGCTCGATCTCGCACAGTCGTGCCTCTCCCTGTACGCAGACGTCCGTAGGGTTGCACAGGGCGCACAGGACTCGTCGCTCAAGGCTCTCATCGGGGGCAGGCCCCTGGTCATCCCCGTGATCCTCGACGGCCTCCGCGCCGCCATCCAGAGCAATCAGCATGATCGGATCAAGGGCGGGATGTACACACTGCTGTTTACCTCTCTGATGAGGTCGATACTCAAGGACTGGCGGTTTGCGCCCGAGGCGATGCGACTGTACATTGAGACTGCGGGCATCGACAAGCCGTCCATTCAAGCGCTCGGATCCTCGGCCCTATATGCGATGTTCGAGTTTGGAAAGCCTCTGGAGCGAGCGATCCTGGTCGACGACGCCGTCGTCAACAGCATCATGCCCTCCGTGGACGTGTCGGCCGCCATCGAAAACAGGCACCAGTTCATCCTGCAGAGACGCAAGAAGGTCGAGGGCGCCAAGGCCGCGCTCGGCCGGGAACTGACCCAGCGGGCCAAGGGGGCCCATTGGAAGATTGCCACCAGATGCGCCATCTTCGCCACCAACCTGTGCCTCCGCTTCGACAACGTCGCGCCGGCAGAGTTTGTCGACCTGGTGGCGCACGGTACAAACGATCCCCATCCAGGCTTGAGGGGCTACTACCTGAGCTCCTTTACCGCGCTCTTCACTGTCATCGACATGCGGGCGGTGTACGGCCACGACTACACCAACTACCTCTTGGAAAAGGAGGTTGGTGACCGCAACAGGCTCGAGATGCCCGTGACCAAGGGCGACGCCGAGTTTACCCAAAAGTTCCTTGAGGCCTTTAAGGACCCGGAGGGCGCCGAGTACTTGGTCGACTTTGATCATCCCGGCTGGCTCGCCTGGGGAAAGAAGTTCACCGCGTTTCGGGCGCGCCCGTTGCCGTTTGACGCGTACGATGAAGTCGAAACCGGGGTGCGGGAGCACATCGGCAGGATCGTGACCAAGGAGTGGATTTCCCAGTGTTTCGAGTACTTTAAACAGGAGCCGCGGGACCAGTCGACGGACCGGTTCCGCATGAGCTACGTCTACCTGCTCATGCACGTCTTTGACCTGATGCACTACGGGAAGACGGCCGTGACCCTGGACGACGTCAAGGAGTTGACCAAGGGCGTGTACGGCGACGGAAGCGACAAGCACCAGCACCGGGCGACTTCTGAGATTCTTGGGGCGCTGCTGGCAGGATCTAGCGACGACCCGCCTGAGATCCGGAACCGCGTCTGGGAGTTTGCGGCGCCGATGCTGCTCAAGATCTTTACCGACGACTTGACGCCGGAGAACTTGCAGTATTGGCTGACCTGCCTGCACGTGGTGCTCGACGCCAAGGACCCTCGACGGTCGCACGAGATTGTGCAGCGCCTGCAGTCGTTCCGGCTCGACATGTCGTCCAACGCGGCATTCAAAGAGTCTTCCAAGGTGCAGTTGGTCGAGTTCATTGTGGCGGACGGCGGGTGGCATTTCCGCGACGTGAAACCGATCCTGGAGCACTTTGTGGCGCACATAGACCACCCGTACAAGGCCGTGCGTGAGGCAATTGGCCGGCTCCTCTCAGCCATTGAAAAGTCGCGATACCATGAATCGTTTGAGAGCGTGCCGAAGCTGCTGGAGGAGAACAAGAAGGCGTCTTCGATTGGGATCCGGCCGTACCAGCCCTCGGCAGAGCTCACCGACACCATCAATGACATTTTTGCGCGGCTGGAAAAATGGCGTCACGAGAGGACGCCCGGACAGCAGACGCCATCGTCGTACACGTCGGGTTCCAAGACGGTGCTCATGTGGCTGGACTGCACCATGTCGTCGCACGAGTGCATCGAGCTGGTGCCCTTTTTCGCGACGCCCTTCATGGAGCAGCTGCTGCACATGATGGATGTCAAGGAGGACCCGGAGCTCATGAAGCTCGCATACCATGTGTACCGCCACCTGCCCAACATCCCCTTGCGGAGCGGAGAGGACACGGAATTCAGCGAGGGGCTCATCCGGATCGGGCGGACGGCGGCAAGCTGGCACCAGCGGCTGCGGGCGTTGGTGAACATGCAGGTCATCTACTTTCGGCGCATCTTCCTCATGAAGGCGCCGCAGCGCGACGCGCTCTTTACGGCCGTATCGGACATGCTAAGCGACTCGCAGCTCGAGGTGCGGTCGTGCGCGTCGACGACGCTGGCGGGCATGATTCGCTGCTCGCCGCGACAGATCCGGGACCCGATGGTGGCGCGGCTCAAGGAGCGGTTCGAGGGCGAGCTGCAGCAGAACCCGATGCCCCGGCGAGGCCGCAACGCGCCGGGGACGGAGACGCCGGTGGACGTGCACAAGCAGATTACGCGGCGGCACGCGGCGATTCTCGGATTGGGCGCCTTGATCGAGGCGTTTCCTTACGCGACGCCGCCGCCGGAGTGGATGCCGGAGGTATTGGCGACGCTGGCGAGGAAGGCGTCTGGCGACGCGGGCGTGGTGGGCAAGGCGACCAAGAGCATCTTGAGCGAGTTCAAGAAGACTAGGCAGGACAGTTGGAACGTGGACCAAAAGGTATTTTCCCATTGCTTTTGCCTTTACTGTCTCTCGAATTTAAGCACCAAGGGGCAACGAGGAAGCTGACCAAAATCGGCAGTACTTTACGCAGGAGCAGCTCGAGGACCTCGAGGGCGTGCTGTGGAAGAGCTACTTTGCCTAGACAGGGAAGAGGGACTGCCTAGTCGAAGATGAAGGCAGGCTGCTGAGCACATGGCCTGCGACGGGCGACAATCATGCGATGAGGGACGGACAGGAGAGAGGCGGCTACGGGACAGGATCAAGGATAGAGCCGAGTGCAGTCGATGTTGATTGCCCGGGTAAGCGGTGAATTCAGCGGCAGGTCAGCAAGCGTGGACCGAGGAGTAAAGAATTGAGGCTGAAGCGGTGTTGGAGTAAAGGTTGGCTTCGCGATAGAAGGGGCACAATCGACTCAGGCAGTGTTTGGCGCGGCATGGGACTCGTTGTGTTGAAGTGACGCCTTGTTGGATGTCAAGATGAGCCTCGTGGTCGAGGTGAGTGATTACGGGAGAAGCAGCAAGACGATGGTCCATGACGAGACGGGAGGTAGCCGGGCATAGTTGTTGGTAACTGGAGAGAAATGACAAGGCACTCTTTGTGGATATGCTTCGCCACAGACAAGCCTCGGTCCCTTGTGGGGAGAAACATAGCTGCATGAGCCCCGGGCAAGGATTCCTTAGCCTGACTGGTAGGGCTGGCACGAGGTCTATTAGGCTTCCGGCTGTTGTGAGGGTTGGATGCACAGTGCATGTGCGAAGTGTTGTGGCTGTGCAGGTAAACCTATGCCGGAACGCGACTTTGTTCAGCACTGTGTGCACTGTACAGGCTGCGAATGACTGAATGCGATAGTGCAGCAGTGCTGGCTGCGTCAACCTCATCTGCCCATCTCCCTCTTCCATCTTGAGCTCGCAGCGAGATATAAAGAGCGGGCGTCCGCTCCTCGCCTGCGCCTCTGCTTGAGGTGACGAGCTTGTCACGGTAACATGAGGATTCACGGACACGAGGCCGCCATTAGCAGCAGTCGCAACAGCTGGGAAACAAGAAGCAGAAAGAGAAGCAGAATGAGAAGCAGAACAAGAAGCGCAGAACCGGAAAACCATCATCGGGCCATGCAAGAACCGTTTGGGTCGGAGCTGTTGCGGCGTCGGCTTCGCCAAGACAGCGAGCAGGACATGTCCGCGGCTCGAGGCGCTGTCGACAGCCATGTCACCATCCCTCAGCATCTGACGGATGGCCAAGACGGTGACGCGTGTCTCGACAGGGCCACGTACCCGGCGGCGCGGGCTCGAGTGCTCGCTCGCGAGAGAGCAATGGGCTTCGACGCCCGCTGTCGTGCCCGAGCGACGCCCCTCGAGGCCCGTGCCAACCGCCTGCTCGTCGCCCTGCGCCGCCGCGACGACGCCCTCGTCTACGCCTGCGCGGCGCCCCGGACGGGACACGCCGGCCAGACGCACCCGCGCTTCGCGGCCGACCACTTCCTGGCCAATCTCGACCTCGTCCCTGACACGGCCCTCTTCGACGTCGCCTGTCACCTCCCCAAGGGCGCCCATCTCCACATCCACTACAACGCCTGCCTGCCCCCGGCCGTCCTGCTCCGCCTGGCGAGGGGCATGGAGCGCATGTTTGTCACGAGTGACAGGGCTCTCGTGCCTGACGATGACGGCGCGAGCTTTGATGGCTGTGAGCTGCAGTTTTCCATCCTGGGCCCGGATGCTGAGAGGCCTGGGGATATCTTTGCTCACGACTACACCCCTCGCCAGACTATGAGATTTTCTGATTTCTTGGACTCTTTTCCACGCCACTATCCGCGAGCCAATGTCACCGCGGACCGCTGGCTCGAGCAGAAACTCGTCTTCTCCGAGGACGAAGCCTATGGACCGCTCCAGACGGCAGACGGGTATGTCATATGCTTTCCCACCACCTCCTCTCCACTCCCCTCAAATACATGCTCCAAGATCCCTCCCGTGAGTTTCAAGGCAAGAGCAAGAATCAAACAGACAGATCGCATCTGACGCACATCACCCCTGAACAGGGCATGGCAAAAGTTCAACGGCCGGACGCGTATGATGAAGGGCCTCTTCAACTACGAGACGGCCTACCGCACCTATACGCGCCTCTTCCTCGAGGACCTGGCGCGCGACGGCATCCTCTACGCCGAAATCCGGCCCAATTTTATGCGCAGCAACCAGTTGTACCGCGACGACGGCTCGGGGACCATTGACAACCGCGGCATCATGCGCATCCTCATCGACGTCGTGTCCCGGTTCCGCGCCGAGGTGGTCGCGCGGCGGGGCTTCTTTGGCGGCGTCAAGGTCATCTACTGCACGCCGCGCGTCTTTTCGCCCGATGAGATCGGGGCGGCTCTGGAGGAGTGTTTGGAGTTTAAGAAGCAGTGGCCTGAGTGGATCGCGGGCTTTGATCTGGTGGGCGAGGAATCCAAGGGCCGGCCCCTCAAGGACTTTGCTGGCGAGCTGCTCGACTTCAAGCACAGGTGCGCGGCCGCGGGCGTCGAGATCCCCCTGCTCCTGCACTGCGGGGAGACGCTCGAGGTGGGCTCGGCGACGGACGGGAACGTGGTGGACGCGCTGCTGCTCGGGGCGCGGCGCATCGGGCACGGCTTCGCGCTGGCCAGGCACCCGCACGTCATGCAGCAGATGAAGGCGCGGGGCGTGTGCCTCGAGCTGTGCCCGATATCCAATGAGATCCTGGGCCTGACGCCGCGGGTCGGCGGGCATGCCATGTATGCGCTGCTGGCCAACAATGTGCACTGCACCGTCAATTCTGACAACGGGGCCTTGTTCCGGTACGTCTTCACCCTTTGATGGACCAAGATGGGAGAGAGATGGCGTCCGTCTACCGTTGCCCTCCTCTCTCCCAGCGTGACCTGGAGACTGTGGACTGACAAGCTGGGCGTGTGCGTTGCGAGGAGAACAGGTCGACGCTATCGCACGACTTCTACCAGGTCATGGTGGGCAAGGCCGATATGGACCTGTACGGGTGGAAGCAGCTGGTGCTGTGGAGCATGGAGCACGCGTGCCTCGACGAGGCCGAGCGGGGCGCGATGCTGCGGGAGTGGGAGAGGCAGTGGGACGAGTTCTTGGAGTGGATGCTTGGCCGGTACGGCGACTGCGAGGGGGACGTCGAGGCGGGAGACGAGGGAGAGTGGGAAGAGAAGGACGAAAAAAAAAGAGAATTTCGCATCGAATTAGGGGGAAGGTTTCCCGGCTTATGATGCCTTTGGATTTAGGCGCCCGAGGACCAACACGCTCGTACAGAAGTGCTCCCTGACGCGCAACGTGGGTGCTCTGCTGGTTGGTGGACATGGTGTCACGTCCATTCCCGGGGGAGGAGAGCTTTGGCTACTGTATGGATCGACTTGGCCTTCCTGAGCTGTGCCACAGGAGAACCTTGCCGCTGCCCCTTGCCCATGCTGGCATGCACTCCCTCACGCTCGTGCTGTGCTGCGTAAATGCCATGTACGGATTCTCTATCTGATGCAAAAGCCCCGGTGACCACTCGCAGACCGGACGGACACCATTGAGACATCTTCCCTCCTTTCGACTCCCTTCAGCGAGCACGCCCGTGATTGACGGCGACGAGCCAAAAGCGAGGCCAAAGTTCAGGACTGTCAAGCCTCGCACACCAATAGCTGCTCATCGAATCACGCCTCCCAAGCAGACTCCACGCAAACAACCATGGACAAAAAACAGGGCGACGGCGGGCGTCCAATGCCTCGCCTCTCGTCTAGCCTCGGCGCCAGTAGGAAAATGCAGGCCCCCGGTAGCTCCCATATGCCAATCTCCTCGTGCCACCTAGTCATCAAAGTAGATGCCCTTCTTCTCATTAATGTTGATCATGCCGCCGTGGAAGCTGCCCCTCTTCTTCTTGTTCTTCTCCTTGGTGAAGCCCTTGCCCTTAGTCACAACCAGGTCGTCGTAGGCACGCTGCGAGTAGTTCATCGCCACGTAGTCGTTGGACGCAAACTTGGACTCCACCCTTATGTTCTTGGGGATGCGAGAGAAGCGTTCATTTTGCTGCTTCTTGTGGCCATTGGTGGACGCCGTCATGACGGGATCAGGTGGCAGAGGGGGGTTGGTCGTCGACACCTTGGGTTCGGGTGACTTGGTGCCCAACGTGACCGAGGAATCGGATGACTGCTTGGTGGCAGCCTTGTTTGCCTTCTTGGCCTTGACTTGAGGCTTGGCATGACCGCCCCCAGATTCAGAATCTGATGAGGAGTCGTCCGAGGAAGAGGATGAATTGTCAGACTCGGGGAGCGGCACCTTGGCGGCAGCCTGGGCCACGGCCGAGCCCCTCGAGCTGCTGTCGGTCTCAGAATCGGACTCCGAGTCGGAGCTGGAGCTGTCCGAGTCGGAATCAGAGTTTGAGCAGGAATCAGAGGAAGCGTCGTCAACGTCCATCTTGCCGGCGTCAGCCAGCGAGTTCTTCGAGGTTGACTTTGAAAAAAGCTGGGTGGCGGTCGCAGTCTTTTGCTTTTTGGATTGGGGTTTGCTGTCAGAGTCAGAAGACGAGTCCGAGTCGGAGCTCGAGCCTGAAGAAGAATCCTCCGAGCTGGAGCTAGCGGGCGCTTTGCGTTTCAAGTTGGCGGCGAATTGCTTCGACTTGGGGGCCTTGGCTTCGCTCTCACTGTCGCTCTCGTCCGAGCTGGAGCTGGAGTCCGAGCTGGAGTCGGAACTGGAGCTAGAGCTAGAGTCGGAATTGGAGCTAGAACTTGAACTAGAGCTGGAGCTGGAACTGGTGTCGCTGCTGGAGCTGTCAGTGTCCTTGGTCGTGGCCTTTGCCTTGCCACGGGCGTTGCTCTGGGACGCTTCCCAAGCCCGGTACACGCCGACGAGGGAATGGCTGCTGCTGGTGGCTTTGTGACCGGGACCGGCACCGCTCTCCGCGCGCTGCTTCTTGAAGGCGCTGTGGGCTTTGTCGAAGGAGTTTTCGGCCAGAAACTGCTCGACCAAGTCCATCAGCAGGACGGGCGGTGGTGCGGCTGCAGGAGTCCGCTTTTTGGACAGGGCGGTGGTGCGGGTGCCCTGCTTGGCCCTTTTGGCCTTTTTGTCCGTCTTGACCATGTTTGCGGTTGCTGGCTTGGCGGGTGTGTCTGCAGCGCCCTGGCTTGCTTGGGGGGGCGTTGTCGATTCCTTTCTGCTGTTGTCGGCGTTGTTGGCGAAGAGCCAAGCTGGTGGACGGCTTGATGAGACGGTTGACATGTACGACAGTTCGTTTGTTCGTCAAGGTGTGCAGGAGCAAGAGCCAAGAGAGACAACTTTGCCCGACTTGGAGCGTCCCCAAGGAAGGAGAGAGCACAGGAGAGAGCGCAGGAGAAAGCGCGGGAGAGAGGTTGGGCAGCAGCTGCGAGGGATTGCTGGACGTGCTTGATTGCACGGCTCGTGTGCTGTCGTGCCTGCCGGGGGGGGATGCTATGGCAGAATGAGGTTGGCTGAAGAGGCCGATTGGTGGCTTCACCGACTGTAAGGGAAGTTCCAAGAGGGAAAAAAAAAAGAGGCTATTCGTATTCGTACAAGGGTCGAGCTTGGTGGAGGAAGAAGTACGTACCTCGCAAGGGTGTCGGCTGCTTATCGACTTATCTAGGACTAACCATGCGCCGAGCTCCGTCTGTTGCTGTTGTTTGTTTGCCTGCACGAAGTACTATGTACTTGGTAATTAACGTCTCCCTCTGGGACGCCGCCATTGTCATTGCTTGAACTTCCGTTCAACTCAACCGTCCATCCGCCAGCATGCCGACCATCGAGACCTATCGTCGCGTCTTCTAGGACAGCCCACGAGTCCCACTCCGGCCCGGTTCCTCCTCCCTACCTCCCTCCCTCTCTGCCTGTCCGCCTGTCGTCAACGCTCCCACTCTCTCGCCGCAACTCGAGGATAATGAACGCAACGAAGCGAAAATTCAACGTTCTGCTCCAAGGCCTCGGCAATCCCGACTCCCCCCCATCCATGGACGCCGACTCTCGTCGTGGCGGAGCCGCCGCCGACGCCTCCTCAACCCACGATGCGCTTCTGCAGAAACGCCGCCGCCTGGGCTTGTCCGAGTCCACGGCGCCCAAGAACTACAGCCCCTCGGACATGACATCCACCCTCGCCAGCCTGGCCTCGCCCCTGAGAAAATCGAGAAAGCAGGCCGCCAGCGCCTCTAGGACCGGCAGGGACGCCCTTGTCAAGTACTGCCCCGGCGATCGAAGCGAGCTCTTGAGGCGCTTGGCCACGTTCCAGGAACTCACGGACTGGACCCCCAAGCCTGACAGGGTCAACGAAATCGAATGGGCCAAGCGCGGCTGGATCTGCCACGCCAAGGAAACGGTTCGCTGTGTTCTCTGCCACAAAGAGCTGCTCGTCAAGCTTAACCGCAAACAAGTCGACGGCAAAGAGGTGCCCGTCTTGGTGCCATCCGAGATTGGTTAGCCATGCTTGCCCACATCCATTTTTCCTGACGTTCCGACCTAACTGGACTCAGAGGATGCCTTGGTCGACAAGTATTGCGAGCTGGTTGTTGCCTCACATCAGCCAGACTGTCTGTGGCGAAGAAGAGGCTGCGATGGTAGGCCTTGGTCCCCTCAACACGTCCTTGCCCCGGTTCTGACTCAAACCTCAAGACTCTCTGCTGCGCCTGTCCTTTTCCAACGCCAGGGCCACGCTCGTCGCCCTCCGACAGCGATACGACGAGCTCGGCACCAGAGCCCACTTTCTCCCATACGAAGCCAACCTGCGGCTCCCCAGCGACCTAGACCTCGACCAAGTCCTGTCTCAGCTCCCACCCGACTTCTTCACCGACCGCGCCCCGTCCGACAGGGCCGCTCCCTCGGCGCCTAAGCCCGTCAACCGCCCCGCGCTGGCCCTCGCGCTCATGGGCTGGCAGGGCCTCTCCAACCCGCGCATCGGGGCGGTTCCTAACTCGGCCTCGTGCCATACCTGCCACCGGCGACTGGGTCTCTGGATGTTCAAGAGCAAGGAGGTGGACGAAAACGGCAAAGTCCTCGTCCCCGCGCCCATGGACCACCTCGACCCCCTCCGCGAGCACCGCTTCTTTTGCCCGTGGAAGAACGCACAGGCCCAGAGCACAGGCGGGCCACCCCACGGCGCCGCGGCAGCCCTGGCTGGGTGGAACACACTGCTCCAGACCATCAGGAACGAGTCGAGCCTGCGCAGCGTCTACGAGGGCTCTTCCAAGACGTCGGCGGCAGCACGACCCGCCCACGACCGCCTCGCCTCGACTCCCCTGCACAGAGCAACGCTCGGCACGCCCGGCACGCCCGCCCGCGCCACGCCCGAGCCCTCGGACACGACCACGGCAGTCAACGAGCTCGACGACGCAGAGGCCGAGGACAAGGCCCGCGACGCCAAGGACAAGGAGCGGTGGGCGAGGCTGAAGAAGGTGAAAAGTCTCTTTGACTCCAAGGGCGCCAGGATACTGCGCCGCTCTATCAGCCGGCCTGGTTCGGGGCAGTCCCACCAGTCGTAGAGACGCGCGCAGAGTCATTTTTGGAGTCATGTTCCTCTAATTACTCCGGGCCTTTTACCTTTGTATGTGGATGCGGGATTAGCGAGTAATTTTTACGATAGTGTGACGAGTCTATTCTTTGCTCAGCCGGTTACCAGAGGCCATTTTCAGTAGAGTGCCGTTTGGTCTTTGAAAACGCTCAGAAAGTGGCCAATGCCCATTGTATCGTACACTGCTTCACTCACAACACCATCGTCTCTCCCTCATCACCATGCTGCATTCTGTCACATTCAAAGAGTCTACCTCAAGCACTAAAAAGTGATGCCCAACAATATAGATGTGCTCCTCCCGCTTTGATGTGCAATCCTGCGGCGCACGCACAACCAAACCAATTTCCGAAAACACCAAAAAAATGAAGACCACCCCAACCCCTACGAGATCACACTCGTGACGGCACTACCACAGCGGGGCCCCGCTGCCTCTATCCGACTAAGGACCGTGGCGGAGAGGGGAGAGGGGAAGAAAGGAAGGGAGGTGAAAGGTGCGAGGGAACCAGAAAGCAGATACCAATATTTCCCAGAAAGCAAGTACCAATATTTCCTAGAAAGCAACCGGAACGCCAAAATGCCAAAACGCCAGAACGCCGGGTTGAATTCGAACCCACGATCTCGAGTTGCGGTACGGGGGAAGGAATGGTCTTCGGGTGCCTCAACCCGTTACGCCAAGGCGCAACAGGCTGGGCTGTTGAGAACAGGCTCGATTATTCTTGGCTATAGGGGTTGATGGCGGCCGGTGAACAGGGGCTCAGTGGGCGAGGGCGCTTCGGAGGGGGGCAACCGTGTCAACGGGGGAGCGTGGTTGCGCTGCAGGGCGGTGCTGTGTGTCGAGGGGGTTGCCATGGGAGACGCGGCCGTTATCTCTTATCCCCACTGAATGTCGTCAAAGGAGACGGTAGGTCCGGCGTAGACGACATTGTCGGCCGTCTTGGTGACCTCGGCACGCACATCGAAGCCAGCCATCTGCAGAATGGCGGCGCGCACACCTCCCATGCCGGCCCCATTGCCGAGCTTGCCATCGACGTCCATGCCGGCGGCGGTGACGTAGACGTCCGACTCGGCGCCCGCGACGGCCGCCCTCCAGCGGTAGCCGCAGACGGTCTCGTCGAGCGAGTCCATCTCGTGCAGCACCGCGTCGGCCATGCGGCTGCAGACGAGTGGCCACTCGGCGGGGCGCTGCCGGTCGGCCTTTGTCACGACGACGAGGGTACGCGTGTTGAGCTCGGCGAGGGCCCTCAGCACCCACAGGTCCTCGGGAGACGGTTGGCGCTTGATCAAGGACAGTAGGACGACGGCGCCGCGGAGCCGCTGGCGCATCTCAAGGTACTTGAGGATCTCGGCGCCCCAGGCCGCCTGGCTCCGATAGCCGTAGCCGGGCGTGTCGACAAGGATCAGGCTGTGCTTGGGAGGCGCCGAGCCCGCGCGCACAAGCGAGCGGGGAATCTGGGGCCGGGGCCCGACGCCGAAGGCGTTCATGAGCTTCGTCTTGCCGGGGCGTTGGCCGACCTTTGCGCGGCCCTCCCTGCCAACGAGGGCGTTGAGAAAGGACGACTTGCCGACGTTGGAGGCGCCGAGGACGACGATTTCGGGGACATGCTCGTTCCGGGGGTGGTGGCGGAGCGCCTCGGCCGAGTAGAGAAAGTCGCAGCCGTGTTCGAAGAAGCGCTGGGCGGCGGCAAACTGCCGCACCTGTTCTTTGGTGACGGTCGTCGTGAGAGGGGAGCCGGGCCCTTGGCGGATGAGGTTGTATGATGCGAGAGACTCCTTGCCTCCCACCACTGGGAGGGGTGCTCCCTTTGCTGCCAGCGTTGGACGGAGATCAACAGGGGCGGCGGTGGACTCTATCCGGTCCGGTCCGTCTTCCCGATGCCCGGTCTTTCGGCTCACGGCATTGCATATGAGCGCATGCGTCTTTCTCGGCTGAGAGGGCTCTGGCTGGCCTCGGATGGATCCATCCTGCGAGTCTTGCCGTGCGTCATGATCGGGTTCCAGAGGGCGTCGATGAGCCGACGGGCGGTGTCTAGCCCCGTCCGCGGCCGAGGTGGAAAGGGGGGCAGAGATGGCATGACGGGTGACGGTGCGGCATAGCTTCGGTCGACACCGTGACGCAAGCTGCCTCAGGGGCAGAAACATTTCCTCCCAAATGCTATTGAAGAGCTTTCATCGTCCATGGCAGGGGCTGTGATGGGTGTAGAGTAATGTCGGGTGAGGTCGAGAGTGGACACGAAAAATACTACGCCGATTATGTAAGTTGACAATGCCCCCGCCAACAAAGTTATACCTGTTTGCTATTGTCCATCTCCCCTCTGCAAGTCTGCAGAGACGTCGACAATAACCTCAATCTGTCGCCTCTCTATTATTCATTTAATCGTCTGTGTGGCAATACAACGAGAAACCCAAACAACTTAGGGCATCTTATTCTCGAAATTGTGCAAACGCCTCCGCTCATTTAACGTCTACACTCTACAGTACTTCATTCAACATCCACGCCACCTTTCCTCCTGTCGCTCACTCACCCGCCCCAAATCTACCCACCATCGACACCGGAACCTCACACAATCCGGCACCATGACCCTCAACCTCGCCGAGCTGGATGCGCACGAGCAGCCCTCGGACGATATGGGTGCCGAGTGGAAACGTATCTTCCGCCTCGAGCCCGACATCGGGCCCGTCATCGACGACCCGCACCTCCCACCGCAGAGAGCGGCTTTTGGTCGTTCGCGCCCCTGACTCGGGAGCAAATAGCTCGCGCTTTTGAGCACCTGGACCGGGGGCTCGGGGTCCATGCCCGGGGCGATGCGACCGTCCCCTTCCACCTTCTGCTTCCCGGTTGGTCGAGCCCGGACGGAATCCCAATGTGAATACTTACACAGGCTTTGAATTGGACATAGAACCACATGGGATAAAGGGGTGTTACTACACTCAGCCTGATTGCGTACATGTGCGTCTTTCTAGGCTTATAACATGGCGACGTCTTGAGGTGGAATCACGGTAGGCTCTACAGAGGCAGCGTGGACTTTTACAGTACAGCGCACAGGCTACCGCTCCAGCTCCGCGGGCCATGTAAACCGCTCGAGCTGTACTGGCAATGATTGTATAGAGACTGTTTACTGGAAAGAGAGTCGCATAAAGAGGCCAATCTTATCACTTCGTCGATGGCTGTCCTCATCCAAAGATGCCACCGCCGAGATGTAAGTCACGATGCAACATATCTGCAGCAGTTCAACACATCTGGCCCTCGATTCGCATGGTTTTTTGTCATGAGCGACCTGATTGGCAAAGACAGAGGGGGCCGTCGTGGTGGGAGTCGCCAGACCAGGTCATCGGCCGGCGAGGAAGGACTCGAAGGAGTGCCTTCCCCAGGACCTCGGTCTCGTGGGTGAAAATTCTGCATCGCCCCCGACCTCAATCCTCCCTTCTTGTCTACCATCGAGACTCCTTTCCCTGCCGTGCCGTGCTGTCTGTGCCTGCACCCGTCGCAGAGAACGTCTCGGACTTCGAGCTTCCCAAGGAGAGCGGGTGTGCTTCAGGCGACGACAGCGATTCTAAATACGAGCACGAGGTAGCCTTCGACGCTCACGTCAATCAGCTTGTTCAAGATGCTGTCGACAGCGATGACGAGACCGGCCGACATTCCCCTGCCGCACGAAAGGTGCAGCAAGGCGTATACAACGACAGGCAGTCGCAACAAGCACGAGCAGCAAGACGATCTACACAGATCAGCCGAAGAGGCTGAAGCGAACAGGCTCTAGTACCGCGCCAGCCAGGGCATCGACCCTGATTCAACAGAGGAGGATAATCCGCGGGACGGCATTGCGGAGGACGGCGAGGTAGACGATGGCGAGGCAGAGGACGATAAGGCGGAGGGCGGCGAGATACACTTAGGTTCTACAAGTCTGCAGCCACCATGATGCACCGCGACGCCAGCGAGCAGACGGACCGCGGCCTCGTCAGCCTCAGCCTCGGCTGCGACGCCTCTTCATGATCGCCCCGAGCCACACGTCAGCAATCCCCGCTACCGACAACGACGACGACGACAAGTCCCATCTCCTTCTCCGTCTGCGCTCCAGCGACGCCATCTACATGACCAACGAAGCCCGCTATGCCTGGCACGGCGTCCTCAAGGTCCTCAAGGGCACTTGTTCGGCCCACCTGCAGGCATGGCCTGCGCGAGCAGCTTTGCCGAGTGGCAAGGCTGGATGCAGAACAAGCGGGTAAACTTGAATGTTAGGCAGATGCGAGATTCACGCTTCCCTCCTCCCACTCAACCAGCTGCGCAGCTCATGACTCTCGTACCGGCTCCCAAGCGCCAGACAATTTAGAATCAAGATAGATACCGAGACAAGACCAATTCCTGCGCGTTCATTTCCATGGCGCGCGCGAGGCGCCTGCCAGAGCCTACTACGCCATCGAGCACACCCGTCCTTGTAAAATCGGCACGCCCGCTCCCTTTTCGCTTTTCAAAGAAGCATACACAGCCCCCCAGGAATACCACCAAAGCCACGCCGCCGTGGATTAAACCCTTTCCTCTTAAGCACCAGAGGCCATGGCCGCCTATGCAAACCCGAAGCCCTGGGCATTCTCGAGCGCCATGCACAGCCTCTCCCGGAGAACCTCCTTGTCCCTGTACTCGGGCAAGAGCAGTATCCCGTAGCACGTGTATGCCGTGGGCAAGTGTCCGCCCTCGCCCTCCTCCTCCCCGTTCCTCTGCACCGCAAACTGCAGGTTGACCATGCCTCCAACCGGTACTCGGTCCGACGCTGTGACAAACTCGAGCAGTTTGCGCTTCATCCTGTCGTCGAAGCGCTTGACAATGGACCAAAAGTCCTTGATGGTGCGGTGAGAAGAGTCCCATCCGACGTACCGCGTGTACCGCCGGAGCTCCGACACATCAATCGTCTGGACGCCCTCGACCATGGACTGGAGTATCGGCGGCGTGAGGAGCGAGAGCACCTTGGATCCCAGGCAAGCCCGGAAGCCACGTTCAAAGGCCAAGTACTGCGGGCGCACCGAAACGTCCGTCAGGTAGCGGACATAGTCGCTCACGTACTCGTCACGGTTGGCATTGGTCACCAGCGGCGCCTCGTCCACCTCCACCGCCACGTCCTGCTTGCCGGGAAGCCCTTGCGGCCAGGGTGAGTCGTCGTTGGTCATCTGCCGAGTCATGTCGTCCCCAAAGGCTGCAACAGAAAACTCGTACGTCCGAGCAAATACGTCCTCGACTAGGCCGTCCTTTTCATCCCACTCCAGGAGTGTGGTGAGGCCACTGGCCAGTTCCGGCCAGCCGTCGGCGATGTGGTAGAGCTGCTCAACTGGCTGGCCTAGCAATTTCCGATAGAGGGCCTTGGGAAAGGTCACCGGTAGAGTCAGGCCGTTGAACACGGCGAGCGATATCAACAGACCAATCATCTCAAACTTCCACTCCTCGACAACCGAGCCCGGGACGAACCAGGCGGCCCGGGTCCTGTCGTCAACGGTGAATGCGCCGTAGTTGGGGTCCAAGCATTCCGCGATGGCGAGCCGGAAGAATTCCTGCTGCACGCCGCCGGAGTCGAAGCCTTCCTCGCCCCCGTCCTCGCCAAGGTGAATCTTCAGGGGGCGCAAGAGCTCTCGTTCTTGTCGCCTCCAGAGCTGGTCGAACGCGTCCCTAATGACATTTCCCCGGCTAATCTCGAGGACCAGGTACTTTGATGATGCCGTCTTGAGCATGTCCTGCAAGACGTTTTTGTGGTGCGGGTTCGTCACAAGGCTGCCAGGATCGATGATGGCAGCCATCCGCGTTCTCAATGAGCTTGCCTCCTCAAATGTCCTGCTCATCCTCGAAAAGTTAATGGCACGAAACCAGGTAATGAGGGCTTCCGGGCTGAACAGGTAAGGATAGTCCAGGAGGTGGCGTCTTTGTCTCGTCGAAGTAAATGCCGCCCACTGCACGGGCGTCTCCATGCCGTCGAGCTGCTCGGAAATGCAGTCCACGCGGAACTGCACGTCGCCCAGGAGGAGCGTGTTCCTGTGTTCAACTTAAGACTGTTAGCCAGTCGATCCGGCCTCTCACGCGGGGCTAGACTCACACAAGGTCGCCATCAGAGACAAGGCCCCGTAAAAGGGGCCGTCGCAGGAAAAGTCGGCTCGTCCGTCCCATTCTTGGAGAAGAACGGCCCTTGCCCAGTCCAGGAGGAGCGTGGGCACCCGCGTCTCATGCAGCAGGCGTTCAGCCGCCGTAAACTCCAACGTGCGAACTGGGTCAGTGTTTAGCAGGTCAAGCTGGTTGAGTAGGGGCCGGAGAACATTGAAATCTTCCCCTGCGTGACTGGGCTTGTTGACATCGCACTCGGCGATATCGGCAAAGCATTTGCGCGCAGTGATGGCACAGAACAGCCGCCGGGCCAGCCTCAGAGCAAGGTCGTTGGAGAAGACATCGTCGTACTCGAGGCACATAGCAGGGGGCTGGCGGGCTGCTTTTCCACTGCCAGAAAGCACCATGCCGTGGGAGCGGATGCGTGACATTTCATACAGCGTCTTCGAATCCGAGACGCAGGGGGCCGCAGCCACCAGCGCGTGCAGGCAGACCGACAAGACGCAGCCTGCCTCAAAGGTGGACAGCGACCCCGAAGTCCCTTCGAAAAGCGGCTTGGCGTGAGACCGGACGTTTTTCAGCCACTCGGGCGGCGCAAATAAGCTTCTAGCAGCGAGCCAGAGACTATGAAGCACCAGACTCGGCGCAACCCGGGTCATGCGAAGCATGCAATACCACAGCGTATGGGAGTCGTAGAGCTTGCCATCCCTCGTAAATGACTGAACGAGAGACTGAGGGTCGCTCAATACGTCGAAGATGGTTTGCTCATTGAAGGCTTTCCACTGAACCTTGGAAAATGACTGCCCTGCCCGGTGCCGCCTGAGCAGCCTGCGTTGCTTATTCTGGGGGCTTGGAGAAGGCTCGCTGGCTTGAAGAGGCCCAAAGAAGTGTTTCTCTGCGGTGTGATCCTCGTGGAAAACATCACATATAAAGTCGACGAGTTCGACGTCGAGCTGACGCAAAGACTGCGGCAAAGGGCAATCTATCTGTGAAGAGTCTTGCTCTAGCGTCGGGTCCTGCGCATCTTCTTTGACGGGAGTGTCCGGTCGGCTGGCCGCGGGACTCGTGACGGAGCCTGCCGATGTATCAATGTCCGAGTCGGCAGCGTCGGAGGAATCAAGGTCTGGTTCTTTCACGTCGTCCACCGCAGGGGGAGAGAGACAGGGGACATTCTCGAAAAAGGCAGGCTTGAGCGGAATCTCGGGGACGCTTCGGGTGATGACGCTGGGGGCTATTCGCGCGGCCCGCGATCGCTTGTCGAGGTGAAAACCGTTGAGGGCCGCGCTCTTTTGCGGCGGCTTCGTATCGTCCTTTGCCATTGGAACCGGGAGTGTCTCTAGCGACCCTCTTCGGTTCGAGTTTGGCGAGGAGGAGGTGCGGAACGAACCTCGGGAGCCACGATTATGCTTCGGCGTACTCTTGGGAGAGGGCTTTGGAGCGGGCGCGGCGTCGGCTTGAGCAGCCACCGAGGGAGACGGCCCGTCGCCTTGCTTGGAGGGTTTCGATGCGGATTCGGACTGTGAGGGTTTGGACATGGACTGAGGTTCGGTTTTTTGAGATGACAAATGTGGCTCGCAGGTTGTCGAGTCGTGGTCGTGGGCTCCGGCACCGAAGGGCTCAGGGCGACCAACTTCGAAAAGCTCCCTGGACATGTAATCGACGCCTTGAGGGGTCAGCCACTCCAACATTTTAAAGGCAACGGTTCCGAAGGTAGCGGCAGCAAAGGACCTATGATCTTTGCTCATGGGGCGATCGTGCATGCTAAGCTTTGGGGTCGGCGTGGCATCCCAGTCGCTGGACGGGGCATGGCTACGGCGGCTGGCGTCTGCGACGTTGGTGCCGTGATGGGGAGTAGAGGAGAACGAAGAGCGGCGGTTCCGAGTGACGGAGGCGTTTGGAGGCTTGAGATGGGCCTTTGGCGTTGGCTTGGCGGGCGCAGGAGGATTGTTGGGGGGCTTATGGGGGAAGGGCAGCAGCGGGGAGAATCGGGCGGAGAACATGATTGTGTTTGTAGCGGCAGGAGGGTCTCTGGAGCGGCGCAGGTAAGGGCAGAGGCCCTTTTCGGGGCTGTCCTGGCTGGCGAGATAGACGGCGAGGGTTCGGGCGCTTGTCGGGTTGTATCGTCGAATGGGAGCCTTGGCGGCCAGACGCTTGCGGCAGGTAAAACAGGTGGGCGTTGAGCAGTGGGGTGAGCCGCAGCCGTTGCGAAGCTGGAAGACATAGCTAGAGATTCAAGGTCAGCATCGATATTGGGTAGCGTGAACAGCGGACGTACCGGTCGACGAGAAGTTGGAAGTCGTGGCGGCGGCAAGCCTTGTGGATGGCGTAGACGCGGCGCGGGTTGTCGACGTCTTGGACGAGATGGTGCAGCTCCGGGGGCGCATCGTCGGGAAGGCGTGCAAAGGGGGCCTCCTGCCAGAGGCCGGCCATTAAGTCCGACAGGTCGAGAGGCTCCTTGCGGTTCTTGGAACGGTTCGAGTCGACAGCATCGCCGCCAGCAATGGGATGCACCAAGGGACTCATGGCTGCTTATGCGAGAGGTGGAGCGGGGCGCATGCTGCAGAGCAGAGGGACTCGAGGCCGTTGGAGAAGAGACGAGTATTGATGCAGGCGTCGTCGGGGCGGATGGCGATGAAGGCGATGGGTTTGAGAGAGATGTTGGAGAGGATGGAGAGAGAGAAGAGGGTTGGCTGGGATGATACTGTGTACCTTGGGGAGAGGTGGAGAGGCGGGCGCGTGTGCAGGTATCTTGGAACAAGGCTGCACATTTTTCCTTACTCTCAGTCGCTTTTGGCTCAAACGGCGAGACACCTGAGGCGTTGCAGGGGGTCGAGGCCTCTCTCTAGTACGGAGTACAGATACCTTACTTGAAGTACTTGCCCGGCTGAGAGTACTGTACTCTGTACTAGCGGCGGAGGTTTGTTGTGCACTGCGCCGACACCTCTCTGCGCTGCGCCTCTGTGGTCAGGCGCCGAGGGTACCTGGAGAAAGGCCTGCAGGAACCTGGCGGCGCTGAGAGATTGGGTGCTACAGGCTGGTTTAAGGTAGCAGCGGCTGTGGCGCCCGATGCGTCCTTGTAATGAAAGGCAAAGCGCCTTGGTTCCAGGCCGCCAGAAGGTATTAAATTAACCATTTAAGGTACGGTACCTAATAAAATGTGACGGCGGAAATGAGCCGTCCTGCGGTTTAATCGACATCCTCGGTCAACTCTTCAACCGCATTCCAGGCAAAGTATCAAAGTATCTGTCCGGTAACTTATAGAATATACGTACATGTTTCGGCTCTTCCCACTAACGCGAAAAGGGTCGCTGCCCCGCCGTGCCTGCATCATCGAAACGAGAGGGCAAGAGAAAAAAAAGCAGCTCCTCTCTTCCTCCCCACCAACCGAATTCCGAACATTATAAACCCGCCTCTCCAACTCCTGCTCCCAGTTCCCCAACGCAGAGGCGGCAACACTTGGTCGTGCCCTTTGCTTTGCGCATCCCTCGACGTCGCCTCCATACGCCCCTCCAAGACCGTCCCTTTTTCGCCATGGCGAGCGCCCACGCCGGCCCCGGGCTTGCCGGCACCGCGGCCTCGCATCCCTACACGTGCAACACTTGCCAGGTCGCCTACCGCAACATCGACCTGCAAAAGGGCCACATGAAGAGCGACTGGCAGTGAGTAACCCCCCGGTCAGCTGCTCCCCGGCCCTGTCTCACCATGTCTTATCCTAGCCGATACAACCTCAAGCGTCGCGTCGCCTCGTTGCCTCCGCTCTCGTCCGAAGTCTTCTCCGAAAAGGTCCTCCAGGCCCGTGCGGCCACGTCGGCAGAGGCCGGCAAGGCCCTCTTTGAGCGCCTTTGCGACGCCTGCGACAAGACCTACTACAGCGAAAATGCCTATCGGAACCACCTGCTCAGCCAGAAGCACAAGCAGGGCCTTTCTGCCGCCTCCCACAAACGTCATGATGACGAAACAACCTCCGTCATCAGCTCAACCTTTTCCCTCGGCGAGCCTACCGCCCTCGCCCAGGACCCTTTCGACACCGATGCAGAGGATGAGTTTAACCAAGTCATTGAAAGCCTGCAAAACGCAAACGTCTCGCACCAACGGCCCTCGCCCGTCAAGCGGCCCTCCAACCCGCGACCCCTGCCGCCCGACGCCGACAGCGCCGACAATGACGGCGCTTCGACGCCCACGACGACTCCCGGCCCCGAGCCGGCCTGGACCCCCGAGTCGTGCCTCTTTTGCAACTACGCCTCGCCTACGGTCGCCCTCAACGCCACCCACATGGAGCGCTTCCACGGCATGTTTATTCCCGAGAAGCCCTATCTCGCAGATCTTGACGGCCTCATCAAGCACCTCCAGCGCCAGGTCGGCCAAGACCACGAGTGCCTGGGCTGCGGCAAGATGAAGTCGACCGTGTTCGGCGTGCAGACGCACATGCGTGACAAGGGCCACTGCAAGATACCCTTTTCGACCGAGGAGCAGCAGCTGAGGATTGGCGACTTTTACGACTTCCGGAGCACCTACTCGGACGGCGAGCAAGACGACTCGGACAGCGACGTGACCGAGGGAGAGCGCGGCGGCGCCAGGCTGGGCTCCAAACGGCGCACCAAATTGACGGGCGAGGACGGCCAGGAGCTCAACGGCGACGGCGATGGCGACGGCGACGGGTGGGAGACGGACAGCTCGGTTTCATCGCTCGACTCAGCCGACCTGACGGCGGTGCCGGCCGAGGGGCACATTCACCAGTTTGAGCGCCTCAGCAAGCACCCGCACCATTCGCACCACGACCCGGGCCATCGACACCAGGTCGACGGTTGGCACTCCCGGGCGCACAAGCACACGCATGCCGTCTTCCACGACGACTACGAGCTGCACCTGCCGTCGGGCAAGTCGGTGGGGCATCGCTCGCTCAACCGATACTTCCGGCAGAACCTGACGCACTACCCGACGCCCGAGGAGCGGGCTGAACAGCTCGCCATTGAGGGCTCCGGGTCCGGGCGGGAAGGAGAGGAGGAGGCCACGAGCGGCAGGGACGTGGCGGTGCGGGACGGACGTGGCCGGGCGCTGCTGCCGCGGGGGGCTGAGGGCATGATGGGCGTCTCGGACGACAAGAAGCGGGTGGCGCGCAAGGGCCAACAGCGCGGACGGGACGCGGAGAAGCAGCGGGAGAAGCAAAACGCCTGGTCGTACGGCAAGCGGGCCAACAACCAAAAGTCGTACTACTACCGCTACGACGGCGGTGGCTAGTCGCCATGGACGGGCGACGGACGGCAGCGACGGGCACTGCCGCCATGAATAGAATAGCGGCTCGTTCTAAAAATGGCACGCAGACGGTGCCTTTTTTATTTCTCTCCCACTCTTCCCTCTTGTCTCTCTTGCCTGGCTCCCTTCGTCATTGTTTGCCACCGAGCCCCTGTATGCAAGTATACTTGGCATGTGGTAAGATTTCAGGTCAACCCCGTATACGCACAGGGTAGCCACGAGTACGCACTCTGACTGACACTGTACAGACAGCAGGCGTCTGCAGTAATCTCCATCGGTCTCACGGCCCGTGGCTGGTGCTGATGGCAATGTACAAGGCGTGATGGCGTCGGGCCTCATCAGCCACGGCTTGGGGCTGACAGGCTGCATGCATCCCCCCGGCTGCTGGCTGGAGCGGAGTGAGGACAATCCGGCGGCCCAGGGGGGGGGGGAGGGGGGTTGGTTCTCCTGTCGGCTCCATTGATACGACGGCGTTACTTAACCGAGAGAGAGAGAGAGAGAGAGAGAGAGAGAGAGTGTGTGTGTGTGTGAGAGAGAGGGCGCAAGAGAGAGTCAGCCTTGTTGCTGTGCCGTCGGGCCCGTCTTTGCAGGGGTTTCTGCCGCTTGCCTCTGGCCTCTTTCCTTTTGCTTGTTTGTTTGGTTCTCGGCTATTTTATATGCCGCTGCCGGTTGCCTGTCTGACGTCTGGGCTTGCGAGTTCTTACACGTCCGCTTCAGCTACGCATCCATCTCATGGCTATACGGCATCGACGGGAGCCTCATCACCAGTCTCCGGCCGTGGAGAACCAGACGACGACAAGCACACCACGACCACTCGACAGAGGAGGATACGAGCACCAAACCAGAAAGCAAGCATGACGAGAATACGACAGCGACCGTCCCACGACGCTTCATCCTCTGCTTCATTCCCCTGCGGCAGCCGCCACCTCCTCGTCGTCCTCACCCTCTTCGTCATCCCCAGCCTGCTCCTCGGCACCGCCTCAGCCCTCGAAAACGACTTCTCCTTCTACCCGGCCGACGCGCAGGCGTGTCTGACGCAGGCGGGCGCCCGCTCGGCGTGCCGGGGCAGCACGGTGAGCGAGCTCAACGGGTGCCTGTGCGGCAACGGCAGCGGCTTCGTGAGCGGCGCGGCGCGGTGCCTGGGCCAGCGCGACGCCGGCGATGTGGCGGCCGTGTACCGCACTATGGTGGATGCGTGTGAACGCTCGGCGACGCCCCTGAGTGTGGGCCGGAGTGAGTTTCTTGCCTTGGCTGGGGAGGGGAAGACGGCGAGCAGCGCGAGGACGAGGACGAGGACGACGTCGACGAAGACGAGGCCGAGTGAAACATCGACAACGACGACGACGACGAAAACAGGCAGTGAGACGGCGTCGTCAAAGAAGTCGCCGGCAACAGCTTCGGCATCGGCATCGGCACCTCCCAGTGGTGACGACGACGACAATCAAAACCGTGCCAGCGACTCAGCGCACCACCTCTCCCAAGGCGCCATCATCGGCATCGCCACGGGCGTCTCGGTGGGTGGCGTCGCCGCCGTCGCCCTCGTCGCCTTCCTGCTCTTCCACCACCGGCGGCGCCAGGGCCGACCCAAGCCCCAGGGCGAGGCCGACGCCATGCTCGGCAGCGGCCCGCCGACGACGCCCTCGGGGATACCGCCCACGCCGTCGGCGTCGTCGTCGGCCGAGCACAAGTCCGTTTGGTCGCCGTACGAGTGGCCGACGTCGCCGCCGCCGCCGCAGCAGCAGCAGCACCACCCCGTGTACGAGATGGATGCGACGAGCTTGCCGCAGCAGATGCAGGGCTCTGAGCCGCCGCGGTTCCCGGCGCCGAGATAGGGCGGCGGTTTTCTTGGCTGCGGATAGAACGAGGGCCTTTTGTGTTTTAAAAAGGGGGTGGGTGATGAGGCCATTGGATGGGATGGTCCTGGTGCCGGGCGGCGGAATGCTGTCGCTTAGTAGAGCGAGAGAATGGGCGGGCGTACGGTGGCGTTTTGGACTCGTGATTATACGCATATCCATTCATACAGGTATATACTCTCGATCTGGTGCAAATTATGGGCTTTGGGAGAGTATCACGGACGCCTCGGGATGCGTCCTCGCCGGGTACGCCAAGGCTGCTGGCTGCTGCGCGTGCAACGGGATCCCGGCACTCCCGGCAGACTCGATGCGTTGGTGATGTGGCTGTTGTTGGCTGGAACGCGGCCGTCTGCAAGGCCACGCTCTCTCTCTCTCGTGAACTTGATGTTCAAGGCCCACGTTCATCCACGCCTGGCTGGATGACCTCAAGGAGCATCGTCCCTCGTGGCCCCCCCCTCCATTTATATCTCGACGCAGGTCGAGATCAGTCTCAGGCATTGACGGGTGAAGAGCAAGTCTCGAGACGCCATGACATCAAAGACGACGGTTCTCATTACGGGGTATGCCGTCTCTCTGCCTCTCGTGAACTGTCTCGGCGAAACAAGCACGTAGCTCACCAACGTCTAGGTGCTCGCCCGGCGGCATCGGGCACGCGCTGGCCATCGAGTTTCACAACAGAGGTCCGCTTACACGGTTTCCCCTCTCCCTTGTTGGAGGAAATAAGCGGACTCATGCAGAGCGAGAGGGTTTCTTGCAGGCTGCCATGTCATCGCCACGGCGCGCAGGCCCAGCGTGCTCCAAGACCTGGGCGACATGGGCATGAGCACCGTGCAGCTCGACGTGACGGACCAGGCGAGCGTCGACGCCTGCAAGGAGGAGGCGGCCAAGATTACCGGCGGCAGGCTCGACATTCTGGTCAACAACGCGTACGTAACGCTCCCATTTCCATGGCCGTTGAACGACGCCGCAGCTGCTGATGAGAGGCTCGGGCTCATCGACCCCCTTGCCCAGCGGACGCACGCACATCATGCCAGCACTGGACCTGGACCTGGACGATGTCAAGGCCACCTTTGACGCCAACCTGTTTGGCATGATGCGCATGTGCAAGGCGTTTAGCAGCTTGCTGATCCCCGCGCGCGGCCTCATCGTCAACGAGTCGTCCATGTCTTGCGCCAGCTCCGCTCCCTTCTTCTCCGCCTACATCTCCTCCAAGATGGCCGTCGAAGCATACGCGCGCTGCCTGAGAGTCGAGCTGCGGCCCTTGGACGTGCGCGTCATGGTCGTCGTCGTCGGCTCCATCAAGTCGGAAATCTACAACCGTCCGGGAGCCCGCCGCGACCTGCCGCCAGACTCGCTCTACCGGCCCGCCCTCGACATCTTTCACAGGACCCAGGACCCCTACTCGCTCGGGAGGTGGACGCAGACCGATGTCTTCGCCGCCAGGTTCGTGACGGCGGCGCTGAGGGGGCAGGGGTGGCTTGGCGGCTGGGTCGGCGGCTCGCCCGAGTGGCTCCGGGAGGGGGCCTACGCCGGGGCGTCGCGGCTCGCCATGGGTTTGCCGTGGTGCTTCAGCGAGGCCGCCACGGCTTTCATTTTCCACACGGGCCGGATGAGCAGGTTGATTCGCGAGGCTGCGTTGGCCAAGCAGAAGACGGCTTGATCTGTCGTCTCGCCGGGCCGAAAAGCGGGGGCCGGAGGGAGGAGACTCGGCAGAGCGGGGCCGGGGCCGACGTTTCCAGATGGGGGATCCGGAGGAAAATGCGCAGCTGGCTCCGCCGCTCCGGCCAATCGCGCGACCGCGGGTGAGCCGGGTGAGCCCCACTGGTGTGCGTCGCCCGGCTGGGTGAGCCAGGCATCTCTGCAGCGAAGGAATAAATATCCTTGAAACCTTGACGGTCTTTCCCTCGACAATACGGTGTCGCCATACAAACTTCGGGAGACAACACGCAAGCAAACACGTTAACACTACCGAGGAACAACGTAGCAGCTGAGGAACTCCATCACGGAAGAGCCGGCGGAGGCCGTGCAGCCATCCCGTGCGGGCTAAGATCCATGTCATGCCCTAAGGGCACAGTCGAGGGTGCCCGAGACCGCCACACAACTTCGGTCAACTTCGGTCAACTTCGGTCCTTTCTTCCACTACGCTCTTGATCACGGGCCAACTACCCGTATCCTCGCGGCTTGCGATCAAGGGTGGCCCCTCTGACAGATGACATCTATGGACAAGTGCGGCAATGCCGCCTGCACAACGTCGTCGGCCTCAGACTCCAACTCCCTCCGGCTATGCTCCAGATGCCGCCGGACAGCGTACTGCTCGCCTGAGTGCCAGTCCGCGGCCTGGTCGTCCCACAAGGGGGTCTGCGTCCGGCCCAACTACATCATCAAGTTCCACCTGGCCCCGGAGCGCATTACGAACCCACCCGTGACGCGCACCTTGTCGTGCCCCGCGCACACCGTCTTCTACGTGCTTCACCTGGCACTGCAAACAGCGTTTGGTTGGGCCACCACGCATTCGTTCGACTTCGCAGTCGTGGACCCAGATTACCGCGAGCCCGATGACATCATGGAGGTCATCACCAGACGCAACGCTATGGGTCCGACGGGTGATCAACTTCCTCCGGCTTCCGCGCCGAGGCAGTATCTCTTTCGCGTTGTCGACCCGGCTAAGCAGACCATGTTCTCGGGCATCGATCGCATGCACGAGCCGATGAGGCGTCACCCCAACACACCAGAGAGGAAAGCTGACAAGTACAAGCTGTTCGAGTTATTTGACGATGTACGGTTCCAAAGTATGTGTGCATCAGCCGAGTCTCCCTTACCGCCCCTTTCCTGACGCTTGAGCCAGGTCGCCAGATTGTTTATACCTACGACTTTGGTGATAACTGGGAACACCATCTAACAATATTGGGACGTGCCGATCCCACCCCCGACGTCATCTGCCTGGATGGGTCTGGCCACTACGTAGCAGAAGACTCAGGCGGTGCAAGGGGATGGGAGGATGTCAAAGCGGCCTACCGAAACCAAAGCCCAACTAAGGAGCAGAGGGAGCGTCGGCAGTGGTTCGAGAGACAAGCCAGCAATCCTGACCCGAGAGGACTGGCGGGGGATCGTGTGAATGCATGGGACCGAGCCAATATCAACCGGGACCTTAGGATGGACAAGATGTTTGAACGCTTCCGGATGATGGGAGACGCTTCTGCAGCCTACCAAGATGGTGCTTCTGCAGCTTTTCGATCTGGAGGATAGAATTGTCGCATGCTATTGATGTCCGACAGGATCTAGATAACTAGGCCTATTTAGGAGCGAAGACTATGACGGAAAGGACCGACCTTCAGGCTCGTGAAGCTTCCAAGTCTCGGCCTGCGGCTCATTCGGATACATTTGTTGGTGGGGACAGAAGCTCAGCTTTCGGTTTCCTCCTTAGGGAGTCTTGTCATCTGCCTGTTAAACGCCATTCCGCCCTAGTCGAGGAGGTGTCCCGACCCACATTGGCACCGTTCTTGTGTATATACCTGGGACCTTCGTCCCCTTTACTTGGGCAGTAGTCAAGGCCAATAGACTCTCAAAAACCGTCATATGCATGGCATCTCTTATTTCCTCTTGACACTGCCAACCAGTTCCTCGCAGGGTAGTAACTTAGAAGGGTAAAGGTTAATATGAAAATTGAGGTTCGACTGTTCTATCTAAGAAGGGGCGAGCAAGAGCCCTATTTATAAATAAGGGGAGTAGAAGAGTTTAAGGAAAGAAAGATTAACTAAGGGGGTAGTTACCTATATAATATCTAGGTATTTTTACTTAAGTAGATTAGGCCGGATAGAAATTTGCTATAGGGCAAATAGTAATACTTATTTTATAATAAGTCGGCATTACGTCTTAACCGCTGTTTGCCTTAATGTCGCCGTCGGAACGTAGTCTCGTCACAATTGAATCTCCGTGCAGTATTAGCATAGTTCACTGATTCCGACGATTTCAAAAATCAAGAGCCTCGTCAATCGGCGCCATTGTTGTTGAGCTGTTCTAGATTGACGCTGAGACAAAATGTCGGTTAGAGGGATGGATTTATTTCGCCCGGAGGGGAGTCCCTAGGGCCTTTACACAACCTAGTTTACATTTCAGCACATGTGGTAACCTACCTGACACCCCAAGTCCCGCGGACAATTGTCCTATCGCTTGCTGGTCAACCTCGTCGCCTGGGAGTCCGCTGTACGTGCGGCCGATCACGGGAGAATCCCTTACGCTTCTGTCTCACGCCCCCTCTGTCTCATTTTCTCTCCGCCTTACTCCAAAGCATCAAGGAACGCCTCGCTGTTATTGCTATAGACATAGAAATGTCTTTTTTGGGTTAAGTGGCGAGGTCCCTAACCGGCCATTTTAGGGCACAAATCCTTCTGCCCCCAAGACTGCCGTTAGTAAAGAGTCACTATATTTGCGAAGAAAGATCCTGCAATGCTTAGCTAAGTCTAGTTTGTTTGTTCTAAAGCAAAAGGTATGTATAGGCATTTTGCCGTCCATTTCCCCCAACCAGTCACGCCTGGAGGCTGCCCCCGGGGTGGGCGTGAAGCTGGGCTGTGCTTTGCGTAAGCGCCGGCGTCTCGAGGGCTGCTGGAGGCTGGATTATATGGATGATGTATATCATGGCGTCCCCGTGGCCGTTGCCAATAGCATAGCATCTATCCTCGTGCTTTTATAGTCTACGCGGCGGTGCGGTTGATGCGCCTATTGTTATACCGTCTTACCCCGGAGTTAACTCTACCACTAAAACTTAAAAGGCTAAGCCTAACGCTATTGTTAACTGCCTAAAAACACACGCTCGTTTTAATATAGGCATTATAGGAGCCGCAATTAAGATTGTTATAGTCCCTATCGTCCTCGTCGCCCTCGTCGTCCTCGCCGGCCTTGCCTTCATCCTTATCCGGCAGCGGAGGAAACGGGCCGAGGATATCGAGCAGCAGGCCGAGCCGCTCCCTCCCTTTGTCAATTACGCCTATTCTAAGCCGGTGGCGCCGCCGACCTACACGGGGCCGCCGGCAAAGCCAGCCGCTACGGTTATGGTGTAAACCCGCGTCCCGTAAGCTGGTTTATACGGGGAACATAAGAGAGAACTCGAGGTGGCAGGTTTATAGGACGAATATGGTCGCACGCTAGTTAAAGTTTAGGCGGTTCGGGATTAATTTAAGGCGTTCTTTTATGTTGCCTATAGCTTACTAGGGAGCTTAAGTACTCGGTAGTTCTCGAGGTTCAACGCACAGTTAATTAACGAGAGCCCAATAAGGTGCTTCTCGTCCCGTCCTATGCCGGCAGTCCGGCGTTACTCCCATCTTTTCGCCTCTCTAGCAGCATGTTTTATATACTATAACTTATGCCGTCCTTGCCGTCTCGCTAGAGTAATAGGGGGCTATATAAGAAAGCGGCAGGGGCTTATATCTACTAGCGGTAAGTGTTATTGGCTAAGCCTGCCCTATAAATAATATAATATAGTATAGATAGATTATAGTATATACTTAGCGGGAGGAGGAGGGAATCCCTATAAGAACGTGCCTGCGTGCTACCCCTTAGGGCTTAAGTATACGGATTAAATTTTATAGTTAATAAGACCCGGGGCATAACTTAAATCTAGAGCTAAACTCTCTTTAGCTTCCTACCTTAGCCGTCGTTCTTCTTACGCTTAAGTCTTAGGAATCTAGTAAGGCCGGGAACACTATTAACCTCGAACTTCTTCTACCTAGTGCCGCTATAATAGAGCCGACGCCGCGTCCCTTACGATGGCCCTCGGTCTCTAGCAGAGCTAAACTCACTATAGACCTCTCTAACCTCCTACCTCTAGAGCCACCCACACTACCTTCTAACACGCTACTTTTTACCAATCTCAACGCGCCCGCCTTCTTTGAGGCCGATACTCTATAGACGATTCGCAACTATATCTCTAAGACGGCGCCTATTTACGCCTTTGCCCCTCTTAAGTCATTCTACCGTATTGTTATCTCCTTCTTCGACGTCGACACGGCCATTTCCGTCCGGCAGGCCTAGAATGGCGAGGCCGTTTTAGGCGAGCGCATTAGGGTCTACTTTAGCCAACCGACGCTAGTGCAAGCTAAAGACGAGCATCTTGCTTTTCCTATGGCTAATAACCTCGTCTCTATTTCCCCGCCGCCGAGCCCCCCTTCGTCTTGTGACTGGGAGACGGGTCCCGAGGCCGTCTATAGTGAAGCTCTCGCCGACGCCCTGTCTAAGCTGAACTCTACACTAGAGCCCGGCGAGAGCGGCTCTCTTCCCGGCCGCCGCCCTCGGAGGAGCAGCTCCATCGTCATCTATAGCCCGGTAGATAGCGGCTTTAGCCCGGACCTCCCCGCCGTTCTGCTTAAGGATATAACGGGCGAGCCTATTGCGAGCTATAGCTCATATGGCTCTACCGCCTACTAACTTTTTGCTCGTGGACAAGAGATGGATCCGTGTCTGCTGCTTATCTTTCCGAGGCAGGTGTTGATCTTATAGCACTAGCACAACGTATTATAGTAAATAAAAGCACTTAACTATGGTAGTGGTTTTAGGCAAGGATATAAAATTAGAAACACGAGGAATAGCCTAGCATATGCAGCTATAAAACGTATATATAAAGCATTTAGTCGTTATATAGCCTTAACGCTAAGCCTTTTCTTAAATTTTATAGATAAAATGTTACTCTGCAATTAAGGTCATGGGTACCAGCTATTAGTCTATGGCGCCCTATCTCCCCTTAGGTATAAACGAGGCAGTGCATCGTAGCGTCGGCCGGCAAATGCTTCCGGCCTATAGATCAGCACTGCCTTAAAGCTACCTCGCCGCAATAATAGATAAGTTATAAATTGCTGCTCTATCCTCGTACGGCCGAGTAAAGTTATGCCTAGTCGCCTTATAACGCTTTATTGTCTATCTAAACCGCCTTCTATGCCGGCGTTAGATATCAGCGAGACTAAGTAAGAGAATAACGTTGGCTAGGGGGATAATACCTTATCTTTTGACTCGAATCTAACCGCCCCCCTCCCTCCTCTTCTCTACTAAACACATAAGGCTAGTTTTCCCCGGTCTCGATTAATACCTCGGCACGTTATATTTGCCCTAAACTAAGACGCTACTATCGAGGCGAAAATGATTTAGCCCATTCGATATATATTTAGTGCGATATCGTAGGCCTTAAGGTTTTAGTTCGTGACGATTGACAGTCTTATACAATATGGTGGGTGTGGGTAGGCACCTGCGGCAGCTGCTGCAATGAGACGGTACTAGGGTTAACCTGTGATGTTGTATTCGTCTTGATTCTCTATCTAAGGAGGCAGAGGCCAGCGTGGAGAAAGGGGGCACGCTGCCCTCAGCCGCACACGTGACCGTACGGGTCACGTGCCAACCATGGTTGGTCACACCACTAGATAGATACATTCCTACACAGGCAACTCTTCTTTTGCTGTGAGAAGCACAGCAACACCTTGAACAGATCTAAAGGATAGTAGCGTTAAGGCCGTGAAGGAATGTGCCGTGAGGGCGTGTGTCATTATTGCCAAAAAGTGGGTCCGACGTCTTGTTCTTAGCTGTAGATATCTGGGAAGAAGTGAAGGGTCTTCCTGATAGGAGCAATCATTTGATCATAGGTATAAGGAGCGGTTAGGAACGTTGTACGTATCCTTCGACTCGAATTGTCAGACTATTGGTATCGATGAAGCGTTCCAGGGCTCGGTTTGGTGATGCTTTCGTCATTGCATCTGCTGGGTTGTCTGCGCCGTTGATCCAACGAATATCTGTTATCTCTCTCTTCTCGTATGACTGGCGAAGGGCCATGATATCAATCATCAATCGTTTTCCTTCGTCGTACCGAGCTTGACTAGGCATTCGTAGAGAGTACGAATCCGTACAGACGATGAGAGGATAGGAGGAAGGTTGAGTCGTTCCGTAATTATCTTCATAGTCATCGCAAGGGAGATGCCTATGTCGAATCCGTTGGCCATACCGTAGATCTCTGATGCTAGGACGCTACGGGTAACACGTTTGCACTTTGTTGAACTCCAGTGTACGATGTTACCACTAATCTCGAACTGTTTTTCTTTGTGGTTTGTCTCGTTAACGAGGGCAATGACGAATCCTAGTTGGGAGGATAAGTCCTTGTTGTTTGCGAAAGAACCATCGGTGAAAACCATCAGCTTTGCAGTAGCTAGATCAATTGGTTTGTACGTGAGGCCACGTAGTTGGTGATCCATTTGCCATTGCAGTCGCTTGTT